ATTGAAGGTCAAATGTCAAATCTTAAGTCAAATCTAAAGTCAGATTTGAATTCCTGAGAACACGTAGATGATTTTGAAAAAAATTTTTAGTCAATTTGAAGCAAGTTGAAAACAGACCTTTTTGACCTTGAGAAGGTCATTGAAGGTCAAATGTCAAATCTTAAGTCAAATCTTAAGTCAGATTTGAATTTCTGAGAACACGTAGATGATTTTGAAAAAAAAATTTAGTCAATTTGAACGAAGTTGAAAACAGACCTTTTTGACCTTTTTTGACCTTGAGAAGGTCATTGAAGGTCAAATGTCAAATCTAAAGTCAGATTTGAAGGTCAAATGTCAAATCTAAAGTCAAATCTAAAGTCAGATTTGAATTTCTGAGAACATGTAGATGATTTTGAAAAAAAATTTAGTCAATGTGAAGCAAGTTGAAAAAAGACCTTTTTGACCTTGAGAAGGTCATTGAAGGTCAAATGTCAAATCTAAAGTCAGATTTGAACTTCTCAGAACATGTAGATGATTTAGAAAAAAATTGAAGTCAGTCTAAACAGTATTTGTTAAGTTATAGGAAGTTGTAAGAAATTGTTACAGACGCCGGACGCCAACCTCCAACCACCAACCGCCGGACGCCGTCGCAAAAAAACGGAGACCATAACAATATGTCACCACTTTTGGTCAAAGGTCAAATGTCAAATCTAAAGTCAGATTTGAACTTCTGAGAACATGTAGATGATTTTGAAAAAAAATTAGTCAATTTGAAGCAAGTTGAAAAAAGACTTTTTTGACCTTGAGAACGTCATTGAAGGTCAAAGGTCAAATCTAAAGTCAGATTTGAACTTCTGAGAACTTGTAAAGTCAAATTTGAACTTCTGAAAAGATGTAGATGATTTTGAAAAAAAAATTTGGTCAATTTGAAGCAAGTTGAAAACAGACCTTTTTGACCTTTTTTGACCTTGAGAAGGTCATTAAAGGTCAAATGTCAAATCTAAAGATTTGAATTTCTGAGAACATGTAGATGATTTTGAAAAAAAAATTTAGTCAATTTGAAGCAAGATGAAAAAATACCTTTTTGACCTTTTTTGACATTGAGAAGGTCATTGAAGGTCAAATGTCAAATCTAAAGTCAGATTTGAATTTCTGAGAACATGTAGATGATTTTGAAAAAAAAATTTAGTCAATTTGAAGCAAGTTGAAAAAAGACCTTTTTGACCTTTTTTGACTTTGAGAAGGTCATTGAAGGTCAAATGTCAAATCTTAAGTCAAATCTAAAGTCAGATTTGAATTCCTGAGAACACGTAGATGATTTTGAAAAAAAATTTTAGTCAATTTGAAGCAAGTTGAAAACAGACCTTTTTGACCTTGAGAAGGTCATTGAAGGTCAAATGTCAAATCTTAAGTCAAATCTTAAGTCAGATTTGAATTTCTGAGAACACGTAGATGATTTTGAAAAAAAAATTTAGTCAATTTGAACGAAGTTGAAAACAGACCTTTTTGACCTTTTTTGACCTTGAGAAGGTCATTGAAGGTCAAATGTCAAATCTAAAGTCAGATTTGAAGGTCAAATGTCAAATCTAAAGTCAAATCTAAAGTCAGATTTGAATTTCTGAGAACATGTAGATGATTTTGAAAAAAAATTTAGTCAATGTGAAGCAAGTTGAAAAAAGACCTTTTTGACCTTGAGAAGGTCATTGAAGGTCAAATGTCAAATCTAAAGTCAGATTTGAACTTCTCAGAACATGTAGATGATTTAGAAAAAAATTGAAGTCAGTCTAAACAGTATTTGTTAAGTTATAGGAAGTTGTAAGAAATTGTTACAGACGCCGGACGCCAACCTCCAACCACCAACCGCCGGACGCCGTCGCAAAAAAACGGAGACCATAACAATATGTCACCACTTTTGGTGGTGACATAACAAGAATACTGTTAATTCAAGCAGAAATATGGTAGATTTTCAAATATTTACGGTATATTTTACGGCCGTTCTTATAGAAAAAATCTAATTATAATAAAATATTTTATGGTAGATTTTGGTAAAATTACAGTAGATTTTGTCGGTTGTTTTACAAGAAAAAACAGTAATTTTTTACGGTATTTATATTATTTTTTATGGTAGATGCCGGTAAAAATACGGTAGGTTGGCAGGTATGAGTTACCATTGCAACCGTGGAAATGGGTAAAAATGAGAGCAAAAAACACCCAGACCCGCCATAATGGCACTAATTTTCAAAATATTTCGAGACATACACATTTTCTTAAACTTTGATATCGTCTAGAACACTTCTAGACAACAAAAATATCAAAAATGGGGGGAAGGCAGGGTCGGATCTGAGAACCAACAAGGAGGGGGGGGGCCAAATTTCAGGTCAGAAAAAAATTTGGGGCCCCTGAAACCAAAAAGTGGGCCCAAATTTTGAGGCCCATTTTCTTCAAAATTTGGCCTGAAATTAAAAAATAAGGCCTTAAAAGGCCCAGTTATGACCAAAAAGGCCCACTATTTGGGGCCTTAAGGCCTTTTTGGCCCAAAAAATTTTTGAGCCCAATTTTTTTTTCTGGGCCCACCCAAGGGGGGGGGGGGGCGGGCCCCCAGCCCCCCCCCCCCTCCTAATCCGCCAGTGGAAGGTTTAACACTTCAATTATTTTCAAGCCTTGGTCAAAGTAAAACTACGAAAAAAGCACTCATTTTCACTTTAGAATCACCTATTATCGCCCAAATGGCTATATGTTGTCAAGGTCGCCATGTTAAAAGTAGAATTAGAATGCTCTTCAGACAATGTTTGATAGCTTTCCTTTATCACGGAACAAAGACCTTTGCACTGGTATGCCCATTTCCATGAGATAATGCACGTGAAAGAGGAACAGTGTCTTTAAATGTCATCAAAACTTTTTCTCACTACTTTTGGTGTAATAATACCATCTGATTGATTGTTGGTGTAAACAACGAGTCGGGTTAATCTGCACGAGGTTCGGTTTTTCATTAAGGGAAGTACTTTATTCCCATGATTCAAAGTGCTTTTCTGCCATTGGTTCGGTTTAAGTTTGTACAACAAACGTCCACGAATCCAGGGCAGGTTGACATTATATCATTACATTTGTTTTGGGTGTATAGTTTTTGTTTTGACAATAAACAAAAAAAATCCCGCAATATATGGTGCATCATGGGTAGGACACGCTGTGAAATATGAACGTAAGTGACATCTATGTTAAATTAAATGTTCCTACAAAGTTATTAATCGCGCATGCGTCATGATAACTTAAACCAATCAAGGAGGATTGGAAGCCAGGGTTCCAACTCGATATTCTTTAATCTCCACGCATGCGTCATTTGCTATTCGTGTCTGTATAATTTGTACGACTGCATGGAGAATGACCCGATACTCTCCAACAAAGCTATCGCTAGGTGATTGTTTTGCAGAATATCGGTGTTGCATTCTGGGAGCCAATCCTCCTTGTAAAGCAATCAGATTACTGGGTTTAATGCGCACGCGCCATAAACCGAATACTTTCCCGGGATTCGGGCTTTAGGATACGATTTTACACTGACCGATTGCAAACGAGATTTAGCGAGATGAAGCGGTTGTGAAACCAAGATGGCAGAAAGTTTGTGAACTTCTAGTATTATTATATCTTACGGTAGAGTATACCATTGATAGTGCTGACTTTGTCTGACCCATATTCTCCATGCTGTATTACCCAGGATGCATCTCTGAGAAGAGGAGATTTGGATAGAGATTTAAACGAGATTTAGCGAGATGACGCGTTTGTGATACTTTTGTTGAAGAATGAGCACATTTGAACTGATTTCTACGATCTCAACGTAATTTGAGGTACGGACTTTCATTTTTAATAACACCTTGGTGTCTTATGGACCTCCGTCACTAAAAATAATAGGGAAACACTTGTGTAGAAACGTCGAATTCTTAGTCTGAAAAGTAGGGTGTCTGTAATTTTATAGAAAAATTGCCAAAATCTTATGAACTTTTAGCTCTTACTACCACTACTTACCACACATACTATCTATTGCAAGACTTACGCCTGGCGTAACCGTCACCATGTTATTCAGTGTTTTTAAGTAGCGCAAGGATCCTGCCATGACCGTGGTAGTGTTATCGTGTAAGCCTGGTTTAACCGTGACAACGCTGTATTATATTGCAAGGCCTGTCATGGCCGTGGTAATGTTAAAGCCTGATATAACTTTGACAATGGTTGCAAAGCCTGTCATGACCGTGATAATGTTAAGGCCTCTTATAACCGTGACAATGCTTGCAAGGCCTACCATGACCGTGGTAATGTTAAAGCCTGATATGACCGTCATAATGATTGCAAAGCCTGTCATGACCGTGGTAAGGTTAAAGCCTGAACTGGACAATAGTTGCGAGGCCTCTCATGACCGTGGTTGTATTAAGTAACATTTAAAGTAGCATGAGAACACTGTAATGACAATTTTCCTCGTGTTTAACTACCTTAAATATGTAAATCGAGACTACTATACATGAACATGGTACTCATGTTCATTGATACATAAAAATGTATATTAATTTCACAACGAAACCCTCATTTTTAACTCAGTCATAAATAATTTTCGAACAAACTACATCTCTACTCTCATTCAAGAAGGTTCGATTCGAAAGCACATACTTTCTATAATGATCAATTAATAAGGTTAATCCATGAAAAAACTAATAGCAGCAACGGGAGAAACATGAAATAAGTCATAAATGTCATATAAAGCGGCTACGGTCGCGCCAGGCTTACACGATTACATTGTCACGGTCATGGCAGGCATTGCAATATAATACAGCGTTGTCGCGGTTATACCAGGCTTTCACGATAACACTACCACGGTCATGGCAGGATCCTTGCGCTACTTAAAAACACTGAATAACATAATGACGGTTACGCCAGGCGTAAGTCTTGCAACAGATAGGGTCTCACTACTTACCATTGAGAGTGCTGACTTTGGATTCTACATACAGAAAAATTCATAGGTGGATATATTATATAATTACCTCTGTGATTGATGTTTCAAAGAATCAGAAAGTAGCTTCAGTATCTCATGTACATTATTTGCAGTATATGTGTTGCCATACTTGCTATTAACACATAGAAAACCCAAAATTTCTGAGATAGATTTCTCAACATTTGTGTCGACGTTCGCCATGTTTTTGTGGTACACACGGTACAATTAATTGACGCAAATTATATTAAATTATGAACAACGTCAAACCGTCAAAAACATTAAAATATTGTACAATTATTCAATGTATATTTGGCTCGTACAGACTTATTGATCACAATCAAACAAATTATGTCATATAGATAAAATTACTTTTGCGCAAATATTTTACATTACTTAGAATCTTGATGACTATTTAACTCTCGCGAATTTTAGAGCGAGACTGCACACGAGACATCCGGTTTTGGATTTTAGCATTTTCAGAATTTATTCACTTTATATGAAGATAAGTGACCAATTACGCCATCCAGTGCCCGAATAAGGTATGTGCAATAAACTAATACATATTTAAAACATATTTTGCCTGAAAAGAAGTTCTCAATTCGTGACTGATTTCTTAAAACACGATTTGAAATTGCCACACCTTTGTTATGATCTGAAGCTCAAGCTGTACAAAAAGTACAAATATGGAAAATTTGGATTGACCCAGTTTGTGATTTGTAGATTTTTACAATTCAAATACACCATTTTGTTCAAAGAAAGTCTGCAATTATTAGTCTACACAAAAGAGCTATATTGGATAACCATCTTCCAAGTCTGTCTCTGTATTCCAGCGCTGTGTAAGACATGTAGCCGTTAATATATTCTTAATATGCACCACCCATGATATAATTGAAATATCATGGGAGTAGCGCTATTTTTATGAGTAGTATACCACCATGGTTATATAAGTTGAGCAAAGAATTCAGGGGAGTTCTGGAGATTCTGCCCCCAATGAACATTTTGAAATTTGATTGTATATTTGGAGGGATCTGACACAATCTGGTATTCCTGAGCGCACCGGGCGCTACACCCATGAATATATAGTATAGAATAATACAGACGACCCATTCATACTTTCCACGCAGCATTTCATTCAGACCAATAGCTCAACTGTAGATCATGCAGTTTCTTCTATCTTAGAACAGGCCATCCTCCTCTAACGCCCTGTCCTAAACTTGTCTGCAAAAGACCGCAAAACATTATTTTCTAATATTTTAATTATTTTTACATCAGACATGGTTTGATAACATGTCACAAAATTAAAGTTCAAAGTCAATACATTATTTCGTGATAGGGCCAACGCCGACCCGGAAGTAAACACGGGAAAAATGGAAAAGTCCAAAAAGCCCAAAAAGCATTAACACAAATTTCAATCAAGTACTGTGCTTATGCTTCATCATGAACCAAACAAAGCTGATATGGTTTCATTGAAATGTGTGTCTTAACCTCTAGAGGGTATGTAAGACTCCCTAATCTTCAGGTAAATCTTATTTTTCAAGTTCTACCGACGCAGTCAGGCCATGAAATAGACTCTAATACATTAACTTTTCATTGCACTTGCCATTTATGAACACAATCATAATAAATGTATTGCATCTCATTCCTGAGTTATAATAATATAAGTTATTCAATGATTCGAGTGAAATACAGAAAATATTCTTCCCGAGAAGGTTGTATTTCACGATGCGCTAGCAGAGTGAAATACAGACGTTCAAGGGAAGAATATTTTCTGTATTTCACGAGAAATCATTGAATAACGTTTTTATTCCATGATTACCCATATAAAACTTGCCTAAATCAAGTCCCTTGGCTTGGGGCCAGAGAAACAGATCAACTTTCTCACCTCAGAGATATTTACATTGATATTCCTTCAAAATCTTTATGGCCTTGTTGTTTGCTTTTTATTGTATTATATGAGACATTTTATTTTCTTTCTTTTTTCTTCAATTTCATCAGCTGGAATTGCAGTGTAGCGAAACGTTTTTTCGACTTTCGTCTGCCATATTGGATTTTAAAATTTTTTACTAGTCATGAAAACAATGTGCATGCTTCATATTGATCTTTTTATATTCACAGATGTGTGTTTTTATCCTAAAATTATAAATTGTGATGATCACCCTATCATTTCCTGATATTCAAATCAGATATTTCTAGCAAAATGCAAATATTAGCATGCATATTTTCAGTAATAGTCATATCCTGGATGGAAATCTGGGGCGTTGGGATATTAGACCGTATCCCAACGCTGATGTCTTTTTCACTCTGTATCCAACGCTTTGTGGAATGTGAGTGTAAATACAGGATATATTTAAGTCACGTGCACCAATCAGATTGCAGGGAATTTCACCATCATAGAATAATGCTATATATCTTATTTTGAATACATGGATAAACATTAAACATGCGTGGTTATATAGAGAACGCCCCAGCCCAAACGTCTGTATGTGCGGGCAATACTTCAAATTCTTGTGGCCTAATTGATTATTAAATTATTTATCATTTTTCTGATTCGGGCCTCAGAAAGTTCAAAATGACTGCCTAATGTGGGATTTCTCAACTGATCATTTCAAAGTAAGGCTATATTCTACTCAAATTGAAGGAATTTTAGATTTGATCAATATTATGTAATTGTTTTCTGAATAGTTGTGCAAGAAATTCAAAATGGCCACCTCGTGTTCGTGTTTTGTTTGTTGGGATGAGCTGCTCCTTTGAGTTCCCGATTTCTAGTTGAAACTTAAAAAATGCACCTCCTTCAAACAACAAATATGTATAATTTTAGTGACAATGCCTAAAAGGCGCAGGGCATCCGTGACGTCTGAAAAGAGTGAAGCATCTGAAGTGTCTCCTGTAGTCCAGAAGAGAAGAAAGCAATCAGCACATACGGATCCTGTAAGTTTCTAGAAAGCTTATAAAATATATAATCTAGTACATGTAGTGAAACTTGTATTTCTTAACATAACTCTTGTCAATGCGAACACTTTTTCTCAGTCCCAGTTTTGTTCCCTCCCATTGACTCACATATTAGAAAAAGCTTGAAATGTGAACACCTGCCTACATGAGCACTTTTAGCCAGTCTCATTGGGTTTTGATGTGACAGGTTTGGTGTAGTCTATACAGTGTACTTCCATTTATGGTGTCAAAAAGTTACAATGGAAATTCCATGTCCACTGAGATAACAACTTTCAGTTATATACTGTAACTAGGGTCAGAACAGTAACATGTATCCAAATCTTTCATTTATTTGTTGAACCATGGACAACGACTTACAAAAACCACACAAACCAAACCAGATACAACATGAATTACAATATATAATGGTCCAAAAGTTTCAGAAAATGTTTTAAGAATATGTGTTGTAGAAAAATACATTCACCAACCCATAGTGTTAGAACATGTCGAATGTACAAACAATGATCCTGCATTATTTGGATACCATCATGATTGGAAGACGCAGACAGTGATTCAATTACAGTACACATTTGATAACAAAATGAATGTTTGACCATTGTTATTGCAGGTTGAAATATGCCAGGAGCTTTACGACTATGTTCGTAATTACAAAACTGAAGATGGCCATCTCCTTTGCGAGGCTTTTGTAAGGGTCCCTAAAAGAAGGTAAGTGATTTATTTGTCAAAACTCATTCTCAATTATAAAACAATTTTTTTCAAAACATCTCATTTCTCAATTGTATTCACATTTATTTGTTTGATTGCCTTTTTTAATACACATCTAAAAAGGTTGAGATACTTAAAAAGAAAAAATTGCACACAATATTGGTAAAATTATATGATTCGGTTGTAAGTATCAACATTAACATGGGTCAAGTTCCGTTTAAAGAACACATGTATATTTGTACTTTCAGGACCGCACCAGAGTATAACAACATTGTATCTCAGCCTATTGATCTACTTAAGATACAACAAAAACTGAAAACTGATGAATATGAGGATGTCGATGCATTTACAGATGACATCTTACTCATGATTAGAAATGCAAAGGTGTATTACAAAGTAAGTCAATAGTATATTTTTTGATACATGTGGAGTATTATTACTTGCCAAGCTATTTTATATCACATATATTCAGTTGTTCTGGTCTATATTTGAGGCCACATAGTTTTTCAGTCTGGGAATTCCTTTCACTATAATATTAAGTAAGATCACAATAATTTTACTATTACTGTCATTAAAACAACCAATTAACATATTTACCGAGAGAAATATCTGACCACCAATTGCAATTTTTTTTCCAGAAAAACTCACCAGAGTATAAAGATGCTGTTGAGTTGTGGGATCTGTATGTGCAAATGCGTGATGAGCTGATGGATGACCCCTTTGATGATGGTACGGAAGGAGAACCTGAGGTGGGCCACAGAGGTCGTAAATCTCAGTCGGTTGATAGAGATCATGAAGAAGAATCCAAGGTAGGTATTAGCATGTTAGAGATCTTTCGAAAGTCCATGGTATTTGGAATGATATTTTTGAACCATTGACTCAAGATCTGTTCTGCTTAAATCCATAACTGATATAAACTTTTCAAATAAAGTTTATTTAGTATTCAAACATGACCGTGCTCTATTCGAATTTCTCAAGCAATCAGAATGCAGCATAGCCAATATAGAACGTTCTCTAATTCTCCATAGATGCACGACCATGCTCTATTAATATTGAATCTGCAATTTGCATTGTTTTGAGTGACGTCACATCTCAGCTGCACATCTGGGGCTCTGTCCGGGGATAGCTGTTCTTTTTTACTCCCTCCGTAACTACTGTAACTATTTAACACCCCATGTTTGCATTTACCGTATAAAATCTAAAACGGGGAGTAAAATAGAACAGCCCAAACAAATTCTAAATTTTTCCGGCCGACTTCAGAATCTTGACAGCATGCGTATTCTTCCTTCATGCCCGTTCCACAGACACGGCTTTTACTAATTTTTATGTTTGAATCGAATAAATAATGATAGGCCATTCAATATGGTGAAATTCAGCACTCCTTGGACAGAATGTTAGTACAAATGCACTCACCTTCGGTTCGTGCTTTGTACAACATTCTGTCCAACTCGTGCTGAATTTCACCATATTGAATGGCCTATCATTATTTATTCCTTAAACAAATTACACCATTTGGCTTGCATTGGTAGTGATCAGTGGTCCAAAGCAGGGTGAACTGACTGGAGTCAGTCACATTCAAAATTTGTTTGATTCGGATAAACTCTTGATTCCAGCTAAACCAAGTAAAATCTGGATTTCAAATATTTTGCAATGCAAACTAATAAAAATCCTATTGTAAACAACCATAAAGAAATCCTCAAGTATTATAAACCAAAAATAAAAACCCTATTATATTCATATATTTAATACTTAAGATAATAACATTTAATTTTTGTCTTTCTATTTTAGGGTAGTGAACCATCTAGCCGAGCAAGTAGCGTAACACGTGGTGGCAGCGTGCCTAGGTCTGGCAGTGTGCCAAGAACTGCTCAAACACCTGGGACTATTGATGAAGACATTGAAAACAAACTAGAGTTGTTATTTGCCGCTGTTATAACTGCTAAAGAGGGTGACAGAGAGATCAGCGAAGTTTTTCAGCTTCTACCTTCTAAAACTGTAAGGCTTGAAATCAATCTCAAATCTTAACTAGACAGTATTTATATACACTTTTTGATATTCAATTTTTAAGAAATATGGTTGAATATGAGCGAGTATACACGTAATTTACACTTGATCACTCCTAGATAAAAATAATGATATTGTGTCAAAGTAATGAATTTCAGTGATAGCTACAGCTCATATTTGAATATATTTATGAGAACAAAGAACAAAGCCTTGTCATCATTCTTGTTATTTTATGACATCATAACTAAAGGCTTTTACATTGTATTGCAGAAGTTTGCAGAGTACTATGAATCTATCACAGAGCCCATAGATTTGAAACAGATTGCCATGAAGATACAAGATGGATCATACACATCTCTACATGACATGGAGAAAGATTTACTTCTTATGGTGAAGAATGCAAAATATTTTAATGAACCCGGATCCCAAATATACAAGGTATAACTGAAATTTTATCAATATGTAAACTTTATTGAGATGACTATATATAACTGTGGCTGTGCAAGACCATTATGAGACAACTGCTGAATTTAAGATATAGAATTGAATTTGATTAAGAAATTGATAATGAAAGAGGCTAAAACCTCACATATTATGTCACCACCACAATTTTTCCATTTTCTTATTTTTCTGGTGGCAGTTGGTAATTGGCATTCAGCATCTGTAACAAATGGCAGGTAGTGACATTTTGCATATTAATGCCTTGTTTATCTTACAAGCAAGGGTTATAATGAATGGTTACCAACTCTATCTCATCAACTTTATAACTTTAGGACGCTGTTACATTGAGGAAATTGATAACAGCAAAGAGAATTGAGCTTGAGAACATGAAGCACAACCCTCACAAGACCAGTGAAAGAATAAGGTAAGAAGATAAGGTTACATATCTGTCTGCTTAAATGTTCGTTTCATGCTATTTCTCCTTAAAATTTGAATGAACTGAATAATGCGTTGTTGTTTTTAAACAATTTACAGTGTAACCTATTATTTCGTATAGATCTTTCAGTCCGTGTAAATTTTACGTATAAAACTGTATTATGCACATGAAAAGTGATTATTTTTATGTGCATAAATTTAGGTCACTTAATCTGTCCTCTGCGCTGCATTATCCTATAATGTATGTATGCTTATACATTTATTAAGGTCAAAGAGGCATGCAGCTACTCACAAGCTATCTTCAGTTTGTGCTGCACTATCCTATGGGTCTGAGGATGAGACAGAGCTTGAACAGAGTGACTACAACAGTGCACATGATACAACAAGCCAGATAGACTATGATGATGACTCTGGTTTGTGATCTTAGTTACTTTTATTTTATTTTGTGACCAATAGCCATTTTTTTATTTGCTGACTTATTTTTTATTCCTTAGTCCTCAGATGCTCATTTGGCCTAATATCAATGTAGTGGTTTCTGGACCTGAATAGCATTCAGTGTATCAATATAGCTTCAATATTGTCCACAGTAAAAACTTATTAAAAATGGCTAGACACCTTGAATGAGATGATTTAACTACAACTATGATCTTGCATCACTACTTGATTGATTAATTGACTGATTATTGGTTTATTGATTGCTTTGTGTTTTCAGGAACAGAAGGGTCAACGATGACAATGGATACAGATGAGAACATTTACTGGGCTCTGTACAACACTGTACATAATCACAAAAACTCACTCGGACAGATTCTCTCTGATCCATTCCTGAAACTCCCAAGTAGAAGGTTTGTCTGTTCCCTCCTAATTTTCCACTTATTCCACTTTTTAGAGATGAATCCCTGAAGTGCCTTTGCAACTGTAGTCTGTGTTCAATATTTGAATGTGTTCCTGTTGTCTCTAAAGTTGATTCATATTGTTGTCGTGGCAACACAACATTTGTGATTGGTTGATTCATGAAACATTCTTGATTGCTACCTTGGTTCGATTGAACTTTGATTGTATTTTCTGTTTTCTGAGTGAATTATATTGCCATTACATAATGTTTAACTGTTCAACTAGTTTCATATTTGAAGTTTATAGATTGGTTGATAAGTATTGTTTTATTTGTTGCAGATTTTATCCAACATACTATGAGGAGATTGCAGAGCCATTGTCTCTGTTGCAGATCAGGAGAAAAGTTAAGGTAATAAAGATTTAAAGTAAAAGGAACGCCCACTACTCTACAAAGTAAATGTAATACATATTTTTGTACAGCATACAATGCTCTCAGTATTTTAATCGTACTTATAATACATTGTTTTTTCTTGTCCTGCTGGAAGTCCAAGAGGCTGGTTGTCTAGCTCTTAACCTTCTACATGCAATGAAAATGTCTTTTGAAAATGGGGCAATGTGACACATTTTGCAGAAAGTAATCCTGTAATAGTTTTAACATTTTTGAAAACTTTGTCACAATTATCAGCATTATCGTGTATGTTTTCCAGCACAACAAATACACGAGCATTAGTGTGTTGGCTCAGGATCTGAACTTGGTCTTTGAAAATGCAAAGAAGTACAATGACAGTGACAGTAGGCTGTATAAGGTAATATAGACATGGTTGAAATATGTTTCAATTCAAATTTTCCCCAGTCCCCATAACTTTGATAATATAAGAATGACTTTAATGTATTTTGTGCTGAATTTATTAATGGTAAATATGTATTGATTCAACTAAAAGTAGAAATCTGAAAACTGAACAATTTAAAGAATAAATAATGAGGCTGCGCTTTGCAGTGAACTCTATAAGACATTTTCAGAAGAATACCAATTGGGAGAAAATGCTTGGTCACAAAGTGTTTGGCAAAACTGTGTGCTTACTTTATACATGTACATATGTTTATTTTCAATTATATCTCTCCACCACAAGTGGTCTGTAGCAAATGGCAGGTGGTCACATTTTACCTTGTTTTTAATTTCACTAGGATGCAGTTCGCCTTCAGAATGCCATGCGGGCGAAGTACCAGGAGTTGGAAAAGTATGAGTCGCGTCAGTTAGCCCAGTTCACTGTAAGTATTCACTCAGCATCACATTAATATTGATTAGGTGAATAACAGTTTTGTTTTTCAACACACTTTTTAGTTTCTTGAATAAGGGTGTGATTTTTGAACTCAGCACTTGTTTATACTCATGTTAATTCAAATGGTGTAAGTTTCTAAATAGTTATAGGATATTCCACACTGCTGGTACTTCTATTGCAATGCCTTGTACATGTTTATCTGTCACTTTATAATCCTTCACGCACGTCGCACAATGATCAGACTTGATAGTTTTCCATTTCTATCAGGTTTGATTGTTTGATTGGAGGTGAAATGGATTATGAGGATTTTATGGTGGCAGATTATTCAAAAAAATTCATGAGTTAAAACATGTTACTGTGTGTTGTAAGGACAGAATTACTAACACATTTTGTATAAGATACAACTGAAATTATTTAAATTTGAATTTCCTTATCCAGATTGGTTGTTGGATTTTTAGTTTTTTTTATATCTATATAGCCCATTTTTTATCTCAAATATTCACTCACTTTATGATACCCCCCCCCCCCCCCTGGCAAAAAATGTCTTTCAAAATCATGCAGTTTTCACCATTCTCACTATTTTTTGAGTGATTTTTGGCCAAATTTGGCAAAGTGAACCCCCGTAGAATTTTTGGGAAAAGTGAACCCCCTTGGAAAATGCTGGCTACGGGCCTGATATCTCTTGGCCTACTTTATTTCTGACTCGTATGACATGACACCTGATAAGCCCTACACACAAGTCTTTATCACTGTCATATAAATAAGTTCATGTGATTTTAGTAATTGAATAAATAAAGCCAAACCTGTTCAAGAATCTCAAAATTTTTCAGGAATGAATGGAAAGTGACAATAAAGATATCAATCAAGATATTTCAATTACATTATTGACAAACCTAATCTATTATACATACATTTGTCAAGAAAAATGCACTTTTTATTTTGAAACACACCAAATTCACTCCACTGCATTTGCTAGAATATTCACTGAACTATTATTTGTTGTCAATAGGCACAAACTGCTTGGTGCTCTATTTGAAATTGATGTTAACATAAAGGAGTTGAATACAAGTTGAAACTCTCTCTTTGCCCCCTTTAGCACAAATATTTAAAAATCTATTTGAAGAATAATTTGGGAGAAACTTTTATTAAGTTAGGGAAACTTTTTTGTTATTGTTATTAAGTTTAGTAACATGGGAAGAGGAAAATAAAACAACTTAGTAAGAATAATTTTGGAGAAACTTTTGTGTTATTAAGTTTAGTAACATGGGAAGAGAAAAATAAAACAACTTAGTAAGAATGATTTTGGAGAAACTTTTGTGTTATTAAGTTTAGTAACATGGGAAGAGAAAAATAAAAAAACTTAGTAAGAATGATTTTGGAGTAACTTTTTCTTTTCATTTTTTCATAAAGTTTTGGAACCTGAGATTTTTTGGGGTTTGAAGAGCTTAATACATTATCCAAAACAAAACACCTTATGGATTTAATATAGTGTCTTTCTAGCTCTGATTGCCCTCTCATCACAAGTATAACTTATACTTCACTTAAAGTGTCCTTCTGTAAGATCACAGAGCTCACACTTTACTATACATTTGCTAGGAAACTCTGGAGGAAGACCCCTTACCTCCATTATCATATCTTATGAACCCTATGGTAGTGCTCAGGGTAAGTCTAGATGTTTGTGATGCTGCTAGTAGGTCTTTTCTCAGGGGGCTATTTCATTGGCTATTTTTAAAGTGGATCAGCCAATCTAAATCTAAAAGATGTTTTTATACAAGTTGACATCTTAGATCAAACCATGGGCAAAGTCAAATTACATTACATGTAGTTTGCCCCAATGGGACTAAGCTATTCTGTAAATGTATAATTTATAAATGGTCTCTAATGAAAAATCTGAATTAAAGTAAGAGGAAGATTGGCTGGTCCTCATCTGTTAGTTACAGTACATGTATGTTGTAACTTAAAAAATCTACTTCTACAGGGTGTTCAATGGAGCAGACTTATTTAACACTCTGTGCTGTACATTGCAGATTGAAGGCAGGCTTATTTATCACTTTAGGAGCCTTCAATTTTAGAGTCTCTTCACTCAGGATAACAATGCGCTTAAAATGTCACTCTGGTTTGGTTTGTTCCACACAAATTCCCTCCAAAATGATACTAGACTGCATATTTTTCAGACATTTCTCTATCTCTATAATCTGTAGGTGTAAAGTCCATGTAACTTATTCAATGTTGATTTCATTTGTTTTTACAAATAGCTTCACCATATTGGCATTTTACTTTCAAGTTAGAAGTATCCTGAAGATCCTCGGAACGCAGACTCCAAACATCATCTGAGTTCCTTTCTCTTTCTTCAGAGAAGAAGGGACTTAGAGGATGACTGGAGGTCAATATTATTTTCTTAGTGCTTCGTTCTCGCATTGTGCCCCATTCTTCTAAGTTCATCCATTCAATGGGAGATTATGTTTTAGTAGTGTATGTATTTTATGAAAACATTTTTTTGATTATATATACTATTTTAATTTGATATGTAATGTGTAAAAGTAGTGAACCAGCATTATTTATATCAGTTTCACATTTCATATACTTTTGCATGTCCTGACTTTTTAGACCAAAACTGGATTGTATGTTCACTGTAGTAATGTCACTTTGAAGAAAGTTTTTTATTTCATCTTAAATGATTACTTTCTTGAAATTTTATTTGTTTATAATGGCATAAGCAAACTCTAAAAAACTAAAAATCAACCTTTTCATCTAGGTATCCATGGTGATACATAAACATTAGGAGAAAATTAGTGTATGAAATACAATTCCTTAGACACCATATAAAGCCCTGAGGGGAAATGAGACTCCCAGGAAATTTTATTGAACATCTTTTAGTATTCTCAATATTTGTGGTTATTTAACAATGCATGTTGTTGGTTATGCTTATTAATATTATGCCATAATATCTCAACAGATCTTCATATTGCTTCATATCACTATATGACAAAAGATCATGTTTAAACAATTAAATCAATGTCTTTAAACTGTTGGTGTTGTTAGAAACATTGCACAAACTTATTTTACAAGAGATTTCGTAATTTAAATATGTAGAACATGTTTTCAGATGTTTGGGATTGTTTAGAATCCAGTCTTACACACGTTCTCTGCTTTCTGTAGCAATTGTGCTTCAGAACACTTAATATGTGTCTAAACTATTGAAGTCTCAGAGCATTTAATGTGTCTTAAAATTTGTTTCACAAAATACAATACAACCGTATCAAGATTAATGTACATGTATCTCTGAGCATTTAAGTGGTTCAATTGATTTTTTTGTGATGTTATTCAAAGTATCAAAAAGTATTTAAAGTTTCACTCTTCGTTCAAAATGCCACACAACATTCAAATTTCCAGCAGAAAGAGCAAGAGGAACCTCCGCAGGAATTTGCAACCCCAAAGCCTCGAAGTAAACCTCCCGGTAAGAAAGCCGTGTCCAGTGTGGAGGGTACCCCAGAGAGGGGGGCTGTGAGCACTGGGAGGAAGAAGCCTGGACGTAAACCTCTTCCCCCAGAGGAGGCCCTGAAGAAGAGGCTCTCGGTGATCTACAATACAGTGAATGATCATGAGGTATGGATCATTTGGGATCAAGGTCCTTGGATGATTTTGGATAAAGATCAGAGATTATGTTGTATTTAAATTTTTGATTCTCTACTATTTATCCATTTCTTAGAGATTCTCAAGGTACATAAAGAAATTGACCATGATCTTTCCAGGAGTTTTCCCTTATTTTCTGTCACTCTGAATGCCTGGTCTTTTAGTTCTGTTTGTGTATCATGCTATGTACATCCCAAGTCATAAAACATACCCCAATATTTTATTGACTTGATAACCTGACTTTTCTCCACTGTAGGTTGATGGGAGGCGTCTCATTGAAATCTTCACCTACTTACCATCTAAGGACGTGTACCCGGACTATTATGACATCATCAAGGATCCTATTGACATGAACACAATACGTCAAAAGGTGGAGAATAAAGTGGTAAGAATTTCAGTTTCAAATTCTGCATGTGGACATACATGGTGACACAAAAATGTAAAATACATATTTCATGTTTAACGTGTAACGTGTAACATGATATAATGTGTCTTCAGCTCGTCCTCAACATTAGTCATTGTGTAGAACAAATAAAAAAGGAACCAGCTATAAAATAAGGTCAGAGCAAAATTTATCGGAGGTTTCCTGCAACAGAGGAACCTATTTAATGTAATAATGTTCATCAAGCTTTTTAAACTATGATGAAAAATGTTACATGGATTCATCTTTATTGAACATCTTTAGAATACATTGGAACACCAGCGCAATGCCAAACCATTTAAATTTTATTTTAGGAATGTATGTTTGATTCATTTTTTCTTTTTTCAGTATTTAACTGAGTTCCAGTTGTTGGCTGACTTAAACCTTATGTTCAGTAATGCACAGAAATATAATGAAGAAGGGTCACAGGTTAGAGTTATTTACTCATTATGTTTTCTTTTGTAATTAAAATTGATGTAAATGTTTAATACTAAATGGTTCAGTAAGGGCATGGTGTCTTTTAATAGCATTATGCTTTCCTTTAGATTTTTTAACAAACATGCAGTGAGGTATATAATGTATATTTTCTACAACTTTGATATATACTCTTGTATACCCAATTTCTGACTGTTATAAAGGTACACAACGACTCCATTGTGCTTAAGAAACTTTCTAAGAAGGTAGAAGTCATTTCTTTTCAGGATACACACACTCTTTGCAGCTTGAAGTTTTATTAATTACATACTCTCCTCCGCTAAATCATGAGATCTCCTGACCTTTTGGACATCTCACAGAGTGATTTGAGATGTGGTTTTAATAATCTCCAGATTTTCATATAAAAACATGTTTACGCCCTTCTCTCCTTTTAAAAATTCAACAATTCTCCAGTTTTAAAATTGTATCTTTTTTTGTTCTGTTTCTTTTAATGTTCTGTTCTTAAAAACATCTGCTGTTTTTAAAAGATATCTTGTTTTCCCCTGTTTAAAAATGATTTCTCTTGTGTTTAAAATTAGCCGATTCTCCCGTTTTCTTTCAAATTCTTCTGCTTTTTTGAGTAAGTGGTATGTATGTAATTAAAAGAGAAATTGAATTTTTATCCAACACTTCTAGTTACAAAGAGTGAATTATTAGTTTATGGTTGATGTTCATTCAAATTGATTGTTTTTTTGCAGATATTTTATTTTTATTATTTAGATATTACATCACTGGTTTTCATTGCATTTTTAAATGAAAATTTGGTTGTAAATATAAAGATAAGTGTAAACAAAACACATTTATATAGACTTTCTTTTGAAGATGCTGAAATGAACTAATTTTTTTATTTACTATTAATACAAATACATGTAAAATACTATAGACAAAAAATTAATTTATGACAAAATGTCTAATAATATTTTGAATTTTTGACACATCTGAAAATAAAACAAATTTTGTAATTTAACACCCCTTAATTTTCTGTTCATAAGGTATGGAATGACTCTAAGGCACTTCATCGTGCCCTGATGAACAAGAAGCGCAATCTAACACCACTTGGGTATACTCCCCCTAGACCAGGCCACAGCCCATCACAGGCAAACAAAGGGTAGGTTCACAGAGATACACTGAAACCAATTTTTTTAACACATATCACAAGATTTCAACTGAGTTCTTATCATAACATTATTATATGTAGTAAAAAGTGTCTGATTTTTGATTTCTGCACTTGGGGTGTTCAAAGGAAATACTATATCTTGTTTAGTATACTTGATTGTTTTGTAAAATTCAGAGTTCTTTCCTCTATACAAAAGTATCATTAATCTTGTCATATATTAGTTGGGTATAAAGGCCATAATTTACAGGTTACTGTAGTTTGATAATAAACAGGGAAATATAAAGTTCCTTCAACGTGTTATTGTCTATCTCTACATAAATGAGTGAAAAATTCTCTCCCATGTTTAATCGCCTGTGTACTATATTTGTTTAGTGTGAAGGCCAGGGCAGAAAGTACATTGACTCAGAAGTTACAAGATCTATACAACACAATTAAAGACCATGCAGACAAGGACAGAATTCTTTCAACTCTCTTCTTAAGGCTGCCAACTAAACAGGTGTGTAGATTCAGGACTTTTACCTCAGTCATTTTTGATTTATGCAAACTGTAAGGTGGTCGTAGCTTCCCTAAATCGAGAGAAATATTCAGCATAGAATATAGGGAGTAGCAGTACGATGTAGGTTTCTATATCGATTGTATCATGCATCATACTGTAGATGAAACACAGGGTTCAATGGAGCAACTTGATGCTTGTACCCTGTTGAAAATTACATGCCACTTTGTCGAAAATATGCTTGCAGAAAATGATGAAATACTATAAAGGATGAAACTGTGTTATTTTGATCAAAATAGGTAACACTGGCAAAAAGAATTACTGTTCCTTCATTATTTTACTTTTATACCTTTCAGGAGTATCCAAACTACTATGACATCATAAAGAAGCCTATTGACATGAGTCGCATTCAGCAAAGGATTTTGTGTAAACATTACGACAACATTGATGACCTTGCGGCTGATTTTGCTCAGATGTTTGACAATGCTTGCAAGTTCAATGAGCCAAACTCAATGGTATATAAGGTAAACTATCATTCATTTATAGTGTAACTAGTCTTTTTATTGCACTTTTTATTGCACTTTTTTAAGTGCTATTGGGCAGACTCCACATAAATTCAAAATACAAAGAAAACCCCTGTATCCTTTATCATTCACTATCATCAAACCTGATCCCTTACCAGAAGTATTACAGTTCATTTCAGTAGAAAAGCGTTTACTTGTACTCTATGTTAATTTTTTCGTTGTCACCCCAGGATGCATTGACACTACAACGTGTGATGCTGGAGAAAAAGGCGGAGCTCCTCCAAGATGATGACTCTAGTGAGGTACCGGACACACGAGCCTTCATCCAGGACTTTCTCACCAATCTGTTCGTCTCGACTTACAACCACCAGGATGAAGAGGGACGTTCTTTCAGCGACTCTTTTGCAGAAATACCTAAACAAACAGCAGATGGCTTGGAAATAAAGTAGGCATTTATTTTGTTCGATAGTTCAGATTATTTGTTTACTGGTAGCTGACAACAATTTCAATTCAGATTTCATGCATTTTCTATTTCTCCATCATGAATACATCTGCAAATGTTATTGGTAATTTTCTGAGCAGCCATATTGAAATCTGTTAGTGATATTATCTTTTATTTTTTCAAATTAATTTAATAGTATATTTGTATTAGCAAAACTGAAGGTTGAGAAAATAGGGACATATTTTACCAAAATTTATATCAAGATTTTCTGACATATTTATATATTTCTGTATACCAAGTGTCTTCAGGATTAACATAAGGATGCCATTTCAAATCAGGACACTGTTGTTCAAGTGAATTTGAGCTGAGCTACTATATAGATTTATAAAAGATGTTGCACTCAATATGGCCATGTATACGAGGAATATTAAAGAGAGTTAGAGCAAATAGTGCATTACTTCTGGGACATACAACCCTCGTACTACATTTATTTGATAAGGTTTTATGTTATTTGGATTCATGCAATTTCTTTCTTTTAACAGGCCAGTCCCATCATTTGAGAGATTGAAGAAGAATCTCGATAAAGGCTGCTATAGACGTGTGGATAAGTTCCAGGAAGACATGTTTGAAGTGTTTGAGCATGCTCGTAGGTGCAGTCGTACTGATTCTCAGGTAGGTTTGTTTTTATCACACAATAGATCTTGAAGATGGTTATTTACTTGGTGGGTTGGTGATTATATTTTTGGCATTTTGCTGAAAGATTTTTACTTTTTTAGGTGCAGTATTTTTTAAATGTGTTCCTTGAACTTGATGTATTAATTCCAATATCATTTTATGAAAACTAATGAACAAATGAACGCAAGAACGCAACAATGAAAATGTCTAAAACAAATATTTCATTCTAGCTCTATGAAGACTCTGTGGACCTTCAACAGTACTTCATGAAAATCAGAGATGAACTCTGCAAAAATGGTGAGACTTTGTTGACGCCTGCACTAAGTTACACAGAGCGCCATCTACAGCTTGCTCTTGAAAAGGAGAAAGAAGAAAAGCTGCCACTTGAGATGAAAGAGGATGAAGAAAAGAAATTGGCCGATGAAAAAAGCCAGCAAAATGGTGAAAACAAGGTAATTATGAATCCAAGTAATTTTCATATGATGATATTTCTGCTACATATAAGTTTAGTGCAACTCAGGGCGTGGTTATTCTGTACAGTCTATTGAGTTATTAAGTAAAATGTGAAAAATGTTGTGCTTTAAATTGTTCAGTTTGTAAAGTGAATGTGTACCTAGTTCATTTGTTAAAAAGGATTATATTTTTAAGTTAATTGCTATAGAGTATGATCGCAGCTTGTCATGAAAGTATATGCATGTTAAATGGCATGTAGCCTACCAAATCCCACCTCAATGTCTGTAGATTATATCATGTTTGTCATGTTTAAAAAAGATTTAAAAAAGATTGGAATTGGCAAGGAATAGTGTAACCATGTCCATAGTCGACAGTCTTTGTAGAAATTCATGAAATTTTATTACAAATTCATGAATTTTTTTTTTAATTCGAGAAAAAAATGACATTGAATAAACATGACCAGCAAGATTTTTCTGAAAATAATCTAAAAATAATTTTATTGTGGTAAAGAACAGTAGAAATGCTAGGTCTTTACCTTATATATTCATCTTATTAGATCAGAACTTAACAATAGATACATCAGGTGTAGGTGTTAATATTGATTTTAGAAGTAAATATTGGTAGATATTCTTTTAATCTCATACTGGATGGGATTTGAGGTAGATAATGATTGGGTACATTAATGTTTTTTGAAGGTGGGGAATATTTTATATCCTACTTTCCTATCAGGCAATAACCCTAGAAACTTTAGCTGAATACACGCACAAACCAGAAAATGAGTTATGACAGCAAACAATGTAATGGAGTCCTTATCATATTTTTTCTATTTCTTAATGGTGAATACGTTTTATCTGTTGAGTGTATTGCATTTATACAGCCTTGCTCCTGGATATAATCTATTTAGCTTTTAAAAAACTGAACACTTTGTGCCAAGTCAAAGAGAACTAATGGTTTGTGGGGGATGGTTCCTTATAGTCTGTAGTGTCTTAAGTACAAGCTGCTCATTTACCAGTAGACTATTCTAATAACCAGCACATCATTTTATTTCATAAAAGATAAGCTAGGGATGAAATTAACTCAGGGGTCCATTTTTGGAACCATCATAACTTATGATTTGGTGGCATGTCATTGTTCTTCAAAAAGAGGACAATGGTTTTCTAGGAATCATAAGTTATTATTCGACCAAAAAGAACCCCATAGTAACATTATTTCCCTCAATTTAGTTTTCTAAACCACCAAGGGCTATAATCTTTTCCCTTAAAATGGCTTGATCTTAAACTAATATCTTACAATATATCAGTATAACAAGCATGATGATCTGTATTCTGCACCATTAATCATTCTGATACTTTAACCAATCTCTACTTTGGCAACTAGAGAGAAACTGAAAGTGATCTCTCATAATGAGCTTCAATAGACTCTGGTACATATCATCTTTTCTGTAAATGTCAAAGTTTGATAAAAAATGCTAACAAAAATTAATTTCTTCAAACTTTGATATTTTGAGGGTTGTATCGTTAGTCTATTGTGAGTTATAGGTTCCTGTCATTTTATTTTCTAGGTAGTTAAGGTTGAGCCATTTAAAGAGTTAAACCAAAATAAGATTTTAGAAACTCGGTTAGGCTAGTTCCTTTGTATCATATGCTACTTATAGCTGTTATTAAAATGCAATGGTGATCGTGCTTTGAAAATGAAAAGTAAAAAAAAGAATAAAGTAAAGAAACAGAAATAAATTGTGTAATTTGTTTTGAAGGAAATACTAAATGAGTAATCTCCTCATGTTTTCTCTCACAAGGCTGAAAACCCCCTAGTTTTACCTATTTTGGTCGCAATATTTTGATGTTTCATCGTTTTGACATGGTGCAAACAGATTTTCAACAGGATGGTATGAAAATTTCAAATTTTTAACAGGGTGCAGCAAATGGTAACTCAAATGATGGGGAGATCACTTCCAATTGATAATAAGAATCTTCATTCAAATTATAAAGAGAATGAAGTTTCTGAGCATGATCAGATTGGTATTTTAATGCATGGGCTAACGACAGCCTCATCCTCATCAACTTGGGTGGTGTCACTAACACACATTATCTCATTGTGAAAATTGCTTAAAGATAATCTTGTGCTTTCTCTTTTTTTAAGATACATTCAATGTTAATGGTAAGTCATCCTTCTTGCTAGATATCAGTGTTTAGCTTTTTTCTATTACTTTATGCATTTTTGTATGGATGCCAATTTTAGATTTTTCATAGTTTTTTATCATCCAGATTTTTGTTGCGCAGGCTCTTTTCTCATCGCATGTAAGCAGTAGTATTTTATCGTAGCTGCCATTTGTTTTAGATTTATTTTGTTATGTAACAAAATATTGTGCCTGTTTTTGTAAGTTACATTTGGTTCCATGTTTACTGTTTCATTTTGGTTATGAAATTTCATTGCCTTTTTTGTTGCAGAGTTTTTCAAGTTTTATTGTTTGTTGTTTATTTGTTGACATTATGAATTTTCTACTCTAAAATACATTTTATTTTAGGAGTATTTTTTATAATTTTGTAATAATTCTTCAGAAAGAGCTCACTGTATCAGAAATATTCAAGTATTTTATACATGAATTAATTATTAAAGCCATCCAAAAGTCATCAAACCTTGAGTTGAACTACTTCATTTCTCTATCTTTCAAGTTAAAATAAGCTTTTATGATTGATATAAGATCATTAAACATCGATGGATAACACAGGTATAAAATACTTAAAGGCCCCGTGCAAAGATTGAAAATATCATTCAAACACTACTTTTCGTAATTTGAAAAATTATTTCAGGCATTTTTGGAAAAAAAGTTCTCCATCGTATAATTTTCAAATATTTGATTATGAATTTATCGCCATTTTAGAAACAAACATTTATATTTTTTAGTTCATCAAGTACAGCACTTAATACTCTTTGGAATTTTTATGTACTATTGGATTCAGTGAAAACTAATATTTAAAAATGCTTTTTTATGTGAGCCACTTTTCTGAGCTTTTGAGTGAATTTCTTATTTTTCAACCAATTTTTTCGACACAAAATAAATATTGCTTTACAATGTATGTGCATGCCAACTTAAATTTGATTCAAAATAAAAGCAAATAGTTCTTCAAAACCAGCCTTTTGAAATCAAATTGAAAAGCTTCACATACCACATTTTAATAACATTTGGTAGGACTATTATATGAGCCAAAGAGGTTTAGACTTTACATGGGGCCTTTAAATAGTGGTCTGAAGCTCATAATATGCTATATGGTCTTTGTTACTGTTAAATAAAAGTTTAAGTATATATACAAGTATTAAATTATATTATATGATGATGTTTTCTAGAATGGTGATAGCCAGGTTGAAAGTGTGAGCCACAAAGATCAAAGTTACAATGTGGGAGATTATGTCTATATAGAACCGAGGTATGTTGTGGAAATTTCTCTCAACATAAGAGAAAAGATTTCATCAAAAATTTGTGTGTGGGATACTATTTCAGCAAAAAGTGTCATAAGTGGAAAGATCAATTTTTAAAGGAGGGTACTAATTAGAGAAAGGTACTAATTAAAAGGAAGGTACTAATTCAGTGATTTCAGTCTGAGGGAATCAATAAATGTTGAATAAGTCAGGGAGAGAGAATTATTATGTCTTGGAACAAGTTCGATATGTTGACATGGTCCCTAGATTCAGTTCACATACTAATTGTTTACTAAACAAACTTTTGTTTTTAAATATCAGGGAAAAAGGTCTAGAACCTCACATAGTGCTCATAGAGAAGTTATGGCGAGACAACAATGGCGAACCCTGGTTGCATGGAATCTGGTTCTACAGGCCTAGTGAGACATTCCATGTTGCGACTCGCAAGTTCTTGCAAAAGGTAAAATATTAGAAGATGCAATATCTCAAGAAAACCTTTTTCTGGAACATTAATGAGTTGAAGCTTGTTAATATATAAACAATAGTCAAACCTAAAATTTGAATGATATTCTGAGATCTATGTATTGTTTTGTAAATTAATATGTTCTTGAGAAATATTAATAGAAATACATGATGTGCTTGAATATGTTCTTATAGGAGGTGTTCAAGAGTGACTTCACAGACAGCGTGGCCTTCAACAAGGTCATCAGCAAATGTTATGTCATGTTTGTGAAGGATTACTTTAAGATGAAACCAATGGTATGTAAACACTACTCCAATGTCTGTTATAAATTATTAATCATAATATAAGATCACTAATTAAAAGTCAATGTTCACTGAAGGTTAATATTTAAAAAAATAGCTAATCAATGAATCTGCGACAAAGTCTGATTTTTGGAATATCATTTTTACATATTTATTGTAGGGCTTTGAGGAGCAAGATGTTTGGATCTGTGAATCTCGTTATACAGCCAGAACAAAATCTTTCAAGAAGATCAAGGTAAAATAATGTGGTAAAAACTTCCGTAAAATGGTATGTTTGAGGTAACCATAGTTATAAACTAATTATAAATCGTCCTTCAAGTGAAAGTAATTGCCTCATACGCAAGCAGACCAAGATTTGCTTTTTGAGTGCAAAACATACCCAAGAATGAGAGAAAGTGTGATTTCAGTTTCATTGAAGCATTCATAGGTCTAAATCTGAAACCTAATCTTGACTTTTGTGAAAGGGAATTTTTATTTTCTTTATAATATTTATTTTGTTCCAACTTCAATTTGTGTATGTAGGTCACAAATTGACCTTTATTCTTTCTTATACACTTTTGCACCATAGAACATGAACTTTTATTTTCTACATATTTTGTTTCATAGTTATGGCCTAAGAGTGATAATGTGACAATGGTAGATAGGATGGTACCTATAGTTGCTGTGCGTGTGGCATCAATATTTGCCGACAAGACCCCTCAGAAGGTCGAAGAGGAAGAAGATAATCTCACAGAGTTTGCAATCTTAGATAGGAAGAGAGAGGTAAATAATGGTATTTTTAAATATAGAATTTGCACCACCAAAAAGTTTATTTATAAGAAAGACAGCATAAGAAATCATTATATTTCTGTAACTGTAACCAGGTTGTGACATTTTTTCATGTTATCTTGTTCAATTTTTAAATTGAGTTTTTTTATTTTAGCATACATGCATGTACATGTATATTAAAGTGATATTGATGCAATACATTACCTCTATTTACAAAACAAACATAGAAAAATATGTGAATGCTAACTTTTGTATGTGCACTGTTTTTGAAAACGTTTCCTGAGAATTTTAAACAATTTACAATGAAAATTACTCAGACCCAAGATATAAAGTTCTCCCTAGTATGATGGCACAAAATACAATATATACAGAATAGTATAAGACAGACATTACAACTCAATACATGTTATCCATTATCCCTGCAGAATGTGCCTGTGAATGTGCCAGATGGTGAAGAAGGTTGCACTTACTATGAACAGTACCTTATAGCAGCTGGTTGTATGAAACTGGGTGACTTTGTATATGTGAAGTCATATGAGAGTCGTCCCTACATTGCCAGAATAGACAGAATGTGGCTCGACAAAAGGTGGGGAAGATGTTATAAATGTCATGATTTATGTTTTGTTATAGGAGTGTATAAAAACAGAATTAGCAAAGAATGAATTTAACAGGCACGAAGGTGATCTTCCATGTTGTATAGCATTAGCAAAAAATAAGGCAGTTCATTCTTTTTGAGAGAGATATAGGTAAATATGCTTGATCAAAATGATGCTTATGATAACTAAACTGGCAAGAGGTTAATTTGTTTGTTTTTAGAAAGTATCTTTTGTGTCATAGTGCAATTTTTGCCTTGGTAATAATTAGGAAAATGTGTTTAAGATTAATAAGCAATGTATTACACGATTTAACACTGCATATATTTATTCTCTATAGCAACGAGCCTCATTTCCGTGGCCCCTGGTACATTCGCCCCAGTGAGGTCGAGCATGAACCAACAAGACTCTTCTACCGCAGGGAACTCTTCAAAAGCTCTGTGGAGGATACTAATCCCATGTCAAGTATTATGGGTAAGTACCTGGAGTATGTCTTGGGATTTTATTATTTGGAAACATGAAAAGTAGATCTACATCAATCTGCTCTCTACAGAAATATACTGAAAAGAAGGAGGTTAGGATCAGTTATTTTGAAAGCCAATCATGGAATCCTGTGCTAAGTGCTGATGTGAAAATCACTCTACCCCAGCGAGATTTGAAGTACCGGCCGGCAGCTTCTCTTTTATGCTACTCATAGGAGCACAATAATGTGTGAATTTAGTGTGAAACATATAAGAGCTCCTTAGACATAACCATTGTCTAGTTGTATATCACCTGGTACACTACATATACAAATACATGTATTGCAATGTCATAATGTTATACTCTCTATGTTCTGTCTTCAGGTAAATGTCTTGTGCTCTCTTACAAGGATTATTGCTCCAAGAGATTAACTGAAATCCCAGAGAGTGATGTATACATCTGTGAATCAAAGTACATTGAAGCTGAGAAAATCATTAGAAAACACACCAAGGGAGCAGGCATGAAAGTAGGTGTAATCTGCTGTGTCCATCTCTAATATAGGGTGACACAAAAATGCGTCTTATATAATGTTGCATAACTTTTTTATCTGCATGAATTCTGACTTGTTAATTAGCACATTAAAAGTAGACTCCATGGAGCAACTCCACAAGAAGTTATGTGGGTGGCATTTTTAATGTAATCCTCTATAATAGGACCCAATTCTTATGAAAATGTTGAATTTAACTAAAATCCAAACCTTCTTAAAAATGAATATTTTATTACATTGTTGTGTGTATAAATAGTTCCCACAAAATCAACTTAATTTTGTAATTCCTTAATTAGTACATATTTCTTATCACTTGATAGTTACACAATACCATATCAAGGGTTCCTTATTTTTCCACCATCCTGTATGTCACCTGCAATTAGCCAATTTAAATGTTGGTATTATCTGATGTTGCTGTAGTGGTTAATTAGATGAAATCTTAGTTTGTAAATGTGAGATGGAAAAGTTAATGAGATGGGAACAGTGACATTATAATTAAGAAGTTTGAATAAACAGGTAAAAGAAACAAAAAAGAGTGAGGAGACAGCTAGGTAGATATACCCATTAATTATATATTTACAGGTAATCATGATAAAAAGGAAAGATTTTAGAGACATTTCATAAGAATTTATGAATATTCTCTTGAGTATGTATAAATTGATGGTTCTAACATCTTTAACATCTTTTTGTTTCTAACCAACAAAAATTATTTCCAGAAGTATAATGCATCAAAACAGGTGATCGATGATGAGGTCTTGTTCTTCAAGAAACACATCGTACCAAAGAAGGTTTGTAAAATTAAGTTTACCACCTATAATTGTAATGGTATGCTGGACATGTTATTGGGAAGTTGTGTTTTGTTATGTTCAGATTGAAATGTTTGTTAATTTATAATGTTGTGTTTGGATTAAAATGTTTCTTTATTTTATAACGGTGCTTTGTGTTCAGATAGAAATGTTTTGTTTATTTTATATTGTTATGTTGTGTTTAGATTGTTTGTTAATTAATAATGTTGTGTTGAAATTCAGATTGAAAGGTTCTGTTTATTCCGTAATGCTCGTTGTGTTCAAATTGAATGTTTATCTTAAAATGTTTTGGATTAAAATGTTTTATTTGTAAAATTTGGTGTTCAGATTGAAATGTTTTGTTTGTTTTCTAATATTGTGTTGTGTCTCGATTGAAATGTTCATTTTATAATGTTGTGTTGTCAAATTGAAATATTGTTCATTTAATAATGTTATGTTGTGTTCATATTGAAATAATCTGTTCATTTTATAATTGTATGTTCAGTTTCCATAAGGGTATGTTGTGTTAAGTTTTGAAGTCATGATAAGTTAATGTTATATTGTCAACTTTTACGAGGCCTGTCACAGAAGTAACGTAAAATTTCAGCTGAATTGAAGAATATTAAAGAAAGTTAGAGCATATAGTGCATTACTTCTGGGACAACCCTCGTATAGTTACAATTATCACTTGTTAAAATCCAACTAACCATTCTATAGTTAATTCAATTGTCATATTACAGGAGTCCTCCCCTCTCCTGGCTCAGGCCCAGACTGCTGGCTCTGAGTTCAGTGCCAACATGAATGACGATTCTATGGACATGTCTATGATGTCTGTGGACTCCACCTACCAACAATCTGACTCGCAGTCAGCCTACTCCCAGGATGCTCAGTATAACGCTTCCTTTTCCGGTCCTAACTTCCCCCAAGCCAATTTCCAGAATCAGGCTCTACCCACTTCTTACCAAGCTCAGACTTACCCAACACAACAGAGCGGATACCCCACAGATCAGGCAGCCTATCCACAACAAGGTCAGGTGTATCAGCAGGGGCAGACCTACCAGCAAAACCAGAACTACCAGCAAAATCAGAACTATCAGCAACACCAGAACTATCAACAACAGCCAAACCAAAATTACCAAGATCCTAACCAATCCTATCAGCAAAATTTTGGAAATCAAAGTTTTGGAAATCAGAGTTTCAATCAAAGTTTCAATGATAGTGGCTATATGTACAGTAATAATACTAACCCAATGCCCCCACCTGCTGAGGAGCCACCAGCACCTGTGGAGAAACCTGCGCCAAAGAAGGTATGTTTTGAAGTTGTCACTTTTCAGTGGATATATTAGACATTGGATAAGTTTTATACCTTTAAATAAATTTTGTCATAATTTAAGATTTTTGTGCAGTTAAAATTATTTGCACATATGAAAAATTTTCATAATTTGTAAACAAATCAGTTAGAAAATATTTAGTACATTGGTAGATAAATTGTATAATAATTTTGTACTGGCAAAGTGATATTGTATATATATTGTACTTATATTGACTGCAAGTATGAATTGTGTATTTAATGATGTTTTCAGTATTTAAAAAAAAAAAATTACTGGTATCATTTAAAAATCTTTTTAACTCAAATCTTATTTGACAATGTATGATATTCTGGAATTTCAAAACATCAATCCTGCATACTGTATATTCTGACCACAAAACTACTGTAAAATGTGCAGATTTACTTTATCTGTTATTTATCAGTGTAAGGGGTCTGCTAATTGTAATGTATATATTCTGTAGAGAATATGTAAATGTAATGTATAGAATCCTAGAGGGTCATAATGGTACTTATTCACTGTTACCTTCTAGGTTAAAAAAATAATTAAAAAAGGGGGTCTGCCTCTCAACCAATTCTCAAAAATGCAAAAATAAAAATGCATTGCATTACTCTTATGGGTTTACGGGATCTGAATATATTTACTCTTAATGGACTGTAGCATGGTCATCTCACATAAATTATAGGCTCCAACCAATAAAATTTCCCATGCTTTTAAATACCAAAGACAATGTTCATGGTTATGAGGTTGAAAAAAAGAAGCAATACTATATACAATGGAGGCATGATTTATGTGGAGTGAAAATGGTTCATGTATTTCTCCCAACTTTTCATTGAAACTGTATATATTATATTGGCATTCATTTACAGAGACGTTCAAAGAAAGGACCTAGTGGTTACATTTTATATTCAGCGGAATGCAGAAAACCAATTCAGGATGAATTTCCAGAAATGGACTTTGGCGGCATTAGCAAAGTTGTTGGCGAGAGGGTGGGTGAATGTAGCTTAGATGCATGGAACGGCATGCCACATACTCGTAGACCCCATGCATTATTATGGCACCAGCATCGTGGATTTATTTGGCCAGATTGTTTTGTCGTTTTTATTGTTGTTTATATATTTTTGTAGGGTATCTTTACTGGATGTTGGATGTATTTTGTATACAGGCTGTCCCATAGTTATTGTGACACCCTGAATTATTGTTTTCTCCTGCATGTTGTCAGCATATGGAATGTTTTAAGACCTGTTGAATTATATGAAACATTTAGCCTATTACCCAATTCGTGGTTGATTGTTTTAATATGTTTGTTGAAACATTCCCTATGTCTAACTGTCTAGTGGTTTTAATAATATTTTAGTGGACAATATTTTGTCGTAGCTTTGCATGTATCAGGCTTGTCATTTGAATATATATCACAATCAAGAAAAAATCACAGCCATCAGCATATTGAAATTTCTGAAACATAGTTTCCTTTTCATGATTCTCTACTTTCTCTGGACCATGATGCTAGTTCATTGAGTCGAATAAAAGATTATATTATGAAAATTGCTCATCTGAGGGGCCTGATTTAGAATATCGTCACATATTTTGTTTTAGTCACGTCGTAAAGGTCTCATCAGTGGTTACTTATGTTTCGCTGCGGAGTTACGCAAGTTTCATACTGCCAAACAAGACACTGATATGTCGTTTGGTGAAATGAGTAAATATATAGGGGAGAAGGTAACAACCCTAAATATGAATGGCTTCTTATTTCACTCAATCTTGGAGGGGCAGATACTCAAAGAATGCTCTGAAACTTGTTCCTCCAACATTTAGTGATTCTAAGTATTTAAGTTCTTTATGCATTGCATTCCTGTCTGATTGATTTTATAATAATGTTGTCCTTTGCTTGGTAGACTTTGTGTGTTCTCCAGTGTTTCTCCCTCCCTCAAATATCCCCCTTGGTGTATTAATGCTGAAGGGCATTTTGATATTCTGGAAAAGAATGCAGATTTTAAAACTCCACGCAAAATGTGATATAAGATACGAAACCAAAAAGCAGTTGAGGCAATGGCAGCCAAATTTTGCAAATTCTACCAATGCATTATTATACCTTCCCTTCCCTGGTAATGTTGTTGTTACCTTTAGATAGGATTATTTAGGCCAATCTTATGATTCTCCAAAAATACAAGGCTCATCCTTTTATAAATAATATTTTTAGAACATCGTATCTCTTAACAAAATGTTAATGAAAATATGTTCCTAATTTTGATTTTGGTGTTCTTATTTTATGTTTTTCAACCATGAAAGGATAAGCCTTGTATGGGAAATCAGAAATGAATGCAGTATCTGTCTGTGTGTTTGTCTTATGTGTACATGTATGTGAGTGTACATCAATGTTGTAATCTCCCATAATGCATCTGAGTTAGCAGACGGTTGTTGTCACGTCCAGTTATTTGTTGTAGCGCGGCCGTAAGAAAGGGCATGGCCCAAGTGGATATCTTATATTTTCTGGTGAATCAAGACAGGGTATTCGGGAAAGCGACCCAAATCTCTCTTTTGGCGATATTAGCAAATTGATTGGAGAGCAGGTATAGTGTGTGAGGTGCAGGTCTGCTGTGACAAACATAACCACGTCTAAAATGATACTCTCGTATATAGTAGCTACCTTCATGTCCATTCACAGTATTGCTTATGTCATAATACTTATATAATTGGCTTTTTGTTGAGCAACATTTCCAAATTCATCATTAATGATATTCAAAAATCCCTTTGTTCATTTTTAATATAATATGTAAAAGGTCAGTACATAAAGGTAGCTACAAATTCTAGATCAATGGAGGTTGCTTCCCAGCTATATTAGGATGTTATGGGTGGGATGACTGGGATAAAAAAGCTCATCTGACAAAACCTACTGGGATGATACCTCTTTTGACAAAACCTACTGGGATGATACCTCTTTTGACAAAACCTACTGAGATGATACCTCTTTTGACAAAACCTACTGGTATGATACATCTTTTGACAAAACCATCTGGGATGATACCTCTTCTGACAAACCATTTGGGATGATACCTTTTCTGAAAAATAAATTTATGGGGATAAAACCTCCTTTGATCTACATTGTGTCATAATACAACTATATAGAGATGACCTCTCCACTAATACCTTGAAGTGACTTTTTAGTCTGCTGATCTTATACTATTGTATGATGGGAAGGTACCTGTCCTGTCTTTTAACATACTGTACATGTTCAGTGTTGACTACTTATACACATCATTTCCACTTGTCATATATGTGTAAACCTTATACACGAAGCAGATTTTTGCTCTCTTCAGCAATAGATTAAATAAAGAAGGTTAATAAACTGATAAAAAAATATGCCTTTATGGTTAACTCAATGACAAAAATAATTGAAGTCTCGTCATTTTTATTCCCATTTGCTTAAATCCAACATTTTCTTGTTCCAACATTAATTTTTTGTTAAATGTACTCCAACTTATGTATTGAACAAATGCCAAGTCAGAGTAATTAGGGTGGAGCTCTACAATAATAACCCTAATTCTTGTCCAGTATGTTACTATAGTTACTAAGAAAAGTCAACACTGAACTTATCTATCAACTATTGTAGTCAGATTTGGTCAACTTGATTAACAAAACAGAGTTTTCTTCACGTAACACAAGAAATATTCAATTTTACAAAGTACATGTTGGGATCTTTGTATGCATTATACTCAGCCAGAAGTCAGGAAGTAAGTATAATTCCCTGAGTTGAGGAGAAATATCAGCACTGGTATTCACAACATTTTCCATATGGTCATGTATGGTATTCCCAACATTTTCCAAATGGTCATGTACGGTATTCCCAACATTTTCTCTATGGTCATGTACGGTATTCCCAACATTTTCTATATGGTCATCTACGGTATTCCCAACATTTTCCATATGAACAAATCATTCCTTCTAGTTAACAAGGGAGGACCTATGTGCATTGAATTGAAGTATAGTAGACCTCTGGAGAACCACAGCTTCATCTTGAAAATATTTGGTTCTAAAGACTGATTTGTTTTGATAAAGAAAGACTGAATGGTTTTGATAATACCCCTGTATGTGAGAGCTTTCATTATTTCATTAAGATAAGCACATGAATACCCCCCCCCCTCCCCCATTGCAAATTCCCCAAATACATGTATATTGAATCATTCTATGCGCCTTTAGCACTTATAATTAAGCCTTCTGTTTGATTCAGTAGATTTCTTATTATTCGCTTAACAAATTGAATCTTAAAAATGAAAATGCTAATGATTTTCAATTTTAGAATGATCACAGTAATTGGTAAAAATAATTGTTATTTGATTGTCTTTATTAAGTGTATATTATATCAAAAAAAGTTTAGTCTATTGAATTTTTCTTTTGAGTTTAATATAAAGTATCCTGTCTGTAGATTTAAGTATAACATAAATACATACCTAAATTTTTATCAGAAATGTATTGCATGTATTATAATAAGTATTAAAGTATTTTAGTCTGTTTAATTTTCTAGCCTTGTGTCAAAATCCATATATCTTCAATGTCCTTGATGTTTTATTCTATTGTATTCTTAGTGGCGTGGCTTAGAGAAATCAGAAAAGGAACGTTATGAGGAGCGTGCAAAGAAAATCTGCGAAGAGCAAGCCCAGAAAGAGGCTGCAAAGGCTGAGGCAGAAAAAGCGCTTCAAGAATCCATTAAAGAAAATCAGCCATACTCCCCGGCATCAGATGTAGGACGTAGCCAATCACCTGCATCTTCAGGAGGTAGGGTGACACCTGGTAGCCAACAAGGCGAATATATTCATGAATCAAAATATTCCAAAATCATTATGTTTAGGTTGTAAGGGAAAATGCCAATATATAAATGTGGGTCATGTAAGTAATAATGTTTAGGGGACGGTTAAAAGTTCGATTCATTTTCTTCAGGTATGCGTTTTGGGAAGGGGGGCAATCTGTTATGTAATTAATTACTTTTAAGGACAACGCGACATGGCCCCTTTCATATACTTTGTAAAGTCACCTCTGGGATTGTTCTCAGAGGAGGGTTTCAAGGAAAATTCAAAACTTGAAGAAATCTTCCAACTTCAAAATGATTCTGAATAATGTCCTCCATATTGTTTTTGTCATTTAGTAGGTGTCCATGGCAACTTCCAACAACAGCCACCACAGCAACAGTTTCAGCAACAGTATCATACTGGAAATACCACTCAGCAGCAAATGCCTGTTCAAACACAGCAAGGTGAGCATTAGTCATGTCATGATAATTTATAAAAAAATTAAATAGGGTTCGACAATCTCATTATTTTAAATGATATATTCGAAACAGTAGAAAAGGGTTGAATTGTCTTGGAATAAGGTGAACAAGGTGCGGAGAGGACAAACTCAATAAATCATGTGGCAATTTTATTCGTTTGAATTGCAGTCCAACAATGCATGGATTTACCCTTTTGATTTGTATTGTTGCACGATTTGTTATTTTTGTGATGATTTATGTTATTGTTGTACCATCTCAGTATTTATATTGTAAATTAGTTTGTATATCTTGAACGTGATTTTTGTTTCTTTTTGCTATTGATATTCTACTAGAAATATGGGATTTGCACATTTACTCAAAGCATTTTACCAAAAGTTTGTGAGAAATATAGTTGTAATAGTGGACTTATTTTTTATATAAAGCCTTTCGGTACAATGCTCCGGAGTATGATGCGGTTTAGCTTAAGTTAAATGTTGGAATAAATGTTTGCACGTTTTTACATGTATATATAGACTATATATGTAGTTATTATCCCCTGTGTTATGTTTAGTTTACACTGATTGACAAATGACATGCAAACATAGACCGTTTTCATGATAAACTTGTCATGATTATTTGTCATGTGATTTGTCACCCTGTTCCCCTCCCCTACTCAGCCCTACTTTTGAGAGACTCACAATTATAGATCTATACATATATTTTGGAAACTTTGATTTGGATTATCTCCTAAATTATTATGTATATGAGAGCACATTGAACAAATGGAATTTTAAACTTGTGAAAATTTGTATCCAAATGTATTTGAAGGGAGGGAGGGGGTTAGATATTTCTCTCATCTGTAGGATTGAGTATTTATATTCTGGTGGAAATGTTATGCTGGTCATGCTTTGAAATATAACAAAAGTGGAAAAGAGTGGAATAAGCAAGAAAAAAATAGAATGGGCATGTAGTAGTGAAGTACACACCAAATTAATGCGGAATAATGTGGAATCAAAGCATGACCAGAGGACGTTGTATAGGATAGAGTATATGTTTCGGTGCATCCTAGTTACTCCTATTTTGTTTAGGTGCAATGGTCATGTCTCCCATGCAGGGTGCCTACCCCCCATCTTATGTAATGCCACCCCCTGGGGTCGCTCAAATGCCACCCCCTATGCCAATGGGGGTGACTCAGACCCGCATGCCTAATATGGGAACCAGTCAAACTAACCAGTCTAGCCCTCAACATGCATGTGTTCCCATGGCAACCAATCCACACCAAACCTCTCATTTAGAGCAAGGTAGTTAATTTTTTATAATTTATTAATTTTTGCTTATTTTCTTTTTTTGGATGATCATTAGTGGATACCCAGTCATATGTCACCTGATGCAGGCACATTTCTTGAATTGTCACCTGATGCAGGCACATTTCTTGAATTGTCACCTGATGCAGGCACATTTCTTGAATTGTCACCTGATGCAGGCACATTTCTTGAATTGTCACCTGATCCAGGCACATTTCTTGAATTCTAGCATTTGTTGTTTTGATGCATGAACTCGGAAACATTTTTATGTCACTGGTATAGTTGTTGACACAAATGATCATTTAAAGACAGAAATAATTTCTCATTGTATTTTAAATATTTATTTAGATATGTAAGCATGTGTATTATAGTACAAATGGTGGCCCATTTAGTTATTTTCTATGTTTCACTTTATATTGTACTGTAAGCAACTATTTTGTTGTGTTGTATTTAAGTTGGTTTCTTACCTTATCACTTGGTGATTTGCCTTCAGTAAATGAACTTTCATTTCATTGAATAAATCACTTTTGTTTTATAACTTGTATTTGTCAACACATACCACTTACAGGGTAGTGGTTCCCTAAGAGTGCACATCAACATATCAATTTTTGCAAAAGTAATTTGTTTAATAAAATGGCTCCATCTCTAGCCCAACCATGAAATGCCCCAAAATTAAAAAATTCAGTGTAACAAAAGATGTTTCACTTTTCATTACCTTATAAAGAATCAGACATGAATATTCCCAACCTATGAATCACACTTTAACTCCACATTTAAAAAACTATTTTCCAAAATCGAGACTGAACCACTTAAACTTATGTCATTTCAATTTCTGAATATATTTTTTTTAATTGAGGAGGGTGAATCTAAAGAATTACTTTTGCAAAAATATGTATGATGATCGGCCCCTAAATATTTGGATCTGAATATTTCATTTTCATATTTTAGGTGCAGTGCAGGTGACCCAGCAGCCAATGATGCCCCCACCCAGACCCCCCTCCCCTATGTTTACCTCTGTTCCCCCACGCACTCAGAGGGTGCTTCACTCTGAGGCTTACTTAAGGTTAGTTACATGTATACTGTACAGTGCATTTCATAATATAATACGAAAATTCCATGGACAAGTAAAACAGATTTGTCTGCTTCTTCAATCTAACTTCTTATTACTCTATGATGATATCTAGTTTCACGATCAAAGTAATGTAAAAACAATAAAATAAAAAATTGTACCAAAACATGGTTAAATCAATCCTTATTGGCATTTATATGTAAAACTAGCATTATAGATTGAATTCTTGAAATAGAGACCCTCTTTCAGCTAAGATTTAATTAAATGTAAGTTTTTTTCTGAGATAGGGAAGGAATATTACATATTTACCATTATTTAGAAAATATGTTGATCTACAAAACATTTTTGCCTTTCAGGTATATTGAAGGTCTCACACCTGAGAAAAGGTCTGTTGGCAACTGGGAGAAACAACTCTCCGCTACTCCAGAGAATACACCTGTTAGCAAGAACTCTAGAATGCCAGTTCATTGGCTAGGAGATGGAGTTGGTCCCCATGGCAACTCTGCTAATGCATTGTGGGCATTGCGCGATATGATGATGAAAGATGCATTGAATATTCACCGGACTCTTGAGTTCGATCAACTATAGACCAATGCAGCTGTAGACAGCTGTGTACCTTAACATCTGTAGGCTTTAACAGCAGTACACCATAACAGTATATGAACTGTAAAAGCTGAAAAGCTATGGCCCATAACATATTTATCGTTATAGACTATTCTAGCCATGGGCCATGACAGTTACTGGGTTATAGCTAGGAGCCTACTATAAATATTGCATTAATATGATCTCAACATTAAGATCTTGAATTCTGCGGAACCTGTGTATGATATTTAGGGATGGTTGGTGGAAGATATTTCTTGAATGAGACTATGAATGGTACAAGTTCTTGTATTAGGTTTTATATTCTGAAATCTAGTTTGATACTTGGTTATCAAATGGTAAATTGTGTTTAGCTAAATCTTGCATTTTTGCTACCATATTGATACCAATAAAGGATGTACTGGAATAAAATGAAGCATTCCCAACTTGAAATAAGTTAACCATATGGGTGGTATCTGACCATTATTTATAACCAAGTGTGTTTTATGGGTTGTGGAATATACTATATATTGGTAGCATGTTGGTTTTGAGGTTGGCTCCAAAACTATTATTCTATGTAAATTGCTTAGCTGTTGTACAAAAGGTACAAGGTGACACAAAAAATGTAACCTAATGAATGAAAACAGTCACCATTTCTGTTGACATACTTCAGTCTATATATCTGGCTAGACTGGCAGGTCTTAACTTGTAAAGCTGATATATTAACACTCATTTAAAAGCATACATTGGACTCTTATCTATTGCGCCTTTCGAATACCTGCAGTCAGTTAACAGAATTAGAACCATGTATAAAATCTGCATTATTGGCTTGGGGTATCATTAGAGAAACCTTATTAAGGCTGTAAGGGAGATGTGTATGGAAGAAATCTAGAAATGAGTTTATTTTCCGATGAATTAACGTCTTTAGAATTGTGCCCTAAGTATCAAAACTTGCTTTTTTGATGGACATGATGTGAGAGTATGTTTTTGCAAAATTGAATTGCATCTCAAAATTTCATATCAGCTAAAAAACTAAAACTAAGTGTATCATGGTTCATACATCAAAGAATCTTGTCGAGATAAAAAATAAGAAGATTCTTGATTGAGTTATTTTGAAATGAGTAGATTTTATTTTTTGGGTCACCCTGCACATACATTTTGTAAGTTGCTAGGTGTTTGTAAGTTGCTAGGTGTATGTTTATACAGATATTAATAGTAATTATAGATGTCTAAAATGTTGTTCAATTTTGTTATACTAGTAAGTCTATCATTATTTTGTATTTAAGTATTGTCATAAAATAAAAGTTCATTAAATATTATTACTTAATGTTCTTGGTTTGTAAAATCTGTGCAGGCCTGGTACATTCTGGCAAACACAGGGTATGTGTTTATTCTTCCTTCTTATTTAATCCATTATCCAAAACGGATGATCTGACCTTGTTTTTACCTTATGACCCACTTTCTTACAAAAGTCAATGTTCCCCTGCTATTTTATCAATCTTTCCAATGACAATTTTAGTCATTTCAAACCATTCCCCCGTATTAACATTTCTGTGATATAAGGAAACATTAACAGTAGCTACGAGTATTCCCAAATTCTCGCATCATATTTTGGGGAAAGCATTTCCCTCTACAGCGATCTAAATTAATAATACTGAAGAAAATAAGTACCTGAAGGTAACCTATTGCACGCGATTAATTTTTCCTTGTGTGAAAGAACGTGGTTATAAAAGTATCATAGCGTAAACCCCCACCTACAGTACATGCAATATGGCCCAATGAGACTTTTATCAAATTCTGAAGATGACAAGTCTAAATTGCCACATTGCTTGATGAAAACATCTTTAAACATTCGGTTATGAGCAGGAACATGTAGAGATGCCTTCTTATGATCTTTACTATGGTTTCTATCATGACAGAGATGGTGTTCCGACCATTAACAAATACCCAGTTCTTCACAAGATCATTGAGGCAAACTTGAAGAGCCAGATTACCCATTTAACATGTGGTTGTCTAATTTGGGGGGGGGGAATTATTGGGATGTATTCTGGCATGTCAGCAGTGTCTCTAGTGTATACTTTACTTTACTCTCAATAGTGTTTGTTCTATGCAAATTCATGTATAGTAGATGATTAACCAGAATGTTGTACAATTGGTATCTCAGTTGAAGTACTGTAACGTACCAGGTGAGACGATTGCAGATAAAATGTGGCTTCTTAGTCCGGTCAGGCTCACAATTTAATTGGGGGATTGTAGCTGTTAGAAGTTTAGAGATTATTAAAATGCTATCATAGGATCAATTAGGATTATATAGCACATAGTATTTATTCATCACTGTGGCTTCTGTTTATTTTAAGGAGATTTATATACCGATAAAGGGATTTAACTTATGGTATGGCACATACAATATAGTTTGTTAATATGGGGTGTCAAATGCATACTGTCCCCTGCTACAGTTGAAACCTTAATACTACGAAGATGGAACCTAGTTTGATACACCATTGGAAAGATCATTTAGTTACATTAACTCCAAGTTGCCATGTTTCTAGGTACATGGTCACTTTAATAGATACAATGCAGCAATTTGTGACCTTGATTGGCAGGTTATCAAATATATAGTAGTACCTAGCTTTGAATGATCTTTCCAATGATGTATCACATTTGGTACCATACATTTTGGTTTAAAAGGGGAGTTGGGACTTATTTGACATATACACTAATATTGCACTATAAGGCGACTAGTTTCCAGTCTGCTTGGAAACTCGGTTTCAAAAACAAAAATCTTATAGTTTAAAATTTGAAATCCAAAATGTTTGTTCATTCATGGTTTTCCCATCACAACTTATTGTGATACTGCAAATGGATTTTTAACATACATTCAAATGATCATCTAAAACCGAAATATTTCCTTCTGAGTAAAACACAAACAAATATTTTGCATCAATCTACTGTTTTTTTTATTAATTTTGAATCAAATGTAGTATATTGGCTTATATTTCATATCATACCTCAAAACACTTCAGGAAATATCTAATTGTACAAAAATTGTTGACATCATTTATATTAATTCATTAACAATATATTCACCCCAGGATAAATCTAGGAATTCCGATATTCATATTTTCAGACTTATATAGAAAGATGCAAATAGAATACCCTCTCACTTCAAAGGACTTGATGAGACAATGTACAGCAAGTTTAAAGATATCATGTGGAGGTTCACTTCAAGATCAGAAAAGAGGCCAACTATTCAAAATATAAACTCAAAACACATCATTTTTTCTGCTTTTTCATCAATTTTTTGATGTGAAAGGATATTCTGATTTTTTTGCAGGTGCTATTTAGCCCTATTTTGAGAGTTTGTGGTGGACTATGGTAACATGCTATAAAAATCTTACAGACTGGATTTCATGAATAGGATTCAAGCATCATGATTCATTTCTCATACTCCATTTAACAATTGAAGCGTTAACCCTTATGTATCTTGATTACAGATGAATATAGGTGTGTTGTTATTCAAATGTAAAATAAAGTCTTTCATTTCATGCTAGCTACAGAAGGGTTAATTGAATGCTTATAATATAAATGGCTTGTCTAAGGATTTAGTGTCATAGATTTTGTACTGAAAAATCTAACATTTAATAATTTAATACTTTGTTCATGTAAAACAAGTACACAAGTTTGTTCAATGCTTGAAATAGGATCAAACTGAGAAGCTATTCTCTCAGGAAAAACTGTCCAGTCACAACTCTGGGCTGTCTAAGATGTCATGTAGGTTGCCTAGGTTACTGAGGTGGTGTCCATGGCCACTTGAACACAATACCCTGACCTGGTTCTATATGCATAGACTCTGTGAACTTTACAGTGTGGCCATGATTAAAGTCAGAATTATCGAACATCTCAGAGCGTGTTGCAACTTCAGCATCGACTGGTACCCCGGCAGGTAGATGACGCTTCAACTGAAATGTTGCTGGTTTATCCCCGAGGTTCATAACTGTTAAGAACCCTGGGAAGCCCTCGGCTTGACGTGCGTAGGAGATGATCTCATCATTGACCAGAGCATAGGCAAATTTACCCCATTGGAAGGAAGGTTCTTGACGCAACCGGGTTAGATCGGTGAACACTTCCATGTGGCTACGTCCTGCACCCACACTTTTTGATGTCTGAAATGATACAATATCACTAGATTTATTCTATTGAACTGGTGTAAGATGCATCATGTTGAGCTTTAGCAATTTACCTTGGACTCACTACCACAAAAGTTCTTGATTTTGGGCCCATTTATGCTTGTGCCATATTCTAATAATAGTACCATACAGGTTCATTTTAGATGAACTACACACAAGAGTAGATAAACACCTCACAGAAAAATTTACTTAATAAAAAGTTACTGTATTTCTGTATGAGCTTTCAATGGCTGGAAAATTTGAAAAACACTCACCATGACATTGACCCTTCTGTAGTTGTCTGCTACTGGTAGCCAAGTTGTGTTGCCTTTTGTGAAGCCAGCAAATCTATCTCCGTTCCACTGCATTGGGGTACGAGACCCATCACGGCCTAATTTGTCAACAGGCTTGGCAATCTGAATATAACAAAAATAAAAAAATACACATAAGTAAGATATGCATACAGAAAACGTGTGGTTAAATTGTTGATAAAGCATTGAATCCATTTGGTTCAGTAAAATAACTTTCTGCTCCAGATATTGAATATCAATTGGACTACCCGATGGAATAATAAGAAAGAAATAACACTTACTGCAACATCAGTCATGCCGATCTCATCACCATAGTATATGAAGGGTGTTCCAGGCAGTGTCATCAACAGCATGTTTACAGCATCAATGTACTTCTCACCTTTACGACTAGCCACACGCTTGTTGTTATGTGTACCAACCTAGGAAACAACAAAATAATGTTACTCTAAGTGACTGTATACATATGGTATATACAAATTAAAAATTTTCCAATATTAAAGTAACTACAATATATCAGTGCACTGTGTAAGCGTACTCATAACAAAACAATTATGAATCTATCATACCTATTAAATTATGACTGCAAAAATATGAATTTTCCGAATAAACTTGAGACTTTTTACTGAGATAGTCATATATAATAGAGACCCTTTTAATGTTAACTCACCACCCAATTGTTCCATCTGCCCTCTGGAGCATTATCTACCCAGGCATCAACCAACTGCTGAACACATGTACCCCCACAGCCAGATTTCAACTCCACCAGGTTGTAATTGAATGGCATGTCAGCTCCCTTTGTATCATTAAGTCCCTTGTAATACTTGGCTACAAGCTCTGGTCTGTCATATACCTCAGCCATTAGTACCCTAAATACAAGCAATAATCACGTACAGGTAAACCAAATTACATTGATGCTATTCGATTCACACTACTGCATATTAGAATCTTGAAACTTCTTGACCAAGCTGATTGTCACGATGGCAAGTTATTATATCTTTATTTCCCATAAATGTTGTATAAAAATGATACCATGTTATCATTATGTGCTATACGATGAGTAAGATACTATTGTGGTAAGAAATAGCCAGCCTTATTGCCAAATATCTGTAACATCTGTAATATGAGATTATGCCTGAGAAAAGCAACATGAAGTCAAGGGAACCATTATTAATATCAATAATCACTCACCTGTATCTGCCTTCCCCTGTGTATCCATCCAGAAGAGATCTCCACTTAGCCATCAACTCAAAGGTCTCAGGTTGATGGGTGGTAAGAGTATGCTCCAGTGATTCATATTTCTCCGACTATAAACACAAAATAACACTGAATTAAACACAAGAGAGTCAGCTGAATTAAAATTTAAACCTCATATCTTTTTATCCATTCATGGACATTGTTTGCCTTGAAAAACATAAACACCACCTTGAATAACCTATGAACCAAATATAACGAGGCAATTGGTAACAGCTTGAATTCACCTAATTAAAGTGGCTTACCCACTGATTGCAATTATGATGGCAACTTAACACATGGGTTTAAGTTAGCAATAATTAATTCATATATTTGAAAATGATAAAACTTATATATTTACCCCAGCATTGCCAGCAACTGGTTCATCTGCAGTCAGATCAGCACTCTCATATAGGTGCTTAGCTGCGCTAACACGGAAACCATCGACACCTTTCATCAGCCAGAACTTCAAGATATCTTCAAGCTCTTTCAAAACCTTCTCATTTCGCAGGTTCAGGTCTGGTTGATCAGCAGAAAACTGATGGTAGTAGTACTGGTTTCTGGTGGCGTCAAATGTCCAGGCTGGGCCATCATGTACACTTAGCTGTAACAGAGATCAAAACTCTAAAATAGTTGATAAGGAGCAGATATTATATTGGTCATGTTTTATATAGAAAAGTGTATAAGGATGAAAACTTGAAAGGAATTAAATGTATGTACATGGGTATTAAGTCAACACTAAAATTGCAAAAAGATGGTTCATAAATATTGCCTTGATTTTTACCTCGAAATGTAATGATTTCATTCAAATTTTAGAAAAAAATTGTGTCAAATAAAAAGCCAATTTACCCAGTTGTTTGGTATGTTGTCACTCCATATATAGTAGTCTGAGTACGAGTTATTCTTCCCCTTCTGACTTGCGACAAACCATGGGTGTTTGCGGCTGGTGTGGTTCGGGACAAAGTCCATAATCACACGAAGACCTGAAGAAAAACAAATTATTCTAATATTCATTTTTCTTAAATGGTACATCATTTATATGCATATCCATTGATTATATCTTTAATTATTTGGTACAAATAATCATGTAGTCTTGAACACAACTGTGATTTTGTAGAGCTTATTCCAAGTTTTTAATGCAGTCTCATTGTTTAGTCTAAGTTTTGAATTTGAGGCATTCAGAAATATTTTTCAATTCACCAACTGGAAATGTTTAGCATAAAAAGCACGGATACATACCTGCAGCTTGAAGAGCTGAGAGCATGGTTTTAAAGTCAGCCATGCTACCAAAGGTGACATCAATCTCGGTGTGATTAGTGATGTCATAACCGCCATCTTCCATGGGAGAAGCATAAACAGGAGACAGGTAGACGAATGAGGCATTGATTGACTTCAAGTGGGCAGCCTTCTCTTGAACTCCTACAAACAAAGTAAATGTAAGTTGTCCTTTAATTTGGGTAAGAACAAGACAGATATAACAAAAAGAGACCAATCTAATTAATACTAAACTTGTGCAATGTTCCTACAATGAGGGCCTTATTAAGCATCAAGTACAGGAAAGTTGTACTGGTATTGAAAACATACATAAAAACACATTTAAAGAAAATAAGTCAATCATCCATTTCTTTCAAATGATCTTATATTGAAACATATATAAGCTAACTTTAAACATTATTGTTATTTGAAGCAGGAAAGAGTAGGTTGTATATATTATGTTAATGTTAAGAGGATGATGAAATATCTGGAAAAAACCTCTAAGAGTAGGAGGTTGCATAAATTATGTGAATGCTAAGATGATGCAATATTCGAATAAAACCTCTAAACAACAATTTCATCAAATTCTAAAAATCCTTGTTTTTTAATACATTTCATTTAAATTACCTTTTAGGTCTCCAACACCATCCCCATCAGAGTCCTTGAAACTCTTAGCGTAACACTGGTAGCCGACACCCTTCTGCCACCAGTCCAAGTTCTCCCTAGGTGGGCACTTGGGGGCAAAAACTATGATCAAGATAGCGGCAACAGTCATGCCAATCCATGCCAACCAGAATAGGATGAAGAGAGCATATCGGGTTTTTACCCAAAATGGATCATCAGCAAATTTCAGGAGTTCTTCCTTGCTCATTCCACTGAATGAACTCTCTGAGGAATCACTTGGTTCAATCTGAAAATTGATAATTAAGTTTTGCAAAAATATAGTATTATTTACTCCAGCTCCTGTCCTGATGTATCACTTGTATTATTTCCAGGGTTTGCCAGATGTGACTTTGATCCATCAGGACAGGAGCTGGAGTAAAATTTGTGAACGTCTCATATCAGTCTAATTGTCTAGATTTAACAAATAAAATGGTGAATTATTCATTATAATATCGTAAATCCAAAAATTAACTTTGATGTCTTTCATGGATCACCTAGAGTAGATGACCATAAAAGAAAAAAAGAATTTACCTGAACACTGGAATCGTGATCACCCGCTCCGCCATTGATGAATTTAACCTTGGAGCTGTCCAAATCTGCTCCGATATTCGCTTCATCTGCCTTTTCCAGGTCCTGTTTTTCACTTATATAAGCGTCTGGTTTATTGGTCTCCGTCATGTTGGTAAACGAAGTACCGATTCGATGTTAAAAAGCTATAGTTTTCAGTTGAAATGGGAGAAATTTTGTTTGTCCTTCTCCGCCTTTTCCTAATGATGAAATTACATCCGGGGAAGTTTGACCCGATTAACCCGGAAGTGCCGGTCGAAGTTGAAAAGATGTTTGCGTCTAGTCGGTTTACGCGTAGATATGCGGCGTATATAGCGAAACATTCTTCTTCAAATGGTCAGGTAAAATACATGAATAATCATTTTATTGGACTAGCTTAAAATTGTAAAAAAATGATTTGTACGTTTTGGTATTTTATTGATATTGTACAAATTCACTTATTATCGCTCACTAAATTTTCATGAACAGTTCATGCTAAAACACACCTACTTTCTGCTCCATTTGCTCCATGCATGTGGAATTGACAAAGTTCAAATTACAATTTCTATCATTTCAGCAAATCGAATCCTTGCATCCATTTAGAATCTAGATCATGAAGTTCTGTTCAAAAATTTATTGTTGGGTTAGTAATTCTCCGAAAAATATCCCAGGAACGTCGCAAACAAAAAAGATATTGTTACATTTTTTATGTCACAACCCCCACAAGCGTCGTATCTGTCATCTCACGTTGTACTGAATATCTTTACCAAGTCCTGTAATTTATCATTCTTATTCTTTCAGAATCACATGACAAGGGAAGCCGCATTGTTCCAATCAGCAAAGTACAGGTAAGTCTATTCTGTCACATTTTATCCTTCCCTATGAATACCTTCTGCCTTCCACTCCATTAGCAATCTTCTGGAAAGGAATTTCTAAAGTGGAAGCCTAACCATTATCGAAATTGATATGTTTATGTATACATAGTAGAATGACCGGAGCTATGAAGGCTTAGTAGCAACTTGCTATCCAGGGTCGCTACACTACCCCCCCCCCCCCCCTAGAAAGGACCACACCTTCGTGGTCAGCCCTGATTTCTCTAGCGGTGACTTACTACACACAGGGTGCAAAAGATACAATCAATGCTTTGATCCCACATCTGGCAACAATGTAATGACCCAAAGGTGCTCCAGGGGAATGACTAACTAACAAGCATAGTGTATCAAGCCAGATAAAGAGATTGAAAGAAAGTGTGCTTAACTCCAAGCCCTGTCTGGGAATTGAACCTAGGACCCTTGGATCCAAAGACTGATGCTGAACCCACTGAGCTATAAAGGCTTAGTAGCAACTTTCTATCCAGGGTCATTACACTGCATGACCTAAACATATTCACATGTGATTTTAAATAAAAAAACTCCTGTTCTCATTAGTTTCATTACAAAGTGAATGAGAATCATAATCCCACTTTTATAATCATTTCGTCTTTAGCTTTTTTATGTCACCTTCAAATTTTCAGGGATAACTTATGAGTGCATACAGATCAGATGTGGATGAAAAAAATTGAACTCGATACCCACTTCCTGTCGGCCATTTTGAAGTCAAATGCTAAAATCCTTGTCTGCAAACTTTAAGAAAAACGGCTTCACAGTTGCTTTTAAAACTTTAAAATCTTGTTCAGCTCACTTCATTCTACATCTGATTAGGTTTTGGGCCTGTTAGCTCAGTCATGTCAGCCATTTTGAATGTTTTAAGAAAAGTTAGCACGCGATAATACTTTGTATCATATGGAATGATTAGTTTTTTGGATAAATGTCAAGGCAGCCATTTTGGATTTTCCATCTTAAAATCTTGCCCATAAAGTCTTGTCTACGCGTTTTTAGGTGAACCGTTTAGTAGACCAATTTCAAATTTTCAGGGATGATTCTTAGTATGAAAATCTAGAACAGATTAGTTTTTTGGCATTCTGGATAAATGTCAAGGCAGCTATTTTGGATTTTCCATCCTAAAATCTTGTCTGTAAAGTCTTGTTTACATGTTTTCTGGTGTGACAGATCAATTTCAAATTTTCAGGGGTGGTTCTTAGTATGAAAATCTAGAACTGACTAATTTTTTGGCATTCTGGGTAAATTTTAAGGTGGCCATTTTGGATTTTCCATCCTCAACTTGTGTTGGTAAAGTCTTGTCTACTCATTTTTGGATAACCATTTGACGGGATCACCCATAGTCGGGGACATTTTGTACACATTTGTCTTCTTGTATATGTATAAATTCGAAACTCAGTTTAATCTGTTTTAATTTTAAATGGATGTAATTATTTTTCAGTACTAATCCAGATGATGACTATCTGCATAGAAGCAAGGTGCCTAGTGACCATTTCCAGAAGAGTTTACCCCACCTGCCCATTCCAAAGCTAGAAGACACATGTGCTAGGTACCTCAAGGCACAAGAACCTATGCTAGATGCGGAACAGTACAAACAGACAGAAAAAATTGTAAATTCATTCCAAACAGGGGATGGGGAAAGTAAGTTTGCATTGAGGAGATAATGTACCCAAGATATATTATAAGTATATACTGACTCATGGGGGATAGGTTGAACTCTCTTCTTTTAGTTTTCTGCAAAAGAAATTGATTGATTTAAAGCAAGTGAAAAATACTATTTCAGTGGAATTCTAGTGTTGCGTCAAATGTCTCGACTGGTCAATGCTCCCTTCCCCATTTTTGATCCAGCCCAGATGTGAAGAAGGAACAAGAGGGGCAACATAGACTTAATGCAAGTTCCCATTTTTTTCACCACCAAAAGTGGTGACATATTATTATGGTCTCCATTTTTCCGTGATCGGTAGTTGGCACGCAGCAGTTGGTGGTTGGCGCTTGGTAGTCGGTGTCTGTAACAAATTCTAAAAACTTCCAATAACTTAACAAATACTGACTTCAATTTTTTATAAAATCATCTATGAATGTTCTCAGAAGATCAATCTGACTTTTGATTTAAGATTTGACCTTCAATGACCTTCTCAAGGTAAAAAAGGTCTTTTTACAACTTGCTTCAAATTGACCATTTTTTAGAAATCATCTACAAGTTTTCAGAAGATCAAATCTGACTTTAGACTTGACTTTCAATGATCTTCTCAAGGTCACTGTCAAAAAGATCCTTTTTCAATTTGTTTCAAATTGACCATTTTTTCAAAATCATCTACAAGTTCTCAGAATTTCAAATCTGACTTTAGATTTCACTTTCAATGATCTTCTCAAGGTCACAAAGGTCAGAAAGATCTTTTTTCAAGTTGATCAATTTTTTTTTTCAAAATCACAACTGGTAATAGGACAAAATGGATTTCTGCAAGAAAATTCAACTAATCTGGAAGATTTTTTTTCACGAGAAAGTTTATAATTAAATTGCTTTGATATAATAAGATATGAGATCTATTAAAAAGTGCATCATCACCAATGTGCAAAAGTCAATGATTTTGCTATAAATCAGGCAACGATGGCCTACACCTCATAACCAATATAAATAAAACCATTAGCTTTTAGATATTTTTATTTGAAGCTTCTAGCTCAATTTTAATCTTCAAAAAAAAATTTTGGGGCTCGCTTATGCCACGATTGCACCCCCCTCACTGAAAACTAAACATGACATGTGTTTATATATAATTCAATTTTGATTCCACAATTTCAAAGCTAAACATAGTAGATTTACAATTGTATATTATATCTATACTCACTGTTTTGATTTTTGTAGGTCTCAACAAAGAATTAGTGGCAAGGGATAAGAAAAATAAAGAAACAAGCTATATCACAGGTAATGTGTTGCTGTGTATTGTCAAAATTATATGCATATGGTACATATTATCAAGTAAGGATTTAAGCTCTTGACTCAGTGCAATGTGGAATGACCATTCCTTGAAGGTGTTGCTTTCCAAAATTTAGTGGTAATTTTGAATTTTTCGATTAAAAGATGAAATATTTATACTATGTGTCTTGTTGTACACTGGTTGTACAATGAAAAATTAAACAAGGAAAATAATGCAAAAGTGAAAAATCATGTATGGTTTGTATATGGTTTAATACATAAAACATCAAAAAAGAAAGCGTGAAAACCTGGGAATATCCAGAAATTGAAGGCATCACAAAATGGGGTTAAATATAATAAATTATATTTTTGATGGACATCTATGATTTGACTTGACCCCTAAACCAAGATAAGTAATTATAGCTATTAAACATGAAATTCATGTGAACAGATTGTAGAAAAGATGAAATCTTGCATAATCTGACATCTAATGTGTTTATTTTTCAGGTCCCTGGTTTGACATGTACCTCAAGGACAGATCACCTATAGTGCTGAACTATAATCCATTCATTGCATTTAATGATGATCCAAACCCAGCCTACAATGACCAATTAACCCGAGCCACCAACATGATTATGTACTCTGCAAAAATGTACAAGACCCTCAAAGCCAATATCTTATCCCCGGAGGTTTTCCATCTTAACCCCGCTAAAAGTGACACTGATACATTCAGGAACTTTGCAAGGTTAGCTTTTTCATATCCAACAAGATTTAATGAATTATAGAAGTCATATATGTACTTATGCAAACATGTTCTGATGAAAATATCTATCAAAGTTCATTCATGCAAATCACTTGATGTTAATCAAGTACAAGTTGTCTATATTGTTAACTGTTTTACACTGTTTTATCTTTTACAATCAGTGTTTTTTCAGCCACCAAACAAACATTTGAAAATTCATAGGTCGACTGACCCATAAGATCCTAGTGAATAACATGGGGCTAATTTTTTGCTTTTTCCCTTGACCAAGCTATTCAGCTCTTTCATTACCGAAAAAATTATGCCCCCAAAGATCTTAAGTTCTGCTCCTTATAGAATTTGCCCTTACATATTTAAACCTTGTTTTTCAGACTGCTGCCAAAATCCCTGTCATGGTATGGGGCATATCTATTCAAAGCATTCCCTCTAGATATGAGTCAGTACCACCGCCTCTTTAACTCAACAAGGATACCAAGGTAAAGTACATGACTCTCTTATTTTAAATGTATGGGTGTTTATAACTTTATTATTATCTATAAAAGGTGCTCTTTCCCCCAAAAGGGCATATGTGACTTTTTATGACAAATACTGTGACCGGAAAATTGAAAATTGACTTAACAGCAAACATTATTAACTCTTTTCCAGTCTTTCTCTGAAGAATTTCATTATTTTTCATGTTTTTTCATTTCGAGAGGGCACTGTTTGCTTTTCAGAAAAAATATGATATCTCAACATTTGTAGCATTGTGTTAGGAATAGCTTTAGGATATTGCTTTACTTATTCTAAAGAAGTTGAAGACAAAAATATTAAACAGAAAATTGAAAAGATGAAAAATAAATTAAATTTATGGACAAGTAGAAAATTAACTTTACAGGGTAAAATCCTACTGGTTAAATCAAATGGGATTTCACGGATAACTAATATAGCCGCAGTTTCAGAGATTCCACATAAATATGTTGCACAAATAGACGACATAATCTTTAATTTTATTTGGGGGAATAAACCTGCCAAAATCAAAAGAAAAACTATCATAGGAGAAATTCAAAAAGGTGGATTAAAAATGGTTGAATTTTCAACAATGGAAAGAGCATTAAAAGTTGCCTGGATAAAAAGATTTTTAGAAAATGATGAAGCAAAATGGAAACTTTGGAAAGTAATACCATATTCTTTTTCAGACAAAGTAGGAAAAGATCTAATATTTGAATCAAACTTTAATTCAGAAAAAATTGATATAAATGGTCTACCAAATTTTTATAAAACAATGTTAAAAGGATGGGAGCAAGTTAAAAATTGCAAAGATCCAACATGCAAGAGTGAGGTCGAAGAAGAGTATATATGGAATAACAAAAATATCATAATCGAAAATAAATCAATATTCATAAAAACATGGAGAAATAAAGGTATAAATAAAATAAGAGATCTGGCATTTTTTATAACATAGAAGAATTACAACAAAAATATGGCATTGTACTAAAAGACTTAAAGTATAACTCTATTATAAGTGCAATCCCGAGAAGCTGGAAACTATTGCTAAGACAACCAAATACTATAAGTACAAAACAAGATAATACAATTGAAGCAAACAAGATAACATGCAAAATAGCATACAAAATTCTAAATGAGAAAGAATTCCAACCACCAACAGCTTTAAAGAAAATAAAAGAATATATAGAAAATGATGATGAAATAAAAGACTACTTTATGATGCCAAGAAGGATTACAAAAGATACAAAATTAATTGAATTTCAATTAAGATTCTTCATAACAATTTAATTTGCCAGGAAAAGCTTCAAGTTATGGGTGTAGAACAAACAGCAAATTGTCAACATTGTCAAATGAGACACTCAATCAAACATATGCTAATAGAATGTGAAACATCAGAAACACTATGGAAAAAGTTTAAAGAGGATATGAAATATTTGTTTGATACAATTCAACTCTCAGATAAAGACATTTTATATGGTCACAAACCCAAAGAAGATGACTATAAGGAATACAATTTAACAATATTAATAATGAAATTTCATCTATACAACAGCTTTCTCAACAAAACAAAACCAACATATTTTGATTTTAAATTACTTTTTCAACATCATGTAGAAATAGCAACATACTCTGTAAGTCATGACAAGTTGAGAAATATACAACAAACGCTTTTATAATACACACTTCTATCTTTTTATATGAATGTATTGTATGAATTAAAATAATGAAAAATAGTATGAATGAGTGAATGGAGGAAAAAATGGCGGTGGTGTGAAAGACATATTGTTTCTAAGAATAGGTAAGTTACTTTTTCTTTTTTTCTAATTTAATTATATCACCTCAAATAAAAATATAGCGCAGACAATCTTATTTTGGGCTCTAAAATATGTTTAAGCTTAAATTTGACTGACTCAATCGAATCAAGAAAATGATCATATGATATAAATATATATATAAATATAAATATATATATATATAAATAAATAAATAAATAAATAAATAAATATATATATATAAATATATATGATCATATGAGCTAAATGATGTAAAAACAATGTATTGTAACTAAATATGAATATGTACTGTAATTATGTAAATGAAGTGAAATAAATAAAGTAGAAAAAAAAAATTGTGTTAGGATTAGTCTCAAAGTTAAACGTTACAGGCTATACTAGTTGAACAACTATAACTAATAAAATCTGTTTTAATGTCAGACTATCAACGGATTGCACATCATTACTGAGTTAAGATAATGTCACGATTATGTTATTTTATGGCAGTTGTTGATATCATGATTGTGATATTTCATGATCATACTTAATGTCATGATTGCAATTTTTAGAAGCATGGGTCAAAATTGCCATTGTCAGGGACACAATGTGCATGAAATGTGATGTAGTTCTTCACTCATTGTGATGTACGGTAGAACCCCATCAAAGCAAGTGGAGATTATTTTGATTATATTTTTATCAAAGTATTTTTTCAACAAAGATGTTTTTAACAGTGATTCTTAACAGTGTCATGTTGACTCTTAAAATGAGTAATTTTGACATATTTTCATAGAACCTTGATTAAAATCTTGAGTTTTGTAGATAGACTTAATTTTACTTGTCAATATAAGAACTACAATGTGTCCTAATCTACTAAGCTTCATTTCATGTGCCATTCATGCATAAATAGTTAGTAATCCTATTGTATTAAAAGACACCCTATTGTGTTTTTGTTGTAAACAGTGAATGGCCTTCTCAATTCATTGACAGATCGAGGTACTTCCACAAACCAGACCCCCTCTGATTTTACCTTTATTGTTTAGTATTGACACTATTTTATAATTCAAACATAAAATAAGAGAGGGTCCTAAGTGTGGAAGATACACAATATGAAAGTATAGCGAAAATTTTAGTTTAAAAAAGGAGGCCATATTGAAATTGCCATTATATTCAAGAATCCATTCTGCCTTGAATGTGTTGCTTAAGGTAGGCGCAACATAGAACCTTCTACAAAAATAGAAAATCTTATTTGGGAAGACATTCTGGACTGAACCTTCCAACAAACTCTGTCATTTACAATAACGATTGTGTCAACATATCACGCCACAGATACATCCAACCCAGGTTCCCATAGATAATTCTGAGCACCATGTTCAAACCTCTAAACAGACATGTATTCAATTTTCAATGATAACGAGATCAAAGAAAACATTTGTCATTTGCAGTAAAGCAATTAAATCATAGGCAACTTAAAATATGTTTTTCAAAAATTTGTTAGAACATCTGATATGTAAGCAATGAGCCTGATAATCGAGAAAATATGTTTCAGCTAGTCATTTGTTTGAATTAATATTGCTTGTCAAATTTTGTGAAATAAACTAAGACCATTATGTCATCTATCATTGTTTTAATTTCTTTGACAATGCTAAATGAAAATATAATGCAATGGAAAGTCGCAACTAGATTTAGATTTTGTATTTTCAACTGTTGCTCTTTGTGCTCTACCTTATCTTTAATGATGTTTTGACATAGTATCTAGGTTGAATACCTAGGTTAAAGCCACAGTATACACAATAAGGGTGATCAGGGTACTATTGTTCAAAACACATTTAAAAAGGTTCATTTTATCATATGATATATTATTTTTAGGGGTTATTTTATTATTTGTGTGTTTCAATATTTTGCCCTTTTGTGTCCCACCTTAATGATTTAATATACCCTCTAGGTTGAATGCCTACTATATACCAACTGAGGTGATCATGGATCTATTGTTGAGAATACATTTATTAAGGTTCATTTTTTCAAAAGATATATTAAGTTTTTAGTTTTTTTTATGATATGTGTTTTCAATATGTTGCCCTTTGTGTTCTACCGAAACGATGTTCTGATATATAGATTGAGGAATGCTCAACATACTTAAAATAATCATGAATGAAGACTCCTATAAATAAATAATAAATAAATGATAAATAATAAAATGATAAATAGCCAGGAGGGGGTGCGATGGTGCGATCGCATCCCCCCCATAACCAATGAAAATATGACCATGATGATATAGGAAGAAAAGAGCCTTAAAATGCTTTTTATTTGAAGCTTCTAGCTCAATTTTGAAGGAAGTTACATACATTTTTGTAAATTCAAAACAAATCTTACACGTTTTTTTATACATATTTGTATTTTTCGTTTTTTGGGGTATCCGGTTTTTTCGACCGGGTACCGGGTACCAATTTTGAACCCAGCATAGAGGATTTACTACCGGTACCTGGGTTTTTTCTACAAACCCTATATTTTGATATCTACCAAATATATTTTCAAGGGAAGAGTAGATGGTAAATGTAACATTGTGACACATACAGATTCATATTATGTTATAGTGTTCATTGGGATTTTCTACTCCGTGGAGTTGCCGATTTCTAGTTGAAACATAAACAAGGAACGGGCTATATTTAAGTTCATTATTCCATCTTATTACAAGCACATGAAACAAACATTTAAAGGTTACTACATTAGCATATAGAGCTAGTATATCAATTATTGTTCTAATAAACAAAAACACAATGAAGGCATCCACAACAGTGAAAAAATTCACTAAGCAGTTTCACAAGGTCTACTATGATTTAATACCTGTGCAGTCTTGTACATTCCATAAAAACAACTAATTATTTCAATTCCAGGAAAGTATGACATTATTTCATCAGGGATTTTTCCCAGATTTATGAGGCACTCCCCGATCTGACTGGCCTGATCCCATACACTTCTACCTCACAAAGTGTCAAGTAATTTGGGTCTTGAAGTTGAACTCTCACATAGCGTCCTACTAGGGATGCGGGGCAGTAGAACATTTGCCAGCCCATATCTTGGCTCGTGATAGTACGCGGGTAGTGTACACATAGATCCCAAGAAATGGTGTCTTTACTCACTTCTATTTTGAAATTCCTCAGCCTGTCTGCAATGAATTAAATCAGGAATCTTGCATACATGTAAAGGGTTTGTAGAAAAAACTGGGTACAGGGTAGTAAATCCTCCATGCTGGGATCAAACTAGGTTCCCGGTACCCGGTCAAAAAACCGGGTACCCAAAAAACGAAAAATACGAATATATAACATAATGAGATCATTAGAAAATGTGTAAGATTTGTTTTGAATTTCCAAAAATGTATGTAACTTCCTTCAAAATTGAGCTAGCTAGAAGCTTCAAATAAAAAGCATTTTAAGGCTCTTTTCTTCCTCTATCATCATGGTCATATTTTCATTGGTTATGGGGGAGGGATCGCACCCCCTCCTGGCTACGCCTAGTTTGAACCCAGCATGGAGGATTTACTACCCGGTACCCGGTACCCGGTTTTTTCTACAAACCCAACTGTAAATACTTGTGTTGTAATATCATACAAATAATCATCCAAAGATTACTTTTCATTTTTCATGTGAAAAAATTTGGCTTTAAAAAAAATTGTTGGTCTTCCAATTTTCAAACTTTTCAATTTCTAGCTGTAATGTCACTTATGTACTAAAAGATAGAATATGTTACAAATAAAACAATTATTTTTAAAAGTCCTTCAAAAACAAACTTTTTGAAATTGAAAGAAAAAGTTACATATCACAGTTTTATAATATTGAGTAGGGCTATAATATAAGCCAAAGCATATAATCTTGGGAATGTCTATTAAAGGGGCAATAAGGACTGTAGAGAAAATAGGAACGTTTTTTCATTTTTTCTGAGCTATCAAGGCAACATTTGGTTTAACATCTTCTTTGACATACCTATTTTCTTAAAATGTATGGATAAATTATCAATTTCAGCATTTAGAAGAGAAAATTCAGTTCAAAGCTTCAAAAAGGGGACTTCCACTTTTATATTTTTAAGACCCACCATGTTTCAAGAGAAATATCAGCTAAAATAATGTTTATCTAGGGGGTTTCTTTGTAGATAATAAAAATAGATGTTAGTCTTGATGAAATATCCAAACTTAAATATAATTTGGCACTGGTCCATGATTGTTGAATGACCCCTCTGCACTAATTATTGCACCTTTAATGCCCAAATCATCCAATCTTTACCTGCATGTTGATTTAAACGATTCACAAGTTTGACAGCATTGACATAGTAGTTTCCCTCGAGGTCAACCATCCACCAAGGTTTTGCATCTAAACGTGTATGTGTACATGTGCCATGCCAATAGTCCCTATCTGTATTACCATCAACAGCTAAGTAAGAGGCACCGTCATCATTGCCGGTTGTGCCACCATAGTGCTTGGATGATTGGCTGGTTGGCTTGTTCAGTGCCACATTATCTGGTTCAAATAAATAGAGATAGGTTGAACCTCCCGTATGTTAGGATATAGAGAAGCCCACTGTCTGTCTGTTTGTTTGCTTGTTCATCAGTATGTGTTTCTGTCTGAATGATCTCTCAAATACAAAGATCAAAGTAATACCTGACATTTGTACCAGATTTGAAATATTCATGCTTCATAGAAAAAGTAATCAAATTGACATTTAAAATTACTTTAATTGCATAGATGTTAGGGGAATCATTCCTGATTTTGCCTGGCCTCTTTCAAAGGGACTCGATAAATTAGCTACATTGACCAAAGTGTTTACATTTCGAATTGGAAGGGTTTATTCGTTTTGAAGGGGTGTATGCATTGAACATTTCGTGCAATATAAAATGATTTTCCGTTTTCCTAAATGCTTGCGACTGAACTGTCTCGTTGCTTCCATGATCTTAATTGATCAGTTGGTCTGTTGGCAGAGTTGTCGCCTCGGGTGGGGCAGTTTGCAGTTTCGATTCCTGAAGGGATATATCTGTTTTTTCCTTTTTTTTGTATGCGCGTTTGTTATTACGAAGAAATAATCAAGTATCAGAGTTCTTAAGCCACGTCAGTTTTATAAAAAATGTAAAATTAATGTACTGTACGCCCGGTTAATTACGCGAGTTTTAATTTTGCAAATTCGTTGAAAACACAATTTCATGGCTATTAAATTTCGCGAATTTCACTAGTTTAAAATTCATTATTCTCGGAATTCATGAGCTATGTAAACTAAGTTAGATGTACAGTAATTGCACTTACCTGATGTCATATTTAGATGAGATTTACAATTACTAGGATCTTTGTCATCACACGCTGCATATCAACCTCTATTGCATCGTCATTTTTGGTATTAAAGCCAAGAAATTGTACACTAGGGGCATTCTGCGCGAGGTTTGATTTTGAGGTTCGGTCTTTGCATATTAAATCAAGCAATTTAATTTGTTCAAAATATTGACAGGCATGCGCATATGGATATCCAAATTATTGCCCAATAACATTAGATGAAACGTTTTACACAAAACGAAACACATCAGGGCCCCAGGTAATAACAAATTCCCGGGGATTTAATCTGCAATTTTGCGAAGATAAATTTTTGCAATTTTACAACACTCGCGAAAAGCGTGAAACTAAATCAAAATATATACTCAAAACTATATCAATACATAAAAATATACCTTATGAGTAACATCTTGAATACGTATTTGCAATATACATGTAGAATAGTTTACATAGCTAGACTGGCAAACATATGGTTTATTGTTTAGCATTTGTTTTGACCGTCCTCTCACACCTTTCTGAGCCAAACATTGGTTGAGCCTATTTATAGTCCCCGATTACGGACACCCATGCACTCTATATAGTTTCGCACACACTTTAAGACTGTTTTTAGGTCACAACATAGACACTGAATTTATACATATCCTAATATGTTAGATCTTTTAGGTACAATTTGTGATTGTGTTTCAATGTCTCAAATCTAATTATTATTTAATAATTATTATTTACATGGACCAGCCTCAGATGTTTCGCCTGAAAACGGCAGTCATGACCACTGTACTGGTTTAGTTTAGGCCCATCTGGTTATATCTGGTGGCAGATTCAACTAATTAAACCAGTACAGTGTTTATGATTGCTATCATAGTAAAAAAAACTAAGGTAAATGTCTGATCTGAGACATTGGAACACAATCAAAAATGAATTCCTTCTTACAATATGCTGGTGGTGGATTTGAGAAAATGATTTTTCCTTCAGTTTCTATGTATGTGGCAGACAGGATTGCCATCAAATATAATATAATGCATCCATTGAATCCTTCCATTGTGCTCCTTTGTGTTTGCGTCAGTATGCAGTAATGCACTATGAATTGCCAAGTTAGATCTGACAGTATTATTGTCTGCTTCTATACATGAGTATTTCTTTTACAATAGTGACATTTAACATTATTATTGAAACATAAACAAGGAGCATGTTATATTTAAGTTCATTATTCCACTTTATTACAAGCACATGAAACAAACATTTAAAGGTTCCTACATGAACATATAGAGCTAGTATATCAATTATTGTTCTAAAAAACATAAACACAAGTGGTTAATACTCTAAATCTCCAGAGTAATGCATTTTTATTTACAGAAAAAAATGTGGGCATCCACATTGGAGGAAAAATTGTTTCAGTGAAAAAATTTAAGATTAAGTTAAATCAAAAATGCATTTTCACAAGGACCACTATGATTTAATAGCCGTGTAGTCTTGTACACACAGGCTTGTACATTGCATAAAAACAGCTTATTTCAATTCCAGGAAAGTATGATAAAAGTGAAAAGTTACAAACATCATTGAATGAAAAATAAAAAATTGGTTGCTGGAATATGACGTTATTTCATCAGGGATTTTCCCCAGATTTATGGGGCACTCCCCAGTCTGACTGGCCTGATCCCATATACTGTACGCCCGGTATTAATCGCGTGCGATTAACTTTTGCACTTTTCGCGATGGTGTTAAAATCGCGAAAAATTATCGTCGCGAAATTGCCAATTAAATCCCCGGGAATTTGTTTTTACCCGGGGCTCTGATGCATTTCGTTTTGTCTACTAGTTTGGATCGAGTTATAGTACTTCAATAGTACTGTGCAACTCCATGACTTTACAATGCGCATGCGCGGCAATGAAAGAGCACATGCGCATGATTGTTCACGTGATCGTAGCCTGCAATTTGGTTGGACATCATATACTGGAGAATCCCCGAATACGATAAAATACAGTATTCGCGAAATTTAATAGCCGCGAAACCGTGTTTTCGCAAAATTCGCGAAATTAAAGCTCGCGAATAATACCGGGCGTACAGTACTTCTACCTCACAGAGTGTCAAGAAATTTGCATCTTGAAGTTGAATTCTCACATAGCGTCCTATTAGGGATTCGGGGCAGTAGAACAGTTGCCACCCCATATCTTGGCTCCTGATAGTACGCGGGTAGTGGACGCATAGCTCCCAAGAAATGGTGTCTTTACTCACTTCTATCTTGAAATTCTTCAGCCTGTCTGCAATGAATTCATAGGGGAATCTTGTAAATTAATAAAAATTGTGATATTATAAAGTCATCCAAATATTATGTAATGACATGAGGCACCTGGGAAGTTGTAGTGTAACAATCAGATACAGACATGAAAGGGAGTGTGCTAAATTTGATTTCCCGAGCATGAATCAAGACAGCTGAGCTGTAGTAGCAATTTGCTATCCAGGGTCATTACAATTTTATAAAATGTTGTTGGTTTTTCAATTTTCAAATATTTACTATTCATAGCAGTAATGTCACTTATAGTGGAGGATAATTCCAAAGGACAAGTCATGGTTTGGAGAAGTCTCTTGGGCTAATAATTTTTTTAATAATATCACCCAAATTAAATTATGAATATTCAAAAGTAAAGAGGACATTTAAATCTACAAGATGTAAAAATATCACAATTGTCCGAAGCAGGGATAACGTTGCAGTAGACCGATTCAATATAATACAAGTCTTGATTTGGAGAAAGAAGTTCATCAGTGTACTGTGCTAATAATTTTTTTATGAAAAATCTCGAAATATCACCCAAACAAAATTCTGACTATTTAAAAGAAGACATTCAAATCTATATTATGCAAAAAATCAAATTTGTCAGTAGGAGGGGTAATGCTCAATTAGAGTGTTGAACTTCGTTCTCCAAACTGAGAATAGCGCTTTATCATTTTTTTCTCTTAGATTTTTTGTTTTTTAAAATATGCTCATATTTCAGAATTAATCAATGTTACAATTTTGTTGGCCCTATCTTATTAGAAAAGAAATATTACATACTAATAGATGCGTGTTACAACTAAAACAATTCTTTGGAATGCCCAAATCATAAAATTTTTACCTTCTATATCATTTAAACGATTCACCAGTTTGACAGCATTGACATAGTAGTTTCCCTCAAGGTCAACCATCCACCAAGGTTTTGCCTCTGAACGTGTATGTGTACATGTGCCATGGAAAAACTCCCTATCTGTATTCCCATCAACAGCTAGATAAGAGGCACCGTCATCATTGTCGGCTGTGCCATAGTGCTTGGATGATTGGCTGGTTGGCTTGTTCAATGCCACATTATCTGGTTTAAATAAGGGATAGAAAAATTGTATTGAAGCATGTGTTTGCATTTTGATATAGGGATGCATACATTTTATAGTGAATTGATGTTTTTTAGATAAAAACTTTGAAAAAACTCCCCAATTCATTCTACATACAACTCATGGTCCTTTATACTTACAATATGCTGGTTGTGGATTGGAGAAAATGATTTCTCCTTCAGTTCCTATGTTCCTATTCATTCCCCCATAGCGGTGAAGTATGGAGGCGTGCCTTGGTATAATCCGCAAGATGATTTTTTTAACCTCTTGACTACCTAGAGTGACGAAATTTTCCTTCACCTTAGAAATGACCTTGAAACATGGAGTGACAAGATAATATGTCTCAAAAATGTTCACTAAAATTGCTATAATTTGGACAATTGTCAACCAATTTAACTCTCTCAATCCAACTCTCTGAAACATTATGGATTAGGGCCCCACCTTGCCACTTTTTGAAAAATGTTAGGCTTATTTTCTAAAAAGAGGATCTTATTTTTCTCAATTTTAACATATCGAAAGTCTCCTCTACACTATATTAACAATTTCTGAAAAGGGGATGGGTATTGAAATGAGTTAAAGTTAAAAACCACATATCCCATGTTATTTTCCCATTGGGAAAACTCGTGCTATCCATTGTTTTCAGCATAATTTTGGTCATCGAAAATTGATATCTTCAAAACTACATTTTCAATACCATTCTATTTTTGAACATGTCTTAGACCCCTTGTTGAATAATGTTTTCATGCAATAAAAATCAGAAAAAGAAGATCCTCTTTTGAGTAAATAAGTTCAATATTTTGAAAAAAATGTTGAGATGGGGTCCCTATTCATAATTTTTCGAATTGTTTGATTTATATTTTTATCATCACGGGAACTTCACTTGAAAGAAAACATATTGTTTTAATAAAACACTGTATTTATGCCCAGAAATGGTGAAAGATATGACCGTCTAAAATCACTTGCCATACTGTACGTGGTCTTTTCACTAGGTTGTATCATCAGTGTCAAGAGTTGCTGCCATCAATTTTCTCTCAATTATTTTTCATAATAAAAAAACAAATAAAACAGTATTTTTAAAATGGCAATATTTTTTGTCCCTATATCATGACATATGTGCTCAATTGTTATTCGAGAATTTTTCGACACGTTTCGAAATTAAATAAATTTGCATTCTACTCGATGCTGTATGATTTCACATTCATCAAATTTTATCAACCTCCAATAGCTATGAATCCAAATTAGTAAATTTGCATTTTATTATCAATACTTTATGGGTTCACATTTATCAAATGTTATCAAACCCCCATAGCGATGAAGTATCGTGACGTGCCTCGGTATAATCTGCAAGATGAAAACAAGGTGACCGTGACCTAATAGTTACATCAGCATTTTTTTCTCACTTGAACATGGACAGGACTTATTCTGACGACCTTGTAACAACAAAGTTGCCAAATTGTTATTCGCAAATTTCTCGACACATTTAAGACATGTTACTAATCACTGAAAAAACGGTTCATACATATTGTCCATTCAAGTTTTTTGTTGGCTCAAACATTGAAACTTGTTATTTTGATGTGAAAATCCACATTTTATGAATATAATATATGAGGGTTATGTTATGTGAGGATAACATATCCTATGACAAGGGAGGTTTCACAATTGAGGATTTCAAGGTTTCACTGGGCCAAATAAGGGTCATCAGCTTGAATTGGTCAAGATGTATCCTCTGAAAGTTTCACTGCTTGAGGAGTTACAATGTTTATGTTTATATGTTATATTTTGGCAATAATACAGTACATAGTATTTAATTGTCTTTTCTCCTTTTTTAGCCTATTTCTGGCAGTTCTAAATGTACAAAGTCATTCGGAGGTTTTGTGATTGATAAAAGTTTTGAAAATATAAGTTGTATTAGCTCACATGTACATTATATTGTTTTATCATGTTAGAATGTAAAATCTCACTTTTTTGACCTAATATGTTTCAGGTTGGGTCGTGATGAACTTGCCTCTGATGGAGATGGAAAACACTTATGTGTAATGAGAAATGGAAATTTCTACACATTTGATGTCTTAGACTCTAATGGTAAGACTAATTCAGCAAAATATATATTCACAGAGCAAAGATTTTCTCCTGTTCAAGGACAGTAGATAATAAATGCATATCAAGCTTGTTATCCTTTTATGTCTTCTTTCATTTTATTCTTTTATGTCTAATTCCATACATATACACTGAATATTTTTTGTCGTAAGCATGATTTGAAAAAAGTAACGAATAAAAAATATCAAGGTTTCAAACCTAAATCCAAGTAATCGAAGATCTAAAAATTGTTTGATACTGTGCAATGGAGGTCAACAGTAAAGTCAAGGTCAATAAGTTGTTTGTGTTGGATCCTTGCATTTAACTATTTACACTTAGATGTAAACAATTTTCAGGTTGAATTATTGAATGATAAAACAATATGCATATCCTTTCAATATTTTACAGGGAACATCAAACCTGCGTCAGAAATCCTTGCTCATATTAAGTATGTCTTAAATGATAATGCCCCAGTACCTGCCCCGGGCAAGAGGGTGGGGGTGATGACCACAGAGAATAGAGACACTTGGGCTAAAGTCAGAGATGACCTGTTAGCTGCGGGTAAGTACTGTTTAGGCCTTTCAAGGTTAATTGTATTTGAAATGTCCTATGATGAGCCGAATTATTACTCATGTTCGTTTCATACAAATTATGTTAAAAATGTTCGGATATGCAGATTTTGGTCCTATTTTTGGAACAATAATATTGAATTCCATGCTTGAATATGGGCTTCAGTTGGGACCTCCTAATAAGTGAGTGCCTCTCATTGTTGTGGAGTCTCGCTGGTCTAAGCAGTGTTCACTTTAAACAGGTTTTACTGTATATTGCATTTCCTTCAGATACAATATATATACAATTGAAGACCTCTTTTGAGGTCAAGTGGCAATATTTTCTGCCGATACTTTAAACCTCGAAAGTATTGTTGACTGAGACCTATTGTTGGCTTTAATTAACCAATCAGAATTTCGAATTTCAACTGAGATACTCACAACAATGTACTTAGATTCAACATTTAGTCCACCCGTGTAGCTCAGCGGTAGCGCAGGTACCTCTTACGCAATAGGTCCCGGATTCAATCCCTGGTTCAGGCAAGACTAAAAATTTGCTTGTTTGCGTGAAGTACTTCAGGTTGTTTGACTGAGTGGTCCGCAACTCGTACAAAAGGCTGTGGTGTGTACTTGTATGTCTATGTATAAGTGCACATAAAAGAACACAGGGCTCCTTTAAGGAGGGGTTTCTGGGTCTATCTTCCATGTTAATTACGTAAATTACGACCGTATATATACGGGACATACCCAAGAGGTATTGCTCACCTTCATTGGTGGTAAACAAAATACAATCACAACATGTACAAAATAGCTGGAATGACCTTCAGCAACCAAAAAGTACATACTCTGACGTCTGCCATTTTGAATCCTCTAGAGTACTAAGATTCTTAATTTTTATTTTCAGGAAATGAAGATGTATTAGAAAAGATTGATTCAGCGATGTTTGTACTGATCCTGGATGACGATGCTAACCTTGATAATAAAGCACTTTGCCACTCATTTCTACATGGTAAAGGTCATGACAGGTGTGTGCCCTTGTGTCTTGTAAATATGACTTTATTTCCCCTTAGTATAATGAGCCTACAATAATCGACTAGCTCGGTACAAAAACTGAACTGGTAGGGCATGTGCAGAATGGATCAAAATAATAATGGAACAGATTTCAAACATGCTATAGGAATTCAGATCAATTGGCATTTTTGAGACAAAGTCTCTTTAATATTCATCAGAACAATGGTATTTATTACAAGTAGTATCAAATCACATAATATCTTCAGGTTTTTTTCAACACCGTGCATCAACAGAGAGATTTTTAATGGTAAGAGACAGTAAGTCTCGTGAGTTGTCCTGATGTGGCCGAACATCTGGCCTAGATTGATTTTATTAAAAATTATGCTTTTAACCTTTCAGATGGCTGGATAAATCCTTCTCTCTCATTGTATGTAAAGATGGCAAGATGGCAGTGAACTTTGAACATGCCTGGGGGGATGGTGTAGCAGTACTTCGCTACTTCAATGAGACCTTCAATCACAGCACAAGCAACCCCTTAGTGCACCCTGATACAATTCCTATGTCAGTGGACTCATCTTCAGCTGTTAGGAAGCTTGGTAAATGAAAATAGTTTTAATGTGTGTAACAGGGGGGATGTCCCAGAATTCATAACTGAACCTTATGATCTTCATGTAATGATTATCCCCGAGAGGTTCATCTTTGCTCTGTAAGTTCCGGGGCATTTCTTTCTTTTGATGATTGTCTGGATTTCCATTAATTAAATTATGGGCTTTCATTGAAATCTAGGTCAAGCTCATATATAATTAATTTAGATAATTGTGAATTATTACTGGGCCTCTAGGAAGACCAGTTTTGTACTGGTAGAGTTACCCAGAATAAATATAGTTTTCAAATCAAATCAATAGCCAAGAGGCTATCTAATCTAGTAGTGAAATGCATCATTAGTGAAATTGAAATCACCAATGGCAGCCATTTTGAGAATATTGTAATTTTCCATTACTCACCACCTACTCAGTTCATTTCCACTTTATCAGTACAGTAACTGCCAATAATTTGTGAGTGGAAATGATATCTTAGATACTGCTCTTTTAGAAAAAGAGATCTAGGATGAAAACATTGGGTATCCTGAGCTGTAAACTTCCAGTCCAAATTGTAGTACCTATGTTACCAACAGTATTGAATATCAGATTTATATAACGTGTATTTGCTGATTTTTTGCACAAAAAATTAACCATTCTATACCTTTCAGAATTTAAATTCACACCCTCAATCGAAGAGTCAATCAAATCTGCCCAGAAAAAGTTTGACAACTCTATTGGTAGTTTGGACATTGAAATGATGGAGTACACTAGATTTGGCAAAGATTACATAAAGACCAAGAAGATCAGCCCTGACTCAATCATGCAATTGGCATTCCAGGTACATTATTGATTATAATTATTATGTCATCACCACAAGTGTTGACATATTGTCATAGTCTCCAACTTTTTTTATTGAGGTGTTCAGCCTTTCGTGGCTGGTGTTCAGAAGTTGGAGTTCGGCAGTCAGCATTTGTATCTGTAACAAATGCCAGGTGGTGACATTTTGCATGTTAATGCCTTGTTATTTACTTGCCATAATAATAATGTCTAATTTGACCACTATGATATTCTGTTCATTTCTATACAAGTTAGAATATTGCTGATATGCCTGTTTACTTTATTTCTTGATAATTCCCTGTTGTTCATTCAATTTTCCTTTTCAAAACATATCCGAATTCTGGCCTTGTTTTAAATAATGTTGACAATTGACCTAGCAATTTAATGCAGACCCTTCATGATTGTCTTCCAAAGTCAAATACTGTACATGGATGCAGGTTTTACATGTTTTACTGTATCCTTAAAGTTATTGACAAATTCCCATTTTTTCTAGATGGGATATTACAGGGAGTTTAATGGTACAGTTGGGACATATGAATCCTGTAGTACAGCTGCATTTAAACATGGACGCACAGAAACCATGCGACCTTGCACTGTTGAAACCTTAAAAGCATCTAAGGCATTCAACAATAAAGGTGAACATAGTCCCAAAGAACTGTTTGAAATACTGAAGGCTTGCTCAGACAGACACAATCAATTGACCAAAGAAGCAGCCATGGGTAAGTTCCACATAATATCAAAGTATAATATTGTACTTTGGGATCTGTACATGTATGTTGATAACTTGAAAATAATTGTACAAGTACAAATACAAATTCAATTATTTTCTTGCCTTGGTTATAGCCTACATCAACATGTGTGCTTCATCTTTCAGTCATGTGCTGCTGAGCTGATTTTAACATTTGAAACAGATATACAAAATATATCGTTCAATATACATGTACGTCATGCATTTAGTATTCCGTACACCACAAGGTTGGTTATTTAAGACTGATAGATAGACTAGACAATAACTGTTATTTGTCTAAGATCTGGATGCTTTTGGCTATAATCTGAATACTTCATACTTTAAGAGCACAAAATATAAAATTGATTCCCATATATTTTTAGGGCAGGGATTTGATCGCCATCTATTTGGTTTAAGAACACTAGCAGCTGAATCTGGCAAGTCGCCAGAAATGTTCGAGGATCCAGCATATGCTCGTATAAATCATCACATCCTATCCACCTCCACTCTCAGTAGTCCCGCTGTACTCATTGGGGGTTTTGCACCTGTCGTGTCTGATGGCTTTGGTTTAGGTGAGACTTAATTGATTCAGGGCCTACTGGTCAAAATTTAATTATGGACCATTGTTCACATGTGTGTTGTACACATTATAAAGCCCAAAATATTGAGAAGTGCTTCTTTGTATATTGTAGATAATTGAATTGACTGAGTTAAAAAAATTATATTTTATTATCATTCCCAAATACATTCCCAAATCAGAATCAGTTACCCACATTATGTACTTGCTTATCATGGTGACACAGTATGTAGACCATATTTTATACTTCTAGAAAACCTTTAAAGTTAGAGTCGTCTATTGAAGATTTTCAAAGCTCTTCCCAAAAGACTTTGCCGTGTGTAGTTAAGTTTTATATTATCTTGATTGTTCTCTTTCAGGCTATGGTGTGAATGATGCTAGGCTAGGCTGTAATGTAGCATGTTACCCAGAACGACCAGTGACAGGGTTCTTGAAGGCAGTGGAGCAGAGCCTAGATGACATTTATGATGTTTTAGAAGCTGTGAAAGAATAACACTATCATAATCGGAGGGAAGTTATACTTGAAAACTTTAAAAATAGATGAACATTTTATATTATCAAATCAAAACTTGATTACAGCAGTCTAAAATGCACAATCAGTTTCCATTTCCACAAATGTTTTAATAAGGCCTCCGTCACCAATTCGCTTATTGTGTATACTTCATTATCTGCATACAACCCATACAGAGACTTCACATCTTGGGCAATCTATCTAGCAATAACAGTAGATGTATCTAAAGTAGGGTTCCTCTTGCCAATAGAAAATACTTTGAAAATACTGATATAAGAATAACCAGGAATTTTTGTGTGTATGAAGGTTCGATCCCCACTGGGGTGGACTGACTTTTTTTCACACCAGCCCTTAGCACAGGATTTCATTCTGTGTTTTTATTAACTTATACATAAGCTGTTTAGGAATTAGGAACCATATCATTAGCCCATCACTTGTAGTGCTAGGCGTGCTAGCCTAAAGTGTGCATTATCACAGAAAAAAGAATTTGCTTTCTTGATCAAAGAATTCCCAAGGACTTCCCAATCTTGTTTTTTTTTACTTTTTTGAAATTCCTGTATTCTTATCTTATGTATAAAGATGCATTCTCTCTCTAAAATAGCAAAAACTGTTCAATACCATTCGAATAAGCATTTTCAAAATTTCTCTGCAATAAACCATTTTGTAGTTATTTGTTCTTTCTAGGCCTTATGTAGTAGAGACCCCACTTACACACATTTCAGATGGATGAAATCACATTCTTGTGATATCAATGTGTGATAAATGTGTTAAAAATGCACATTAGTCTTTACTGTAGGCTGAACACAATGCAATGCAATAATAATGGGAAATAGAATCATAAAATGATTTAATTATTTATTTTATAGATATACTTTTATATTTCTTTAAATTGTATATAATATTACTTCAATTTAGTTGAAATAAAGATTAACAGAAAACATAATTTTTGAAAACCATTGTTCATTTATTTATTCACAGTTTATAGTTATGCTATTGTATTAATGTTGACTATTCAAGCCAACTGCACCTTAGAGTCACATTGTAGAAAATAAAATGTAATGTGATTATGTGACACTCATTTTGGCAATGCTGTGCATTTTCATTTTGAAATTGAAGTATAAATATGAAGCTGTATACCATCTGACTAATGAGATAATAAGTCATTTTAATTATCTGAATTATAAGAAAATCTCTTGCATCTTTACTCACAACAGTAGACCTGAACTATATTTTAGAAATATCGACCAAAGTGTAGGTCTTATATTGACGAATAAATACCCAAGGGCTAGGCACAAATTTTTCTGTACCCAAAACAACCGAAGGGAGTGAGAAGTGAGAGGTAGAGAAAATGTTTGTGCCTAGCCCAAAGGTATTTATTACTCAATATTTGATCTGAGGTCTATATTTTTGCAAAATCGTCACTTTGTTTCCAACTTCCAGTTTAAATTAGCGTTTAGCACTGAACGAAACACTTAGTACAGACCAGGTATTGTATCGATGAATACATTGTGGGTGAAATATTGACTTTGTTCACAGTTTATAGAAGGCATGAATACAGTCATGTTCAAATAAAAAAAATACAGTTTACTCTCTTGGCTATTTAAAGTAACAAATGTTTTAACAATAGTTTGTCAATTACATATTGCGTAGATAATTATTATGAAATTCTTTGACTAGGTGTACAAACTGAAATGTTTAAATTATGCCTTAATTAATCCTATTTAACCATTTATGCATTATTAATATCTTAAACCAATCAATTATGCAATGATTCTCATCATTCTATTATCAATTTTGATGAACTTCCAAGTCTTGTATGTCTCCAATGCAATTCTCAACTCCTCATCCAGATCAAAAGTAACTAACTCTGAAGCTTACTCTGCACATTGTATAATCCTTCAATGTAGCTAGGGCCTGGTACTAATTTTAAAATTCGCACAATCATTATTACAATTGTTGACTAACTTTTCCCTGTAAACTGCACAAAATATTCACAGTGAAAGTGACTATAATTGTATTCCAGCCCCTCTGATTTTACTGCCCTTTAAATGAAATATGTCATGTTTTTGCTATATACATTATTACACCCAAAGTGGAAAATGATTTCAAATAACAGTTTTCATTCTTTCAAATTTTTTCATACTTGGAATCATAAATTCTGACTGTCCCCTGTCATACTTCTTACTACACATATCAATAAAGTTTTGGAATTCATTTCTTGTAGACTTGAGCTCTTTTTCTACTTTTGCTTTTAATATTTCTAACTCTTTGATATCATTGTGTAATTGATCAATCTCTGCTATACGTCCTTGTATTGTTTCTTTTAGCACACTAATTTGATGTTCATAATAATTTTTCATGTCTGCTAATTTCTGAGCTGCGATTTCTTGTTCCTGAGCCCGGGCAACTCTCACTGCGTCTACCTTGATTGCTGTCATTTTTTCCGTGAGTTGTTCCAGTGCTGACTGTTTGTCAGCAGCACATGCTGCGAGTGCTTCTGCGAACTTCATGGCATGTTGCCTGAAATGACAAAGATTGAAATTATATACTGGGAAATGACTAGTGCTACTTATTCAACTAATGTATACACTTGTAAATATTTTTAAGTGTTTTGGCCTGATATAACATGACATCTCAACATGTTTAAGTTTAAAAGCAAAGATATAAAAATTCTGTGTTTTTGCTTACATAATACAATGTATATTTGATACCATACTTTATTGCATGAATGGGTAATATTGAGGATCTGATTATCAGAAAGATACAGGTAGAGGGGTAGCCTGAATCTCAAACATCAATCACTATTCACATATTAAAAACTTACTGTGCAACTCTAGTTGCCTCATCTGCAGCTATCTTCCTCTCTTCAGCTCTGGCTTTAGCAACCGCATCAAGAAGCTCTTGGTGACATCTCTCCTCTGTAACGCTAACAGCATCCTTTAGACGTTTTTCTCCTGCTGAACGCTCATCCTGTACTTGATTAAAAGCTATTTTCTGTTGTTCTCCCATAACACGTAGTATTTCACTCTATAAAAATCAAAAGGAGAATTTTCACCCAACAGAGCAAGCCACAATTATTCAAGTGTAAATCAACTTAAGAATTATACCAATGTGTCAGTCATTAAAGAACACAAAGCACACTGTTGTTTACTGTTTATTAATCTAAACCCTATTTTTGAAAATATGGGGTGATCCAAAAACAGAACCACCCAAAAGAGTAATTATTTCTTTGATATCTACACAATAAGCCTTATTTTCCAAATACATAAACAATAGTATATTGCTTGATAACAATATAAGTCCAATAAAGTTTTAGTACACATGACTTGAAAAATGTAAGAATGCATTTAGATGTACAAAAATCAAAAGCAGGAATCATATCTAAAGACTATGAGTAAAGCAGAAAGACATTCAAAAGAAGATAGAAGTCTAGTTTTCCTTGGATGGATTTGTCATAAATTACTTTGACTAAATAGTCAACACATGTCACTAATAATTAATAAGTTAAAATAGAGAACACTTTTGGGCAATTCTGTTTTTGTAACTGTGTAATTCTTTTTAAATACTTACATTGATTTTTTTGTCATATGTCTTCATTAGTTTTTTCTCTGATTTTTCTTGTTCATTTTTACATTTTTGCTTGGTTCTTTCAACCGCCTCTTTCTGAAGTCCATGAGCCTCATCCCAGATTCTACGCTCTGTCTCTTGCCTGACTAGTTCTTTTTCTTCTTCAGCTATTTTGATTGTTCTTTTCTGGATTTCCTGTCCAATATCTGAAATAAATCATAAGTTTATGACATCAGAAATGATTCAAACTGGAGACATTCTGTGTTTTGATTAAATAATACATTAATCAACAGAATTAAATAAAATCTTTTGAATCTCATGGTAGACGATTGGTAGACCTACTTACTTATAATTTTTCTGTGTGAAAAGTCTTGTACAATGACAGGCTTAGTTTCTTCATATCTTCTTGGGACTGCTTTAAAATGTACATGTGTTAGTCCAGTAAGAGATGGTAAGGAAAGATTCACACCATGATCCTTGGTAGCCATAGTTATGCTAAACCTGAAATCAAATGAGAGCATGGAGGTATATTTGTGTTATACATCCGTGATGAGAGAAATTTATTTTTTAGAATATTTGTTCATGTCAGATTCATCAGGGGCCGGTAATTCGTACGATCCCCACTCCAATCGGGATGAATTCTATTTTTTGGGATAAATCTTGGATTATTAATCCGATAAATATTTGGTGAATTCGTACGATATGAGGATTATGAGGGGAATCCCCAAGATTTATCCAATTTGCATTGGAATTTCGGATAAAATTTATCCATAAAGTAATCGACCTCAAGAGGTGGATTTAGAAATCATGGGCTCTACCACTGATACTAGAGCCCATGATTAAATCTTTAATTTTTCTATTTCAGTTGACAAGATCAAGATGTCAATCAACTCCTATGTCAATTCACCAACATCTCTTCCCAATGTCAATGGAAAAAATAATCTAAATTGTGTCTACTTGTTACTCATGTAGTCAGAAGATAGTAAATAGTTATTACCTGGCATGAAAATGTCTAAACTTCAGAAATAATTAACTTTTTTATCCTTGCTTACTTTTTCAATATTTACTAGCGGCCTAACAACAATATTTGACGCTTAGTGGCCATGCGCAGAAAAAGTAATTCGAGCATTTTAGTGTGCAAATGTGGTTGTTCTCCGTAATTAGTCATATTTTTTATTTATCTAGATAGAGTATTTCACGATACTTATAATATCATAGCACATACCTTATTATTTTTGCAGAATTTTGATGTTGCGGAAGGATATTTCGATGCAGATTGTCATAGCAATCTTACTTCTCGCGAGATATTGGCGCGAAAATGACGTCAAAGCACTTCCGACACAAAAATATTCAGAAAATTTGAGCAGTATTTTCAACAAATTACGTCTATTGCGACAATAAATGTAAGTACCAACCCTACTTTTATGTTATGCTATATGTATGTCATATATTGGAATCGTATAAGGGGTCATTTTGTATTCGAAAGTGCCAAAAATGGATGTTATCCATTTTTCTATTTTTAATCGTAAATTAGCTCAACACGTGGTCGTTTGACTGGACTTAAGGTCAGGGTGCATGATGGGAAATTTTCTGCATTCCTCAATTGAGTCACATGTTATTTTTCTAACAAGAATCACTCCTTCCCCGCATTGTCTATATCTTCCGGTTTTGCACAAAGAGTACACTTATGTGCCTAGAAAAGACTTGTGAGAAGAATGTTTTGATCAAGTGTATAAAAAACAAGAAAATTCAGTGAAAAAGATCAGAAAATTTTCAGAAATATTTTTCACTGAATTTTCTCATTTTTTATACATTTTACAAAACAAACCTTCTCACAAGGCTTTTCTAGGCACATAAGTGCACTCTTTGTGCAAACTTGGAAGATGTAGACAATGTGGGGAAGGAGTTATTTTTGTTTGAAAAATAACATGTGACTCAATTGAGGAATGCAGAAAATTTCCCAACATGCACCCTGTCCTTAAACCTGCACATCGCTCCAAAACGCAATATGTTGACATATATTGTTTTTACATTTTCAAGCTCTAATATAAAGTTTATGTAAATAAAAATTGTTTTTTTCTGCGTAATATCAAAGAACAATCATTTAGTTAAAAAAATAAAAAGGGTAATGCGGGATTCGAACCCGGGCCTCCCGCGTGCTCAGCGAGGGTTCTACCCGCTACACCACCGTATTATTATGAAAGGAAAAAGTAATTAAACGCTACTTATTTTGAATGCTATGATTCGGAAGTGACGTCACGTTCTTCATTTAGAAACCTTTCCAAAATCATATCGCCGGCACCGATCGAAGCAAATTCAATGAAAAATCTTTGAAATGACACATTTATCGTAAGTATTTCTACACAAGATTTGCCCCATTTGTTCATCATTCTATAATCTTTCATTAGCTCAAAATGATAAAGTTCACCCCTGAAACAACCCAAGATTGCGTTTCGGAGCGTAGTCCAGCTTTAAACATCTTCAAAATGAATTAGAAGGGCTCAACTTGTGACGAAGAATATTCAATTCAGTAGGAGTTTCTTTATATGCATTTGTGTCTTGTAGGCAGCTTCCGATGAATGTACAAAAATATGTTTCTGGAAAGACCACTGTAATGACCTTCGATAGCAAGTTGCTACTACAGTCTCAATTGTAGTGGCTAGCCTTTATGGCTCAGGGGTAGAGCGTCTGACTCTGAGAGCGGAAGGTCCTGGGTTCGATTTCCGTACGGGGCATTTAGTCATATAAATCCGACCGTTGTATGCTGTTCTTCGATATTCCTTGTTCTTATTTGGATATTTATTTTTTATCATTTTTTTGCATATACGGTCGTAGATATTATATGGAACAAATTGCGGTAAACGCTTTTCTGGCTTGTCTTGGTAACCATAGTTACCATACTAACCAAAGTCACACAAATTATCACGTAATTATTTAGCTCCAACATCAAAGTGTTAAATCTTACCTTAGACATGTTAAACGCTTGATAATTGACGAAATATAATCAATTGAATTATATTTTCATTATCGCCCGCCATGTTGCTAAATGTTGTTTCCGGTAGTCTAAATGTATAACATGTATCGAAACGGAATCATAATTATTTATTACACAGAGATCGATTCCAAAGCCGTTCTCTTCTCAACGACACTGCTTCCCTTTCAACTGAATATTCGTGTAACAAAAACTTATGATTTCGTTTGATATAGTTTTACATCTAGACTATCAGATTAACCCGGAAGTGACCTTGGTAGTTGAAGCAATGAAATTAATTTATCATTTGTGTGAATTTGGTTGGGTAGACATGCCAGGAAAGCAATTCCCGCAATATAGAAGCGCTAGTGTTTATGACCCTCGTATGCAAGAAAATAAGAAAAATAAATATCCAAATCAGAAAAAAATAACAACAAATAACATCATACGAGGGTCAGATTTATATGACTAGGTGCATTGAATTTAGCACATTCTCTTTCGAGTCTAGTATCTGGCTCGGTACACTACAGCTCCCCGACGAGCGTGCCCAAGGGTCATTACACCACCATAACAGCAATTCAATATATAGATTTTGACCTTGACTAAACTGGAAATTCTAACATTATTATACCTCAGAATGCACAAACAAAAGTTTTGCTATTATAGGTAAAAAGTTGTCATTGGTCCGCCATTTTTGCGGAAGTTACACTGAAACCCAAACTCTGTGAAACGAAACGAAATCACTAGAAAAAGACATGGCACTCATCATGATTCGTGAGCATGCGCACTAAAAGTTTAAACCAATCAGATTATTTGATTATTTTTCGCACATGAATTACATGCTTCTGAGCACTTAGCTAACCACAATAAAGAAACCTGGCGGAGATTACCCGGGCCCTTACTTCATTTTAGCAAAATTCCAGCTCAAACTCGTGACAAATGCATTATGCATACGCTGGTATGAAGCCTTGGAGACAATCATTTTGGTAAATATGAGATGTACAGTGTATACTTTTCTGCAGTTTGGGACATTAAATGTTAGAATTCAAGAAAATATGCGACTTAAGCAACTTATCAATTAATTTGTATCAGCACTGTAGATATTTTTAAACATAAATGTCTGTAAGAATATCCTAGAAGGCGGACTTATCAGGGGAGTTCGGGACGTTAAATGTTAGAATTCAAGAAAATATGCGACTTATCAATTAATTTGTATCAGCACTGTAGATATTTTTAGACATAAATGTCCGAGACGGCGGACTAATCAGTGAATTTCATAGTAAACCAACACAAATTGCGGATATAGTATATGGTATAATGTGCAGGTAGATTTACCTGTGATATGGTATAATGCAAATTCAAATTCCTTGTGTTGTACCGTTCAGGGGCTTAGTCAGCTTTCAGTCAGGGGGGTGTGATTGCCCAAATTTTCAGTCAGGGGGGTTGCAACTGGGACAAAAGCTAAGCAAAATTATGTTTTCAATATCTGTTTTTAATATTACAAAAACTGATGCAACTTCCTTCAAAATTGAGCTATTTAAAGCTCTTTTCTTCTATCTAATGGCTCTCTTTTTATTGGTAATGGGGGGGGGGCACCCATTTGCAACCCCCTGGCTATGTACTACATTTAGAGAGATTTGTAGGTTTAACTATGAAATTCACTGTCAAGTTCTCTTTCTAGGATATTCTGACAGACATTTACATATAAAAATATCTAGAAACTAGACTAGATCTTTCTAAAATGATGAAAACATCAGTTTGCTCAAATTTCATCACCCTCGTTTTGTACCTTAACCCATGCGTTTAACTGCCACGCTTAATTTGGTACACCCTGTGCCCATAGTCAGCACCAAACCTAGCCAGGCTCTTGCCATGCTTGTAAAATACATTCATATTTTACAAGCAAAACATTTGTATTTCAGATTAATTAGTTTAAGGTCTCTGGGTAGTTATCAAAGATTTACACCAAATGGGAAACAAATAAATCATGCGGAATTTTGAATTTTAAAAAATTAGAGAGTTCTACTTTGACCTTCAGTCAGTTTTTACTACTCTCATGTCTCATTTACATATCATTTACATAACCAGGGTCACAATTGTCATGACCCTAAACATCATGAAATAGCTTTTTATACAACCCTCTGAAATTGTAACTGAAAAAAGAAGTCTTTGAAAAATATATTGATATTTATGAACAAAGTTCCAACAATCTTTTTTTTTATTATCTCAAAGAAAATGTCTGTTGCTAAATGAAAGAAAACTTTCAAAAAGGAAATCTATGGTTAGGATTCTGTAAAAGGATGCCATGAATAAAAACACTAATGACAGTGTAAAGGATAATTTGTAAATAAGTATCTATAAAACATTTTGATAGAAAAGCTTCATAATGAAGGATTTTTTAGTTCCAATACAAAGGCAAAAAGTTTTAACCCTGGCTTGTAGCAAGTACCATAGAGTTGCTTACAAGACAGAGTGATTCCTTTGAAAAGACACAGAAAGTTTCTTTGGGAAAAAACTTAGTGCCTCATTGGGCTCATTCATCTGTTAAGCCTGATATGAATGAAAACTGAATACTAATGCTGCTGTATTCATATTTTGACATCCACAAACCGAGATATACATTTTAGCTGGGATTGATAATCAGTTATAGGTCAGGTAAAATGCTCTCTTCATTGGGGTTTTAATTCATAGTCTCTAATATTTTTGTGGAATGTTTGGTGGTTGGAGTTGGCATCCAGCATTTGGTGTTTACTTTGAATAATTACTTACAAATGATGAAAATGATTGACACAGCCTAGCAATGATTTATGTTAATATGCTGTTGCTGTAAATGCTGAAAATATAATTTAATGATTTATTAAATCAAAGATAATTTTTTGGTCCACCCTATACATATACAAACATTGATGAATATCTCCCTTAAATAGTAGAGTCTGTATAACACAAAATGTAAATGTGATCTTTATACACGTCTTATCTCAAATATGTTTATTTATCAGTCAAAATTGAAGAAATGACACTGATGATTATTAATCAGTAATATATTTGTTTGTATCATTTTTGAAGAGCATTTACTTTAGAATAGTGTAGTGTTGAAAAATTGTTCCGTGGTTAAGGATTCAAGTACCAAACTTTGTAAAATATATCGTGAGTGGTTTGCTGTTTCCTTTAACCAAGACTGTAAGCCAAGGTTTAAGGCTAGCATCCAGGAGTCATATATGGCACATACAAAGTATTGTGTCTGGTGCTTAAATCTTTTCACACATGGCGAAATAGTTTTATAAAGCGAAATAAAATTCAGCTCCAGTACAGTCATTTTGACATCTGGCCAATTTTCACCCAGTTTCTTGATGGATAGAGCGTCTGACTGCCAATCCTGATATCTGAAGTTCAAATCTCAGCGAAAACGAAATTTTATTTTTATTTTTCAACCAAAATTCATTTCTTTCGACTGATTGCATTCATTCTGACAGTTGGTTGTTCTTAATATATCGGCGATACTTTGCCCATAATATTGCCTCATGATATATCTAAGGTATGTAAGATATTATTTGAGCCATTATAATTGGACATTACTGTTTGTTTGAACAGCCAATGGAAATTATGAAATTGATGAAGATAATCAATTTCATTGCATCTAAAAACATTCATCTGTTGTAGAATATTGAATGTATATTATATTAAATACTGTATTTTGATTGGCTGTATGTGGTATACCATGCCTAGCTGTGTGTGTATATGGCAGTCAGTTCGATTGATTGTAACTGAACTGTCTGAGAGAGTAATTTTTACTGGGCTGATTACAAGACAACAATTAAAATATAATCACAGAAAGTATGTATTTATTAGATTTGTTACAGCAGTCATGTAATGGTAATCAAATGAATTGATAATAATGTTTAGTTTAGATAGGCAATATATCTAATGCCTTTAGCTGTAGAATGATGCAGGACACTGGGTGATTTAATGCACCCTGCCTGCTGTGTCATGTATGCTACCTTTAACCACCCTCTTCAGAGTCTCCTACAAGATCCTCGTGCTTGAACTTGTTCAAAACTTATTTGGCCATGGGCTTAAATCCTTAATACCATATGACATAAAAATGAATATGATTTACTGTAATCAAATGATACACTGATAAAGTTTATACTTCAACCTTTGTATTTAATGTTAAATTCAAAATAAGTCAATGAACGTTAGCTGAATAGAAAATATTTTTATATTGCTTAAGATATCGATTATAAGGGGGGGGGGGGGGGTACTGGAAAATGCTGTGTTTTGGTTTTGATCACTTGGCAATGAAGACTAATTCACACAAAGCTAGGCAAGATGTGTCTGATTTCAGCCAATCTGAACAGAGTATTCATATAATGAACAGTGTGTGAAATATCAATAACGCATTTGTTCTGTACAGTTGCTAAGTGATTGATTTTTAAAGTGTGCGGCAATTCAATATAAAAAATAAACTTTTCTCTAAATTTTGAGAGTACGCCATGGCATTTTATGCGTATATGATGCTACGGCATTAGTATATCTGTTTCTGGAAATGGAGGATACCACATTAATAGTACTTTAAGTTTATTTTTACATGACTGTATAGAAAATATGATAAGCAAATGATATCTGAAAATCATATATATGTTGATGTCACATTTTGATCACGACAGACATACAAATATGGAAAAATAGATAAAACTTCAGAAAAGAATTAAATATATTTTTGACATTTTGGGCGACTATACCAGAAATTGTGCTACATAAAACAAAAATGTTAATTATTTATAATTCTGGACAAAATTCAAGATTCCACAAATCTTTTGGCCAAATATATTTCATATGTTTTTGCTCTCCAGAAATAGAAAACTGAGAAAATTGATAATCACTTTAATTCAATAAGGCTAATCAAAATGAATATTGCTAACATTGAATTCACATTTCCTCATTCACTAAAGAACAAATCTGTGGCTTTAATTTTATGTCATTTCTTCTTCAAACTTGTCATTTAAAATTGGCTTAGTTACAAGAGATTTGATAATACCACATTTCAAATTTTCCTGATTGCATTTTTTTATCATTACATAGCCAAATATTGACTAGAGGCCAAACAATATTTTCGCATCATATTTGATAAGTGATTACAGTAGTCGCAATCACACTTATTTATAACATGACACTGATAACATGTGGCCGGTATCTCAACATATGGGTCAGTCTTTGTCTTCAGTGTACATGTGATGATATATTCACATGGTGAAAAAGACATTCACATGGTGATAATTCCATTGCAAGGAGGATAGGATTATTGAAAAAAGAAAAAGATTGAACTGAACTGTACATGTACTACTATTATACAGTGCTTTTGATTCTGTATCCAGGGATTAATAATTGAGCTATAATTAATGGACTGTAAAACACTTTCATGCCTCTAATTCAAAAAGGATATATTCATTAAGCAGATGGATAAGACTTTAACAAACAAGAGAACGAGAGTTGCATAGCAGTATAATAGAAAATCATCGAGAAACCCATAAAATATGGATTTTGATTATGATCCATGGGGTAAATATGATATTATTGAATTTCTTTAGAAAAAATCTGGTTTTGAAATTTAAAGAACTGCCTGGATCTATGATATGATATGCAATAGGTACAATGTGAATTATAGGTTTAATATAATTACTATTATATATAGTAGCATCACGCAACAAGTATTTATCCAGCAAAAATAAAAGGTAGATTCATATTATATTAATGGTCAAAGTAACCAATGCAATGGTACAATCACCTGATTTGATGCTGGTTTGATAGATTCAATGTGAACACGATCAATAAATTGCAAATTGTACGTCAGATTTATTTCATTCTGGCATGAAGTTCCTGGTAAGATTGCACTAAGATAATTGTAATTTTTCTGCCTAGTGACGATTGCGGAGATTAACATATTGTTATGACAGGCAGTGACTGCAATTACTGAACGGGGATACAAGTGCAACATATGGAATAAAGGCTCTCTAGCTCGATTTGATCAAATTTGATGATAATTCAATAGAATTCAAGTTATTTTAAATGTTTAATTGTTGTGGATATTGATATTCAGGATTTATAATTAAGGAATTCAGGTTTAAGTGAGTATGAAAACTTTTTATAATACAATTGCTTAGATCGCTCCTTGATAAAAGAAATCAAGAATGTTTTGTTTTTTCACTTCAGGGCATATAAAGACTGAAGGGCTATCCTAAAACATATCAGGTTTTAGCTATATATCTTTGCAGGTTTTTCCAGATGTCACAAAAAGGCAGACTTTTCACTTTCTAGTAAAAATAGTTAAGGTCCTAATCGTGCAGTTTTTCACCATTCTGAGCATTTTTCATGTGAATTTGGGCCAAATTTGCCAAAGCGAACTACCCCCCTAGAATTTATTTGAAAAATGACCCCCCTTAGCAATTCCTGGCTATAGGCCTAAGATATAATTATTATGTTTTATTAAGGATAAAATAAAATTAATATTCCGTGATCTTCCTAGGGATTTACCCAACAGTGAGCTAAATCCTAACAGTGACTGTTTTGGTCAAAATAGCTCTGAGTATTTCATTCTTTTGCAAACAGATTTGCAAGGGAGATAGCATGTCTTTTTACAGGGTAGATGCACCTGGCTGTGTTGATTACTGAATTTACAATGTATGAAATAAAAACTTAAAACTAACCATATTTTTTTAGTTTCTTCTGGAGATAAAATTGTCACAAGGACGACATTCATTTCACTGTTACAATCAATATCACGATATTTACAAAGAGCAAACACTTTTTTTTTAATTAATATAAAAACACTTATAGATTTGCAGTGTTGCTGTTCTCCTCAAGAATTTTCTGATTGTCAATTTGTAATTTTTTCTAATTGTTTGTTTGCAGGAAGCGCTATGAGTGGGGACAGTGGCATCAACGAGGACATGCTGAACCTCATTCAGGAAATCAACAATGGGAACTTTAACAGCACAATCTTTGAGAACCAACCTCTCGAAAATGACTCCTTTAATGTCCTCCCAGGGTTCACCATCTCTGACGATTTCGATCTCGGGATTGGAATGGATCCAATTCACTCACAGTCTTTGGAAGATATGTTGAAACCTGGGCTACATACTGTGGCCTCTGATATCGGCTCAGGGCTTCATACTGTTGATTTAAGTACTGTTGATGAGCTGACGCCATCTAGTTCAAGCCAGAGTTCAAAGTCACAAATAGAAAATAATTTTTACAGCAGTACTAACAGTGGAATAGAGGCCTCTGATCTCGGGAGCTTATTGGAACAGTTTGAAGAAGGTACGTTACAAAGCTGTCAACCGCACTTGTTATTATTGCCCCTTGCATGTTATTATCGCCCTTTAAAGAAGTGCTGTGTTTGTTGTGTTGTGCTTCCGGGTATGCGTATAGGCAGGCAGGTATCACATAAATCTTGTCATCAAAAGGACAAGGTGCAATTATTGGCAAATATCCCTATGGTCAAAATGAATCATTTGTAGGTGTAACATGAAGAATAAAATGTCATATAATACTTTGGAAAATATTAAAGTGCTCGGACACACATAAGCTGAGATAGGGATCATTTCGTTCAGTAAGGTTGTATTGACTTACATGGGGTTATGCACCATTGACTTAACATGAGGATATCAGCAGATCCCAATAGAGGCCATTGGTTTCCATTGATTATCACAGGAATACCAAGAATACACTATGACCTGAATCGATTGCAAACTAATAATTTCACAATACGACACAAATGGTTTATCTCATCAAATGTGCAAATATGAAGTTTGCAATCGATTCAGGTCATACTTAAAATTAAAAGATTGTACATTTTTTCATCATTTTTTTCCCTACAAAATGGCTATAGAAAAATGCTCCAAAAACAACTTTTACACTTATCAAATATCATACAAGTTTGTAAAACCAAAGATTATACTATTATATTTCATTATGTAGTAACATATTTGGATAAGATGCAGGGATGCGTAGGATGTAAATGGATTTTGACAGACACAAAAATACTTCCTGGTTGGAATCTATGCCTCTACACTTCATGATTGAATTATGACCCTAATAAGTGGCCGATACATAAAAACTGCTGAATATAGGTCAACAAGATACTAGTGTGCATATAAATGTAATAATTGAAGCAGAATACTCATTTTGAAAAATCAGATGAATTATTTTTTTCCCATGGGGAGATCCCAATGGAGGGTGTATAAGGTCCTTTGAAAAGAAACATCCGTTAAAGTTTTACAGTGCAAGCGCAGACTAGTGTCAAGATCTGATTAGGTTTTGGGGATGTTGGGTAAATTACATGGCAGCCATTTTGCTTGATCTTCAACGTGTCATCTTTATCACTGTGTCTTGTTATCACTAGGGCTGGAAGTTGAAGTACTGATGTTCGACATTTATCTCCAAAGCAATTAAACAATCGGGTGCTGCACCTAGTGACATCTATATCTCAAATTATACTTGTCCAGTCTGGTCTAGCTCAGTGAAACTTGCTTTTGGCTGTTCATTCCCTGTATCAAATCAGATCTTTTGATTGAGTTAGCTAATAAAAAACAGAATTCACTATGTAACATATTTTTATTTTTAAGTCTAGTCTAGCTTGTGACCCCCCTCCCCCAACTACACATTCCTGTCTGATAAGGTGTGTAGTCAAGTAGAGGGAGGGGGTATTCACAGGTGCTAGCTAGACTATTTGAAGTCTTGTTTTACATACAAGTGCCTGTTAGTGTATTATTATGTCACCACCAAAAGTGGTGACATATTGTTATGGTCTCCGTTTTTTTGCGACGGCGGTTGGCGTCCGGCGGTTGGCGTCCGGCGGTTGGCGTCCGGCGTCTGGCGGTTGGCGTCCGGCGTCTGTAACAATTTCTTACAACTTCCTATAACTTAACAAATACTGTTTAGACTGACTTCAATTTTTTTCTAAATCATCTACATGTTCTCAGAAGTTCAAATCTGACTTTAGATTTGACATTTGACCTTCAATGACCTTCTCAAGGTCAAAAAGGTCTTTTTTCAACTTGCTTCACATTGACTAAATTTTTTTTCAAAATCATCTACATGTTCTCAGAAATTCAAATCTGACTTTAGATTTGACATTTGACCTTCAAATCTGACTTTAGATTTGACATTTGACCTTCAATGACCTTCTCAAGGTCAAAAAAGGTCAAAAAGGTCTGTTTTCAACTTGCTTCAAATTGACTAAATTTTTTTTTCAAAATCATCTACGTGTTCTCAGAAATTCAAATCTGACTTAAGATTTGACTTTAGATTTGACATTTGACCTTCAATGACCTTCTCAAGGTCAAAAAAGGTCAAAAAGGTCTGTTTTCAACTTGCTTCAAATTGACTAAAAAAAATTTTCAAAATCATCTACGTGTTCTCAGAAATTCAAATCTGACTTTAGATTTGACTTAAGATTTGACATTTGACCTTCAATGACCTTCTCAAAGTCAAAAAAGGTCAAAAAGGTCTTTTTTCAACTTGCTTCAAATTGACTAAATTTTTTTTTCAAAATCATCTACATGTTCTCAGAAATTCAAATCTGACTTAAGATTTGACTTTAGATTTGACATTTGACCTTCAATGACCTTCTCAAGGTCAAAAAAGGTCAAAAAGGTCTTTTTTCAACTTGCTTCAAATTGACTAAATTTTTTTTTCAAAATCATCTACATGTTCTCAGAAATTCAAATCTGACTTTAGATTTGACATTTGACCTTCAATGACCTTCTCAATGTCAGAAAAGGTCAAAAAGGTATTTTTTCATCTTGCTTCAAATTGACTAAATTTTTTTTCAAAATCATCTACATGTTCTCAGAAATTCAAATATGACTTTAGATTTGACATTTGACCTTCAATGACCTTCTCAAGGTCAAAAAAGGTCAAAAAGGTCTTTTTTTCAACTTGCTTCAAATCGACTAATTTTTTTTTTCAAAATCATCTACATGTTCTCAGAAATTCAAATCTGACTTTAGATTTGACATTTGACCTTTAATGACCCTCTCAAGGTCAAAAAGGTCTTTTTTCAACTTGCTTCAAATTGACTAATTTTTTTTTTCAAAATCATCTACATGTTCTCAGAAATTCAAATCTGACTTTAGATTTGACATTTGACCTTTAATGACCTTCTCAAGGTCAAAAAGGTCTGTTTTCAACTTGCTTCAAATTGACTAAAAAAAATTTTCAAATCATCTACATCTTTTCAGAAGTTCAAATTTGACTTTACAAGTTCTCAGAAATTCAAATCTGACTTAAGTTTGAACTCATAATATTGTGAGCAACTAGGTGGTGACATTTTGTCATGTTAATGCCTTGTATAATATGACATGATTGGCATAAATGCACATGTGAATATTTATATACAGGTGTGTCTGTGTGACACATCAAATCCTTGCGACATATTGCTCAATACAATTGCAAGTATTAAGTAGTGTAATAAGTGCCTTAAATGACATTCTTTGTGTTTAGCCTAAAATGCAACATCTTTTTTTCTCACTTAATACATGTATGTTATATGCAGTGCCTACACTTTTCATTGTATTGTTATTCATACCACAAATAGATACATAAAAAACTATAAGTTATTGAATGATTTGAAGTGCAATTTTCCGTATTGGAACGAGATGAAGTCGAGTGCCAATACAGAATATTGAGAGCAGAATATATCCTGTATTGCACTTCAAACCATTCTATAACGTTTTTATCGTGTGATCCTCTTGTTTTGCTACTGAGAATGTCCCCTCCGTACCAATAATTTCTGTATTTTTCTGTATTTTTTTTATTTCAGTGTCTAACTCTGCAAGTAGTACAGGCAGTGCAATGACACCTAAGAAAGATGGCACAAATATGAAAGATGCTGGCAGTGTTTATATGTAAGTAAGCAGTGAATACTGTAATGGTATGATTATAGAAATTATAATCATGCATAAAGTGTGTACTCAATTACTGTACAATAAACATAACTTATGATTTTTTCATGTAAACCAAGGGTGTATGTTTAATACTGTGATGTATTATGAATTCTTGCATATTATGGAAAACTTTTACAGATAACTTTACCTGAATTATGTAAAGGGATCATATTGTACTCAATTGTTTACTTTAAAAGAAGGATAATTGAAATATGTGCCATGACATTTTTGTCATGCTTTGCATTATTACACATGTTACATTGTTACAAAGACAAATTAAAATTTAGATATGTTGTGTTCTAATTAAATCCATGCAATTCCTCACTGTGAAATGTGAATGAAGAGTATTGCATCAAGTCCCTGCCCTCTCATTTAATATCCTTTCCCTTGAGAGAATATGAGTAGGTGGCAGCTGCAATATAGGGGTTTAATGCAATACTACTTTACAAGCGTGTAGGAATACTCCTTGTAATGCACTTTCTCTCTTTGTTGTAGGTTCAAAAGCATTGCAGCCCCCAAGTCACTGTTATCTACCATGAGCCTTCCAGCGAGCCCAGGTATTTATATGATAAAACAATAACCTCATTTCAAAGTGCAACATAGTTGGCAAAAGGGCCAAGATTTCACTATGTTGCCCGCAAAATGAGGTTATTACTATTGTCACCATCTATTGAAAACAAAGTACTAACTAGGATAAAGATCACTATGATCCAGCACTATGGCTTCACCTATTGGTCAAGTCAATATAGTTAAATATAAACCTTCTAAACTAGTACTATTACCCCGAGAACAGGCTTCGCAAGGTGGTAATATTGTATTTTACCAGCTATGTAAAATAACAGGAATCATGATTTTGTCTTTCATATGCATTTTGTTTGACACACAACTATACGATCAAGAATCAATAATTTTAATCGATTTGATGCTTTTTATTAATTTTGGTTTACATATGACGAATCTAAACATACGGTTTAATCCTATTTGTGCAGGTACTGCAAGATATATCACTTGATATGTCACATTACATTGATTCAGCAAATTGAGTTCGAATTGAAACATGAAATTAATGATACATACAAGATGTGTTATTAGAATTTCGCACATATTGTGTAAATGAATAGCATCCGTGTGGTAATTTCCAATATACCATTAGGAATTGTCACCTATGTATTGGTGTAAATGAATCACAAATCTGTATGGTTTTCCAGTATATCTGTATGTAATCAGCTGGCCTGTATGGGCCTCTGTCGGGTTCTCACGAATCTAGATTCATGTATAAATAATCCATTGCCACCGAAATGGGTAAAATTAAGAACAAATTAAGAAAAAGCCTAGGGAGATGATTCCCGAGATAACAATTCATTATTTATCCAAGGTTTTGTTATTATTTTTCAGTAAGCACGCCACCAAGCACGCCTCCTCCTGAAATCATCAATAAAATCAAGGCATCCAACAAACAGAAATCTGCCATCTTGATACCAGCAGTAACAGCTTCGAATAAATCTGGCAAAGCTGCACTTATGGAATTACATAAATCTCAATCTCAGCCAGAACTTAAACTATCCATACAATCCAGTCACAAACCTAAAGTAATGCAGTCAACCCCAAAAACTGAAGTTCCATTATCTAACCCAAAAACTGAAGTTCCATTATCGAAATCCCTAGCTCCTCTGGGACTTGAAACGAAAAAAAAGAGTATCATGCTAGAAGTACTTACATGGGATAAGGAGAAAAATCCAGCCCCATTGAGTAACAGGGATTTCCAAAATAAGGACAAAAAAGATAAAATTAGCATTAACTTAATGTGCAATGGCAAAGACAAGAAAAGCCTCACTAACATTCTTGAACAGAATGGCAAGTCACAAAAATTGAATCGTAATTTAAGTATAGAAAAGGAGACTAAAAAGCGAGCAAGCCCTATTACCTTAGAGGAGTATAAAGAAAGGAGAAGAGGACGGCTTGACGGCCGAGGAAGTGGGAGTTGCTCCCCTATTACTACTGAAGTGAAACGCACATCTAGTCCTAGTTTACCTAATGTAGTTCTACCTGCCATTCCAGATCAAATCCTCGTTGACCATGGCTATAGTACCATACAGCCTAGTCCCAAGATGATAAAACAAGTATCAGAAGAAGTTGAGGAAAATATCGATAATAAAGACGCACAACCAGATGCTGCAATAATAAAACAGCTATCAGAGCACATAGGAGGAATGATAGAGGTCGCATTTAACACAAAACCTGAAGCTTCTGAATCGTTTGGCGCTCCTCCTGATGGACAATCTAGTACAGGCTCTGATTCATCAAGTAGGGATGACACGTCATCAGCTGTTGATGATCAACCTGATGATGAACATATGGATATCACAGAAGAGCTAGCATCATCTACACTAGTTAAACCAGAGCTTCAAGGAGATGAACCTATGAATGTTATGGAAGAGGAGCCATCGGAAAATCTGGAGGAAAATATTGTTGAATTTGAAGTTCATGATAGTTCGGAACCTGAAACTGTAGAAATTCAACAGTTATCTGAAGATGTGAGCATAATAGTTGAAACTGACACTGTTAATGACACACATGTTGATGAAACACCACAAGTTGATGTCTCCAGTGGTCATGTAGAAATAAAAACTGAAGAGATTGATCTTCAAACTGATATAGTTGATAATAGAATTGACACAGAAACGGTGTCTGATGAAACAACTATTCCAGCCAATGACGCTGTCAGTGAAGTTAATGATACTGTCAGAAATAGTGAGTGCAATGAACTTGAAAACAACAATAAAACCACACTTGAAGAAACAATGAACTCAGAAAATATTAGGTATTCAAAGTTCAAAAATGAAAAAAGTAGTTCCAGTAAGGAATGTTTGAGAGGTAGATCTCATCGTGGCAGAGGCCAGAAGAGAGCTTATAGGAAACGCGATACAAGCCCAGGCAGTGACAATGATGTCTACTTTGATAAAATTCCCCAGTATTTCACGGCACTAACAAAACCTGAAAAGCCACCTAAAAAGACTAGCGATATTAAGCTAACTAGTATGTATCATGATGACATAGATCGCGACAGATCCCCTATACGTGAAGACGATACATTTGATAAAGTTCCTGGTTACTACAGTTGTTTCACCAATAGTACAAAATATGATAGCACTGGTCCAATGACCATTCATGATGTGAATCGACAAGTCACAAGTGCAGTATCAAGTCGCAGTAACTCTCCTCTAGTCATAGACTCTCGTGCAGTATCCCGGGCGAACAGTCGAGCTTCCTCAAGGTCATCTTCAAGGTCATCCAGTAGCAGTTCAGGGTCCTGCTCTTCTTGCTGTAGAGGCAGCTCATATAGTAGATCAAGGTAAAAATAAGTGGCTGCCCTCTTTGTGTACAGTACATTGTGAGGTCATTAATAGTGATGACTGCGAATGGTTGACATTATTATCCTGGCTATAATTTCATGAAACCAATACAAAAGATTTGCAAGTTATCATGTGAGAGCCATGAGATTTAAGTCTAAATCTTTTCAATAGCCAATCATGTTAAGGGGTTTATGAAAACTGGAAAGTGAGGTCACGAGGATTGATTTTCCAAGTTTGAGGTCACCATTCAGGGATGTATGAATTATAAATAAGATAAATTGATGAAATATTTCTATTGGTTTCTACAATAATTTGTCTAAAAGAAAATTTGTTCCTATATTTTTGATATTTTCTTTACTCCAGACAGCATAAACACATACCAATACCCAGACATTTATATTTTATGAATTTCAACTTTTTATTGTAACTTTTTTAATTTTTGATTTTGGATAACATCTGTTGGTAGAGGTACGAGTGGAATTTATTTCATTGTTTTAAAAAATTATCTCCAGATCAAGGTCACACAGCAGAAAGTCAAGGTCATCTCGCAGATATCATTCAAGGTCAAGGTCACGGGACAGGAACAGAAGGAGTAAAAGAAACAGAAGGTTAGTATTGCATTCTTTAGAAATATATGTAAGCCTATTATCAAAACAATACTTAAAATGCGCAATTGGGGAAGCAAGAACACAGATTCATCTTCATGGTGTGGAATCAAAAGATTCAGTTTTGAATTAATGTATTTAGACTCTTCTAATATATCTTATAAACTATACATTATAGGCTACAAAGTGTGAGACCTCCTCTCTTATGAAATGTCCAATGCAAGATTGAATGCACAAAATTCAAATTTTGTGATATAAAAATGATCATTCAGAATTTTTCAGTGTTTTACTCTAGGTTCACATTTACTTCATAGTAACTCACTTATTATTGAATTTTCACTAATGTTTGATAAAATGTATGTTTTTTAACGGATATTTTCTCTATTACAGATCATATCGGTCAAGATCACGTTCGCACATATCAAGGTCACACAGATCCAGATCAAGGTCATATAGATCTAGGTCACGTAGATCTAGGTCACATAGATCTAGATCAAGGTCATATAGATCTAGGTCAAGATCATATAGGTCTAGATCAAGGTCATATTCACCAGGAAGGAGATATAAATCAAAGAGAGAAAACAGATACAATATACCAGACAGATCTAGGAATGGTAGGCCGCTTGATGAACAAAGGGACAAACACTTAAAAATAGTAAGTTTTCTCTTTTTTTTAGCAAAGGACCTGATTTGAAGTTTACTTAATTAATTGATTTATTTAAAGCATTGAGGTTTTACTGCTTCTCACAGCCAGCTCAGATTTGTTATTACTGGTTGTTTACTCATTCTGTTATATACCTGTGTAACCATCTGGCTTGGTTGTAGTATCAGGATGACACTGTTGCTGAATTTTTTTTGATTGTTGCATTCCAGGAGGAGAGAAGAATTGTTTATGTGGGAAGGATTGGTTCAAACTGTGTACCTAAAGATCTCGAGAGAAGATTCGAAAGATTTGGTCCTATTGACAAAGTGACTGTTCATTTTAGAGAGAATGGGTAAGGCATTTTTAGTAACCTAAATAATATGCAATTACTAGCCTTATGTGGTGACATTCTATGTGTGAGTCAGAATATTTAACCAGACACATTATTTGATGAAATACTGGATAATACAGCCCATATGTATTACATGATTATGAATCTACATTTTTAATATTTTGCAATGGACTGTAGACTAAATGGATGGTTTATGGAATAAGAAATTCCAATGGTTGATTTTACTGTACGTGTACTTCAATACTGTTTCTAAATATATACTTATACTGTATGTGTATTATTTCAGGGACAACTATGGCTTTGTGACGTTCACTTATTCTTGTGACGCCTATGCCTGTGTAGAGAGTAAGTAATAATGGAGATTTTATTAAATTATCTCATTATTACACAATTATAAAAACTTTACTTTTAACTTTACCGCAAATTGGGTTAATTTAGTAACTTCAATTTTGCAACAATCCATTAAAATACCTTAAAATAAAATGGTGAACTGGCTATTGATGGAGACTTGAAAATTCCAAATCAACAAATAAAAGGAAGCACCAGATCAATGCAAATGTTTATGGGGTCTAATTTTGGGAATTTAATTAGAAATACATGTACAAGTAAGCATTTGTTTTATGGCTATCTAAATATCACCATTCACTGATGGAGTGTGATTAACATGTGTTTTAGAAGGCAACGATATCCCTGGGGAGAGAAAGTATGACTTGTGCTTTGGGGGTAGGCGTGAATTCTGCAAGACTGACTACTTAGATCTTGGTAAGTAGGCACTAGAATGGCCTGATTTTTCCAAAGATAATTTTCGGTTAACCATTTTGAAAAGTCAACTTTGATTGGCACTAGTATAGTCTGATTTTTCCAAAGATAATTTTTATCCAACTTTGATACCATGTTAATTGTTATAGCCACCGTATTTTTATTATGATTGGCAGTCTACATTTGTGTCATTGAGAACTTCAAACACTTCTTTAGCCTTTGCAATAACTTACCATTTGGTGACATATCATCATGCCTAATGCCTACTCTAATGTTCTGTTTACAGATAGTAAAGCAGAAGAAGAGGAATGGTACGGTCCACAGGAACCTAAACAATCAGCATCTCTAGACTTTGACGCACTATTGAAACAAACAATGTCAAAATTGAAAAAGAAGAAATCCTAGTGTAGCCTAGAGTCCTTGTGTAAGGAACCCCAGGATTGCAGTGAAACCACAAGTGACCTGTAGCTCCATAAACTGTGGTTCATGTATAGTAGAAACTGAGTGGCAGTCAATTTACCCGTTGATTGACTCATATCTGGACCTGATTTGGGCCTCTAGTGTACTCAAGGAGAATAAGGACATGTTGACGATGCATCAATAGCTTAATAAGTTAATGAATGTATATTTTGATTGGGCTATTATCACTCATGAGTAGTCAATGTCCTATAACATGGCTTATCAAACTCCTAAATCAGGTCACATTACCATAAATCACCTATACCCTGTAAATGCAGTTGGCAAAAGCCATCACTAATGAATATAGCCTTGCACCACTGAAAGCAATGAATGTCACAATGCAGGCCTGCATCAATGGATACTAGATTGCACCAAAATCTCTGTGTTTTACAAAATAAATCAATAATCATTATTAATTTAGAGATAATTACTCCTCTGCTACTGCATCAAGTTGGCTTGTGTATTGTGAGTTGACTCTGTGACTATTGAAAATGGAAGACAAGTGCGTCTGTTCTATCCAAGAAGTGGTAACTTATAGTTAATAAAATATATAGTCTAGTATGGTATGCTCGATTAATAAATTATTACATGTGATCGGGATTTCTATAATCAGATAATTATTTATCACTGGGTGCTTGTTAAATGACATATAAATCTATGACATGAGACATATAAAATTCCCATGAACATGTGGTACTGGGTAGTACTGTATTCAGTTCAAATTCCTTTGACGACTAAATGTTTTTTACGTTTTTACAGTATTCAGTAATTAAAATGTCTGTTTTTGTATAATTTAGCTTAGAATACAAAATGCATGTTTGTTTTGTTTTTTTTCTTGCTAATGATATTTTGTTCTCTTGATTTGTTCATGGGCTTTCAATCTAGTTGAAAGCCCATGATTTGTTGTACTTCAAAACTCAACTATTGTGACATTTTTACACAAGTAGGGGTTGTATAACTATAAATGGTGTATGAATATATTCCATGTTATAAAAATAACAAATTGCAACGTAGTGCAGCCTTTTCATTTTCAAAGTGGCAAGTTAGGAAAAAAACTGCCTGCCATTTTTCACAATATGTTTATCTAATTATGTTTTCGCATTAAAGGATGAGTTCTTCCAATTTGTTTTTGTTTAATTGAATGATCTGCTAGTTGTAATAAAATCATAAACAATGAAATGCCAATACTGTTTTCTGTTCAGTGATCTAGTGGAATAGTATCTAGTAGTTATACTAATTATTTAGATATATTTTCAAAAATATATAGTCTAGGCTAAAGCGAAATAACAAGGGCAGAGGTAATATTGGACACACAAAAATATACATTGATGCACTTCGACATAAAATAATTACCCACACCAGTAAAAATTAAGGAATATTTTAATGTAAGATCGACTTGTGGTTCAAATGTATTTGATAACTACAGTAGAAAGTGCCTTAGTGAACTGAACTTCTCTAGTGAACACCTGTATTAGTGAACGCCACTTCAGAACACATTTTTCATTGACTTCTGTATTGAATCCCATGTCTGTAGTGAACACCTACCTATAGTGTACACTTTTTTATGGCTCCATAAGTGTTCACATACAGGATTTACTGTATATCTTCTCAGATTCATCAAAAATTGATTGTTGTTTAGTGTTTACCCTGTATTGGGTTTCCCTGTTCAAAACTTAGACTAAAAAAAGTATGACTACTAGGTAGTTACAAGTTTCACCACCAGGTGGCTAATTCGGGGCAGATAGCATGGCAGATATAATTGAATGTTCCTTTAAACTTGAATATTCACCATCACCCTTATGTATCAGTTAGTTAGACAAGTTATGTCCAGTAAAAGAAAATATCTGTCCAATGATTTTATAACATGTGATCTATGGGGAATCTCTGACCAAGAAGTCATATTTTCAAAGAATATTTTTTCAAGTTAATAAACACTTTTTAAAACCACATTTCTAGATGACATAAAGAGTTTAGAAAGAATATCAAAAATGAAGGAACAATTTCTATTTTTCAGTTTACATTTAATATCTTTGATCCATGTGTATTACTGCCATGGATCAACAACCTTGTGTCACTGTTGGCTTCACTGAATTAATTGTTCACTTCACTTGAATCAATAAGGGAATTATTGCTTTGATTAAATCAACAGTGTAGAAATTAATGGCTTCACTGACCACTGGTGAGGAACTTCTTGCCCCACCAGATCCATTAGCAATTATTATTAGCTGTTTGTCAGTTTGTTTCTAGACTAGTAATTATACTGTTCATCTCTCCACACATGTCATTGTTGAGCTACCAGATCCATTAGCAATTATTATTAGCTGTTTGTCAGTTTGTTTCTAGACTAGTAATTATACTGTTCATCTCTCCACACATGTCATTGTTGAGCTTTCATGTGGTTTTGGCACCATGTGAATATGCCAAGTTTCCCCTAAAGTTTAAAATTTTTCTCTACTCTGTCCTTCATCATTCTCATTTATATATCCATCTTGAATAGAAGCTTGTGGATGAATTTCAGGAGTTTGTAGCTCACAGCTTGTTTTCTGTGTGGAATCGTCTTCAATGTCAGGACTTTTTTGACGAGTTCTATCACTCAGATATTGTGTATCGTATGTTGTATTCTCGAGAGCCGAACTAATGAGCAAATCACATGGTCCAATGCTGCGACTGGTTTGGAAAAGTTGTCTTGCCTTTTCTATAAGTCTCTTGTGGTATTCATGCACATTCATGATGTTCTCAACAGTTCTGATGACATCACCACCGCAGCGATCTGAAAAATACAAACAAAAAACATCAAGATCTAAGATTATCACCGCACCTCAATATTTACATTTCTCAGGACTTTGTTTCTGAAGAATTAACAAATTCTTACATGCAAAATAGATTGTGCATATGTGCATGTGATGAACAGTAAGTTGAATATTATTAAGTATACTAGTCCTAACCCATGGGCTTTCAACTAGAAGCTTTTTCTCACAAAAATGTCACCTACCCAGTATTGCTTGCAGTTGACTGGACCTATGCTGTGGGAAAAGCCGCGCTAAGACCATGAGGTTATTTTGATTCAGTTCAGTTGCATTTGGATACATTTTGGCTGATTGATCATCATGGTTTATAGTTGGTGATGGTGTGAATCTCCAGGTTTGATCGATTGGAAATCCTTGTGCACTATTATCATTCATGTCTTCAAGCTCTAGCTGAACATGTGTGGTTGCCGTGTTCTCATGATTTTCATCCTGGATAGCTGGTGCGTTGTTAGTGTTAGCACCTGTTACCTCAACATGGGTAACATGTTGACGAAGTATTTCAACTAGATCATTTTCCCTGAAATAAAGACAACTATACTTTATAGCATGCTAACTCAAGCTATATTTCATTAAAGAATTTAAAAATAACCTTGGAAAATATATTTCTTATATCACTCTTCATTACATCAAAAAGGCTCTGATACAGATGTGGGGGTGTTTTGCCTGTTTGTTTGTTATTTGCCTCTTTCTTATTTTTGATATTTACTGATAGATGAACATGTTGTCTCCCTAACACTGATTTCAACAAACCTGCTCATATTTCCTTTACTCAAAGCTTTTCAGTGACTGGATTGATCTCGATTATCTAGACTTACAACACCTTTTCACACAGTTTCAGCTTTTTCAAAATTCGCGGTTCTAAACTCAGGCTTGAATTGAATAATTCACGAAAATATGAAAGCCTCATTGAAATAATAATAATTACTCGCAAGGGCGATTTTCATCTGTTGTTTTTTGTAAAATTCAAATCAAGACAATCCTGATTTATTCATATAACTACTTAGAATACGAAATGAAGTAAAGGATAAAGAACACGATGAAGAATGATGCATTTATTTCGTGATTATAATAGTACCGTCTTTGTATCCATACACTGAAAAGAACAAAAAGTGACACTCGTTTTTGTTTCCCGAAGAATTTGAAAATCAGTTGTTCAATGTTTCTCTGTTTTCACCTTTATTTATAAGCAAAGAGATGTCTCACCAAGGAGCAGCTTTACAGGGATACAATAACGAATTAGTGAAATGTATGCTTTGTTTATTTTCTGTATGAGAATCAATCAAAATGTGTTTTTAGAAAAAATTTATTTTATTTTTTGGTGTTCAATTTTGATTTTGAAATATTTACTTATTTATCAAAGAAATGTATACAAAACATGCAACATGTCACAATCTAAGACACCACAATGGCATATAAAAGAAGTATCATATGTTAGGGAAAAAATGTTTGTTTGTTTATATCCAATATTTGTGGTGCTTTAATGCCACCTTATATAGTCTCTGGTGCTGGTTTTCACTTTGTAGTCTCACTGATGTGGTTTACACTGTTGTTTTGTAAGAGTTTATTTTTATTTTGGTTTTGCTTAAAAGTCCTTATCTACTTATAACTAATGTTTTATTTACACTTAAAATCTTTTGCTTTTTATGATGTAGGTGCGTAATACATCATATAGCTTTTTATTCATGTCCTTGTTTAGTGTTTGATTTTCACCAGCAAGGGTTTTCAGATCCACTGCACATGTATTTCCACTCTCTAGAAGTATACAGTCTGCATCATATAGCATTTTATCCCTTAGATCCTGGAGTTTGTCGCATTTAAATAAGTAATGGTCAACTGTCTCTGGTTGGTTGCAGTTTAAACAGAGGTTAGTACTATGTATAGGGTTTATTTTCTTCAGATGGCTGTTAAGTCTGGTGTGACCACTAAGGAGTTGGTTTGTAATGCAGAAGGTTCTTCTGTCAGATTCACCTAGCAAAGGTCTCTTTCCTACCGACTCAATAGAGCATTGGATATACCCCAATGTTCAATCTTCTATTTATTGTAGTGGAAACAAAACAAACAAAACATCAACCTTCTAAAAATTTAATGACTTACTTTCCTTATCTCAAAGCTTTTCAGTGGCTAGATTGATCTCGATTATCTTGATTTACAACCCTTTCACCTTTTCACACAGTTTCAGCTTCTCCGACGTTCGCGGTTCTAAACTCAGTCAAACTAAGCATTTTTGAAGAATTTGCAGTCTGTTTAGATTTGATTTGTAATTATTGCCCCATATCTAATTCCAGTAATAAATATGAGAATAGATAATATTTCAGTTAAAATTCTTGAAGAAAATTGTAACTTGGCCTAGTTGAAGAAAAGTTAGAGTGTTCATTGGCTTGTTCATAGGTTGGGTAATGTCAACGGAAGCATGTGAATGGAATGGACTAGTTGTAAATCATGTCATATAAATATCGATTTAATACAAAGCCTATATCAATGACTACTATGATCAAAAGTGTGGGATAATCGAAATTTGTTTTTTCCTCTTATTGATCCTTTCAAACAACTTTATTCATTCAAGCAAATGTCCAATCAGATTGTCATTGTCCAATAAACCTGAGACCTCTTAGTTGTTGGTTTTATGCTCTATCCTCAAGGTGTAAAATCCTAGGCTGGAATAATCACACTGCAAAATGCACTGGTATGGGTATTTTTGTTTTATATAACAAATATAATATTTTCAGGTATAGAAGACTTATGTACAAAGCGTGATGATTTGCAAAAACAAATACATGAAGAAGAGGAAGAAAAACGAAAAGTTCAGAATGACATTAGGATTCTAACTGAAAGACTAGCAAAAATTAATGAAAGCCTAAGTAAAAAGATGGCTACACGACAAGAGTTTGACAAAACCATAGCAGAAACAGAGTCGGCATATATGAAGGTATGCATTTCAAATTAATAACCTTGTCAAATAACAGAACACTTGAATTTGATATTTTGTTTCGGCAGAAATTCTACACCATAAATCTTGTCATGATGGATGGAGTTTCAAATACAACTCCTAACATTTAAAATATAAAATATTGTAATTTACTTAAGATTTTACCTCACCGATTGGTTAAGGTTATCGATCAATTAGAATGCAATGAACTAAATGATAAACCTAAATATTTTGTTTTGGCAGAAATTCTACACAATTAATCTTGTCATAATGAGGGAATTTTCAAATACAGGTGACTCAATTGGATAAGGTTTAATACTTAATACTATTCTGATTAATTAGAATGCATGATTTCAATGAAATACATTATAATCCTAAATATTTTGTTACCCTTCAGATTCTTGAGAGTTCGCAGACTTTACTAAATGTGTTGAAAAGAGAATCTCAGAATATAAGCAACAAAGCACCAGCAGGATCCATCATCAGCCAATCCAGGATTAATACTGCAGCTCCATGATGTAGATTGAAAACAGAGACTATATATAGGCAATAGAACATGGACTATACTGTAAATCATAGACTATGCCAAATTGTAGCCTAAGACCACATTTGAGGAATTATAAATTATAATTTAAAAATGTAACAGCACCACACAAAAGTCAATATGGCGTACATCACAAACTAAATACATGTAGTATCATTAATGTGAGTAATACAGTCTATTTATTTTGACTGAAAGTGATGTAAGTTATTAAAGGAATTGCATGATGATCACTGATGATTTTCTCAATAATGTCCATCAGTTGATAACAACTTTACTTGTATAAATATGTTTATTAGTGATAATTAATGGAAAAAGCAGAGAATGTTTGATTGAACAATTATAATTCAATATATACTTGTATATCATTCTAGAAATTGAAGTAAATCTGTTTGTATAAAATAAATTCATAGTCTATGTTTAGTGTAATAGGACAATTATATTTTGAAATATATTTAATTTAAAAATTAACTTATTATGTGATATCTTTATTCATAGAATTATCAAAAAAGGTTTTGATTACAAAAAGAGGACAGAGTTGGAATATGGAGGAGGTGAACCACTATATGTCAGTTTTATCTAAATGTCATACATACTTACAGGTGAAGGCTTATTATCACCGTTCCCAGTTTTTATGCCACCACCAGAAGTGGTGAATATTGTTAGTGTCCAATTTTTTGTGTATGGTGTTCAGTGTCTATAACAGTGTCTGTAACAAATGACAGTTCTGACATTTTACATGTTAATGCCTTGTTTGCAAGTTGAAATGATGAATCCTGCAATAAAAGGCATTTTTGCAGTTTTACATGAAACATGAAACAAATATGCCAAAAGTATTGTGAAAGTCATTCATTTAATTCAAAGTGAAGTTAAATGTCAAAATTAACCAGGTTTTTAGGTTCAAAGGTTTTTATTATCAAAATATGTAGAACAAACACAGCCGAGGTAATGCATCATTGGCCCTGTTAATTAAGTATTAATATAGGCCTATGTAAAAGATAAAAGTTGCAATGAAAAACTTGTGGGTCAACTAAGACAGAAATACTACTCACTCAAAATCAAAAAAATTAATTGGAGAAAACGTGCAGTCATTTCAATAATTTTCTGATTTGTCAGACATGATAAAGAAGATTCACCATACAACATTAACTTCACCTTGTCTTGCTGTTAAGGTGCAGTGGTACTTAACAGGAAATGACAATACAGGAAGTGACGAAAAATGTGGCATTTTTAGACATTTTTTGAACAAAGATAGGGTCATTCTGACCATGGCCATTGTGATCCTGGTCCTGTAAATGATATGTGGAACTATTTGAATTGACTGGAGGTCAAAACAGAACTCTGTTATCTTTGTTCAAAAAATGTCTAAAAATGCCACATTTTTTGATACTTCCTGCTTTGTCATTTCCTGTTTAGTACCACTGCACCTTAACCAGGGTCGAGGGTACACTCATGTTGAATTCCTGGAATATTAGACTGCTTTTTTATGCTCGCAATGATGCAGGTTTTGTTGATGAAGTAGACAAAAACATGAACAGTGTTTGTTGTAACAATTGAATTCTCTTTATTTCTAAATTAGTTGTGCAGAATATTATAAAACTATGTCTTTGATATATATTTGCATTTTAATTGCACAACCAGCTTTAAGTGCTACAAAATTAAATCTCTGAAAAATGTGTTTCTTATATAAATTCTGTACTGTTATAATCCTACCCAGTAGTAAACAGTTATGGTGCAAATCCCTATTCCCCGTAAATAACCACATATATTTTATATCAAGTGATGATCCAGCTCTTGTCATGGAGATATATTCAGAATACAGATTATACTAGTATGCAATTGTGTTGCAGACCTTTATATCGTTAAAGGGGAACACATCTTTTTACCATCTACCAAGACTGGCCCCCAATTTATTTTCTTCCTCTTAAAACCAAAACATTTTTACTTTCAATATTCAAGTCAAAAATATAGTCTCAGAAAAACATTGGTCCCTAGGACCGAATGGTCTGCCAGCTAATTATAGTAAGACAGGTTATATGCAGCCATGTGCTGGACTGACAAAATATTTAACAACTACACATGCCAACTACAATTGTTCTTGAAGAAAAGTTCTATTGCACATGTGTTTGAGACTGAAATATTTCAAACCGCATATTTCCAGATTCACTTTTAAACATCCTTTTTCTCTTACGATATGTCACACTTTGTGCCACATTTTGTAACTTCAAGCCATATATATTAACTATATACTAATTCACATCTTACATCATCTTATTCCCACACTCTGAGAATCTTTCAAATTCCACTACCGCGAAAGCACCAATTCATAAATATTAACCAACACATAAAAACTAGTAGTTAAACGGGGTCAAACATGTTATATCACAGATTTGATCCATGATAGACCCCTCAATTGATTTTGATATTTCACTAGTACGATTTGTACTTTTCCAATTTTTCAATGAAATTACAAAGAGTCTGTTGGTTTTTATATGCATCACTGAGTCCAATCATTCGCAGATTGCCGGCATAGTAAATAATTGTCACTTTCATTGTTTCAAAGGCCTTCATTGCATTCTTCAAGGAATCCATAGAAACGCTCTCACCTGCAAACATAACCAAAATAGATTTAAAAAAGAATTGATTTATGTGGTGCCTGCCCGCGGCCACACATGCACCCATCAGTCCAAGATAATGACAATAGCACTTTTTAAAGTGTGATAAAAATTTACTTAAGTTCACATAAAAAGTAAATCTCTACACGCTGACACAAAAATCAAGCAAGTTATGGGTTGCATCTTGCGTTTTATGTTTCAATGTTTATTTGGACAAATTAATATGAAAATCTGCCATCTGATATCTGGTGTTCATTCTGAAGATACATTTCCTGACCTATTTCATGTTTCAATTTATCAACGTTATTGTACTTAACACATCTTACAATAATCAGTGAGCCCCTGATTCACTCTACTTCTTGTGTGCTTCTGAAGGTTTAACAGGAAATCCTCCTCTGAAAAAACAATTTTTTGTAATTACCATCTGCAAAAACATTTATCTCCTATATTATTTTCTCTTTTTCATTTGAATACAGTGTCCAATTGTCACACATTTCTTTAGAATTCAAACTTGAAATAACAAAAGCATTTACTTTATTCATTGCTTATTTCACATTTCATTTCTTTTTCAAAAGAATAATGGAGATTAATTTGTAATTTAATATTGCCATATTGCAGATATTTAAAACTAGAAATCACAAATTACAATCTTTTTCTAATGAGCTCTATGTACCTGGCTGATCTTCCTGTAGCTTGGCAAGTTGGCACCCAGCAATCCAGTATGATTCCACAATAGGGGCAAGATATGACTTGAGGAAATGTAGCATAGCTTTGTGTTCAAGCACTTCTAAGTTCACCTAAAATATATACATTTGTAAATATGAAGTCAGGGATAGTATAATTATGAGATTTATCATAGGGACATATATGATATCTCCATTATGATTTTACAATAGGAACAAGATATAACTTATGGAAGTTTAACACAGCATTAACACTACCCAACAATATACACATGTGATACAATGTCAGGGAGAGAATATGATTTGATACCCCTGAAAGGGATAAAGGCACATGCATACATCCATGTACACATATTTAACTAAAGTGCTACAATGCTACATTACAGTCAACAAAAAATGATAAATTAGGAGGTTTGTAGAATGAACTAATACATATATCTAAAGTATTTTACCTTCAAATATCTATCAGGTATGGGCAAATCATCGCCATCAGAGTCACTACTGTTGTCAAAGTCCACAGACTTAGCAAGTCTTTGTGCCCATTCCTTGTCTTTGGTAGAGTAACCCGTATCATCCTACAACATTTCACAGGAAATTAGAAATTGAGTGGTTTATTCTGGGGGAAATTGAGTGGTTTATTCTGGGGGAAATTGAGTGGTTTATTCTGGGGGAAATTGAGTGGTTTATTCTGGGGGAAATTGAGTGGTTTATTCTCAATGAGGATTATTTGCATATAGGTATCAACACAGAAACTAATTTATGATTTTTTGGGATTACATGCTCTTTGTTCTTGTGAGATAATGGTTTGCTACTTCATCAGTATCTGATGGTTACATCTCTAATCTCTGGCCAGGTTTATTTTAATAGGGCACACTTTTACAATTTTATCCAAAATAGCTGGCCCAATAGCGTTCAATATTGATAAATAGCAGCCTTGTCTCAGTAAAGTATGGTGACATAAATTTTTTCGAATAAATGAACCATAAAATAAATATTACGTTTGTCACAAATTATTGCTGGTAGATCTGTAAATAATTTCTCATTAAATGTTGACTAACCTCATCTACATAAAATATTTCTTTCACAATAAACTGCTCCAAGGCATCAGAGAGGGCATTGTCCAGACTGCTACAAGGCTACAAGATCATAAAAAGCTGTTAACATCTGCATTACTAATATAAGTAAATCCCTATATCAGGGTAAAGTGTTACAAAGGCATAATAATTATTATTATTATTATTTATTTATTCAGTAAGCTAAGTTTTGAAATACATACAATGAGCGGGTGACACAAATTGTGTATATTCCCGACAGGGTGGTAAGTTGCCTACATAGAAACAGAGGGGGATCTGTTTGTGTGCAAATGCTTGTAATGGATGGTAAATGAATTGTGTGTCATAAAGCCCAAAATATAAAGTATACGAATGATAATCAATTATTGACAAAGTACTTTTTCAGTTCTCTTTTCATGATGTGAACACTTCGAGAAGATTTAATCTTGTTTGGTAATTGATTCCAAATTGTTGGTGCCGTGAAAGTTAACATTGAAATGCCATAGTTCGTCCTTACTTTAGGTTTATCATAAGAATCCTTGTTTCTGGTATTGTGATCATGTCTCGCCTGGACCATTTTGAAAAAGTTAGGAAAAATGTTCTGGTAGTTATCAAGCTTATTTATCCATTTATACATGAATAAATATTTCTGTTGTTTGTGTATGTCAAAAATATTCAAAAGGTTTAACTGTTTGAATAATGGTAGGGAATGAGCCCTATAATCGCTGTTTGTTGCAATGCGGGTGAATTTCTTTTGCACAAGATATAGGGAATTTAATGAACTACATGTTTCACCCCAAATAACATTGCCATATATAAGATGGGAATATATAAGTGAATAATAGATACTCATAAAACCGCTGATATTCAACAGTTGTTTAACTCTATATAAAATACCAATTGTCCTAGAAATTTTTGCATTAACAGAAGCAATATGCCGTTTCCAGTTCAAATGGTTATCTATTGTTATTCCAAGAAAGTTAATATGATCAACTTGTTCAAGTTGTTTGTCATTTAGATAGATTTTTATATTATTTGCATTAAATCTTTTTTGTCTTGAGGAAAAAATGATATATTTTGTTTTATTAGCATTGAGTGATAATTTGTTTGTGACCAGCCATTCCTCAATATGTTTGAGTTCAGTGTTTAAAGTTTCTGTCAGGTCATGTAGATTTTTGCCTTTGATCAATAAATTAGTATCATCTGCAAATAAGACGAAAAATAGTGTCGGAGAAGAAAGATAAATATCATTAATATATAATATAAAAAACAGGGGTCCCAAAATTGAGCCTTGAGGAATACCGCAAGTGATCAACTCACGATTAGAGATTGTTTCCTTATATAAAGTTTGCTGAAATCTATTTTTAAAATAACTTTTTATCCAGTCAAGAGCAACACCACGTATACCATAATATTGAAGTTTGTCAAATAGTATGTTATGATCTATTGTATCGAAAGCTTTGGAAAAGTCAATGAATAATCCTATTGTAAATTCACCATCATCGATAGATTTTCTGATCTTTTCAATAAATGTTAACACACCCATGAAAGTTGATCTCTTTTCCCTAAATCCAAATTGATTAGTATACAAAATGTCAATGATATCTATAAACTTTGTTATTCTTTTATGCATTATTTTTTCCAAAATTTTTGAAAAAACAGGTAATACAGATATTGGCCGATAATTGGTGAAAAAATGTTTGTCATCTTTTTTATAAATCGGTATAACTTTAGCAATTTTAAGTTGGTCCGGAAAAACTCCGTTTGAAATGGATAAATTAAAAATATGCATTAGAGGCTGATATAGAACAAAACCGCATTCTTTCATAATAAAAGGTTTAAAATCATCATGACCTGCAGCAGAAGGTTTTAAATTAGAAATTATTTTTTGTAGTTCGTTAACATCAACTGGGTCTAAAGAAATTGAAGAAGCCTGTTGACCTAATGTTTGCATAAAATCTAAAGGTTTTTTATCTGACTTTGGAATTTTGGCAGCTAATTTTTCTCCAACTTTTACAAAGAAATTATTAAACTGATTAGCTATATCCTGTTTGTTGGTTATTTTCACATTATTTTGAATGAAGAAGTCTGGAATGTTATTATTTTTATTCTTTTTTTGAAGTATCTCATTAATTATTTGCCAATTTGCCTTTATGTTGCCTTGATTCAGTTTAAATTTGTTATTATAATATTGCTTTTCAGATAATTTAATTGTACTTTTTAGTTGATTTGCATAAGTTTTATATTGTTTTTTATTTTGATCTGTGGGATTTCGAAGATATTTCTTGTATAGTTTGCTTTTATATCTAATTGACTTAAGTATGGCTGACGTAATCCATGGCTTTTGATTATTATTGTATAGTTATAATAATTTTCAAGAGAAAAAGTTATGACTTATTTCGCTATAATTTATTTTCCATGTACAATGTATTATATCATATATGAAGTAGACCCTGCTGAAGTTTAAGCAAGTTGTTCACATACATAGGTGTTACTGTTTTTGCCCACAATGTACATACTGTATAATGCGAGACATTGATGTTTTAGTACTCACTGGATTAAATGTGTATTCAAACTGCAATATCTCACATAATTGTGTTGCACACTCCATGAGTCTCTGCTTGGAGATTGTGAGATTATTTCCCAACATTGACGCCTCCTCCCAGTTGCATATTGCATAACAAGCAGTAGCTGCAAAGAAAACAACAGACATTAAATACTTTGAGGGTCATTATACCTTATATTGAAAGACACCCCCATGGGATGTTCTAAGATTTAAAGGTCTCCCTTCATAAAGAGATACTAATATATTAAAAGAAAAACATATATTCTAAAAATAATGAACTGTAGTGCAAAACTGGGTAGATCCTGTATCAATTTAATCTAAAATGATCTTGCTCTTACCAATGACACTGTCCAATACAAAAGCAGTACCAGCAACATTGCCATAGTAGACTAGTTCAAATACATGGGGGAGTTGGATTGTTGGCTTTAACCGAATACAGCCTGGATTGCAACTTGCCCTAAATAAATAAATAAAAAACACATTGAAATGCCATTTTATCATAGACAATCTTCTAGGATTTTAGAAAGATTTTAAACTTAATAGAATAGCCAGGATATTTTAGACAGAAATATCCAATGAATAAAAAATAACAATACGACAAAACAAAGACAGCTGTCATTTATATAAAATTCTGTTGTCTTCAGACCGTTGAACTATTACCTTGCTTTAGCAATCTCAACTTCCCTATATTATATTTTGATGCTAAGCTAGAAAACTCCACGGAGTACCAAATCCCAACAAACACTATATAAATCATGAATCTGTACAGTCACAATGTAATATTTACCTTCTACTCTTCCCTTCAATAAATATTTGAGATCATTGTAGTGTCATGTTACCATGATATATGAAGAAAATCTGTCGGCGAGTATTCAAGTGATCTTCCAGACAGATGGTTGAACTGACTGACTGATGAACTGACGGACAGACGGACTGACGGACAGAGGGTTTCACTATATCCCTACTGAACTTCGTTCATTGGAATAATTAAGACTGTGATTACTAAAGCATACAACTACTTGTACATATTTACCCTTCTGAATCATTATCAGGTATTGACTGCTGAACAAGATGGGAGCCAAGTACAATGCAGGCATAGAGCACAATGTCAACCGGTTCACCTGAGAAGCCCACATCTCTACCTTTCAGCATTAGCTCTTCCCTAAGCCACATAACACTACTTGCTAGCTCATCCACAGTGCAGCCCTGTATGGGACAAGAGGTCACTTTAAATATGAATATCATTGAATGTCCTATGTCACCCATGGTAAGATTGACAAATATTATGAATTATTGTATCACTGTCAATTTGACACTCTCTGATTGGTACATGTGCTACATATCTAGTAATAATGGACATTCTTTTTAGGTGAATAATTATACTGATAAATAAATAAAGCCGGAAAAATTAGCTTGAAGGATATGATTGGGACCACCTGATATCAAATTTGTATATTGAATTCTGGCAAAGCATTTCCATGAGATACCATGAAAAGATCCAAAAGTCAAAGTTTTCGAACAAGGAACATGACGTTAATAAAAACACTTCACAAAGAATCTACCCAAAAACTGTACTACCTGATATACTCAAATATGTGTACCAATTTGAAAATAACCCAGGAAAGCAGTTTCTCTTTGAAGGGTGATGACAAGATTTACTAAAAAACTTCTAAAATGGCTAACAGAAAATATGATGACTATCAAAAAAATAAGTTGGTACCCTTTAACATATGCATACAAGGGACCAGAGGTTTTTCCTGGAATAATGATGGCAAAAAATGGGAAGTCAATCATGATCATGCTCACAATTACAATCATGTCACAATCATGACGACAATATCCCATCAGTGGTGTGATTAAAACGGACTTGGACATGCATATTTTCCTACCTTCCTGTGTAGAGTAAGAAGTAAGAAACTGACAGCATTGGTGCTCATTACAGTCTGGGCTTGCATACATGCTGAAATATCAAAATACATATATTCATTCCAAATGTAAGTTTGCCTCAAGGGAACCTTATAGCACAATTTGATAAGCTTAACTAGATTGATAGTATACACTACTACGACTACAAAAATCCCTTAATTTGCTAAATTAGGATAACTTATAAAGTGGGAGATACTTCAACTGAATATCATATTTAATTTACCTTATTATATTTTGTGATATAAATATTTCCTTTTTGTTGCTTCAAAGGTGGGTTGTTTGGTTCTTAAAGGTAATTCAGATGGGGATTGATCATTCTTATCTGTTTTTACCAACTTTATTCAGATATAATTGCACCAATGCTTTACTTTCCTAATGATAAACCGTTATATTCTCAAGAACTTAAATGTTACATAATTATCTGCTTTTGGCTTAGATAACTCTTATAAACTTCATAATATTGCAGATTATAATTTCCTAGGTGCATGTGTACTTACTGTGAATAACATGCTGAGCAATGGATTTGACGATGTTCCTCTGGGTCTCGACCAACACTTCAGCACCATATAAGGAGCTAGCGCTACCCATAGGCTTCTGGTCACACGGGGAGCGAGGAGGTGTTGTACTTCTAGAACGTTTCTGACAATAAAGTTGGCTGCTACTCAAGTACTCCTGGAAACAGAGACCACAAACTGCATGGTGCTCAAAATATATGATCAAACTGCATAGTGCTCAAAATATATGATCAAAAAACCTACATGGTGTATAGATGCACAAAGCATATACATGAACATCAAAAAGATACAGACTTAAGAACTATAGAGTGTTCAGAATTATTCAGACAACCAATCTACAGAGTGTCCAGAAATTAATAGACCTGTAAACTTATATTTTTTACAGATGCAATTGATATTTGCAGCAGAGTTGTGCTTGTAAATTACCTGTAAACTGAATGGCTGACAAAACTCGACCCTGACATTGCCAAAATCTTGGTTCAAAACTCGCCAGATTCCTATCACAGCTCGCCAAAATGTCTCCTTTTCTTTTTTCTCCCCCTGTACATACAAAAGACACGTAAGTTATAAGTGCTCCATGGAACTTTGAACTCTTCCTTGATCATGCTTGATAAGTTGATTTCACTCCATTTCTCGAAAATCTTAATCTGTTCATTTCGGGGATTTCTAGTTCTACATATCTATGTAACTACATATCTCAATCTCACTCTCATTCTTTTATCCCATTCAAATTTTGTCAATAAACTTGTATGTAAGCTGTATGTAAGCTGTAAGTTGTTACACGCATATTTCATTAATGAAACAAGGCATTTACATGAAACAATGTCATCACTTAGTAGGTTATTGCAAATGAATGAAAAATTTACTGGTGGGAACATCTCAAAAGAGAAATATTACCATTTGTTCTTTGTTGAAGTTGCCATCAAGTATTTTTTCATATGTAATGCTAACAGGTACAATGTAAGCATCATTGATAGCACCTGAAAAACAAAAAATATTTGATCAAGTCCACAAAGAGGTTATTGTAATAAATGTACTTTTAAAAATCAATAGTTGAATGAATTGTAATGAAAATGCAGCCATAATCATATTGTTTTGCTCTTCTATACCTCCAAGATTGTGTTGTTCAAACCTGTTTATCTATTCTTATTTTAACACATAGAATTGTGACACCGGACTATGTTTCCTCACCTTGACTGACACCATCTACTATGACAGAAAGTAGTCCACCTTTAGGAATCATGGGTTTCCCCGACCTTGACCTTCCTCCCTCTATGAAGAACTCGAAACTCTGTTTGTTTTTTAACAGCTCCAACATATACTGAAAAATAAAAGACATTTGAAATAAATAATTTTGATTTGAAATAACAGTCAATTAAAGCAGTAAAGTATTTTTAAAATGTTAAGGTTTTAAGTCATATATAGGGAAGGACTAATAGGCTTTTTCATTCAGAACCTCAAAAATAATTTTAGGTCAAGAGAGAATCAAGTCCATAGTGACTCGTCAAGTGTAATATGTAAGGTAGGCCCGTAGCCAGGGGGGGGGGTTCGCCCGTAGCCAAAATTCCTTTCAAAATCATGCAGTTTTTCACCATTCTGACTATTTTTTTGAGTGATTTTTGGCCAAATTTGCCAAAGTGAACCCCTCTAGAATCTTTTGGAAAAGTGAACCCCCCTTGGAAAATTCTGGCTGCGGGCCTGTGAGGATTTCTTGTATAGACTCAAACCACATACCTCATGCAGTACTGCTCTGTAGAGAATATCCTTCTTGCCTTTTTCCAAGTCTAACTGCCTTCTGATAAAGTATCCACCAAGGCCTTTCATTAGAAGACTGCAATATGGAAATGCACCATTTGAATTCATGAATTATTTTCAATAAGAACATAATGAAGTACATGTATTCATTTTCACATTCTTTAGTTGAATAAGTACATGAAAATATAAATTCTGGGGCAATAATAATGGTTTACAAAATTCAAGACATAAATATACATGTATACAAAGTTGTTGATTTTCTTTCTCAGAGATATTTATTTTTATTTTTGACGTTTCGTAGGATGTCCATCCTACTTCTTCAGAAATAAAAATTATATTTGAATCAAACTGAAATAATTAATTATTACATAACAATGAGACAAATAGCAACCGTTACTATAGAAAACTTCATTGATGTTACAATTAAACAATTATTGACAAAAATAGCAACCGTTACCATAAAAAGCTTCAATGATGTAATATACAATTAAAAATGTTACTAAGGTATTACACAACATACCACCTAGAAACGACACTAAGACATTATGAATATGAATATATAAACTATAACATCTTAAAATAGACGGGATCCAGTGTGTAACCCTGATCCCTGTTTAATTCTGGACTTTTAAGTTTAATATGGATTGCTTCTTTGATTTTTCTTTTTAACCAGTGTTTTTCATTATCAACTAGATGATGGCAACTCCACGGAGTAGCAAATCCCAACGAACAAAATATCAATTACCAAATTCCAATCAATTATACTCATTACTTTGGTTAAAATTGAAAAATTTAGATTTTAGAATTGCGAATTCCTGCAAAGCAGCCATTTTGAATTTTCTGAGGTACAAATCTGAAAAATAATACCATAATTGTGATCTACTCCAAAATTCCTTCAATTTGAGTATTTTTTAGCCATACGTTGAAGGGATCGAAAAATTATTGCGAAATCGTACATTAGACCCCCATACACGGCCCCTGGGGGTCAGGATGAAAAACACTGAATATATGTGGAATAAATAGATGTTGCGAATATACTACCAAAATTTCAAACAATAATATTAATTACTTTGGTTTAGAATGAAAAATTTATGATTTTTGCGAAAAAGTCCCGCCATTTTTAAAGCGGCGGCCATCTTGAAAAAATCCATTTTGAATTTTCTGAGGTACAAATCTGAAAAATATTACCATAATTGTGATCTACTCCAAAATTCCTTCAATTTGAGTACTATATAGCCATACTTTGAAGGGATCGAAAAATTATTGCGAAATCGTACATTAGACGGCCATTTTGAATTTTACGAGGCTCGAATCAGAAAAAAGATACAATATTTGCAATCTACTCTTAATTGCCTTTCATTTGAGTATAATAAAGCTATACTTCAGAAAGATCTAAAAATTAGCGAAAATTTCTGTTTTCCTGACCCCCCATACACGGCCCCTGGGGGTCAGGATGAAAAACACGGAATATATGTGAAATAGATAGATGTTGCGAATATACTACCAAAATTTCAAACAATAATATTAAATACTTTGGTTTATAATGAAAAATTTATGATTTTTGAGAAAAAGTCCCGTCATTTTTAAAGCGGCGGCCATCTTGGAAAAAATTTTTTGCCTAAAACTATTCATCAATATACATCTTTCAACCAAATATGAAGAAAATCCTTCAACTAATATTTGAGTTATCTTCCGGACGGACAGACGGACGGACGGACGGACGGACGGACGGACGGACGGACGTCTTGTAATATATAGATACACTGTCCCACATGTTTTGTTAAAGAGCAACTGAAGCATACAATCTTTCCACAAAGATAAATTCAGACCAACATTTGGATATCTACATCATATAGGTAGATTATAATTGATTTTATTTACTTGTCATATCCAGTATTTTATACATTATAGGTTTAAACCCATATTAATATTGAAGTCATATTTGGTAAGTTAAAATCCAGTATATATTAATTATAGGAAATACCCATATTAATATTGAAGTCATGATTGGTAAGATAAAAATCCACATTAGATATAAAAGCAGGTTCCTCAGGCTTGTGACTGGGCATAGGTGGGTTTAACGTTTTAGTCCATGGAAACACTCCCCTTCCCTGCATGGATTCAATAAATAAGACATAACTGGGTCCCTGGACTATATTAACAAGTCCATGAACGCTTCAGTGTACGGTGTATTTTTATAGTTAACATTTTTAATTTGTTTTCCATTTTTATAGTTAACATTTTTCATTTGTTTTCCATTTTTATAGTTAACATTTTTATTTATTTCATTTTTTATTTTTCTATTCATATATCTATACCATTTACTCAGTATTTTAAACTATTTAAAAAAATCATATGTATATTCATTTTATTTAAAAAAATTTACGGACGGACGGACGGACCGACGGACGGACGGAAGGACGGAGGGCTTCACTATATCCCTACCGAACTTCGTTCGTTGGGATAATAACCGATACACCTGTCCAATTTATTTCATGTTCTTTATTGATAGAGTGTTCCATAATGGCTGAAGCTATCTGTCCATTGGAAGATAAGGTGACCCTCTTGTGCTCCTTTACTCTACATTCCAAATCCCGCCCTGTCTCACCAATGTAACACTGACTACAATCTCCACATTCAACTTTATATATCACACCTGCCTTTTTCTCATCTTCAACCTTGTCTTTCAAATGGACCAATTTATTCCTTAAAGTCATTGTAGATGAAAAGCATACTCTAATATTGTGTTTACTTAATATCCTTCGTAACCATTTTGAGAGGCCTTTAACGTATGGTAACACAACCGTGCAAACTGGCTCTGGTAAATTATCTCTATTTCTTCTATTACGGCTCCTAACATCACATTGTTTAATGAACCACTCTGGTTACCCACATTCTTTTAATGCCTTCACGATCTGTTCTTTTTCTTTCAACAAATCTTCAGATCAAGTACTAACCAAACTGGCCCTCTTGAACAGCGTATTCACTATACCTGCCTTTGTAGCCAACGTGTGATTAGAATTATAATTTAAGTACTGATTAGTATGCGTTTTCTTTTTGTATACTGTCAAAGACACTGATCCATCCATCTCACATTTGACTAATGTATCTAAAAACGGCAGATTATTGTCAACACTTTCCTCAAATGTAAATTCTATCTTAGGATTTTGTGAATTCAAATGTGTAGTAAAATCACGAACATATGTTTGTGTTTTTACTGTGAAGGTATCGTCCACATATCTGTACCAACATTTAGGGGGTTCGTTCGCAGAAAACAGAGCTCTTTGCTCTAAGTCCTCCATGAATAAATTTGCTACTACTGGCGATAATGGTGATCCCATCGCTGCTCCATCCTTCTGTACATAATAACTACCATCAAATTGAAAATATGTAGTTGTCAAGCAAAACCGCAATAACATCAAGATGTCATCAATATCCATTTTTGTCCTACCCTTAAGACTGTCATCTTGCTCTAATTTATGTATAGTATAGTATAGTATAGTATAGTATAGTATAGTATAGTATAGTATAGTATAGTATAGTATAGTATAGTATAGTATAGTATAGTTTTTATCAATTTTTTCTCAGTTTTTATTTTTTCTTGAATTTTGATGACAAGATTTGTTAACAAGGCATTAACGTGCAAAATGTCACCACCTGGCATTTGAATGCCAAGCAACACAATCCATAAAAGTCGAAGACTATATAGCAATATGTCACCACTTACGATGGTGACATAAAAAGGCTATGGACATAGAACTGAAGCTTACCTAAAGAAAGGTATAAGGAGGTTGTCTCCAGCTGCTACATGAGGGGCCTGTATATCATAGTTGAACAGTATAAATGTAAGTAGGATGTAGTCAAGGTGACTTCTGTGTATTGGTAAATAGATCATTGGTACCCCATCCTGCAAAAATACAACACATTTTGGAGTTAAATACAATCAGTATTTGTTAAACTTTCAGCCAATGATTGAGTATTTACTTCAAAATTACTCTTTGTTCATCTAGACAATATTTTATGCTATTTTTTATTTGTTTATTTAGTTTACCAAAGTTTAAGCAACATTCTTTATGCTACTGTTGAAACATTATTTGGTGCCAGACAGCCAGTACACTTGAACTCTTGTGAATTACTCAATTGACTGAAATACTCATTGATGGATTGCCTCAAATAATTGTATTATACAAAGATGATATTGAGTCATTAATGGTTAATAATGAATATTGAGTTTTACAATTAATGTATGTTGATGTTCCTCAAAATGTATCTCTAATGAAAAGAATTAGCCTTGCTTCAGACCCTGGACCCCCTTATCTACTACAGTTGTTGCTAAGGGGGAGGGGGTCCAGGGTCTTGAAGCAAGGCTAGAAAAGAATGATGAGCTGACTTACCTCGGAGGCTTTAGAGATTATATCCATCTGTCCTTTATGTACCTGTAATGTGGATAATAGATGTCCCAGCAGTTTCTGTAGGAACCACCCTGTGAACCTACAACAGTGAAATATCACGGTGGTGAATTATAAATATTTTTATTCTGGGAAGGATTAAATTTTACAAGCAGCTTTTATTATGTAAACTCTTACACTTACCGTAATATGCTACTAATTGCCTTAATCCTACCATATAGCCTTTCTATGGTGAAACTTATACATGTATGTATTTCGTGACAACCCTGTCTCCGTCACGAGTCTATGACCTCAATTTTATCCACCATTTTTTCTATGTGAAAACAAATCGTTTAATTTAGCTTTAGTATAGTGAATTGAGTAACTTTGATAGTGCGTTGTTGTGCAAAAATGTCGGATAGTTCTAAAAACGAACGTAAATCTGATAGAGAAGACACAGATAAAGAACATTTGAGCAGTGAAAATCGGAACGTCGATAAAAATGTTCAGAGTCAAGATACGGCGAAAAAACACAGAACTGTATCCTTTGACAAGAAAAGAAGTAATACTAGCTCAGGTAGTAGTACTTCTAGTTCACCCAGACCTAAGTTTCAGAAATCTAAGAGATCTCGTCGGGACTCTAGTTCTGAACATAGCAGAGATCGACGACGTCCACCTGATTTGAACAAGAATAGACCACGTCGTGCTGGTCATTCTTCTTGTGAGAAATCCCGTCGGGATTCAAGTCAGGAAGATAGACGTGAACAACGTCATCGTTCACGTGTATCAAAGAAGAGTAAGAAGAGATCACGTCGTGCTGATACTTCTTCTTCAGATAGCTCAGTGTACAGCCAGTACAGTGAGTCTAGTCCTAACTACAGGAGACATGGCCAACATCGTCGGTCATATTCACCTCATAAGGGTTATAAGAAGTCACATCGTGCTGACAGATATCACAGGGAACATAAAAGGCGTTTTCGATCACCTTCATCTTCCCCTGAAAATAGATCTAGATATGATAAATTCAAATCTCGAAGAATAGATAATCATAGTTCTAATGATACGTCAACTCATATGCCCCAGGTTCAAAAAAGGGCATACTTTGATTATCAACAGCGTGAGGATTTCACACGTTCAGTCCCATCGTGCGGACTTCCTTATCAAAAGTTTGACAATGCTGGTGAATCAGCTTTTTCAGTCGGAAACAACACTTTTTCGCAAGAATCGCGTAAATTTCCTATGCGTTTTCTACAATCTCTTCCTACTATGAGGCAATCGGACATTCCTCATGGAGGCCATTCTTTTGAAGAACGTGGTACTGATTTTTTTCCTGGTATGTCTAGACAGGAGAGACAACTGAACAGAGATCACATGTATTCATATCCTCCTGTTGTACCACGTACTACTTCACTAGAAGAAACTTTTTCTTTAAATGAAGACATTGAAGAAGAACAGCCAGCAGTGGAAGTGTCCATTTCAGATGAAATGACACAGGCAGTAAGTATGGTAAGAGACTGCTTCCCAGATCTTATAGGTGAGTTGTCTACACCAAAATCGGCATATAAATCCAAATCTTTAGTCAGGGATAAAACACCCATTGTGCCAAAATCACTTGAATTGCCACTTTGTCCGGGTGTTAAACACAATCTGGCTGAAGGTGTTCATCTTTTCAAGGATTATCCTCCAAATGCGTTCTTGAAGGATTTTCCTAGCTTTGACAGCAAACGGTTTAAACTTAATAAGAAATTATATCAAGTTGTACCTTCAGAAGCTGGAGTTAAACCCTGTGAATTAGATGTTGACTTTCCTACGATAGTCTCATCTAAATTCAAGAATCAAAAACAGGGTAACACAGGTCAAACAACCAAGTCCGAGTTAAACCCTCGACCTTTTCTGGCCATCAAGACAATGGCAGATTGGGAGGGAGTTGTAAGAGAGCAATTGCTAACAACATCCCATACGGAGTGGTTCATAGGCACAGTGAAACCTCTTTTTGAAGAGTTACTTGCACAAGGTAACACTTCAGAGGAAGATGTCTGGAAAGAGAAGCTTGAAAAAGCGCTCACACTTGTTAAAGTAGCAGGCAGGTGTATTGAAGATAATAATCGCCTGACTACATACCTCCTGAATCAAATAGTAGCTTGTAGGAGGCACTCATACATTGGGATGAGAGCAGACAGGGACATCCCCTTCAGTATTACTAAGGAATTGATGTCTTTAGATAGCAGTTCTGGAAAATTATTCCAGAACAAATTGCCAGATGTCAAAGATAGCCTCAGAACTGCTAAAGCTGACTTAGCTCAGACTCGCATTTTGGACTATACAGCTCCAAAGAAGAGTCAATCTGACAAACCTGGTTTTTCAGATAATAAAGACTCAGGTCAATCTTCCTTTCGAGGTAGAGGAAGAGGAAGTAACAGAGGCTATAACAGGGGAAATAGAGGCCGAGGTAGTTCAAGAGGAGTTGCCAAGTCCTCTAAAGGCCGGGGTCGTGGTACCCCTAAGTGACTCTCCCCACGTCGGAAAATTGCCACAGTTCCCAATAAGATGTTCAGGGGAACCAGTAGGAGCAAGGTTGCAGAAATATTGGCAAAATTGGGAATTAATAGGAGCTCACAGAATGATTTGCAACATTCTGAAGGAAGGTTATTTTCTTCCTTTTCGGGAGTTCCCAGTTCTAACACAAATTCCAATTTGGTCAACATTTCCAAACCCTGTAAAGAAAGAAGCAATTTCCGACATAATAAATTTGCTCCTGCAAAAACAAGCAATAGAGAGAGTTTGGAACATAAACTCTGTAGGCTTTTACAGTCGAGTATTCTTAGTGCCCAAGAAAAATGCAAATTGGAGGCCAATAACCGATTTGTCAATATTGAACACATTTCTGGAGGTGCCACATTTCAAAATGGACACACCAGAGATAGTGAAAAGGCATCTAAGAAAAGGAATGTGGTTTGCATCCCTGGATTTAGTGGATGCGTACTTGCACCTACCAATTGCAGCCCCTCATCGAAAGTATCTGAGGTTTGCAATTCAAGATCTAGGAGTTTTCCAATGGAAGACTCTACCATTTGGGGTGGCAATCGCACCTCTATTATTCACACAAGTGATGGCTCAGATAAAACAATATCTTCACACGAAGCACAATGTGAAGATTTTTCAGTACATCGACGATTGGCTCGTAGTAGCAGACACAAAAGAATTGTGTCAAAGCCATATTCAACTGGTGATAGATCTAATAAGAAAGTTAGGTCTATTGATCAACGTAGAAAAGTCAGAGTTAGAACCAACTCAGACTTTAGTGTTTTTGGGGTCAAAGTTCGACCTAACAAAAGGTGTGATCAAACCTACAAGAGAGCGAATAAGCTTGTTGATAAAAGAAATTCAATTATTCCTCTCAAAACCAGCACAAACTGCTCATTTGTGGCAAAGAGTGCTAGGACTCTTGGCCGCAGCAGAGAAATGTGTTCCCTTGGGCCGTTTGAACATGAGAGAAACTCAGTTCGATTTGCAGACAAAATGGTCTCAAAAGACAGGAAATCAAGAGGACCAAGTAAAATGGTCTCACAAAACTCAGACAGAGCTCATGTGGTGGGTAACCACATTGGAGCTACAGGAAGGGGTACCTTTGGAGACCAAAGTACCCCAAATCAGTCTTTTTACAGACAGCTCCCAAACTTCATGGGGAGCACACATGAACGGGATAGAACGTTCAGGCGTGTGGACACGTCAGGAACAAACTCTTCACATAAATGTGAAGGAATTGATGGCAATAGAGAAAGCTCTTTATGCTTTCAAAACGGATCTTGTGAATCAGACAGTCATGATTGCATCAGACAATGTGACAGCGATTTCATACATAAGAAATCAAGGGGGTACCCACTCGTACGTGCTTTACCAGATAACAAAGAGATTGTTGAACTGGGCAAAACTTCACAATGTGAAGATTCAGGTAAGACATATCGCAGGCCGACTGAATGTGTTAGCAGACGCCCTGTCGAGAAAGAACCAAATCATTCAAACAGAGTGGTCTCTATCACATCAGGTTTTCAAAACCATATGCAAGATATGGGGTCAACCTCATGTAGATCTCTTTGCCACAAGACACAATGCAAAAATCGATCTATTTGTGTCACCAGTACCCGATCCACTAGCTTGGAAAGTGGATGCCTTGAGCATAGAGTGGAAGAACCTCTGGATTTACGCATTTCCTCCAACTCCTATATTGACAAAGGTTTTGGAGAGACTGAAAATGCAGGAGAATGTGGAAATGATTCTGATTGCTCCTTGGTGGCCAAAACAGCCATGGTTCACAAGTCTTCTGGAGACATCAGTAGATGTACCCAGGCTCCTGCCATTGATTCCATCTCTGCTGAAACAACCACATATGATGGTGTTTCACAACAATGTATCAATGTTGAATCTTCACGCGTGGAGATTATCCACAAGCAGCTCAAAGCAAAGGGCTTTTCTGAAAAAGTTGCCCAACGCATGGCTAGACCACAAAGAATCTCCTCATCAAGAGTGTATGATTCAAGATGGAATATTTGGTCTAAGTGGTGTAGTGAAAGACAAAAAGATAGTCTCAATGCCCCTGTAGAACAGGTGGCAGAATTCTTCAATTGGCTATTTGAAGAAAAGGGCCTCCAGCCTAGCACTTTTGCAGGCTATAGAACAGCCATCAGTAATACAATCAAAGATGCTTCTGGTGTAGATATAGGCTTCCATCCTTTGTTGGGAAATCTACTGAAAAATTTCAAACAAGACAGGCCTAGATGTTTAGAACTTGTGCCAAATTGGGATTTGAATCTAGTTTTGCTAGGTTTAATGAGACCCCCTTTTGAGCCTATAGAATTGATAGACTTAAAATTCTTAACTTGGAAAACTGTGTTCCTAGTTTCACTTGCGTCTGCTGCAAGAAGAAGTGAAATTCATGCTTTAGCTATAGATAAAGTTTCACATAACTTGAGCAAAGCTATTTATTATCTAGGATATAGAGCTGACTTTGTTCCCAAGACTTTTCTCAAGACTGGGAATGCAAATCTGTTGTCAGATATCGAGATAAAAGCTCTTGAAAATCCTGATGATCCTGATGAACGTCTCTTGTGTCCAGTCAGGAGTTTGAAAGTCTACTTAAGAAGATCTAAGGATTTAAGATCAGACCAGAAGAACCTATTCTTGTCTTATAAGAAAGGTTACAATAAAGACATTCACAAATACACTGTATCATCATGGATCAAGCAGTGTGTAGTACGAGCATTACAGGCAGTACCAGAATCTTCAGCGGTAAAGTTTAGAGTACATGCTCACCAACTGAGAGCATTAGCAACGTCACTAGCTTTCTCAAAGAAAACTAGTTCTGTGGACATTTTGAAGGCTGGAAGATGGTCTAATCTTACTACTTTCATCAAGTTTTATTTGAAAGACATTACAGTAAAGGACTCTTCCAGTGACTTACACTTTATTGCGGGTAATACTGAAATTTAATGTCTTGTGATATAAATTATATCCACCATAGAAAGGCTGTAGTGTAAATAAATTAGAGTTGGAACACAAAGTGTGCATTTGTTTTTTATGCTTTACACTTTCCCTGTAACTTCTAAATTTGTTTAGATTAAAGGCGATTTGTCAGCCATTGGTTGAGAACCATAATTTTACATGTTTGTCTATGAAGTTAATCTATGAGGCCCACCACCAAGTATGGTGTATTCAGCAATTAGTAGCATATTACGGTAAGTGTAAGAGTTTACATAATAAAATCCCAAAATTTCAGTACCCATCCACCCCGCCTATTACATAGATGGGTTTTGTAAGTAATTAGGATGGACAAAATTGAGGTCATAGACTCGTGACGGAGACAGGGTTGTCACGAAATACATACATGTATAAGTTTCACCATAGAAAGGCTATATGGTAGGATTAAGGCAATTAGTAGCATATTAGGTAAGTATAGTTTTCTTATAAAAACCAAAATTACTGAAATTTTGGGAATTGTTTTTGTTGAACCAAATATATAAAAACAAAATTACACATACAGGTATATTTTAAATTTTTGAGGGTATCAAGATAACTTTATTATACTGTATAAATGGATCAACTGAAACTTTCATCCTCTAGCCACAGTTTAGTTAGTGTAGTTCTGTAACACCCTGGTCTATTTGCCAGAAAATTTATCTAAATTACATAAGGAAATGTGTGCAAACCTGATTAGTCTATTTGATATTGTGGCTTTCATTCTATGTATTATTTTCCTGACTTTTTTACGTTGTTCCTCGAGAAGTTTTGTACTTTCTTTCTCGTCTTCAGTTCCAGTCTCTATGACGACTCTTCGTATTGCTTCCACAACACTGTGTAAACAAGTGTAACACAATTGAATACAAGTGTACCAAAATATACACAGTAATTCGAAATTTTAAAACAAGACTTTTATTTCAGTACTGGTATATAGTATGTAAATACTGAGCTCTCATTTCCTTTCTTTGGAAAGTGAAACCTAACAAGTCAATATGATACATCAATGTACCATAAAGATGCATACCTTGGGGATGTTGCAGTTGCTATAGATACATCTGGATATTTATGGCTGACATCTCGTCTCATAACTTGGACAATATGACAGGTCCACTGTACAATAAGGGGATTGTTTCTTCCCTCCTCATCTACCCGTAAGATATCTTTCAAACCACTCGTTGGCATGGAATCTTCATAAAACCTGTCCTGGAAATATAGATGAGATTTGTGTCAGTTTAAAATATTTTTTGTTGCACAGGCCTGTAGCCAGGGGTGGGGGTGTTCAAAAACCATCCTGGCCCAAAATTCTTCAAAATCATTCACTTTTCACCATTCTGAGCACTTTTCAAATGATTTTGGCCCCCTGGAATTTTTCAAAAAATGAGCCCCCTTGGCAAATCCTGCCTACTGGCCTGTTATGTATAATTTTAATAATACATGTACACATATTGATGTGATCCTAATAAGATGAGAAAGAATAGGAAATAGACACATGTTTTGAGGAAACTGGCTGAAATACTTATTGAAAATTCAAAATGAAAAACCTAACATGATGGGTATAAATTGTTCCTTCACCCCTCCTTTCACAGACATGCCAAAGCTTAAACATGTTGTCTTCACTTCGTGTTTTTGCCTTTAGAAATTTTCTGAAATACAGCTATAGTCAATCTAGAAAGCTTTTATTCAATATTTCAATTAATCACAGATTTTAGCATCAATAGAAATGTCATCAATAGAAATGTCATGTTTTCTGCACAATACTTTAGAAAAGCCATACTATTTCATTGTAGAAATACCATAAACAAATCACACATAAATTAATAATGAACTAGGCATTAACATGACAGAATTTTACAGTGTGTATGTGGTTCCAAAAGTTTTACAAACTGTGACGGATCCAACCATCGATGCCGAGCTCTGAATGCATGAAATGAAAATTATGAAGGCTATCAGAATATATCACCAATGATGACACTAACACATTAAGGAACAAGACGCACAGTGATAAATATCGAACTTTGAAGAGCAAAATGACCACTGTGTAATTTACCCATCATGCCCTAAACCCAATCAGATCTAGACACTGGCCTGCTCTTGCATCTAACAGATGTAAAATTTCAAGTTTAACAGATAAGTAGTTACGTGGTGCTTGGCCGCGCACCCATCCATATAGATTGGCACACACTCATCAGCATAAGATGTGACAGAACAGTACTTTTCTAAAATGTGATAAAAAAGTTCACTTACTCTACTATTTGGCATACATTGGCAACACCTCCCCATATTTGGTCGCAGATTGGCATTGTCAGCTGATACTGAAGGCATTGTCTTGTAATGGTCATAAACAAACTTCTGAAATAAATATAACACTTTAACTGGAATATTAAGAAACAACATAGAATATTAGGGAGGGGGTATTTTCGAGACAGTGCTCAATCTGGGATCCAGTCACACTTGGTCTATTTTAGATACAGTCAGCTAACTTACGAGTATACTGTATCGAATGGCACGAAGGATTAGTTTGAGCCTTTCGAAATTATGTTTTACAATACAATGCATTTCAGTACAATGAGATATATCCATTCATCCAATGGTTGGATTGTGTTGAGATTAAACCTCTTTTCCTACATCAATCTACCCATTAATCTTTTAATTTACTACTATCTAAGCAATGTCCAAGTTAAATAAGCGTCATTCAGATTCTAACAGACAATACAATAACAATCTGTTTTAATAAGGAAATAATACAGCAGGATATTTATTGAAAAACAAACGCCAAATAGATCAAAATGACTCCTTAAAAGTTGTAAGATCACAGTGACCTATAACTTGATGGTAACAGTATGTTAATCAATTCTAGTACATCACACTGTAGAATAAAACAAGCCTAAAATGAACACTCACTATGGAATAAAACAAGCCTAAAATGAACACTCCTATGAGTCTTTGTGACCAGCTTAAGTAGTTCACATTGAGAAGTGTTCACATTTAGGAATATGCAATATCATCAAAAAATGGAGTTCAAAATCTTCACATTCTGAAATATTCAGTTGTACACATATTCAGGTTTCACCGTGTTTTGACATGAAACCGGAAGCTAGACAAAATAAACAATATTTATTTATCAAAACAGCTGATCACTTTCTGAGTTAATACTATGCACATGTTAAAACTATGTTGTTAATACAAGGACATCTTCACTAGAGATTAAAGCCTTCTATCAGTCATAATAAGTATCAGAATTCAAGTGTACATGTTCAAATACATGGAATGTACAGTTCAAGCAAGTTTGCAAAGTACCAAGTAGGTTTTGATATTTGAAAACGTGGCAAAAATATAAAATGCTATAGAAACCTAGAGGCTTTGAGAACATGTAATTACATGATGGAATATTATTAAGAACTTTTTTATGCTTGATCCCTATGTATAGAGCTTTAAAATCTTTTGAGAAAAATTATATGAGTTTTCAATAAAAGAAAATAACCTCTAAATAGCTTATTCCTAGTTCTTTTTTCTCAAAATATCAATCCTAAGATGTACTGGTATAGTAAATAGCGTTAGCCTGTAAATAACATCTTCAAGATTTGCATACTACAAGGTTAAAGGAACTTTGATCTAGAAATAGCCAACTAAGTATCCATACATAAACAAGGTCAGAGCAAAGGTATTCAATACTCAGAGAACAAATGAACAATCTATAGAATGTAACAAGTAAGACATTGTCTAAATATGAAGTGTATGTACTATAACTGTAAAAGTATTTTTCAAAACATGACTACTCCAGTAAATTATGTGATATTCAATTTGTGGTAAATAGCTAGAAATTAAAGGTAGTATCAGATCTAGCAGGTAACCTTTAACAAAAATTGTTTGAGTTTAAGAACTAATTTTGGTTCATATTATTTCTTGTCATGTCTGCTTTTAAAAAATGCCCAAAGTGCATACTCGTATGGTACTTTAATTCAGAAAAGCAAAAGGCTTTTAAAATAATGTATCATTTTACCACATAAATCATTTGGGAGAATTGTTGTACACGTTGTACGAATTTATGTACATGTTGTATACATGTACTGCGCTATATAAAAACACATTAATGTTTTTTTGTCTTAATGGCTTACATTGAGTGACCATTGAGCTTTTGTATGGATTTTTAATGTAACATTTTAGGATTTCATTTGTGTTCTATTAACATGTGTAAATAGCGTGTTGTGTTTATAACTCTGTGCTCAAGAGTAAAAAGGAAATTTAATAAAAATTGGAAATGCACCAGATGAATTAAACTTTTTGAATTCAATCATCACCTTATTTGACTTCATTCAGTTAAAGTTGATTTGGGGAAAGTGCCAACTGTTACAAGGCACATTGTCCATATTAAAAAATATACTGTCAAGTACAATGAATGTATATGTATTTGAACACAATAAAAATGAATGTACAGTAAAGTTGGACAATGAGAAAATATGAGAGAACATATTATAATCAAATCAATGCTCCAAATCAATGTTTCTACATCTCTCATAAATATTTGACGTCTAGAAAAAAGTATATGAACATTTTTCAACATCTACTGTAAAGGAATATTCCAATTTACTTTCCTATTTATTTATTCCTTTTTCAGCACAAAGCTTTAACATGTGACATCATTTCTGGTGTTTACAACTGAAGCCCATCTTGGATTTCCAAGGTATGATGTTTGAAAATCAAACTGGGAAACAGGTATGTGGAATATCAGACTGATGTTTCTGCCCAAGACTACTGCTGTTAGATACAGAAATTCCTAATAGTTTTGCAATGAAATCAACAACAATTATCCTTTAAAGTTAGTCTTGCATCAAGCCATTGTATAACCCTCCCCCACATCAAATGCTAGTATAGATATATGAGCTGTAGGGATACTTGGGGGGGGGGGGGGCAAAGAGCTGATGCAAGAAAATCCCCTCAGCCTACTTCTCATCTGAGGATACCAAACCTCTATATTAATAAAATAATAAAAGTGAAGAAACATTATTTTTGATTTTAAGATTAATACTCACTTATCCAAGATATTTTGTCCAAAGATTGAAGTACAAATTACTAATCCATACTAATTCATTCCAGATTCACATGACAAACTATCATGTCATTTTTAAAAAATTATCCATAAATTGAAGCGCAAGTTTCCAGCTATGTTGTTCCTAACTTATTTATATTATTATACATGTATGTATGTTATTACCCATACAAATAACAGCTGATTACCAGGTTCAATTACCAGTTCACCATGACCTTGAAATGAGTCTTAAACTTATCATAATAATAGAGGTTAAAGTCAAATGAATATGATCCGATGATAATGCTTATTGTACAAGAGGGATGCATTTCCCACAATTCTCCTGTTAATGGTTTAACAAGAAGTCATGTTTTTATAGCTTTTAAATAAAAAATACAAATAAAACAATAACAGACCTCTTTGTTTGGGAGAATGTATTCTCGGTTTATGTAATCAAAATTGAATTTTAGTCCCTTAAAATAAATTTCAAGATTTGATCTTCATTTACTTATGTTGGGGACATTTTGACAGTCTGTTCATGCTTCAGGGGTATGTACCCAGGAGGCAAGAAGTAAGTATTAAATTCTGAATAAAAAAATAAGTATACAGTTAAATAAATGAATGAAATATTATGGGGTACCTAATTATGTGACATTATGGGTAAAGAAATATGATCAGTACCATATAACATAGGGAACTGTGGGTAAAGATGTACTCATTCGGTAAATTACTAAATATGATAAATGAATGAACTTTCTTGAGGTATCTTCAGATTAAAGTATTTTTTTAATCAGACAATGAAGGGTCAGGGTCAGGACATGATATTAAAATGAAAAACACAAAGTACAACACTTAACAACCAAAACAAAACAAAGGAATAAATTAAGTACATGTGTTCTTACTATGATGGCCCAACTAAGGTTTATAACTGTCTACTTTCACCAAATCTATGTCGGGCATGTTGCAAAGGGGGCTCAAATCCCCTGATCAAAATTATTCCAAAATTATGCAATTTTCACCATTTTGAGCTCTTTTCAAGTGATTTTGGGCCAAAATTATCAAATCTGAAATCCCTGGAAACCCCCACTTAGCAAAAGCTGGCTACATGCCTGCATATCTACTTACAGTCAATCTACATTGACTTTAGCGATGCAGAATAGAATATTAATTTACCTGAAGTCCATTCACTTTGAAAGGGTCTCTGTTATTCTGTCGACTACGTCGTCCCCCACTCCATGACATAGGCTCTGAAGGTTTATATTTGTAGTTTGGGCGTGAAGACCTGTTGGCGCTAGGGGGCCCTCCTCCTTGCCGCCTTTTCTCCCAGTTAGCAAACACATCCTTGAACTGGTCGGCCGGATTCATCCTGTGTCAAACAGAAGGGTTTATCTCTACCCAAGATCAGAATGCAAAATACACTTCTGTAGATGACCAAAGAATGTTACTAGTTTTCATTCGGGATTTCTTCAGTTTCTTCATTTCTTTATTAATCAGCCAAGTTGAAACATTGAAAGAAAAATTGGTCAATTTGAAGCAAGTTGAAAAAATACCTTTTTGACTTTTTTGACCTTGAGAAGGTCATTGTAGGTCAAATCTCAAATCTAAATTCAGATTTGAACTTCTGAGAATTTGTAGATGATTTTGAAAAGATTTGAAGTCAGTCTAAACAGTATTTGTTGGTTATTGGAAGTTGTAAGAATTTGTTACAGATGCCAGACGCTAACCACTTATGCCACCACTTTTGGTGGTCACATAAAAATAAATTGTATAACATCACATATTGAAGTGTGATATTACATAATCTGTTCATCCTAGGTACAAGATATGATATAGACTTTGTTTAGAATAGATTGGGGTAAGAAATGTGTGCATAGCTATGGGGCAAACGGGTGTAATGTCAATGTGTGGGGTAATGTCAACATGAGAGACTGGGTAACTTCGACACTTACTTATTAGAGGTAGAATTTCCATTTTCCGCCATGTTTGAATTCTGGAAAAAATTAAATCTAGTGATACCTCAATCAATGAAAGAAAAAAAGGCTTCATCTTATATCGGAAATTAGAGCAAACAGTGATCTCCCCAGTATTAAAGCAAGTGGGCGTAGCACCCATCTGAGATTTTTAAAATAGGCTTGTACCCACCTGAAAATCCATTTGCACCCACTTGAAAAATGGCATTTTTGGACCAATTTTGGTCTGAATTGTGAAAATGAGAATTTTGCACCCGCTTGAGAAAAAATCCTTTGGAGATCGCAGGCAAATATGAAGAAACTAAATATGAAGAAAATCTGTCAACTAGTATTTGAGTTATCTTCCGGACGGACGGATGGACTGACTGACTGACGGATGGACGGAGGGCTTCACTATATCCCTACCGAACTTCGTTCGTTGGGATAACAAGGTATCAAAGTTACCCCAAATGTTAAAGTTACACCAAAATGGTGTCAATATTACACCCATTTGCACTAGTTCTACAGGAAAATTGTAAATGTTTGTAAGTACTTTTAAAAAATAAACAATCAAAGGAACATATTGAAACAGTATAGTGTGGGAATTTTTAATTCCCCCTGATTAGTACTAGGGCTTGTGATACGTTTATTTTACAGGATTTTGTGTTATTTCATCTTTATTTCATGTTCTGTCCACTGTAATTAAAGAATTGTATTGTAAAGTGTCTACGTGCAGAATCTCACGTAGGCACTTGGATGTTTACTTGATCAGCCAATCAGATTCTTTTATTTGAATTTCCCTCCAACATAAGTTGTAGTTTTCCCATGATGCAACTTGAGGTGTCTGTATTTTATTGTTTGTAAGTAACCACGTGAGTCAGAGTAAACCAAGACTTTGCAGACGAAACACCTCGTCAGTTTGTATCGTTTTATGTGAGAGCGTGATCGATTTGAATTGAGAACTATATTAGACAATCTACAGGTTATTTGGATTATTTGCTGACATTATTTGCTGCAGTTTTTGCGTCCGTTGTGACTGTGCGAGATACAAGAAGATAACAGCCAGTTTTGGGTGAGTTGGCAATTTGATTATTGAGTTTGATGCCATATTGCTGTCCGCCATTTTGATTTCTTCTTCCCAGAATTCCCAGCGGTCGGCCATCTTTGTTTTGACGGAAGTGACGTCATTTTAAGATGTAATTCCTCCTCCGAGTAATTAAGGCTCTTGTCTAATCTCAGTTTGATTGATATTCGAGAGTCGTGTCTGCTCTGAGGACTGTCAGCTCTGAGTCATTACTACTCCATTTGCCCCGAGGATCGCCAGCTCCGAGTAATTAAGGCTCTTGTCTAATCTCAGTTTGATTGATATTCGAGAGTCGTGTCTGCTCTGAGGACTGTCAGCTCTGAGTCATTACTACTCCATTTGCCCCGAGGATCGCCAGCTCCGAGTAATTAAGGCTCTTGTCTTATCTCAGTTTGATTGATATTGGAGAGCCATATCTGCTCCGAGGACTCACTGCTCCGAGTGATTACTCCTCCAATTATTTAAGTGTTATATCTCCTCCGAGTTATATTTGGTCCGAGTAGTTACAGCTCTGTCTAATCTCCGTTGTGATTGATATTCGAGAGTTGTATCTGCTCCGAGGATTGCCAACTCCGAGTGATTACTCCTCCATCTAGTTGAGAGCCATACCTACTCTGAGGACTCACTGCTCCGAGTGCTTACTCCTCCATCTATTCTAGAGTGGAATCTGCTCCGAGGGTTGAGGATACAGCTCCGTCTAATCTCAGTTTATTGATCGATATTCGTGAGTTGCTCCTCCTCCTCCGAGTTATTGATGATCCGAAATTGATACAAGTTGCTGAACTTGACGCATCCTCCGAGGTGATTTGACTCCTCCAGAAGTTAGATACTGAGGTAACACTTCCGGAACCAAAGTATCCCTGGGTTGCAAGGTTTACTCTCATTGGAGCCAAGGTTACACTCCCGGAACTGAGGTACTCCACGATCGAGAAGTGGCAGCTCTGGTCTAATCTCACCATTTGATTGACATTCCAGAGTTGTTATTTCTCTGTAGAAGTTGTAGTGGTCTCTCTTGTGAAGTGGTGACTCCTTGAGCAGAAGTTACTCCAGAGCCTGGACTCCTTCCCAGAGACAGTGTGAGTAGAGGTTGAGAAGAGATTACTGTGGTGAGGAGGTTACTATAGAGACGAGAAGACTCCCCGAGCAGAAGATACTCCCGGAGCCTGGACCCCTTCCACGAGACAGTTTTATAGAGACAAAATAACTCCTTGAGCCAAGGTTACACTTCCGGAACCAAAACTCCTGGAGCCCTGATTCCTTCGAGGTGAGACGACTCTGAGGGACAGCGCAGTGAAGATTATTTGGAGCATTTATAACTTGGGTCTAATCTCAGTTTTGATTGACATTCCTGAGTTATTCCTCCTCCATAGATATCACATTGAAGCCGTGATATAGACGAGACGATACCTAGAGCAGAAGGAACTGGCTTTGTATAAAAAACCTCCTACCCACGTACCCTCGTACCCACGTACGTGGGTCCTGACCCAGTCTTTAAAGAGTTAAATCTTTAACATTTTTTAAACATTATTCTATCTCAATGTATGCTTAATTATGGATGAATTTATGTACCCATATGCCTTTATTTCTAGATCGGACATCTGTCTCGTCATAAAATAAAGCCGGCATTGCATAATGTTCATTTGAGCTATTTGAGTGTTGTTTTTGATATATCGAAGCGATTTTTTGTTGATCGGGCAGTCTTACAGTGTACAACCAATCTATTGCTTGGCGCAAATTGGCCACATGGGGCATGTGTTGTAAAGTGCTGTAGTTTTTGACTCCATGAGCAGAATATGGTCAAACTTTCACAACAAAATTCACATTGAATGACCTGAATGATTCTGGATTGACGAAGTTATTCAACTTTTCATCGGTCCTGTTTTTTAACACCCTGTAGTTTCGATTTTTATCACATATACTTTTTATTCTTTCAAACGATATTACAAGTATTCATTGTTTGCACGACAGATTTGAACTATACGTGTAATTTGTCTTATGTCTTTTATTTAAGGATATACCAGTGTAACCTCCGAAAAAATCGACCATTTTCAATCTCAACGAGACTAGGTTTTTATTATAGACATAGATGAAGCGATTCGAAATATGTAATAAAAAGGGTAGGTCAAAGGTTTAGTTTTTTCACAAGAAGCTTCTGAAAATAGTTGTGACGTTATCCTCATTTGAACATTTGTGGCGGCATTGATTTCACAGCCAAAAATATTTTTTTCTATATTTCTTTGATAAAATGATGATTTAGGAAGTATTGACGATTTTTGAAGCTCCTAGATAAACTTAATTTATCTATGATTACGTTAGTTTTAATTTTGGCACACTCAAGACATTTTTTCTTAGTTTTTCTACTTAAAGTGTTTCCCCTACCCCAAAGCTATTTGTCAGATTTTGTAACGTTTTTCCATTAAAAAATGAACTTTTTCATTTTCACATTCTGACACGTTTTGAATCGAAAATTACTCAAATTTCGAATCGATTGAGGTATTTGTTTTATTTGCTCATTTAAAAAAATATGTTCTCGTGTTTATTTTGATATAAAGAAAACATAGGGTCAAAGGTCTGTTTTACGCTTGAAAATGCCGTTGAAGTTTGATGTGATTTGACGATGATACAAAAGCCACGGGTCAATTCGCGTCATAATTTAACGGATTCTATGACGTCTTTCTCAAGAATTAACGAAATCCACTGCTCACAAAAACATAAACTAGCTAAGTCCACATGATAAACATCATTCCAAAATATTATAAATTATGAATAAATTGAGGGCTAGATGCCCCAGTAAGACATTCATTCAATAAACGATGATTTAAAATGGCTAATAATAGCCATATTTGACTCCTATTCTAATATGCTAATATTTCTGTTCATTTTCGGGAAAGGATAACGTTACATTTGAGGTTAACAATTGTGAAAACTCAACATGTCCTGTCTTAATGAACTGCCTTCACAAGTATAACCTCACAGATCAGGCATGAATGATTTCACTCGTGATTTATAGCATGCGTGCTTTTTGATGATTTTCGGGTGGGGTTGTACATTCCCTGTGCAACCCTCACCCCGAGGTCCCCACTCATGTAAAGCTGTCGGATTTGAGCAAGATACGTCTACTGAATGTAGTACACGAATAATGTGTTTTTGTGAACGGCTATGGACGTTTTTCGCATTGTATCCGGCATGTCCGATCATGGTCGTTAATACTCACTGGGGAAATATTTTTAACTGGTAACTATAATTATAAAAAATATAGAATAATAACATAAATTGAACAAAGGTTTGAATGGCTTGTTTGACATGTTTGATGGTATTTGTTTTTACAGAAAGGAAAAACGAAACAAGGTAATGATTTCAATAGAAATACATATAAATGAATGTTCATGCACGGACTTTAAGTGTCCGTGGACTGGTTCATGTAATAAGTGTATACATGAATTAAAGAAATTCCAAAATAGAATACTGTAATTTACAGTTGCCTTTTGATACCTGGTCAATACATAGGCTATACACTATAACTTAATGAAAACTCATACAGACTGTAGCGAAATAAGAAGCAAGTTACAAATTAGATTTGTCGTGTTTGTAATACATGGGCACATACACATATACTGCTGGCACAGGGATAAACGAAAGAAACGGACACGAAACTGGAATGAAACAAGAATATACAAAAAATTACTGAATTATTTGGAAGAATTGATGACGTATAGTTCATTTGTTTGTTTATTTGTTGATGGGGTAATATGTCACTGACGTCATAGATAATGGTATCATATTCCGAGAACCCATTAACAAAAGTGTTATATGACGTCATGATAAAACAACATTAAAAATGAGAATCTCTTAGTTGCTATGGATTACTATGTCGTAAAGCGTCATATTATCGTCATTCTGCGTCCTTGATATTTAATACAGAACACTTGTCAAACGTGAAGTTAACAAACGAGCTTTTCATAGAGGTGTTAATTTTCTATTTCTGTAATTTAAAAATATATCACCATTGTCGTAAGGGTTACACTGGTATATCCTTAATTTAACATCAGAATTGGAGATACAAAGTGATAGAGTGATCAATTCACACGATCTCAAGGAATAATAAAGGCTGCATTTCTGTTTAACCGTGGCGCAATTAAATAACGAAATATTTGAAAAGTAGAAGGATTCGCTATATTCGTTTTTTATCGCTTCTTGGCACAATTTAAGGATAATTGTGCGCACTAGTTCAGTGAATCATTTAGATGGAATTAAAAGTTAGAGTTGCCAAACTTATGCAGGGGAGTGTAAGTTTGGTTTTGTAAACTTCGACATTATTCATGGCCGTTTGATCCATAATTAGGTAATATGAAGAGTAGAGTTTTATTTTGACAATGATTTGATGTAAAACTGGTTTGAATGATAAAAGTTCAGCTTTGTAGTTTCTAGCTTTTTGCGCGTAAAACGTGAATACAATGGACAACAACGACACCAAATCTTTGACTAACATACGTTAATAACGTATAATATTCGTAAGAATGAATTCTAATAACATTTGAAATAAACATCTAATAAAATGTGGTGAATTTAATTGGTTGGAAACTCTAAGAAATATATTTTTAAAAAGATGTCAACTTTTGGACAAGGGTTAACTTCCCGGGACATTTACAATCTGCATGAGGTAACAGGAGGCACGGATTGCACTGAACGAAGGTTAGGAGATTGCTAATCAGCACTGATGTGTTAAACAGGTTTATCAACAAAAAACATTTCGACATATCAAAAACATAAATCAAATAGCTCAAAAATAATGAACATTTATGCAATTCCGGCTTTATTTTATTTTACTAGAGAGATGTCAGACCTATAAATAAAGGCATATGGATGCATAAATTCATCTATAATTCAGGATAAACTGAGATTGAATAATGTTTTAAACATTTAAAAATTTAACTCTTTAAAGACTGGGTCAGGACCCACGTACGTGGGTACGAGGGTACGTGGGTAGGAGGTTTTTTATACAAAGCCGAAGGAACTCCCCCGAGGTTAAATTCCTGTTTAGAGGTGAAGAAAGCTGCAGAGGAGCAGATCCTCCTCAGGCCATTTTACCAGTTGGAGCAGAATGACCTCCTAGAGGGTGAAGATAGTTCATAGGAGCAGATCCTCCTCCTTTTACAATTATTCAAGAAGGTGTTATTAGAAGAGAGAGAAGACTGGAAGAAGCTGAAGTGAACAATTACAGAGACATTCCTGCTCAATATAGACATTTTGAAATTATTTGTAGTATTATTTTACGTTGGAATAGATTATAAAATCCCTGTATACCATTGTTATCTTGCCATCTTGAAAGGTAACTGTCGTACCACCAAATCAGGTCGGCACCCAAATACAACACCTCAAAGATCCCTTATATCATCCCTGGCCTTTCCCTGAAGTTGAGATACAGGGTACTCCTTGGAAACGTCCCGGCGCGACAATATGTAAAAATAGAAACACTTATACATGTCCTAACTTTTGTATATTTAAGTTTGTTTTGTAGTTTAGCTATTATATCTGTGGCCTCTTATATTTTGATGCTTCTCTGTCATTTTAGTTTTGGAATATTAACATGGCTGAAACTCCCTAAATTACAAAAGGCCACAGCATTGCTGCACATTATCCATAACTATGTGAAATATACAAAAGTTAGGACTTGTACATTCATTTATATGTTTCTACTTTTTATCACTGTTCCAATATAGTCATTTGTTTGCTTATTTTTAAAATTCAAAGTACTTCCAAACATTTAAAATTTTACTGCAGCTCTAGATCTAATCTAGCACAGATTTTTTCTACTTTTGAAATATAAAGAAAAGTTGTATGGAATGTCTGCGAGACCAGAACCTGAGATAAAGTGGCCTCCCTGGATTTTCTTGTATTGAAAACTATTGGAGAGAAGTACTACCTCCCTTATCTTGATTTTTCAAAACCAACCCCACATGGGGGTAAATATTTGTAGAGGTGGTTACTGAACACAGTTGATTCAAAAACCAGCTGAGGGTAAGTTCAAATATATCGTTTTGTGTAGTGGTTTTCTCCAACTTCCAGCCGGCGCACTGGAATGAGTAAGGGTATTTAGGAAGATAATTGAATGTAACTTTGCCTTTTTCATAACGCATGGTGACAATAAGTTCTATTTGTCAAATCTCACGCACCCCATTTTTATTTTTTTGTGCATACACACACATGCGCATTGGACTTTACATGCGCATGGGCATTGTCGTTAAAAGATCACGTGACTATTCATATTTAGCTAACGCGATTATTTTGTAGCAAATCTTTACTTTCGAATGTCTTGAGATCTGGTGAGACCTAAAAATGTCTGCAATCTAAATTCAAAAGTTTTGTTGTCTAATAGAACATTGATTTACTAAGACAACAGACTGTTGAAGGTTACTTTCTTCTAAGGCCACTGTATCGTGGCCTTCCAGTAAAGATGTATTCCTGCATGAACAACTGGTCATGTCGTAATCATAAAATTTGAAATCATATGTCCGCCATTTTTCCACATCACAATTTGAATTGCGAGTTTTGGTCTTATTACCTCACCAAAAATTCCAAAACACACATAAAGTGATCAGTGTATTAGTTCACATTTTCTGGATCGCTAACTTATAGTTTACAGCCAGTTACTTTATGTCAGACGTTAACGACATTTCGTCCAGTTTTCGAACATCGCAGTTTTTCTTGGAGCCATTTTGTTTTAATTTTAGACGAAAACCAGATGAAATCATGTCATATCTCATCAAGGAGCCGAGTGGGGTCCGTTTTGATTAACGATTTATTTATCTGGCGATTTTTAAAATATTCAATAAATTTATGACATGGCGGCCAGCTTTTTTCAAATGGAGTTCACAGTATTCCAGATGGAATCCCCTATAGCCAAGTATTGGCTAGAGACTCGAGTAAGTTGAAGGAACAAAATAAGGTAATCTAACAAACAAATAAATTATGTGTTGATTAAAATATATAGGGTAGTATAAACGCTACTCAGCACAGTGTTTAGTCAAAATGGGCTCGATTTTTTCTCTTCAAGAATTTTCAATCCAGCTTCCCAGAGCTGACAGAGCAGTCAGCTCGTAAAGAGGCCGAGGTTGCCTTTTATTCACTAGGGGCAATCTGCGCGAGGTTCCATTTTTAGGTTCGGTTTTTCGCACATGCGCATAAGATCCAGCAATTTAATTGGTTCAAATCATTTAAATGAATGCGCAATCAATAACTAGATTAGAACTTATAATTTAAAATAGATGTCACTTGCGTTCATTATTTCACAGTAGTCCGTACCCATAATTCATATTTAATTGCGGGAATATAATAGTTTAGTATAACAAGAAAATCAAGTGAAAATTACACTAGAAAAATACGAAGGCCATAATGCTATTTTGACAAAACTGATCCACTTTTTATGGAAATACCACAGAGAAAGACAATGAACAAACTACATTTTACTGCTTGTTTTCTGTTGGCTAGGTAACATGTTAATGACGTCACAAATTAAAATATAATAAACACTGTGATGTGTAACGTTTAGCTTTCTTGTCTGTTTAGTTGATAGGGCAATAAGTAACTGATGTCATAGTTTATGTTATATTACGTCATATCTTCATCACAAACACAACATATGACGTCGTGATCGTTGCTTTGATGATTTGCCATATAAGGTAATAATGGCGGACTTTTGGTCACGTTACTGGTCGACAGTCGGTCCATAGAACGAATGGCCCCGCCCACTTCATGGGAGGCCTTCGTAAAAACAAAAGCATACACGGAACAGAAGTGTAATAACAGAATATGAACTGACCCCCAATTTGTGGACGTTTGATGTACAAATTTAAACCGAACTGATCGCAGAAAACCAATTTGAATCATGGGAAGGAAGTACTCTCATTATGAAAAACCGAACCAAGTAAAAACCGAACCTCGCGCAGATTGCCCCGACTCCTTTTATTTCATCAGAATCAGATCAGTTTTTCCGAAAAATGAGGTCTAAATTACAGTTCAAATAATTACATTAAAACGAAGCATTACAAAATACAATAAATAATATGACGTGGGTGTTATATAAAGCTTATTCCTTGATCACAAAATTTGCTTTAACATGCGTATATTTTACTAAAAGTAAGAAAACGCACCTTGTTCCTCTCCGGCCGTCTATACATGAGTTTCGTTTCTCTATTTTGAAGAGCTCTTATTCCAGGATCACTGAACGGAAAGACAAAATACCCGGGTATTTACATGATCAAACGTTATGGGACTACATTTCATCTTGAGGACCTGCATGTGCAGCTATTTTAATGTCTATTGAACGTTGATGTCTGACTGAGATCACCCTGATGATACAATAGGCTCCAAATAGGAGAAGTAAAAGTATAGAGTTTTGACTTTGTTCAAAACCTAGCAGAAGAAAACTTCCGGTTAGATCACTTCCTGGTCTGACCACATTTTGAGAGTTATTTCCTTTTATAGATCAGTTTGGAGCTTGCTATGACTGTACCTTATTCCAAAGGCTAGTTGTCATAATGGGTCACGAGAAAGATCTGTTTAAAGCTGTACAGAATGCTGATATAGAGAAGGTGGAGGTGAGATAATATTTTCACAACTTACTTTCTTCAAAAGTTTCTAAATTTTTGTTCAATTCAAAATAAATTGAAAATTATCCAAGTTTTGGTAAAGTTCTTTCAAAATAATTTCATTAAGTTAATATCTTTGTTTATTCTACTATCCAATTTAATTACGCTCATTCTTATCAACATGGATGAATAAACACAAGGTGCACACACGTCTCGAACTCGCAACCTCGTGGTTACGGCGCCCAATCGCCTAGCCTGAACGTGCTGGCACTCAAGCCCTCTCGGCCAACTCGACAACCCCTATCTACTTTAGATCTACTTTGCTATAAATCTACAATGCTACCCTCTTCCACTGTCTCTTCCAAGGTTCTATCCATGTGCAATACAGATGTAGCTTCATATTTGAAGCCTTATTTGTATTATTAATTTTGTTATTACTTTAATTTTGGTTTATTATTAATTTAACGAACATACTACCTTCATTGATGTTTTTATATAGTTCATATCCCGTCTACCTCAGTTGTTGTTTGTTGTTTTTAGAGCAAGTCACGATAGGTGGTCTTCTTGTTTTTGCTATGGCACCTTCGCTTGTCCGGATTTCCGCCATCTTGTTTATAAATACCACCCATCAATGTAATATGAGTCTCATTGGGATTAGGATAACCCATGGGCTCTACCACCAAAAATTTGAGGTCAAATACATGCATCTGCATGGCCCAAAAGCAACATTTTTTGATATGGTCAATGTACAAAAAGATTAGGGGATATTACATAATTGATCTCCAAAAAGAAAAAATAACATTATGACAAATGTATTATGAGATAATCCCTTTCTTATTTTGTTATTAGGATACTACTAGGATACACTTATTCATAACTTTATGAACATATCCATGTTACTCCCCCATCTCATCCACCCTCCATCCCATTTTGATTATTTTTAATTATTTTATATAATGTATGGACACTTACTTATTTTATAAAGTCAGCAATGGCATTAATTAATTATACGATGATAATGTCACTTTCAAGTATTTATTACAGGTTGTGTAGATCATTGTTGCTTGATTTATAGCAAAAATGTGCAAGTTGGTGTTGTTGAGCCTTTTTAAAAAAAATTAGATCTCATATCATGTGTATAGGTTAAAAAAATCCTAGGAGACATAACATATTTACCATATGTGCACCTTTTCAATCAGCAATTCAATAGTAAACTTTCTCTTGAAAACATAAATCTTCTAGCAGAAATTGCCTGATCCCCCTCCATCCCATTTTTCAAATCACCGTCGTGATATCAGTCATCAATAATTAACGCTATTTCCCCTTGGAATTCTGACTCATGGATTATTCTGACTTATACCCTATAGTTATATCACTGTTTTAAGTTGCAAAGCTTCCTTTATCAAAGCATGTCAGTTTCATTCACAGTTTCAGATTTTGATACTTTGCAGAGACTTCTTCCTGATATAATAAGGTTAGCTTAACTGTAAAGAGATTTATCAAATCAGTTTAAGGTAGTAGCACACATTGATCTTTATACTCAATATTTTGTTTCCTTTCAGAAATTGCTATGTCAACCAAAATCGTCAAGGTCCAAACACACAGAACCGATTCCTACTACAGCCCAATTGCTGAGTCAGCAGAAGACGTGTCTCATAACACACCTGAATATAGACTGGAAGGAGGAAGAGTCTGGATATACGCCACTCATTGCTGCAGTACTAAAAGGTAGGATTCACGAAGATTCAAACCAAAGAATAAAGATATTTTCATTTCAATACTACTGAAACACTCATCTTAAAAGATGTACAGATGTTCCCCTTACATAGCTGAGCTACTATTATCAAAATATATGATTCAACTATTTCATTGCCTTAGTTGACATCACATTGTTGGGTTACCATAGCAACCATTATGTTGAATATCTGGATCACCGTGAAGGCTTGGTGTTTTCAATTGTAAAGAAATCCTGCACAATTATTTTGTTTAGAATTTCCTCCCACAAGCATAAATTATAACAATTTCATTGGAATACACCCAACTTTTGTACTTTGTCTTAAGTGAAGATAAAATGGTAAATCAGCAACAATTTGGGTATTTCGTTGTGAAGTGTGAACATTTTTTCAGGATATGCACTCTCTGAGATATTGACCTTTAGAGTTGACCTTGATATTCAGGAATTTCAAAAGTGTTCCATCAGGTTATATTTGTATGAAATAATATTTTTGATTTTACAGGACTACAGAAGATTGTATTGAGCCTGTTGTGCCATGGTGCTAAAGTGAATGAAACTGATAAAAAGGGGTATGTATTGAAAAAAACTGTGAAATTTATACCAGAGAAAAATATGTAGTGCAAAATACATCACATAGTTTTGGAATAATGCAGGGGCGTAGGAAGGTGTAAATTCAACACTACGCCAAAAAATTCCTCCAAAAATATGAAATAATTGTGTCAAATCTTCTATATCAAAACGCCTATTATATGCTCGTAAAACGTCATTTTATGGCAATAGAGATCTTAAGCTTGCAATGATTTTCACAACCTAAATGTGAACGAAAATATTTAAGCGATGCATTTGTCATGGGCGATTGGTCATACGTATAGGCAGAGACACATATAACTGGTATAGGTTAGCGTTTCGATTTTATATGCAAGCTTAAAATCCCTGATACCTTTTAATGTGCTTAAAATGTTCGAATGATTTTCATCATTTAAAATCACCATGGAAAGACGATCTTTAAATGTCGACACAAATATCGTCACTTTTCTAATGTCTCGAACTACGCCGCGAGCAGAGTCTAGTTAAACGAAGCTCTCTTTTAAGAAGTGAAGTCAAACGAATGCAAAGGGTAGTCTCGAACGATATTATAGACGACCAATTTCCAAATAACAACAAGATATTTTTAATCAATCAATCATTTTCGAATAATTGAATTAAGATGTATTGTTTGATTCCATCGTGTTCCGTGCAATACGAGCCAATACGACAACACGTACAGATTAAAGAAACTAGATTGATCAATTGATTTAAAGAAACGCATTCGCGATCAATGATACAATTAACCCTAGTGTCTGCAACCTTTTTATAACACTAATTCGGAAGACCAAATAAACCCCCACCACAAAGGTCAAAGGTCAACGTGACTTAGGGGGTGCCAAAATGCTATATTTCCTAAAACAAAAATCTTTATCTTTCAAATGAAAAAAATCAAGGTAATAGCTTTTCTAGAACTGAAATCAATGGAACGCGTAATTGAATATTATTAATCAACATTTCCAGGTTGTTTTTGTTTTAAACATTCATATTTCATTAAGAAGTACTACCAATAACAATTAGTGATTTAGTAAGAAAATAGATATTTGCTGACTTACTATAATTTCTGTCTATGATTTTGCCTCGCAAAGGAATATAAATCGATATAGTGGAATTGAAAATTGGGGGTAGAGGAGAATAAAAATACACATCTAAAAAAGAGGTTCATCATTATAATTATATGATACCACTGTTTGCATAAGCATTACGGAACATGTTTTATCTCAAATTCGTGAAGAGAACGCGATTCACGAATATTTGACGAAATTGTATTTTACTTTTAAAATTCATAAGATAGTCAAAGTGGCTCGATTTTCATGAAATAAAGCATGAATTCATTCTGTTAAATGATTATTTACCAAACAGAGCAATAATGATTACTTTGCATTTTCTACAGTATTAGAACTGTAGAAGCAGGGTAACTTTCAATATTCTGTTTTTCAAAGAGTCATTTATCTGTGGCCCAGGTTAGAAAAATAACAGAGGCACAAAAAACATGCAAAAGAGTACTATTAAAAAATCGAGCATATCATATGGTATCCACAACACATTTCTTTAGGCTTTTATGCTCGAGATTACTTTTACAATTTATGCACAATGAGAAAATATGACTAAAGAACATAGGAAAATTAATAAGCCTTTTTTATTCTCATTTTCAACACTACGCACTGGCGTTTTGGCGTACATTGTTCCTACGCCACTGTAATGTATACCTAATGTTTCAGATAATATCAAATGATTTGGTCATTGAATTTTTGCACTCATAATTTTTCACAATTTTGAGCTAACATGAGTCTACACTGTAAGTATAAGATATTAACCATACGCTATGAAGCTGTATAATTCATTTGATTGTTAATTGTAGCAACACCGCTCTACATCTGGCTGTATTTAGTGGAAGATCAGACTTAATCGACATCCTTCTTCAATATGGTAGTGAAGTAAGTGCTTTTATTCCCATTTATTTCATTTCACTTGTTTGTTTAAATTAGGCTTGGTTTTGGATCTTTGATCATCTCATAGATGTTTGAATATCTTATCTTGCAGCCTGTCCCTTTATACCTTTTTGGAATGGAGAATGTTATATTTATTATAAAATGTATACTAACAGAGAGAAAAGAGACAAGAACGCAGTCCAATTGATATCTTGCCAGTTTACATCCGATGACCATGTCCTAAATTTTGGATGGTTTGTTGGTTAAGGTGTGATGCCACAGTTAAGAAGCCACATATTATATACATAGTTTATGATCCCATTGTCTCACAATTGAAAAGTCTCTCGATGCCGCCTCCTATCATTTCATCAAGCCTCTCCTTTCTCCCCTGCTCCCTACCTTTTTATGTCACCACCATTGCGTTTGGTGGTTGGTGGTCAGCATATGTCATTCTGCATTCAGCATCTGTAACAAATGGCATGTGGTGACATTTTGCATTGCATTCTCTTTCTTCCATTTTATTTCCCATTCCTTAAACCTTAAGTTTAATCCCAATAGTCCTCCTTGTAAAGAATTGGGTTATACATTTGTATGTTTTGGAAAATGTATTGTTTCTATTTTCTTTGCAGGTAAACACACAGAACAGTGATGGAAACACAGCCTTACATATATCTTGCCAGTCCACATCTGATGGCCAGATGTTCATATTACTTAAACTTCTCAAGGTATGACATTTATCTATATGTACTATAATTTTCAAAATGTGGAGATTTCTCTCATTTAACCACAAGAAGAGAGGTTGACCTCTGGGGGGTTCATTCTAATTAATTTGGGAATATGCAGCTCGGCCAATTTTGACTTTGGACATAACCCATGGGAATTGGCAAGAGGAGGTTAAACCCATGTACCGCTGGGTTTAGGGGGCTTCGGGAAGGCTAATATGTGGATTTAAAGAATGGATCTTATCTTGCAAAAATGCAACTTTACAAAGACGCATCACCACTCATTTAAAGAATCTAGAATAGTCAGAATGTAAATATACCCTACCCCCACTATAAAATTGTATTAATCTCTATTGCAGAGTCCCTTGTTATGTAGGCTAGTTATAGAAATGAATGCATTGAATGTTTCAGGCTGAGGCAAATGCTCTTATAAAGAATAATGAAGGGAGGACTCCACTTGATATTGCAGCAATGTTTAAGAGAAAGGGTAAGTGATTGAAGAATTGTACTATTGCTCACAATTGTAGGAGTTGAGGACTCATGAGGTTAGCAAACGGAAACTATTTAAATACTGTATAAGTGGTAATTTTGCCTAATCATTTAATTTGCCTATTTCCTAATTTTTGCCAGGTTCGGAAAATTAAATGTCGGAAATATTGTCTTATAATGTTATCCAATGGGAGGTTTCTTGTCATTAGGAAAATTAAAATTAGGAAAATGATGAAATTTGACCATTCGGAAAATTAACCACTCGGATTAAATACCACTTATACAGTATGCTTTTAGTTTGTTATTTGGTATTATATGGCCTAATGTGTAAGACTCCGATTAGTGCTTATTTGTTGCTTGTGTATTCCAAATAGTACCTCATTATTAGTGTTATCCAGATAGTACCTCATTATTGTTTGTGTATTCCTGGTAGTTCCTCATAATTGTTTGTGTATTCTAGACAGTGCCTCTGTGTTGTTAGACCATGAGCCTGCTATCAAAAACAACACGCTTGCCATAGTTGAATCAGCTATACGTGGGGACAGTGGTACAGTACAAATACTTCTAGAGCATGGAATCTCACCTAATGGAATAGATAGGAAGCTAGGTACAGGGCCATTACATGAGGCTGTACGCTACTTGAGGTAAGCAGGGCTGATATGGAATGATATTGTTCCAAATTTTCTTTTCTGTTCTATGCCAGCCTTAATGTTAAGAGTTCCACCTTGTCTGAGGTAAACTAAAAAAGTTAAGTGCGTTATGGAAGGAAGACTTTCTAATTGTTTTATTATGGGTGAGTATTGCAATGTGAAAACACATGGAAATTTAAATGAAATTTTATATAATGCACCAGTTAAAAATTATTAAAAGTGGCGCATTGAATAGTCATAGAATCAGTGGCAGAGGAAAATACTACATTTAGCATAACTTTAATGCTGAATAGGGAAGAATGGAGCTATATACCTTAATCAAAGCATTAATTAATCTGTTTTGGAAGGAAATTTTCTTTATTGACTTTTAAGAAATAAAGATATGGAAAAATCTCTTTATCATATCAACTCCAGTGTTCTCTTCAACTTGCACCACAAGTTATAATGCACAAGTTATAATGCACCCAATTTTGTTTATTCAGGTTTGAAGTCGCTAAAGAGTTATTGGAATTTGGAGGAAATTCTCGGCTAGTCAATAACAAACAAGAAACACCCGACTCACTCGCTGTACAGGGTGGTACAGAAAATATGGCAAAGTTTAAAGATTTATTTCAAGGTAACAAATCAATCTTGCATCAGAGAAGTTTAGTTGTATTAGCATCTATATTGATTTAAAAATGAGAGATTTAGTTTTTTAAATGAAAAATTTATTATACCAGTGTTTTAAGTATGATACATGTAAGGTTGCCTCTGAGCTTTTTGAGAAATATGAATGAAGATAGAAATAGTGTTTATTCTCCTTATTTTTTATTCGCTGTAATTGCCATCTGTTTGGCATTTCTTATTGGCATTTTTTTGTTTCAGAATACAAAAATATAACTCCCAAAACTCCTAGATATTTGAATCAAAGTGAAACATATTCTCCAAAGATCTTAACTCCAACCAAATCACCATTCACCTACCCAAGTAAGTAAAATGCCAGTTTTGTTTGTTACTTTAATAAAAAGCCCTTGAAAGACTAGGGGACCTGTGTAATCATGATCTCTTGAAAAATAACACCCTGCTGAGTTATGAACTTTTGTAAATACACATGATAAAGAATTGTATGTTGTAGAATACTTTAATGCTCAATTCTGATATATTGTATAAAAAAATATTCCCCTTTGAATTTTGATTAATGATTTCTTGCATAAAAAAAACTAAATGATGATATGTCTCATCATGGGCTTTCAACCAGTTGAAAGCCCATGGTCTCATTTTATGGCGACACTCCTGATGGGTGAGACCATAAGCTTTCACATTTCTGAGAAATAACACCCCTGTTGTAAAATACATTCTGGTAATATTGTAGAATACCCATTACTACCTAGTCAGAAGTCATGGACCCAGGTCACATCTCAATACTGTAACAGCTGTACCTCTCAGAACCCAAATGTCAACATATTTGATGGAAACCCAAAGACATTCTGGATCACACCTAAACAAACTGACATCTGGTGTGTCATGGACATGACAAGCCCACATACTTTAACTGGAGTTCAGGTTATTGGATGGTAAGTCATTTTGTGATTTTTATGCTGGAAACTGAAACTTAATTACGGTAATTGTTTTTTTATATTGATGATTTTGTATATTATGCTGTAATATTTATGATAATTAGATACCAATACTGATATGAAATACATAGAGGATATCCTATAATATATATCCTAAATCATAGGATGTTCTTTTTATTCCATAGTTAAAGTCATCTTCAGAATCGTCGGAAATTAAGTTATTTAATTCGAATTTCCAAACGATCCGGCGATGTTGACACTTAGCCTCGTTTTGAGTCTGAAGTAGCAAAAATCCATAAACCATCGCATACGACGTTGTATGTCATAGCTAAAAAACCGTATGTTATGGTTAAGTGAAAATTTGTCAAAAATATCATATTTTACCACTGATTACAAAAATACCGTTTTTATTTTAACATGTTATCCTATGAATATCATGCTAACTATGGAATAAATAGAACTATGTTGTGTTTGTACCAAGACATATCTCAACTGAATACAATCTTTCTACATATACAAGATTTATCTACATTTTAGGGCAAGTGACCAAATGATTCAAAATGTCTCCCTCCAAAGGTCAACAAGTATAAAGTAAGTCATTTTCATTTTTGCTAAAACATATATTGTTTATAATTAAATAATTACTGAGTTTTGAATCTAACCATGTGTTACCATACTTATGTTGCGGTAATATCAGAGACATTTGTACATTTACATACTAATATTTTTAGCCAATTTTCGCTAAACATTATTTAATTTTCCTGTAGTGATCATATCTGCCGCTCAGCCGGGATGTAAAGTTATGTCCTGCCCTTTATCATGGGCTTTCAACTACTTTATTGAAAATACAACATTTATTATATGTCTCTGGTTATACATCTAAATTATAATTTTTTGAATTTCTATGTCACATCATTTGTGAAAAACATAATTAATGGTTTATGTTATTTCAGTGGACCATGGAAATCAGTCACAACTTTTACATGTAAAAAGAAAGGCAGCTCTGACCCATTGACTCCAGGTAAATAATTAGGAATAAACAATCTGTCAATGAATCTTTTATTCAATCCATTAATCTAATAATATGCCAGTACATGTAGTTAGTTACCAGTTGCACAACTCGGGGCAGATACCATTGCAGCCATACAAAAAGATGAAAAATTTCCTAATGGATAAATTCTCAACATACCTTTCTGATTTGATGATTATATTATCACGAATGTCACGGTGCCTGAAAAAAACTGGACATGCTGTTGAATTGAGACTGTAAGGCGATTTTTGATTTTCTACAGTTGCTTAGGAACTTACCGATTTCAGGGAATCTACAGTCGGTGTATGGTCGCCATAAAGCAAATGTGACTAAGGTTTAACCCTTGCTTGGTACATACGATTTCTAAAAACAAGCAGGTTTTGAAAAATATTTTTTTAGGTAGTACCATGGGCTTTCAATATACAAATGCCCTATTGCATAAAATTTTAATATCTTTAAATATCTTTAGGTGTAGCGCAGAACTTTGATGGGTTCTGTGAGACCTCGCAGTACTGGCGTATCCTGATACTTAACAATCACGGGGGAACATGTACTGCCTTCCAGGGTGTTAATTTTTACGGGTTTGACACAAGAGTCTCTCAGTTCCTGGAGCAGCTTAGAATGAGCAGTTATAAAGAGTCATGGATTAAAGAGGTACATCAAATAACTTTTTTACTTTTCCCTTGGGACATTTTGTGGATTTGTAAAACCGTATCTTGTGAGAAATTAATTTTTAAATGCTGCCCCATGACGCCATTAGATTAAATGTAGCATGGATCGTTTTTGGGAAATAACTACTTTTTTGATTGTAAAAACACATACTCTGTCGCAAGTTGCAAATGATATATTCTTTTCTAGGGGTACTACATATTTATATATTTCTAGGGTATTAACTGTTATGAGAAGCTGATTTCTCTCCCCTTAGAGTCAGTGACGAGCAAAGTAGCTAACCCAATAGAGGCAGACAGGTTAATGCATGCTCTAAAAGACATAAAAATGAAAGGTAAGTAAATGAACTTTACAGTACATCTCATTTAATGCTATGTGTACTTTTTGTGTCCATTTGCACTTTCATTGTGGTATTATTTCACATGGATCTATTCCCTCATATTGATACAAATAATGAAAAGAAATCTATGATATGCTATATCGATTGCTGATGCAGGCTTGTAGCCAGGGTAGGTTCAGGGGGTTCGAGCGAATCCCTCTGACCGAAAATGCTATCAAAATCATGCAGTTTTTATCATTCTTGGCACTTTTCAAGTGATTTTGGTCATTTTAGGCCTAAGGTCCATGTGCAGTATAGCAAGTTATTTTAGACCATCATATCTTTCACCATGAGTATTTTCTTGGTATAAATATAATGGTTTTTATTAGAACTATATGTTTTCTTTAAAGTGAAGTCCCCATGATAAAACTCTCTGAAAAATTATGGATTAGGACCCCACCTTGTCACTTTTTAAAAAATGTAAGGCTTATTTTCTAAAAAGAGGATATTGTTTTTTTTTTCTCAATTTAAATGTATCAATGTTTCTTATACACTATCTTAATAACTTCTGAAAAGGGGATGGGTATTGAAATGTGATAAAGTTAAAAACCACATTTCCCATGTTATTTTCCCATAGGGAAAACTCATGCAATCCATTGTTTTCACCATGATTTTGGTCATCGAAAATTGATATCTTCAAAACTAGACTTTCAATACCATTCTACTTTTGAAGATACTTTAGACCCCTTGTTGAATAATGTTTTCATGCAATAAAAATCAGAAAAAGAAGATCCTCTTTTGAGCAAATAAGTTCAACATTTTGAAAAAACTGTTGACGTTGACACTTGCCATACTGCACATAGACCTTTAGCAAAAGTGAACTCCCCTGGAATTTTTCAAAAAGTGAATTTCCCTTGTCAAATCCTGTCTACGGGCCTATGACATGATTTATTACTGGTGATGTATTATATTTTTGCTGATGATATATTATTGTTGATATGATATATTATTGCTGATATGATATATTTATTGCTGATATGATATGCTACTGACACTGATACGATATTGATGTGTTATAGATAGCGATATCAGTGAGTCTTGAATAAACATAATTAGTTTCTTTAATGTTATAACAATTTGGTATGCAACGGAAAGCTACTTAATACTTCTTGACTCAAAAACGTGACAATATCTTATGCATACGAGTGAAATAACATTTGTCCGCTGCATTTATAACGGTATCTAAGCCTCTCATAGTCTTAATATTCTCATATTATGTATTGTTAAAGTGATGAAGCCCATGCCTTAAATTGTGTAGTAATTAGGCTAAAATAGTGAATTAGCCTTAAATTGTGTATTCCTTAGTAATAAATGGTATAATACTTAGCCTCAAATGGTGTGTTAGCCTTAAATGGTGTAACAATTAACCTTTAATAGTGTATTAGTCTTAAATGGTGGGTCACTTTGTCTGAAATGCTGTTTAAATCTTAAATAATGTAATACTTAGCCTTAAATGGTGCATTATTTAGTCCTAAATGGTGTATTACGTAGTCTTAAATGGTGTATAATTTAGCCTTAGTGGTGTATTATACATATAGCCTTAAATGGTGAATAACCTAGTCTTAAATTGTGTATTAGCCTAAAATGGTGTATCATATTGCCTCAGATGGTGTATTACTTGTTTTAAATGGTGTATTAGCCTAGAGTAGTGTATTATATAGCCTTAAATGTAGAGTCTCAAATATTTAGTATCCTTTTTTCAACCCATTATCACTACATAGTATTTATTAATAAATTACCAACTTTGTTTTTTATTCAGCATACCCGTTCCGGCAGCTGAAGTGGCTGGTAATGCCTGGATCGTCATACACTGAAGGGGATGTCATTGACAAGTTGGTGGTTCAAGCAGATCCTATGGTACATGAGACACTCTCACTGTTTGCTAAAGGTAGGTGCACATGGAGATGATCAGGCTTGTAATTCTTTCAAAATCATGCAGTTTTCACCATTCTGAGTGCTTTTCAAGTGATTTCAGGTCAAAGTTGTCAGATGTGACCCATCTGGAATATTTTGAAAAGTGAACCCCCCTACGAGATATTTTTGTATTTTTGTATTATTTTTCCATGTTTTCTTTATATTTTTAGGTGAGATTGAGGTGATTTTCCATGTTTTCTTTACATTTGTAGGTGAGATTGAGGTGAATGGCGAGACAAAGATAACGCTGGAGCCACAGGGAGAAAAACAGCCATCTATTGCAACTTTCCACAACATCACTTTAGGAGAAGGTAGGGAAAATGTTTTATATATATAGTGGTACCAGTTTAAGGTCATTTACTGCACAATTCGAGACCTTATATTATGTTTTAGTTTCCACGAATATAAATGCTAAAATATAGAAGTGTAACAAACCTGAACATGAAAATATATTATTAAGAGTTCAGCCAGCCATAAGGAAAAACTGTTTATGGTCTAACGTGTGTAAAAGGGCTATGTCTAATACCCCTTCCCCACCATTCAGGTACCATTATCACAACTCAATACCATATTAGTATGTTAGTTGTAAGTTGAAATAATATGAAAAAATTCTCTTTTCAGCTGGAACTGGGAAGATAGAGATCAAAAGTGTCAGGTTTCCCAACATCTCTGTTATCTCAGACAAAATTTACGTAGGTGAGTCGATGTCATGTTGAAACAGAGACTTATTATTATTGCATAATATAAACCTTTTCCAACCTTTCATGTGCAGGCATGAGTTGTACAGCATGTCCTGGATGAGGGTTTGATTTTTTTTTTATTTCCAGTAGAAGCTTTGCTATATGGCTTTGGATCTTGTTTTAATGAGATTGTGGAAGATTTGCATACATCACTGTATATTGAACCATTACATTCCTTTTAATTACATTGAATTTCATACTCAATTTTCTAATAGAATTACTTTGAAAAATATTTATTTATTGCATGGCTCCCGAATTCAGCAGCACAAAAATAAACAATTTTGATTTTAATTTGATCACCAATTTTGTATTTTCAGTTGAAAAGGTGAAGTCAAATTCTGAGGTGGATGCAGCTTTTGATGAAATCACGAACATGCTATTAGATCAGACAGACATCAGGAATGATGAGAAGGCTGATGAAATGGTTGCCCCCAATGAAGTGGGTGCTGCATTTGAAGAGCTTGAAGACATGATGAAGGGTCTTCAATCATCACTTGATTTCTAAGGAATATTCTAGGGAATGAAATATGTACGATGGTCAATATAGGTTTATTGATGAATCCCCATAGAAACAAGTTGTTAATTCTTTCGGGTAAAATTCAGCAACATTTTTAGCAAATATTGATTTTTGAAGGGAAGCTACTTTTTAATGGAAATAATAAATCAATGTTCCATTCTTTCTGTAAGAGGGAAGCGGTCATGATAAGAGGGAGGGAATAAATCTGAAATGGAATAAATCATGTTTAGAGGCTAGATTTGAAATATTGACCCTGTCCTGGAAAGTCAAACAGGACTCCTACAGATGAGGAAAATTCATTCAAAGCAACAGACTCAACTCAGGGGATTCTTACAATGTACTTTAAATGGCATAAAATGGTCATGGAATTTTCTATCTTTTAAAATTATCAGGGAATTTTACATAAATACTGGTAGCTATCAAATGTAAGTGTATGCTTTCCATGTTCTAAGCATGTTTTTTTTCTTGTAATGCATGTGCATTATTTATTGGATAATATAATACCCTGAGCCTAAGTGTTTCCATGTTTCTGTGTTTGTCATAGCTAAGATTAAAGTTTTTGTTAAATTGAATTGGAAGGAACAGAGAGTGTAAAATGACTGATTAATGTTTTGCAAGAATCATGGCAATGTTTTTCCGGCAATACTTTTACTTTCTGAAAAAAGAATGTCTGATCTTAAGAAGTTCTTTAAGATTTATGATGGAAAAATGTCCAGATTCATGGGAATTGAAAAAGGTCCTCTCACATTTTTGGGCCAATGGTCTAATTGAAAGCCCATGGTCTATTAGAAGGATTATCTTTAGTGAGATCAGAACTGTTAGACATTTTAGAAAATAGGCATGACATGGAATGAAAGCAAAAAATATTGTAAAATTGTGGTTACTTTTTTGATCGTTGACTCATCTCTAACTCTTTTAGTCTACTTAACCTCTCGTTTTAGTAAAATAAGACGACAGAGATCCTAGACATTTTAAAACATTAAACATTTAAAACATTATTCTGTAAATTGGATGAAAACTGTTCAAATAAGAGCAATTTTAGTGAAAAACTTTGTGACGGATTATCTTGTCACTCTGGGTTTCAAGGTCATTTCTGAGCTGACAAGAAATCTTTTCACTCTGGGTAGTCAAGAGCATTATAATTTAAGCTTCAATAACTTATAAAGGCTTCGGTTCTACTGGCAATACAAAATCTAAGAATGCAATGCCAGATGAAACAGGTTTTATTCAGGAACGGGAAATGGAAAGGAAATGTTTGTAATTTTCTGAAAGTCTGTAGGAATCCTGTGAAATAAATACTGAAATATTGCAGTACAGTACAGGGCAGTACAGTACAGTACAGTACAGCTCAGTACAGTACAGTACAATACAGTACAGTGCAGTAAAGTACAGTACAATACAATACAGTACAGTGCAGTACAGTACTGTGTCAGTTCAGTTTATTGATTTATGAATTATTGATGTTATTCGGAGAAGGTAATTAACATGCAGTTTATATGTGATGTATTATGGAGTGGACAGTTCATTGTCAAAATCAATTTTTATGTACAACTGTAGTATTATATGTAAGAAAGTGCCATGTTTTATGTATTGAATATCCTATGATTTTGAGTGATATTATTTAACCAATGAAGTGATATTATGAGGATTGTACCAATGAATTGATACATTTACCAATACCATATTCCCAAATGAGCTGATCTCATATATACCAATATCAGTGGATAAAAACTACGCCTTCTACTTCATGTAAAAGTGATTAAATTAAATCATGTAGTAGTGTAATACCAAATATTACTAAAATATTATATGGTTATGGAATAAATATATTTAACAGCAGTGATATAATGATATAAACCTGCGATAAATACAAATATTAATCATTTATTAATTATTATTATTATTTTGAATACAATATTCATTCTTGAAACCTAAGTAAGAATGAAACAGTACTATTTGTACATAGAGGGGTCCCCTAGAAGGGGGGGTATGCAACTAAAACCCAGGTGGGAGAAATTTACTAATGAGAATTGAGGCAAAGGTGCAATAAAGGTGCTGTCTCCTTCAACAGAAATCATTCAGGAGAAACAGTGGAAGATACATGTACATTTATGTAATGTAGTATTGCATGGCTTTACATTTGAACAAATGTGTGCTTTATACTTACAAAATGGCTAAAATAAGTAAAACTGTATATTTCTACAGAATGTATTTTTAAACTAAGAATGCAATAATATGCAATATCTTTAGTGCTCAAAGGTATATAATCTGAAATAATATGCATATTAGACTGATGTTTTGAAGGCAAGATCAACATGTAAGTGCAATTGGTTATTTTTATACTTTTAAAGTACAAGTACTATTCAAATAAAAAAAACATGAAAAATATTGCTGATAACTGTACCTAAACATATTATTAGATTTTTAAAGACAAATTTATCTATAGATCTGTCTGTGTTTTTATATTTTTTTGACAAATTTTATTTACATTTTAAACCATTTCAGGCTTGTGTTAATGATGTTATTTTGTGACTCAATTAAAATGATTAAATGTGGAAATAATTCTATTAAAATGATTCAATTGAAATTATTCTATTAAAATGATTCAATTGAAATGATTCTATCAAATTATTTCAATTGAAATGATTCACATAAAATAATGCAAATGAAACTATGCAAGCGAATTGATTCAAGTGAAATAATGATTTAGAGTGGAAAACAAGATAAGGATAATAAGTGAGTACATGTAAGTTCTTGCCACAGCATCACACTACCCTACCACGTGACCACATTTAAAAATGATACAGGGTACGGTTAGGTTGCAAATGGAGCGGGTATTCTCTATCTTTGTCAATTGGGCTTTTCTGGTAATAATACGTTGCAAACTGCTCGATGAATCTATACAATGTATAGTAGAACACTTAGAATATGTGTAAAATCTAGTATACATTCAGAACTATGGAAATAAACAAACGTCCTCCATTTGCAACTTCCCTGTAGCCTGTACTTCTTTTAAAGGAATACAGGATACAGTATGGGGGTATAGTAGTGTGGGCATGTAAATACAGCCAGGATATATTGAAGTCACATGGGCCTATCAGATTACTAGAAACTATTTGATCAATAAATAAACAGTTGTAAAGTACTGTATTTAGCTTATTATAAGCACGCAACATTTGTAATAGAAATGCTACTGGTGAAACATAGATGTTATAAGCTTTAAAGAAATGCTGTAGAATTATTCTGGCAAAATTTTATTTGTTTTTGGTAACTTTCTGTTAGAATTTTTTATACTTTGTTTGATCAATATGTATTATAGCATACAAGAATTTAGGATACCTACCACAGAAAGATAATAATTGGAACCCATTTCTCCTTTGTGTATATTTGCAGTGTTATATAACAAATGTATGCATGCATAATATAAAAACATCTATAAACTTAATATATACAAAAATATGTACACAATTTTTCTCAAAAATTGATTGTTAATTTGTCACAAAGTTCGCAAACTGTAACATTTTCAAAGTACAATGAATATTCATTGTATTATACTACTATTATGTATGGTCTAAAAAGCCAATCGGTTTTATTTTGAAAATGGTGCCTAAAAATTAGCAGCAAATTGACTACAAGTTTATCATCTTGAAAGATGAGCATGAACATTTCTATTTTACTATAAAAACTTTATAATGTGATGCTTTATTTTGTAGAATTAATATATTTTGAATTTTTGTATGCATGTTAGCAAAGAATGACCAAATAAATATATCTTTGATAAAATATTAGTAGTAGTTTGTGTTTTGAATCCTGTGTTAAGATTATAAGCTTCCATATTTCAATTTTGATTTCATTACCTCGTTAAGACCTGTTTTCTAGTGACCAGTATGTCAGTGTCTGTAACAATTGGTCCCGCTTTTGTAATTTGCATAAATTTTACATGTTATGCTCGGACTTTATCCTGTTAACATGAGATGGCATTTAGTTAACAAATATTTTTGGTAATCTGTTACCATGATTACCATGATTTTAGGCAATATCTTTCCATTATTCTGCCTGATGGACCCAGCTGATAGCAGTTTAAGGGAGTGCGAAGTTTTGTCACTTAAACTTGATTATAAGTTAGATACATCTTTCAATCCAACTGTAGTTTTCTTGTTCTATCATCCCTCAAGTTGTTATTTTGAACATGAACTGGACCATGGAGTTGCCATTTCAACCGTAAAGTGGTTCTTTTAACTTTCAAAAAGGCATTAACATAAAAAGATGTCATAACCTCTAGCTTTCAGATATGAAACTGTAACCATTTACTACAGATGCTGAAGGCCAAATGCCAAAACTAAATGCTGGTCACAATAAATAGTTGCTTTGACCCTGATGACACAAGGGTCACCACTTTTTAGTGATTCATATTGACTATGAAGTTTTATTCTCAAGACTGCATATCTAGGAAATCCCATCACCAATCGTATATCCAGAGAAGTTAATTTTAAATAAACTCCCATACACTGACATTTTTTGTTTTTCTTCCCCATTTTCCCCATTAGAAATAAAAATAGAGAAGTGAGCACTAGTAAAACAAAAAAATTCCAATTGGCGTTGTGTTGAATATTGAGACAATGATCTTAAAAATATTTAGAGAACTAATTTCAATTTTAATTGAAGTCTCTATCAAGGGGAACAATTTTAAAAGAACTTGTGTGTATGAACATGCAAAATTAAGAATCCCAAGGGATTAGTTATCCCCTATGTAGTATTTACTTGCCTGATTGAATATAATGTTTGAAGGTGATTATTCAGAAGATCCCTGATCCTGGAAAAATCAAATGAGAGGGGGACAGTTATCCATGGGGTCATAATATTACACATTCAGGTATATCACTCTACTATACCTTGCATTTGGTGTTCATGAGCAACTCATTTGGCTTATCAGTAATGATTATGTTATTTGTTTTTATTTGTCTGTTCCCTATGAATGGTTTATCGGATGACTGTTAGATGTTAATAAGGTACTTTCAAAAATATACTAAACAATACAATTAGACTAACAGAGTATCTTATGCATTTCTAGGGGTTAGGTATAGTAGAGTGTATATGCATCTCAATTTCTTTGAATGTTAGAGATTTCGGCATGTAGACTACACTGTTATTTTAATAAAATAACTACATGTATTCTATCATGTATATGTTATAAATATTTTTTTCATAATTAATTTGATACAATGTACATTAAAGTCAGAATCAGGAAAGATATGTTTTGGCATTTTATTTCTTTCTTATGGCATAATGTTCATTAAGGTACAACATAATATTTAATCCTCAAATACCACAATCTTAACATGGTAAAAATTTGCCTAAAACATATTCTTACACAAAGAAACTTATACATTTTAAATAAATAAGCATCTTATATTTTCACCATCCCATTTATAAAAGGAATGATTATACAATTACTACAATCATGTTAATGATGTCTTATGATAGATACTGGGCAGAGGTTATGCTTAGGTGTTAGAATAGCAAAGGTAGAAAATATCATGGGGCCATTTTTCCTTTCTGAATAGATTTACATCTAGAAAAAAAACAGCAACTCCACGTAACAGCAAATATCATGGGGCCATTTTTCCTTTCTGAATCGATTTACAATTAGAAAAACAGCAACTCCACGGAGTAGCAAATTCCATCGAACAGAACATATTTCGTTTGATAATTAGTGGCCACCTTGAAAATTTCTTCTTGAACAGAGCATATCAGCTTATAAAATTTCAACCAAATCCATCCACTGATATTTAAATTCTCAAAGATTACATTTTTAATGAAAAATGGCAGCCATTTTGAAATTTAACAGCATCTTGAAAATTCTTTCTTGAACAGAGCTTGTTTGTCTCTAGGCATCAACAAATAAAATTTATAATAATTACGTTTTTTAATCAAAAATGGTGGCCATTTTGAAATTCAGTGGCCATCTTCAAAAGTCTTCTTTAACATTTAGCCATTTTGAAATTAAGCCACCATCTTGAAAATTCTTTCTTGAACAGAACTTCTGTGTCCAGCATACAGCATACAAAATTTGAACAAAATCTGTTCACTGGTATTTGAGTTATCAAATATTAAGTCTTTTTACGAAAAATGGTAGCCATCTTGAAAATCTATTCTTGAGCAAAGCTTGTTTGCCCCTAGGCATCAGCATATAAAATCTGAACAAAATCCATCCACTAAATATAGTATTTTAGTTATAAAAGATTTTATGAAAAATGGCAGCCATTTTGAATTCAGCAGCCATATTGAAAATTCCTTCTTAAGCAGAGGTCCAGTGTCTGTGATTAAAATTTTAATCAAATCCGTTAACAGGTATTTGAGTTATCGCCTGGACATACGAACGGATGGATGAACTGATGGTCGGACGGCTTTCCTATATCCCCCTCTAACTTCATTTAGTGGGATAATAAAAAAGCAATAAAATCAGTATTTCAAATTCAGTTTTAACTTTGACCAATTTGTATGTATTGAACATTTTCCTTTAACATATACATTGTACTTCACTTTTTGCAATAACTCACTTGTAATACTTATAGTTTGGCAACATATAGACAACATAAATATTGCACATAACACAATCATTAATAAACTCAACAAAATGATAACAATATACACCTCAGTTGCCTTCATAAAGCCATGCTGATATTTACAAATATGATATGTATATTTACAACTGTTCTTTATATATTACTCTAGTAACATTCAATTTCCCAAAAGGGCAGAAACATAGCTCTTTGCTGCTTTGCCAATGAGGTAATGGGTAAGAATTTCATAAATCTTGATAATCCCAATCTGTAGGCTTATTCCATTATCAGGATTACATATACTTATAATTAGTAGCGTATGATTTAAAAAAATAATGAAAACAGCCTTGCTTGAGAATATTTGTGAAACGATAGAGAAGTTGGTTTTACTTTATTTAATTCCATTCTGCCTAATCTCAAAATATCTCGATCATTGTTAGCTATTCGAGGAGTATTTTATAAGTCGACAAAGCCAAAATAATGCTTCGCCTGTGCGTTTTACGATAATCTTACAATAACACCCATTGTATTTCACAACATTATTGTACTACTATTGTATACTTCAAGCTAATACTAACTGACCATGATCATTTATATTTACAAAAAAATACACTGAAAATGTTTCAGTTAAGGTTAGAATCAGAAACATAGAGGCCCATATAAAATCTGCTTATCAATTGATGAATTTAATGTAAATGTACACATCATGGAGATCTAGTTCACCAGAGCAGGCAGGCGGGTCAACATAATAAATGTGTGCATCTGTATTTCCTTGAATAACGGATGAAATTCAGGAATTTTTGCAAAACGATATTGAATAAGACACTGATTGTTGAAGTTGCTCTCTATGCAGCCTGATTCTACTTTAAACATACATCCTCAGAATTATCATCTAAGGATAAATTTTCAGATTATTCATCCCGATCAACTGTTTATGCATTAATCCTAAGAATTCAGGGGTCCTGGGAATCCCCCAAATTTCTTAGATTTATTTGGAAAATAAGATTGGCTTAATATAAAATATTATCAAAGTTTTAAGTATTAAATATTCATGACTGTGATCAGAAATTTCTGAATTAATTGTACATTACATCTTATAATTAGCTATGGAGAAATATCGAGAGAACTTTGTGGCTCTCTTATGAAACCACACCCCCTGATATTCCTACGATTATGATAATTATCAAACATGATTAACACCATATTCAGTATTACTTACATAAGCCTACACAAAAGTAACCTAAACACAATATTCCACAGGATCTACTGTTCAGGCTACTGCTTGTACCAACACTCATTTTGACTGGTTAAATAGTACCCCGGACAATCTCTTGAAAATTATGTTATCTCTCAGGCTTTCCTTTCTCAAATTTTGATACTGATCTGAAATGACTGTCCAGGGTACTATATACTGGACTATTATGCCACATAAATATAAGCACCATTAATAAGCATGTTCTATTTTGTATATATCATCTTTCTCAGGTATCCATTCCTGAAATTCAGTAATAACATCTCCAATAAATCCTGACCTCTTTTGGGGAACCAAAGAAACCAATGTATGTTTGCTACATTTATGACATCATTCATTGTTTGCAAACAAAGTCAACAGAAGTTTTTGAAAATTAGCGACACATTTATCCTTTTATTCTACCCTGAAACTGGGAGAATGTTATCATGACCAAAAGATGGCATGATTTACCGGTACTGGGTATTGAATGGATCAATTTTTCAACCCTTGAAACTGTATAATGTAAAAGTAGTTTCCAAGTATTATAGGCCTTTGCTATAACAATCATATTGCGTGCAATATTACCAGAATTTGACACACATAAGGGTAACACACACTTAAGACCTTAAGATTGTAAAAATCATCATCATACTATGTGGCCTTAATTACACACTTTAGACACTTTAGACCCTCATTGAAGTCATCATACTATATGGCATTAATTATTAGGATCCAACACTGGAATTGTGTACATCATGTAAATGCACATGACTGTAAAAACATTGACAGATTGACACAATTTCTGGCCAATCTGTATGATGTACATACACTGTCATACAGCACTATAGCACATGTTGTGTTTTACACATTTACAGAATACTTTGATTGATGATGCCACCGTCTTCTGGACCATAAAAATATACAGTAAAACCTGTATATATATATAACAATGTTCTTCATAGATAAGTGTGCACCTCAGACAGGCATTCCTTTTAACAATATTTACTGAGTACAGTGTACATGCACAGGATTTGTCTCTGATCAGCTGAAGGCCATTTGCCTTTTTGCACTTTGTAGTTTAACCACTGGTTTTCAACCTGAGCTGCTATGTTGGAATGGATATGTCGAAACATGGGAACTGGATGCCCTCTCCTGATGAAGACCCAGGGGTTTGTGGGACCTCTAGTACCCAGGAGGAGAGATCAGCGAGCCATCTCAGTAACGTCAACTTCCACGTTCATTTTGCTGAGTCTAACTACTTCTTGGGACATGTCCTCCAGATTCTGAAACAACAAACACCATTATGTAGCTTTCATGGCCTACCTGTAGGCAGGAAATCCAACATGATTTTAGAATGGATATTGACTCGATCACATAATAAATACAAATATTATCTAATTTAAAGAGTAGATGGAAGCGAGGTCTGGCAGAGGGTAACACGATTTATAATGCAATGAACACAATTGCAATGAAAATGAAAAATATCAAAAGTTATTTTAAAATGATTAACTTAAAAAAAGAGATTCAGCTTAAACGGAAATTACATGAATAAAATAATTACATTTGGTAATTTGTAAAATTTATAAAATTACATTTATAAAATCGAGGTACGATAAAAAGATCAACTAGAACAGTACTGTAGTAAAAACTTGTAAAAACCTAAAAATTGGCATATTAAAAAAACAATTGGCATATTAAAAACAACAATGCTAATCAATACAATCTAAGATATAATATTTGATCATATCTTATAAAATAGTCATTACGATTGAAAATACCTTTTCTAAGTGCATGTTTTTAGTGAGTGTTTCTTCTAACATTCTCTGTAGTTTTCTATTGAGATCTCTCTGGCTTTCTTCCCCCTTGTCTTTAACAAAGTCTAATACACGCTTTATGGACATCTTCTCAGTCTGAGGTGAGGCAATGTGATCTGAAAGTAATGTACTATAAGTTATTGAATGATTTGAAGTGCAATAAAGGATATATTCTGTTCGAGAAATTTTGTATTTTAACGAGACGAAGTCGAGTGCCAATACAGAATATCGAGACATATCGTGTGATCCTCTGTATTGCTACTGAGATTGTCCCCTCCGTACCAATATTTTCTGTATTGCGACGGAGATGATTAACGGGGACAAACTCAGTAGCAATACGGATTGGTACAGCACAAGAACTGACCAATCAGAGGGCTTCATTTTACATATCATATGATAAATAAATGAACTGAGGATCCCCCGCCCATAAGTCAAAGGTTGAATGACACAACCAGTATGAATACAGTGAAACCTGTATATCCAAACACATTTCTACTCAGATGTCACTACTCAATGTTGTGAACAACATAAACATTTCACACATAAATACTGATATATCACTTTCACCACATTTGAGAATTGAATTGAATTAAATCAATCAAACATTTATAACAAGTTTATTACATTATCAGATTATCATAAGGCAGGTCAGTACTAATGGGCAGTATGGTCGAGTTTTGTGGGTCAAGTGAATATGGTAGAAAGTATCACCCATGCCATCTTTAATTCAGTGTGCTATTTTACCTGTTCTGGTTTCCATGGCGTAATGTTGCATCAGAGCCTGTTTTTTCAGTAATTCATCTGCCATTCCTGCAGAGCTCTCCTCAAGGTGATTTATCTGGAAAGTATAATAAATAGTATTAAATGATAAAGATAAAAAAGTATTAAATACTAAATAAACAAATAGTATATATTAAACTATGAATAGAGATAGAACTGCACAAGAGTCAACATTGTAAGAGTACATATTAAATAAAGTATCTCATTGCAGATATGGATTGCATCAATCATGCAAAACATGGATTTTAAGTGGACCAACCCTGTCAGTTGAATACAACTTCAAGTCAAACAGTTGAGACAGTCCTGTGACCTATTGACTTTATGTTAAATAAACCTCAGTGGAACATCTCCCATATGTTTCAGAGGTACCAAAGATTTTCCATATAATACACAAATCTTAATGTATTTGATTTATGACCTACCCTTTCTTCTAGCTCCCATTTCTCCTGCTGCATCTGGGTCAATCTGTTCAATAGGTCTGTGTTCTCCTGGACAAGAGACATAGATGGCGCTCCAGGATCAGACTGAAAGAATAGACATGTGTAATATGTATTGAGTATAATTAGTATGAATAAAAAAATTAAAAAAACAAGGCATTAAAATGTAAAATATTACCACCTGCCATTTGTTGCAGATACTGACCGCTGAACACTGTCCACAAAAAAGTATCAATATCTCAGCACTTGTGGTGGTGAGATAATGATCTAATAGTTTACATTCTGTGAGTTAATCAAAGATTGGTGGAGGAAAATGACTTAAAAAATGAGCCAATGGACACTATTTTTAATCAGACCACAGATCTTACTGACTGGTTCGTTATTTTCCGACGATCTTAGAAATGCAAATAAACAAATCAAATATTGTCAGTATGCTTTATTTCGATAAATATAGCAACATACCATCGGAGAGTTGATGGCTTCTCCTGTGTCCCGCCCCGTTCCACTCAATGACATGCTAAATGATGACAGAGAGCTACCATCACCATGGAAACGCTCAATAGAGTCTGATGGATGGAGCAATTCTTCTACAGCTGAAATATAATCAAAAAGTGGGATTTAGAAATATAACAACTCTGTGATGCATTACATGATATACTCTTTTTAGTGTGAATTTCATATATTAATTTATTTCTCCTTGGACACCCATAATCTACAATATGGTATACAACATGTGTATTTTGGCTATCATGCAACTCTCAAAATTGAAATGAGACCTGACTGAATGAAGTCAATGCATCTCAAAAGAGAGATGCTTATTACACCAAGTTAATATGGGCATACATCATTTTCAGCAAAGCTGAGATTACATCAAATCGCATCAAAAATCTTCAAAGAAAACATGTTGACATGCCTTTGAACCTACAGTATCTGATAAACCTTGGCCTCTTATTCAAAGGAGACACACCTTTCCAAAATATAGCACTACACCCAAGTATACACACGCAGAGTAATAGTAGTCTTACATTATCTCCCGTACAAAACACACCTTTCCTGAAAATAGCACAACACCTATGTATACAATAATAGTCTTACATTGTCTTGACTTGGAGTCTACTGACAGGGCCTCTTGGAGTCTTTCCTGAAGCTTGTCTGCCCTCTTTCTTTCACTCTGAATCTGTCTCTTCAGGTCCTTGGTCTAAACACAAACAATACATGTGAAATATTTAGAATTAGGTCATGTAATATACATGACTTCTGACTGATATCGGCTGACTGCTGAAAGACCCATATTTGGACAAGAGAGCATATGATTGTGTATCTCATACTTGAGTGGGTTTGGGGTAGATATCACCCGGGAATATATATCGTATCTGAGGAGCGGGCAGGATATATTGTATATGTCCCGCTCCAGGCCAAATGCGGGCAGATATAATATATCCATCCCGCTCCCGGGAATTTTTCAAAAGTTTAAAAAAGTTTAAATATCAAAAGTTTTAATTTTTTAATTTTAAAATTTAATTTTTTTAAGTTTAAATGTTACAATTTCATTGTATTGAACAAAAAGAATATTACGAAAATGTTAAATATAAATATCTTGTCATTTGAAAAAGGTGGAAAATGTTATATCTACCCTAAACCCACTCAAGTATGAGATACACCAGTTATGCACGGTCGGTTTGGATACATGGAATATCCCTTGGGATATACAATACATCTTCCCTCGGTCCCTTCGGTCCCTCGGGAAGATATATTGTATATCCCTCGGGATATTCCCTGTATCCAAAACCTCCCAGTGCATAACCCCTATGTATTACATACCTTTATTCCCATGATAATTTGATTTATGATGTCACATGAGTGATTTAAAGTTGGTACAGATAATACACGATGTAATAAATTTGATCAGGTAATAAGTCATTACTTCAGTGATAAATGAATGCAGGCTATATTTTATGGACACACATGTATGTAACACACAATAAATACAATAAATACAATAAACACAATAAGAAAAGTATTCCTGAAGTAATGAGAAAATCAAGGAATGCAAAATGAAAAAATGGTAATGGCAATTTATAACAATCAGTATCAATTCATCAGGATTATCTAAAATTGCAGAATTACACCGTACCAGTCAACAACAATACAATTCAAAAAATGTTTTTTGAAAACTTACAATATATTATTTCCTTTGAGAACACTATCAGAACCCGAATTCAAGTATTTTTGACACCGTGTACCAGAGAAGCAGTAGCAGAGTAGGATTTTGAACTTACCATGGAAGCCCCTTTCTTTTCATGTATCTTTTTATCATCTATTTGATCTTTAATTTCCTGTTTCAGTTGAGTTATTGTATCTTCCAGCTCAGTACACTTGACATCCTTTCCTTCTAGGTTCTCCTTTAGTTCCTGCAGACAAAGAATTCAGACTCAAAAATTTGTAATATTTTCATAGTTGATATCCTCACTCATCTCCTGTCATATCCTTTAGTATAAGTACAGCAAAATATATTGAAAAAATTGGATTCGAGAAGAAGGCCATTTAAGTTTCACTCTAAAAAAATTGGATGTGTAGCTGATTTGATTACACACTTATCATGTGATTCAAAGAGAGCGAAGAGGAGGTCTATTGGATTTGGTGTATGTACCTATGTATCCCATACAATGTACGTAAATATACCTGGATTTGTTTGCTGTGCTCTCTAGTGTTTGTGTCTAATTCCTCCTGGTGTTTTGTCCTAATCTCTTCCAGTTTAATACTGTGTTCTTCCCTAGCTTCTGAAAGCTCAGTCTGCAATCATACAATTGAACGTGAGACCTCATGGCCATAGCCAAACATGAGGAAGGTGAGGTAACTCACTAATCACTAAAATTTTGCCTCAATTTGCCCAACCTTGATTAACTTTTAGCCTCGCTAAGTTTAGATCTTGGCTTATGCCCATGAACCTATTCTGATATGGTAAATAAAGGATGTCACAAAAAATAGAAACTTAAAATGTACATGTACATTCCTTGGACGTAACCACTAACCAAAACTACAGAAGGCTTCTCTATATCTATCCCAAACTGTGTTCAGTGTGATAATTAAAATTTCAATATTTTTCACCAATAAATAACAATCAAATAGTCATAAAAAAAATTAACTTCCACAATTATTGAGACAATAGGGAGGTTAAGATTAGCGTAAAATGTACATATACTTATCCCTATCCGTATGTTTGTAAGGGAGGCCAGTTGCAAACATAGGGATAGGGATATAGGTATACGTACAATTTTACGCTAATCTTAACCTCCCTATTGACACTACCCTCACCTTAGTCTCTTCAAGACTCCTCTCCAGCCAGCCTTTAGCTTCCTCTGTTGACCTCAGTTGACTTTCAGTAGTCTCCAACTTCTCTTGAACAGACTCTAATTGACAGCCCTTGGTCTTCAACTCACTGGATAGACTCTCATTTCGTTTCTATAAAGTGATGAATCTTGAATATTTAGTGTTGGTATTTTCCTAGCACATGTAAATCAAATTTTTAGTGTTGTGTTTTTCTAGAGAAAACTCATGTTTAGTTTGCTGTGTTTAACTTTTTAATGCTTCTCAATATTATTACCTTGTACACATACAGTAAAACACTTTTCAAAGCTTACACTTTCTCTGTCCCAATTTGGTATTTTCTCGTTAACATCCATGTTAAAAAACTTGAAAAGTGAACACTTGCTAAACTAAACACTTTTGACCAGTCCCAGTTGCATTCAGAATACCATGGTTTTCCTGTATCCAAAAATGTATTTTACTCACTTGTTCAATGTCCAATTTATCTTCCATTTCCCTAACTGCATCAAAGTGCTTCTTGTCCACATCCCTGGTTTGTTCTCTGTATTTTTCACTGTCTTTCTGATACTTGATGGCTAGTTCATCCAACAGGCCCTTCCTTTTCTCAGCAAGCTGCAATTTTACATAGCCAGTGATATAGACTGAGAATCATAGCAAATTCTCGAAATCGTTGTTCCCTCTTCAAAAGAGAAGACGCGAAAATCTTTCCTTATAAGGGCAAAATATTTCCCATGATGCAGTTTGCGGAGGAACAAATTTATACTTCCTTATTTTCCCTCATAGGTTTAACATGGGGATTTTCACACCTATTTTTCAAACGATATAATCGTTCATATTCCCGTATGAGAGTACAGAAAAAATTATTAGAAACGATTGATCTCTCATTAATCTTAATATAACAGCTATTTTTTTCATTGTATTAATTCATAGCGTGGTGAAAACGATGATTGAAAAGTGAGAAAATATTCCGGAAGAGAAGGTCACGTGATCAGTAGACTAGTCGCCATATTGGAAAAAACAATTCCATTCGACTTTCAATACTTGCATGCCAATCTTACCGCACTACAAACTGCGACATCGATGCAACAACTGAATAAAAGTATTCATCTTCAAATTACATTATAGAGTTACGTTGAAAACCCACAAACAACTGAGCAGTAGACCAAAGAAAATGCGTCGCTATTATCTAGGTCAATCTGTTCAGTGGTCCGAAAGCAAATCTATAGTACTCGTTTCCGAATTTTGTTGTTCATTGTACAATCTTTTATTGATTAAACTCAGTACACTGACTATTAAAGCAATGACAAAGAAGAATACCTACGATGGTGTCATTGTTTTATTTAGCGTGCGGGTGTAAAAACAAAATTGAGTAATTAGTTTGATTTAGAACTTTCGTGTCACGCAAATAGCTACGCGAAATGCATAGTGGGAAAACATTGACCAATCAAATTTTGTCCTTTTTGAGTGCTTTTTCAGTGCATATTTGCGAACATTCTGATTCAAAGAGCGAACCGCGAAAAGGAGAATTGAAGGGAGGAAGTTAACATCAGGTAAAAAGCTGTGCTGAACAGTCACAACAACAAGTCAACTTTTGACCAAAAATCATCTCTATCATTTCTTAAGTCAAGATAAATAGTATTAGGATGACTGAACAATACATTCAAATTTGCATGGGATATTTAGAATTTATAGACCTCATTTTAAAAATATTAGACTTCAATGTTGAAATTTTTTTCAGTATTTACCATCTATCTACATAAAGGACTACCTCTTGATTAGAAATAAAACACATGTTTACCTAATTCTTTCAGTATTTACCTTATAATTACCTTATTTGATTAAAAATAAGACATATGTTTACCCAATTCTTTCAGTATTTACTATTTATCTACATAAAGGATTACCTTATTTGATTCCTGAAATGCTTCAACCTGTTTGTCTCTGTCCAATTGTGCCTCTTGAAGACGCTGTAAAGTATTGTTCAACTTCTCTTGCGTTTCCTAAAAAAATTCAGGTTACACCTGTTAATAGAAATTGGCAGAGAGATATGAAATAGCTCCCCAGATTTTTCGCAAACTAGGAAAACTTTTTTCTTCATCCTAAAATCGCTCAAATCGCTTTGAATGCATTGAAAAAATAAGGCAGGTGATTCATAAGTGAGGATGAGAGAGGAAAAAGCAGACAAAGTGAATAATCTCTCTCACATAATAGTTAAAGATGAACCTTATATACAATAATTCACTTAACTCCAGGACTTAAACAGACAAATGTGACAAATCTAGTTGGTTCTGGGAATACTAAACAATTGAAATTGCAACTCATGTCTCCTATGGTTCCATGTCTTATTGTAAATGTGCATATAACTTGCAAATGTACCTGTACAAGTAACTTGTAATATACCTGTAACAGTAGCTTGAAAATGTACCTTTACAATTCAATTGTAAATATTCCTATGCATGTAACTTGTAAATGTACCTGTACAGTGTACACATAATTTGTAAATCTACCTCTAACTTGTAAATGTACCTGTACATGTAAATGTACTTGTGCATGTAACTTGTAAATGTGCCTGTACAGTGTGCACATAATTTGTAAATCTACCTCTAACTTGAAAATGTACCTGTACACGTAACATGTAAATGTATTTGTGCATGTAACTTGTAAATGTACTTGTACATGAAACTTGTAAATTTACCTGCAACTGTGTCTTCACATCATCTCTCTGCTTCTCTATAGTTGATATAGTTGCACTTAATTGGCTGATCTGTTGAGAGTATTGTTGTTCTAACTGCCCTAGTTCTGATGCCTTCTCAGCATGACTGGCACTCATCTAGTAAATATATGATTTAAGATTGGAAAGTACTATATTGTTCCATATCTCTATATACAGTAAAAGAGGCAAACAAGGAACGCTCTCCCATTGACCAAAACTGTTCTTTGTAGACAACAAGTGTTCCCTTCAGAGGTTTCGGGAACCAAAATTCATTGAAGATTAGTTACTGTAATATGACCAAAGATGTTGCTTAGAACTGATTCAAATTTTTTCAACCTCATTTTATAGCATTCATTTTGGATCTTTTAAAGAAATTTAGCTAAACATGTCACAAATACAATATCTGTTATCTCCAAAAAAAGTTGTGTCAAGTCTCTAGATGGGAACAACTAGTCAGATGAAATCAAGCTTTGTTGAAAGATTCGAATTGTGTCATGGCAATAAGGATACCATGAGTGCTTGATTGCTCGAGCAATGGGCATCCAATACGAGCTGTATCAGTAGACAAGATGAATATCAGTCGTATCACTTTTCAAAATGAAAGTACATAAATTCAAGTTTTTGAAGCATCATTCAGGTCAAAAACCAACAAATGACCAAATGTTTGATCTGAAGTTGTAATAACTTACTTGTTAGTATATATCTGAACACAATATCAGTTGTATGGAAGGGGGATTCAATCAAATAAACGAGAGAAAATCTCAGGCATTGTTTGTGTTCTCTTGGTGTGTTAAACTATGCTTTAAAATTAAAGAACTATGGCTCATTTGACCTTGAAAAAAAACTGTTCTGTAAGTAAAAATTTGAATAAAATTAAGGGTATAATGAGTCAACCTGTGTTGTATCGTTTGTATCGTATTGTGAGGTCAATATCGTAGATACGTTTTGATATTCAATTTCTCATATTGTAGTGCCCCTAATGGCAATAAATAACAAACAGATCAAAACATATATTGAAAAGTATAAAGGTAATTAACAGTGGGTGGGATGCCAAATCACTTTCACAGACAGCTTATCTTAATCTCATTCATTTTAATCTAAGCTCCTTAGAAACAGATGTTGGCTTAATATAAAGACATTAACACCTTTGAAAAACAATAGGATGAGTCATGATGTACAGTGTCACCAATTTTCTATGTTCCTTGTGAACAGGTGTATTTTCAAAATTTGCTCTTGAACACTGTGCCTTGTTCTCAGTTGACAGGTGTTCCTCTTACATAGAGCGTCCTTTAAGGCATAATTCAATGGAAAAATGCTTGTTTCATTTAAAAACTGTTCCTTGTTGAGCGTTCCTTATACAGAAAGGTGTTCAATCAGACAGGTTTTACTGTAGTCTGGAGTATGTGTTCATTATCAAGAAAAACATGTCTATAAGTATACTGATACATCGTATCAACTAGACTAAACAGCTGAAAAAACAGCATTACAGCTTGCGATGATTGTCTCTAAAGGAGGCAATTATACCTGAATGATTGATACACATATACAGGAGTTTGATGAGCTGTAGCTTTGATTCAGATAAATAAATAACTGTGACCAAAATTGAAATACTTTCAAAATAGATGACACAACATCAGATTAAAAACAACTTCATACCTGTGCCCGAACTTGGTCTAAAGTTTGTTCAAGCTGAGCTATCCTTGCATCAGCCTGAGTTCTCGCCTTGGTGACCTCATCATTTCCTCGCGATAGATCAGCTTCTAGTTGAGCTGATATGGCCATCATGTTCTGAATTTCATTGTCCTTGGATTCACGCAAGTCTGAGATATTTTTACTGAAATTTTATTATTAAGAATATTTTATTCGTCTATATATTACATTACATACATTATATTGATACAGTTTAACTAAACAGATTGGACAAAAGGCTATTCTGAAATTGACGTCATCGATTTAGTTCCTCATTATTTAGCTTTATTGCATGCACAGAGAGAACATTTGTTATATCTGGCTATTGTTATCCAGTTGAAATCATTCTATATTGAACTACAATAAATCTCTTATATTGATAGATGAAAATATTTAATTATACTCACTTGTATTCTTTGTACATGTTTTCTTTTTCATCCTGTAATTGCACTAAACTGAAAAGTAAAAAAATTAAATATTTAGATATTCAAAAAAAACTCACATATTTTTATTCTTTGAAATTCTATGAATGACACACAGTTTTCAACTACAAGGTATATTCAAATTTATCATAATCACCATTTATAAAATTCATAAATACCTTTCTTGTTTCTTTTTTAATTTCTCTTGCAGCTTATCAATCTCTTCCATTGTAGATTTTGATTTATCTTCTAATGTTTTCTAAAAATACAAAACATTTAAACTTTCAAACTTGCATGTTTATGACATTTTCATTTTTATTCATTGTAATAAAGTCAAAGATATTTGGAATAATTTTGATTTTACAGATGAACAATTTTTAGGTTTTCAAGTATGTTCAAATTATAAGGATGTTCTCATAGCCAGAAAAACAATCCAAATTTTTAATTATCACAACTGTACAGGTAAAATAACAAGAAAGATCCGTAAACAAAAGATATTGAGAAATTTATAGACATGAATGTTTGTTTTATATTAAAATGTACCATTGTAAGTTTATTTCAAAGGAAAATAAATGTTATTCTAAAAAAAATAAAAAAGCTTATGACATCTACATATAATTTCATAATATTCCACTACTTGTTCAAGAAATTAGAAGAGATTGAGTGTGTAAAATGTTGGAAGCAATGCTTGCCAATGTTACCTTTAAAAACCTCATTCATTTACTGAAAAAATTATTCTGATCAATTACAGAAGCTATTGAAGACTTAAGATTCCAAAGATGTCCAAATTCATTAGAATTTAAGAAATGAGACATCCTCCTTTTCAAAACCCTTCTATTTCCTCTATTAAGTAAATAGGAATTAAAAAAACATGGAGTTTTAATAAGACAATATGCCATTAATAAGAAAGATCTGTCTTAATTATAATATATCAGTACAGATATTCATGAAGATTCCATCAAAATTGAGAGAACGATTCCAAAATTAGAGGTTGCACTTTTGTGTCACCCTATACTGCGCATTTACCTGACTAGTAAGGAGTTGTTCTTTTAACAGTTTACTTTCCTCTCTTTCAATATCAAGTTGTAATTGCAAATCTGGAAATTAAAATGAAGACTGGTATTACTAGAGTAGATGGGTTTAGATCAGGGTTTTTTTCATTGGAAAAGCACAAGTTTTGGATTTAGAGGTCAATGAAGGTCAACCACCAACAAACCTGAACATTCAAGCTTACTCCTGATCTCCTGAAAATAGTGCTATTTGGTGCAACCATTTTGGGCCAGTCTGAAGATGCCAGATCAAGGCCTGCCTGTCCTCCCACCCCCCCCCCCTCCCCTCCTCCCCGACTTGATAAGAGAGAAGGAAAGGTACAATGTACTAACTAGTAAAAGGAAAGAAAGAAGTTTGGAAACACTGTAACATTTATGATTCATTCAGGTTTGGCCTATGAATTCATTTAGTTTTTACAGTGTAGCTATTGAATATTTTTCATTATAAAATAATATCTCAAAAGATATAAGAAACATGAGCAATGTTACATCCTTGTAACTCACCATTAAGCTGTTTAGTTATGTCTTCTTTATCTTCTTTAGGTTCTGTTATAATAGAGGTTTCTTCTTTTGAATCTTCTACAAAAGAACAAAAATTAAGTACATCTTTCAGTAACTTGTTTTTTACTTTAAATGTAATTTACATGAAATATCCATAAATCAATTTACATTAAAAACATTTACATTTTACATGTACAGTGACTAACCATGAATATTTGCAACAAAAAGTGATAGCATATATGCATATTTAAAACATTTATCTTGCATGACATCTGTACAGTGCACAACTTTAACAATTCAACACTCGGTTATAAAGCTCCCTATATCACCCTTGGTATACACTGCGATTGATGATGGATAAACTCCCCAAATTTTTATATATTTTTTCCTTTTTTACTTTGTCTAAAATTTATCAAAATTAAGAAAATTTGAAAAATAGATATAAGCTAGTTATGAGTAATCTAAATAAAAATACTGTTAAACCACACCAGTGACACTGATGTTCCTGACTGTTATTATTTTCGCTGTTTTTACCAAGTGTGTATATTTACCTTGTGTGACATCATGACTGTTGCTTGGTAACACACTATCAGTTATGTCTAGCCCCTCCTCTTCATCTTGACCATCTCCTCTTCTATCTGGACTGTAAATTATTAACAATGATTAGGAAAATATATTTTCACGGTTTCTAGACAACTCATCCCAAGATATTTCATCCTGAAGACAAACTATCAAATGATTACATATCCCAAGACAACTCATCCCAACTTGAAATTGAGATGTCTCCAGGATGAGTTGTCTTGGGATGAGTTGTCCTGTTATCTTTTCACCAACATTCATCCTGTTCTAAATGAAGATTCTGAATCATCATGAGGAGAGACTAAACAGGCCCATCGCTCAACCCCCCTGGCCAAATATTAATTCAAAATCATGCAGTTTTTCACCATTCTGAGCACCCCCCTTGAACCCCCTTGACCAATCCTGGCTACAGGCCTGCTAAATTGATTGAAATTGACACTAAAAATTTGAATGATTAACTTCTACTTCACGTCTATTCTTCAACAAATATAAAATGGTAATGCCAGAGCATAGCAAATCCAATCAAAAATGGAGAAGTGAAGTCATCTGCACTGAAGAAAGCATGCCCTGCAAAAAAGGCCTGGACTAATTTCAAATCAAAAACCAGACTTTTGAACTGCCATTTTGTTCCTGTTAGCAAAGTGAACAACTGATATCTTTCAACCACGACAATGGCATGATGTACGTAAGGCATTCACCAATAAAATAAAGGTTAGCTCTACATAAAGATAGAATCTTGGTGGGCTGGGGGGTTATTTCCAGCATTTGCAGAAAACATAATCTGCACATATAGTTTTCAAAATTATCAAAATTGTGACAACATGCTTTCAAATAAATATATGATTTTTTTACACTAGAATTTTACACTAAACTATATTACAAGTATTTATGAGTAACAATTATAGCAATTTACCTAAGCTCAGCCCCTGCAGGGTCTTGCCTTTGACCCGAAAGACGTTCACATCTCAGCTCAAGTTGCCCTATAGTCTCCTGAAGCTGCCGATTCTCTATGTTATGTTTTTCTTGGAGAGCTACACAAAATAAACAAAATCATAGAATAAATAAACAAAATTCAAAAATAATTTCATGAAATTATAAATGAAACCCGGGACTTGCAGCAATTTAAACCAGCAATAACTTACCACTTAACCTTCACTATGAGACTGACCATTTCATTTGGGAGATCTTAACTGTTTACCAGGATGTTAACCAGGGGGCCATTAACAGAAACTTCATATAGTTAAGAACTGCACATACAGACATACCTGTCAGGTTCTTTTGCAATGCTGTATTCTGGGCTTGACTGTGCCTAAGTTGATCTTGTAACTGAGCCTCTTTTTCAGAGTCCTTCTGGCCAGTAGCATCTCCTGTGTTTTCTAGCTGTTTCAATCGTTCAACTTCTTTCTCTAAGTTTTCATTGGCTGCTACAAGCTGTGTAATATAAACATCATTAATGTATGTCTTATGTCTTGAGATAGAGGTATAGTGGAATGTTTTTTAAACTGGTTATCGATTAGGAAAACTGTAACATATCTTCCAGATGAACAATAGGGACCAGACTAAAACATTGAAATTAAAATGGTGAATAATGTTACATTAATCTAAAAATAACTAGATGATGGCAACTCCGCGGAGTAGCAAATCCCAACGAACAAAATATCAATTACCGAATTCCAATCAATCATACTCATTACTTTGGTTATAATTGAAAAATTTAGATTTTAGAATTGCGAATTCCTGCAAAGCAGCCATTTTGAATTTTCTGAGGTACAAATCTGAAAAATAATACCATAATTGTGATCTACTCCAAAATTCCTTCAATTTGTGTATTATATAGCCATACGTTGAAGGGATCGAAAAATTATTGCGAAATTGTACATTAGACGGCCATTTTGAATTTTACGAGGCTCGAATCAGAAAAAAGATAAAATATTTGCAATCTACTCTTAATTGCCTTTGATTTGAGTATAATAAAGCTATACTTCAGAAAAATTTAAAAATTAGCGAAAATTTCTGTTTTCCTGACCCCCCCCATACACGGCCCCTGGGGGTCAGGATGAAAAGATAGATGTTGCGAATATACTTCCAAAATTTCAAACAATAATATTAATTACTCTGGTTTAGAATGAAAAATTTATGATTTTTGCGAAAAAGTCCCGCCATTTTTAAAGCGGCGGCCATCTTGAAAAAATCCATTTTGAATTTTCTGAGGTACAAATCTGAAAAATATTACCATAATTGTGATCTACTCCAAAATTCCTTCAATTTGAGTATTATATAGCCATACTTTGAAGGGATCGAAAAATTATTGCGAAATCGTACATTAGACGGCCATTTTGAATTTTCAGGGCTCGAATCAGAAAAAAGATACAATATTTGCAATCTACTCTTAATTGCCTTTCATTTGAGTATAATAAAGCCATACTTCAGAAAGATCTAAAAATTAGCGAAAATTTCTGTTTTTCTGACCCCCCATACACGGCCCCTGGGGGTCAGGATGAAAAACACGGAATATATGTGAAATAGATAGATGTTGCGAATATACTTCCAAAATTTCAAACAATAATATTAATTGCTTTGGTTTAGAATGAAAAAGTTATGATTTTTCCGAAAAAGTCCCGTCATTTTTAAAGCGGCGGCCATCTTGACAAAAAAATTTTTTGCGTAAAACTATTCATCAATATACATCTTTCCACCAAATATGAAGAAAATCCATCAACTAATATTTGAGTTATCTTCCGGACGGACAGACGGACGGACAGACGGACTGACGGACTGACGGACGGATGGAGGGCTTCACTATATCCCTACCGAACTTCGTTCGTTGGGATAATTACTGTTCAAAAAAGATACTTGACCCTGAATTCCAGTATTAAAATCTACATGTCACAACTTCAGACAGAATCATATTACATGTAAATACAGCAAGCAAAAGGACAAACAAACATTTTTTCTCTTGTCTATCATTTTTCTCCTCCGCATTAAACATTATAATCTGACAGATACACCCTATGCAGACAGAGCCTGTGGGAAATATTGGGTGCGGCGCAAATGAGCGGAGGGTGCAGAGCTAACGGTCATTTTTGAATTTAAAATTGGGATATTTCTGAAACTAAGCCGTTTTCGGACTTCAAATATACCAAGATATGTGTATCATATCTGAAAAACATTTCCGAATTTATATAAAATCACACAGATATTGCCTGGCTTCCAAGATGCAAAAATAATTTGTATAGATAGTGTACCTTGAACACCATTTTTTATGAATGCTGCGGACTCAGTATTAAAAGGATAATTTCAAAATATATAGGTCTGGGAAAGGTTTAAGGCACATTGCGCTACTATTTTCACAATTGTATTGATATTTGGTGTCAAATACACATATCTTGGTATATTTGAAGTCCCAAAACGGCTTAGTTTCAGAAATATCCCAAATTTAAATTCAAAAATGACCATTAGCTCCGCACCCTCCGCTCATTTGCTCCGCACCCAATATTTCCCACAGGCTCTGTCTGCATAGGGTGAGATAAAGAGAACCATTAGATTTGCATGTTCTTATTAGAAAAATTTAACGTATTATTGATTTTCTTTAGATACATATTTAATAGGAAAAGCAAAGGACATATTACTATAAAAAACCACCAATGTTGATTGTAATTTTGTCACCTCATATGCTGTACTATAATAGGATGATGTAAAATTAAAGCAATTCCAGTGATAACACGATACAAAGCGCTTACTGTTCCAAGCTCAGTCATCAAAGTCTGATTCTGCAAGCGGAATTCTTCCTCTTGACTGATAAGTTTTCTCTGCAATCCGTCATTCTCATTTATTAACATCTCAAACTCTCGCGCTTTCTTGCTTTTTTGCACTGCCTAAAATGTAACAAAATATACTATAATTGAACATGCATAATTCGCAACAATAAACCTGTGTAAGTGAACAAACATCCCCTTTCTAGTAACACCCTTCTGTGAGAACACCCCTCTCAAGTAACACCCCTCTCTAGTGAACACCCCTTTCTAGTGAACACCCCTCTCTACTAGTGAACACCCCTCTCTAGTGAACACCCCTTTCTAGTGAACACCCCTCTCTACTAGTGAACACCCCTTTCTAGTGAACACCCCTCTCTACTAGTGAACACCCCTCTCTAGTGAACACCACTCTCTAGTGAACACCCCTCTAGTGAATACCCCATCTCTAGTGAACACCCCTCTTTAGAGAATACCCCTATCTAGTAAACACCTCCCTTCAGTTAACAATTTTAATCATCAAAAAATGATTATAATGAAAACCTACTACTGTAAGCAATGCACATTACACAAAGGCCAATTCATTAGAACTAACCTGTCTATAGTGAACAAGGTAGTAGCAATTAATGATTGGTTTCCTGCAAAAATTCTGAAAATACCTTCTCAGGATTTGTATGTACCCTAAGTGTCACTCATGCATCACTAAAGATTTCTTTTATAAGGATAGCCTCAAGACAAAACCTTCAGTAATACATAGAATATATGGTTATCCTAAGTTGGGGTGGAACTGAGTGGGAATTTTCAATATTGTTATCCTTTTGATTGTAAGCACATTTATACATGTAGATGTCACTTAGGAAAAAGTGACTTGGGAAAAAGTGACTTGGCAAAGATTATCAACTCGTCAGTTGTTTTCTTAATTCAAATATCCTGATTCTATTTAATAGGCATATAAAACATAAACATACAAAACATTGCCACTGAATATAATTCTTTATATGCTTTGTTTATATAAGACAGGACACCTAGTCTGCGAGACTGTTCATTGATTCTATAGTTCTCTATCTGGTGTGACCCAACATGAATGAAAGATTCATTCTCTTGAGGTGAATATCTGTGTATCTTTCACAAGGAACATTCAAGATGTCCTTATCAGTGAAGAACATATTTTGTGGCAAACAATATTCACAATATATATAGATTTTATTGTAGACACAGAGCTCCTGTATCCCTATGCATAAAACTTTTAAATCAAATCTGTTCACTGATGGTATTTGAGTTATCAAAGATTACATAATGAAAAATGGCAGCCATTTTGAAAGTCAGTTGTCATCTTGAAAATTTCTTCTTGAGCAGAGCTCTTTTGACCCTAGATGTCAGCATATAAAATTTGAACCAAATCCATCCACTGGTATTTGAGTTATCAATGATGCATTTTTTACGAAAAATGGAGCCCATTTTGAGAATAAGTGGCCATCTTGAAAATAAATCCTTGAGTAGAACTCCTTTGTCTCTAGGCATCAACATTTAGACTTTGAGCCAAAGTTTGGTATGAAAAATGGCGGCCTTTTTAAAGTTCAGTGCCTATATTGAAAATCTGGTCTAAGCACAGCTCCTTTGTCCCTGTGCATCAGAATATAAATATTTACAAAAAATTGGGACCAATTTGAATTAAGGATTATCATAATAAGGTACAAAATTTGAATTAAATCTGTTGTCAAACTAGTAATTGAGTTATAGCCTGAACAGACAGACAAATCGGATGGACGGTTTCTCTATATCCCTCTCCAATTTCATTCGGTGGGATAATAAAACTGAAACATTGTGACAATATTTTTTTAAACATCAAACAGCATACCCGATTAGCTTTTTCTAAATCTCTATCAAGTCGCTCAACATCTGCCAAGAGCCTGTCTATTTCTAGAAAAGATAAATCACCAGCATTATTCATCTAATCCAAGTGTTTTTTATTACAATTTACTAGTAGAACATGTTGAATATTAGATGTATATCTGATGGGTACGACATTAAGGATTGAATTTATGAATTCTTATACCTAATAATATAAAACAAAATTCATAAACATAGCCTATACTAGGTTATTAGACTGTAAATCAACACCTCATTTCTGTAGAAGGCTGATGTATCCAGCTTACCTCGTTTTGCTTTGGAATTTTCATCAGATAGATTGTAGTTTGTGGTCCGTAACTCCAACAGCTGAGTCTGAAAAACAGGGGAAATTGAAAAATTTGAGCCATGACAGAAACCAAACAGGGCACTAACATCACTACCTGCCATTTGTTATAGATGCCAAATGCAAACCACCAATTGTCAAATGCTGAACACCATCCAGAAAAAAGTTGGAGACTATTACAATGAGTCAAGCTGTTTTGGAAACAAATTACATGTACTCTTATCACCTAGAAGTAAAAAGGTCAGGGACCGTGAATTCGTACAATCCCCAATCCAATCCAGATAAATTTTATCTTTTGGGATAAATCTTGGACTACTAATCTGATAAATATTTGGTGCATTCGTACGATCCGAGGATTATGAGGGGGAATCCCTAAGATTTATCCAATTTGCATTGGAATTCGGATAAAATTTATCCAAAAAGTAATCCACCTCAAGAGGTGGATTGATATTTATCCTGAGATTAATCCCAGGATCGTATCAATGACTGCCACTTGGAACATTAAATGCGCATGATGACAGCTCCTGAACCAGCTGATTGGTTGTATTGAAACTATCAGATTGTTTTATGTTCTTTGCATCCTAGTGTAATTTTTAGGTCACTTCCTGCAACATTTCCCATGATGCATTATCATCTCTTATAAAACAAGTCACTTAATAAATGTGGCACTGACATGTGATTGACATATTTTAGACATTGATATTCTGCACAGTCACTTCCAGAGGCCTAATTCATGAAAGCTCCTCAAGCTTGCATGTTCGTAGTGTATTTGCGGACCCATTACGTGTCCGCATTTTATTGCGTTGCGTGGTATTCACAAAGCTATCCGCATATCCGTGGAGTTTCCGCATGTAATCTCCGTGTCTTCAATCCGTGTCCTTGACGACTGTGTCACCAGTTAGGACACCAGTCACGTTATATTACCGAACAAATGTGAAAATGAAATGTTTGTTCGATGCTCGGATGATCACATTTTATTTAGCTCTCCTAAAATGAACGAACAAACATTTCATTTTGCCACATGTTCGGTAATATAACGTATCATAACTTCCGGAAATGACAAGGCAGTTGTAAAATTTTTGGAAATTTTTTCAGTTCGTTTACATTTCTTGTAGATCTATAACTGTACTTATTGTTGATCAGACGGAAAGATAAGCTGATGTAGTTACATTGGAGTTCGTTTACTACCATTTGGAAGGCACGTGAGGGACCCATTCATCAGGTAACACTTATATGTCGAAGTAAAGTTCTTGCTATTTTTAACATGAAATGAGGAGTAGTCTAAATATTATTTCAGATAGACTATTGGAAATTCATAAAACCGGAAGTACGATTCTACAGCTTATTTTGATAGTTGAATGATGTTATATCTGTTTCAACACGTTCAGTATATGTACTTTATACTTGTATTTTGCAGAAACATCGATATACATGTTTAAAACCTGAAATAAATGCGTATTTACCTGAATTCTAATGAATTCTTCTTCAGAAAGTGACGACGCCATATTTACTTTATGTGACCTCTGACCTCATAACCTTGACCTTGAAACATTACTTCTGCTCTTCTGGCAAAACCCGACGGACCTCTGCCAGATAAGCTCCTCTGTGTCTAAGCTCAATAAATATACTCAAGGTTGACATATATCCCTCGACCTCGAGCCTACTACCAATAGGGGCTGAATCTGGCTCCGGATCCGTGGGCAAAACAGCCCTTATTCACGTCAATGGGCAAAAGCGCAAACGCCTGATTTTTTATCTCGAGTTATGGATTTATGTGGCCCCACTCATTCTCAAAATTCATTTCGTTCGTTCACTGGCCTATCTGAAGTTCAAAAGCAATGTCTATTGTCTATGCTACATTTTGACACGAAACACAATAGGGGTCAAAAATCTACTTTGACCCCCCGGGTTTGACCCCCTCTCACACGCCCGGTGATCGTACAAATGGGATGAAGGGGGATTAGGCGATTTCTGCAAGAAAACTCAACAAATTTGGAAGATTTATTTTTTCAAGAGATTTACAACTGAATTGCCAAATGAATAGGCGCAGTGCATGGCAAAATATGTAAGTCATCTAGTTTTTTTTTAACTGATACCCTTCTAAGATATGAGATCTATTTAGAAAGGCGCATCATCACCAACGTGCAAAAGTCTATGTTTTTGCTATAAATAGGGCAACAATGGTCTAGACGACCTGTAATAGGTATAAGGGACGTTATTATCGCAATACTAATGGCATTAATTTTGCTCACTTTTTAAAATTAGTTTCCATGCGTTATACAAAAAATAATCGTTAATATCGGAATGGGGATTTTCCAAAATTCTAACGCCAATATCTTTGGAACTAGACAAAAGAAAAAAATCTTCTTATTTTGAAGATAATCATGTTATTGTAAGATACTAGAAATATGGACTTTATTACTCTAGAACGGTTCTGCAGGGTGTCTTTTGAAGATTGATAAATTAACATGGGGCTCAATATAGGTTTTTTATACAACTTCACGGCCAAATATATTAAAATTAAGAGCGTTTAAGAAATGTGCCTGTTTGATTTCAATATATTAAAAAGCATTCCGAGATTACTAGGCCTAATCACTTCCTGTGAAAATGTGAATTTTTTATCAGTCTCAGAAAATGTCTCCAGAATGTAAAAGCCCAACTTGGCAGATGTCCCATTGTTTGATTGTGTCACTCTATACACTCATTGGATTAATATTTTGTACATACAGGGTGGGCCAAAAAACGCCACTTTTGTTTCAAGACACTACAACTTTTTTATTTTCCAACCTACATACCCCAAATTTTGCAGTTATATAGCCTAGTGCCAGGGGTTCTAGGTAATAATATAATCATAGTCCTTCAACTTGGATTATATTTGATTTAAAAGAGGAATTCAATTGGTCCGCCACCCTATTTGATGATATATTTTAGTTTTAGTTGCCTTGCTGATAGGGCCTATAGCAGTATCAATGAAATGTTAGATAAGTTTTTTCAACCTGTCTTTATTGCCAGCTTTAGTTAAGTAATTTTTTGGGGTGCCTTCATACAATCTCCTGGATACTAGTACCCATACCCTTTACTCACTGGGGTTTGCATCAAGGCTATAAGCTTGGCGATCATCAGGCCATATCAGTTCAGGAACATTTTGCAAATTATGCTTATTTCTTATGGCACACCACATGTTTAAGCCTAAGTGAGACGCTAGTGACATATTTTATTCAAGTAAAAGGGTTCAATTCATGATCCATGGCTAGATAACAACCTCAAGTTTCATTTGGTATGCTTATCATGATTTTGTATGAAAAATTAAAAATAGCATTTTGAAAAAAGTGGCGTTTTTGGGCCCACCCTGTATAAATAGTCATACTAGTTATTCAATAGTCATTGAGTAGGGATAAGTTGTGTTTGAAATTATGTTGATCTACTTATTTCTAGAGAGAGGAAGGTCATGGTAAACTCTTGCTTTGTTCATATAACGCCTGGTTCTTACCTAGAAAGTTATATGTAGTAAGGGTGTACTTCTAAGGTACTTCTTGAGATATGTAAAATCTAGGTAAGGACCAGGCGTTGTGAAAAAATAGAACTTTTCTTTTTTTTATATTATCACAGTTCACTGGCTGATCATAGCAATGTTCATTTTTAGAAATCCAGCTCAACTTTATTGTGCAGAAGAAATATACTGTCACAATAAGTAGGCGGGAAAACGGCATTTGCTAATAAAATGTCCAAAGCAAAGGGAACTGTACGAGTGAACCGCAATCTCCCAGTACCCCCTGTATGGAGACAGAGGGTTACATCTAAATCGTAGTGGACTCTCTTATGATCAAGCCAACCAATCTAAATGATACACGAATGACCATCTTCGAGTAGATGGGAAATATACCATCATTGTTAAAAAAAAGAAACATATGGCATAATTTCTGTAAAAGCCCAGTAATCGGTTTGTGTCCTCTAAATCGTATTATACATGGGTGGAGTAGTAACCTTTTAGAAATTGTTATATTTTATGTGTTTTCAAATGTTGCTCTTTGTGCTTCCTCACTGTGATGTGAAATAATAAATTCAGTATTTTACTGCCACTTTAAGGTCTCATGGAAGTTAACAGGAAGTGACAAAACAAAAAATGACAAAGCCATGCTGGATTTTGAAAATTTTTTGAACCAAGATAACAGAGTTCTGTTTGGACCTCCAGTCAGTTTAACTAGTTCCACATATCATTTACATGACCAGGAACACAGTTGAAATGGTCAGAATGACCATAAACATGATAGAATAACCTTTTCAGCCCTCTGAAAATGTGACTAAAAAATAGCTAAGAGTAGGTGCTCAGGAAAGGTCACTGAACAGAATATTTTGACTTTTTCAGAAAATGTGCCCAATATATTGCTCTAAATGATACAATTCAAAAAAATTTGATATCATTCTTAGAAAAAGAAAAAATTGAAAAAAACTGAATTGAAAATCGATCTATTTTCCTTTTTACTACAGCCATTATTGTTTCAGACGATTTTTTAAAATTTCAAAGATTGTGTCATTTAGAGCAATATATTGGACACATATTCTGAAAAAATCAAAAGATTCTGTTCATTGACCTTTCCTGAGCACCTACTTTTAGCTATTTTTCAGTCACATTTTCAGAGGGCTAAAAAGGTTATTTTATCATGTTTATGGTCATTCTGACCATTTCAATTGTGTTCCTGGTCATGTAAATGATATTTGGAACTAGTTAAACTGACTGGAGGTCCAAACAGAACTCTGTTATCTTGGTTCAAAAAATTTTCAAAATCCAGCATGGCTTTGTCATTTTTTGTTTTGTCATTTCCTGTTAACTTCCATGAGACCTTAAAGCAAACTGTATATGAGCAATTGATCTTGAAGCAGATCAATATGATTGATATGCATTTTTGACTTGTTAATTACTTCATGTGTTTTTTAATGTTGTCCCTTTTAATGTTGTCCCTGTTTTTTCTCGTTGTGATGTAAATTAAAGAATATATATATATTCTTTTCTGACATAGTTTTGCAACTTTTTTTGTTGACAATTGATCTCAATGAAGTAAAAAGAAGAAGGGACAACATTATATTTCATATGTTTTTTCTAATGTTGCCCATTATGCTTTGTCACTATATGTAAGATAATACCAAGATGATCAATTAAAAAAGTCTTAAATGACTGAAAATAATGACTATTTTAATAATAAATAGAAACAGTGGCAATAATGATGTGAAAAAAGTGATTTTTCCTTGAAAAGGTCATTTTATACATGTTAATAGAATGACCTATAGCTTTGAAATATAAAGGTCAGAATGACCTAATTTTTGGATCTGGTTATCAAACAAAGTCTCTTCTTTGATATCCTGTACAATATTTTCTAAATATCTTGGGGGCTAATATAGGGTCTTAAAGGCACTCGTCCTTTCATAGTAGACCTTTTGAGAAAAGGACACTTTGATAAAGCCATATTGATAGCGCTTTATAATGGCAGCCAATGGGGATTTTCCACAATTCAAACGTTAATATCTTTGGAACTAGGCAAAAGAAAAAACAACCCTTCTTACGATTTTCGAGGCCTGCTATCATCTACTGGGAGGACTTTTCCACACAACTTTGTTAGATACCAAAAATATATGTACCAAAGACACTTTGGTCAAAAATGGTGCTTTATAAATGTGCAATTCTATGGTTTTATTGACCTAACTGACTGCACTAGTACCCTGAAATCATGCGCCTGTGCGTTTGGCCTAGTTGCACGGACTGACGGATGACTAAACAGTTGTTTTGCCGAAAAATATGATATTTATGAGATTAATGAGACATAACTATTCAATAAATGTGTTTCCATTTGCTTTTATCTCCGGCAATTAATACAACTCATTTATTCCAAATAACGAAAGAGAAGACGTATATTCCATGTTATACAGGCTATGCCAACTATACCAATGTACCAGTACATTCCTCGAACTGGCAGCCGGGATATGGAAATGTTGGGGGAATAGTAATGGCCTCTGTAGTTAAGATGATTGTCTCGAGGTTCTGCGTCAGATACTCTAACTAAAACATGAAAGCACAACCGAGATTTATTTCTATGACTGGAGCCTTAATATATAGCAGTTGTTCGTCCATTGCGTTATTACTAAAATTCTAGATATAGTCAAGGAGCAAGCACTGAACTAATATGTTTCGAGAGGGCTGTCCAAATTCTGTCATGAAGAAGGTATATATTGTGCTTAGGAGAAATTTTTTTTTTTTTACTTAAATGACAAAGTGCATATCCATGAACGAAATTGCAGTAGAAAATCTAGAAATAAACGTATGTTACCTCGATATAGAAGGCCATATAACCAGCCCCTGGTGGTGGATAAGGATATCTTGCTAACAGAACACCTTCACCCTAAAATCATCAAAAATGGGACAAAAATGTTCGAGACCAAAACTAAGAGGTTTATATTTGCATTCAAACTAATACAATGATAAAGCAATTTGATATTTACCAGATCTAAAGCAATGTCTTCATACCACGTAGCGGGATTGTCTATTACTGATGAACCATTTAGTATCCTTTGTCTGAAGTCACGTCTTGGTCTGCAAATTGACTACGTGAAAGAAATCATAGTCTTCGGCAATAATTGTCTCGTTTATATAGAGACTTGAAACATTCTCAACGTGTGTAAATGTACTAGTATATGAAAATAATTGTTTTCATGTCACGGGTAACGACCATAAAAAACATCAGACTAAAACGTACACTTCATAATAGCATAAGCACTATAATTGTTTAAATCACAATACTAGCCAAGTGACATTATAAGGCTCAAGTAGAAACTCCTGTTAATCGGAAGACAATATGGTATAATCAGAATAAAATATGGTCAATTGGTATAATTATATGAATGATGAATTGAAAAAAGTAAAAAAAGTAAAAAGCAACATTAAAATTACTCATGGCACATTACAAAATTATTCGAGCCACAAGATCAAAGTTACTCACGCCACAAGATCTGTAGTATTTGTCCACCTGACCCTGGTACTCACCGGGGCGTCTACTGTTGTTACAGTTATGCTCCCAACTCTGGATACTGAGTTCTATAATTTATTAATACCTATCCTAGATTAATACCAATATAATGCCATCTAACAAGGTCAGGGTCAAATCTATAGGTCAATTCTAGTAGAATTGTCTGCTTTTTATTTCTATCCTTTCATCATATTTTGTAATTCCATTCAAAGGTATTGAAATACTTTCTCTGCCAAGTAATGAGAAAGCTTTTGACTACCATGATAGTTTTTGCCACCAAACTTGCTTTCTGTTTAAACATAGCACCCACAACCACTAATGACCTTCCAAGTGATGATTTTCATTAAGGTGAAACAGAAAGAACAATGCTTTTAGATATTGCTGCTGCGTTTGACAGCCTTCCACGTAACGTACTAAATGCATACGCATTACATATGGCTTCTGGTATGTGGTGTTCATGTCAGTATTAACTTTTTTTTAACATTTTCTGATTTCATCCCCATAATTGTGTAAATATATCTGTGTTGAATTTCATATATGCGTCTCGCTTTATATAATACGCAGTGCCTCAAGGTTCTATGTTAAGGCATTTTCTTTTTATTCTCTTCGTTAAAGGTCTCCCCGATTATCTAAATGGGCATTGCTATATTCATTACTTAGTCTCATTAAACATTTTCCTCTTCAAAATACTCACAAATTCATAAGTATATGTAAATTCAGGAAATGGTATGTTATCAGTTATACAATGGTAGAAGGCGACGAGATTCCAAAATATCATTTTTTCAAGACCCCCAGCGAACTTCCGCCCAGAGTGCAATTTTACACTGAACGAATGTTGATCCCGGGGATATTTCATACCTCTCTTACATTAAAATTAATTTATAATATAAATATACAAATAATTAACAAACATATGCGCAAGACTTCCTGGGGAGGAGTCAGATAGTCGAGGCATATAAAATTAAGGGTGTATAATAAGTTATAGGTTCATTGGAGTCAAATTTCAAATTTGTTATGATTGTATGTCTTGATAAATATTTTTCTGTAAAATTCTACTACACTACTATATTAATTGAAGCATTTTATTGTTTTATTTTATTGCAGCATAAGATTTATGAATTTATGAACATGATGCCATTTCTATTCAACATGACAGAGAATTCATGCCTCTAGACATAAACAAGAACTTTTGGAATGGACTAATTTATCGTATAATAGCTCTATTCCATATATAATTACGTATATATGGTATTTAATTCTATACAGATAACCCATATCCAAGAATCATTCGAAAAAAAGCAATTCCAAACCATATATAAAGTGTGATTCTATTAGGATAGGAGTTAGAACTTACGTGACCATTTTTGGATTCTTCAGTTCATCCCAAAAGAGGTTTGTGTCGTCTGGGGGGAAGAATTCATCACCCCCGGCTGCCATGTAGAAAATAGGCATATTGAGACGGTCCCGATAACCTGGGTAAAAAAGTGAATCACTTGACTTATCAGTTAATTTGGAACATTCGTCCAGAGTTTTTAATAATGGCGGTTGGCATTAGGGGAGAAGAGTCCCACTGAATCAAATGGGACTTTGATCCACTTCGGAGATCCTTTGAAATCAGATTTGGCTGACGCACCAAGTACCACGATGTTCCATGAAAAGCTAGCTTACTAATGTTTAATGCAATATTTGCTCTCTTAAGTTGGTTTTAAATCCTATCCTTCCGATCCTTCGGTGTCGGTGTTGGTGTAATGTTCTGACTTACTATATGGGTCGATGTGATCAGCCATTCGATCCATTAGAGGAGCCCCGATTTGTGTAGTTAGACCCTCTCTCCAGTAGCTGTTGAAAGCAAACGTCCACCCGCCCAATGATCTCCAATATTTCTGTAACATCTGACAACAAGGGATCGAGACATATGAGTTACCCTAATAATTCACAACAACCAGAGTATCCGACTTAAACCTACTCTAAGAGCGAGGAGGAAAATTCTTAATAAATGGAGTATAGTTGGTTTGGCAGCATTTTCAGTTAGAGGGAAGTCTTGGATGAAAATTCAACCTAGGTGATAGCTTCACAGAGTGGTACATAATTCTTTTTTTTCAGGGGTTAGTCCCCCACCCCCCAAAAACACCCCACCCCCGGAAAATAATTTTTTCATTCTCAATTATTTTAGATATCTTGATGTTTGTAAGTTACATACATAGACATTATATATATGAATCATTTGCAAAATAAATAATGCCAATCACTCCTACAGAATTTGGAAAATACTACAAAGTATGTACCCCAGGGGGCAAATTCGTGACCCATTTTCTTACTATTTAGAGACACACTTTTCAATCAGACACTGGAAGACATTGAAAAATTTCATGTGAAGTGCCCAGTAGCAGGGCTATAAGCCCTGAAAGGTTCAAACTAATTGAATTAGTAGGAGCCGAGAAAAAAATTGTTGATTTTTTGAAAATTTTGACATTTTTGAGAGGGTTGATTTTGTGTATGACTATAGCTGATGCCTATGGTTTCCAGATCTATCCCTCTTTGATGATAAATATGGTTTTGAAGTATGGAACTAAGATGTAAAAAATAATTAAAATGGGTTTAAAGGAAGTTTCATGTTTTAAACAAGTTCAAAATTCCAAGAATTGTACAATATCAGGTCTGAATTTACAAATTTTACGTAAGACCTTGGACGAGCCTTAGATTTTTTACATCTGTCCCCCTTTGATGATATTTATGGCTTTGTAGTATGGAACTAAGATGTACAAAATAATTTAGATGGGTTTAAAGAAGGTTTAAGAATTTTAACAAGTTCAAAATTTGAAGAATTGTACAATATCAGGTCTGAATTTACGAATTTCAGGTAAGACCTTGGATGAGCCTTATATTTTTTACATTCGTCCCTCTTTGATGATATGTATGGTTTTGTAGTGTGAAACTAATTAGTAAAAAATAATTAAGATGGATTTGAAGAAAGTTTAAGGATTTTAAATGAGTCCAAAATTTGAAGAATTGTACAATATCAGGTCTGAATTTATGAATTTCAGGTATGACCTTGGATGACCCTTATGTCTTTTAAATCCTTCCCTCTTTGATGGTATTTATGGTTTTATAGTGTGGAACTAAGATGTAAAATATAATTTAGATGAATTCTAAGAAGGTTTAAGGATTTTTAACAAGTTCAAAATTTGAAGAATTGTACAATATCAGGTCTGAATTTACGAATTTCAGGTAAGACCTTGGATGGCTTTTATGTTTTTACATCTGTCACTCTTTGATGATATGTATTGTTTTGTAGTGTGGAACTAAGATGTAAAAAATGGTTTAGATGGTTTTGAAGAGTGTTTAGGGATTGTAATGAGTCCAAAATTTGAAGAATTGTACAATATCAGGTCTGAATTCTCGAATTTCAGGTATGACCTTGGACGACTCTTTTGTTTTTTACATCTGTTCCTCTTTGATGATATTTATGGTTTTATAGTGTGAAACTAAGATGTAAAATATAATTTAGATGAATTTTAAGAGATTTAAGGATTTTAACAACTTCCAAATTTGAAAAATTGTACAATATCAGGTCTGAATTTACGAATTTCAGGTAAGACCTTGGATGGCTCTTATGTTTTACATCTGTCACTCTTTGATGATATGTATTGTTTTGTAATGTGGAACTAAGATGTTAAAAATGATTAAGATAGTTTTGAAGAGTGTTAAGGGATTTTAATGAGTCCAAAATTTAAAGAATTGTACAATATCAGGTCTGAATTTTCGAATTATAGGTATGACCTTGGACGACTCTTTTATTTTTTACATCTGTCCCTCTTTAATGACAGTTATAGTTTTATGGTATGGAACTAAGATGTAAAATATAGTTTAGATGAATTTTAAGAAGGTTTAAGGATTCTAACAAGTTCAAAATTTGAAGAATTGTACAATATCAGGTCTGAATTTGCAAATTTTAGGTAAGATCTTGGATGAGCCTTATATTTTTTTTACACCTATCACTCTTTGATGATATGTATGGTTTTGTAGTGTGGAACTAAGATGTAGAAAATAATTTAGATGCATTTTAAGAAGGTTTAAGGATTTTAATTTGAAGAATTGTTCAATATCAGGTCTGCAATAAATGAATTTCAGGTATACCCTTGTTTAGCCCATATGATTTTAACACCTATCCCCTTTCCATGATTTGGTTTAGTTGTGTGGAAATATGTATAATTTACATCGATTTTAAAGAAGCTTGACATTTTAAACAAGTTCAAAATCTTGGCGTATTGTATAATATCAGATCTGAAATTAAAGAATTTCAAGTATAATCTTGGTTAGCCCATATGATTTTAACACCTATCCCCTTTTCATGATATATTTGGTTTAGTTGTGGAAATATGTATAACATAATTTACATCGATTTTAAAGAAGCTTAAAATTTTAAACAAGTTCAAAATCTTAGCGTATTGTACAATATCAGATCTAAAATTAATGAATTTAAAGTATAACCTTGCTTCGCCCTTATATTTTTAACATCTATCCTTTTTTGATGATATATATGATTAAAACATAATCAAGATGGGTTTTAAAGAAGTTTAAGGTTTTAAATAAGTTCAAATTTTCACAAATTGTACAATATCAGAGCTGATATTAATGAATATTGGGTATTTAGGTGAGCCTTATGTTTTTTACATCTATCCCTTTTTGATGACATATATGCTTTAGTAGTGTTGAACTAAGATGTTAAACAAAATTTAGACAGGTTTTAAAGAAGCTTAAGGTTTAAACAATATAAAAAATTGAAGAATTGTATAATAACAGGTCTGGAATTTATATATTTTAGGTATAACTGTGAATGGCCCTTATTCACTTTTTACATATATCTCTCTATGATAACATATATGGTTTTGTAGTATGAAACTAAGATGTAAAACATAATTTAGATGGGTTTTAAGGAGGTTTAAGGTTTAAACCTGTTCAAAACTTGACAAATTGTACAATATCATATCTTCTGACATTAACGAATTTCAGGTATGTATCTCTCTATGATGATATATATGGTTTAGTAGTATGGAAGTTTTAAGGAAGTTTAAAGGCAGAATCAGATCTATGGGTGTGACAAAATTACAAGCAACATGTACAGTTCATGTACCAATCTTTTCCTTACAATCTCAAATACAATATCTCCAAAAAGATTCACGATGTGTTAAGTTTAAAGGCAGAATCAGATCCAACATGTACAATTCATGTACCAATCTATTCCTTACAATCTCAAATACAATATCTCCAAAAAGATTCACGATGTGTTAAGTTTAAAGGCAGAATCAGATCCAACATGTACAATTCATGTACCAATCTATTCCTTACAATCTCAAATACAATATCTCCAAAAAGATTCACAATGTGTTAAAAATTGATGAAGTAATAATGGATTCAAAAAGCAAAAATGGGTGAAAAATGTTTAAATTCTCCCAAAATAATAAGAATGGTAACCATTCTTATAGAAAAATAATACATTATTGTAGAAATCTTTAGTTTTCCTGAAATAAAGTGTGCACTTTGGGGATTATTAGCAAATAGACATGAAAAGGAATTACATAAGCCAGAAATATTCAAAAAGGTCAATGTGCAGTATGGCAAGTGATTTTAGACGGTCATATATTTCACCATGAGTACTTTCTGGGCATAAATACAGTGGTTTAAATACATGTCAACATTTTTTTCTAAATGTTTAGAGCCAACCAAGGTTATACTTGAAATGTAGTGTTAATTGCCGAATTAATATTGTACAATGCGCCAAGATTTTGAACATGTGAAAATCCTTAAACCTTCTTAAAATCCATCTTAATTGTTTTTTTACATCTTTTTTACATCTTAGTTCTATCCTACAAAACCATACATATCTTCAAAGAGGGACAAATGTAAACAATATATGGCTCACCAAAGGTCTTACCTGAAATTCGTAAATTCAGACCGGATATTATACAATTTTTCAAATTTTGAACATGTGAAAATCCTTAAACCTTCTTAAAATCCATCTTAATTGTTTTTTTACATCTTAGTTCCACACTACAATACCATACATATCTTCAAAGAGGGACAAATGTAAACAATATATGGCTCACCAAAGGTCTTACCTGAAATTCGTAAATTCAGACCGGATATTATACAATTTTTCAAATTTTGAACTTGTTAAAATCCTTAAAATCCTTAAACATTCTTAAAATTCATCTAAATTATATTTTACATTTTAGTTTGTTACTATAAAAGCATAAATATCATTAAAGAGGGACAGATATTAAAAACATAAGAGTCATCCAAGGTCATACCTTAAATTCGTAAATTCAGACCTGATATTGTACAATTCTTCAAATTTTGGACTCATTAAATTCATTAAACCTTCTTCAACACCATCTAGGTTATTTCTTACATATTAGTTTCACACTACAAAACCATAAATAGCATCAAAGAGGGACAGATGTGAAAAATATATGGCTCACCAAAGGTCTTACCTGAAATTCGTAAATTCAGACCTGATATTGTACAATTCTTCAAATTTTGAACTTGTTAAAATCCTCAAACCTTCTTAAAAACTATCTAAATTATTTTGTACATTTTAGTTCCACACTACAAAGCCATAAATATCATCAAAGGGGGACAGATGTAAAAAATCTAAGGCTCATCCAAGGTCTTACGTAAAATTTGTAAATTCAGACCTGATATTGTACAATTCTTGGAATTTGGAACTTGTTTAAAACATGAAACTTCCTTAAAACCCATTTTAATTATTTTTTACATCTTAGTTCCATACTTCAAAACCATATTTATCATCAAAGATTGATAGATCTGGAAACCATAGGCATCAGCTATAGTCATACACAAAATCACCCCTCTCAAAAATGTCAAATTTTTCAAAAAATCAACAATTTTTTTCTCGGCTCCTACTAATTCAATTAGTTTGAACCTTTCAGGGCTTATAGCCCTGCTACTGGGCACTTCACATGAAATTTTTCAATGTCTTCCAGTGTCTGATTGAAAAGTGAGTCTCTAAATAGTAAGAAAATGGGTCACGAATTTGCCCCCTGGGGTACATACTTTGTAGTATTTTCCAAATTCTGTAGGAGTGATTGGCATTATTTATTTTGCAAATGATTCATATATATAATGTCTATGTATGTAACTTACATACATCAAGATATCTAAAATTATTGAGAATGAAAAAATTATTTTCCGGGGGTGGGGTGTTTTTGGGGGGTGGGGGGCTAACCCCTGAAAAAAAAGAATTATGTACCACTCTGTGAAGCTATCACCTAGGTAGAATTTTCATCCAAGACTTCCCTCTAACTGAAAATGCTGCCAAACCAACTATACTCCATTTATTAAGAATTTTCCTCCTCGCTCTTAGAGTAACCCCCTAAATCTTTGTTGACAAGTGACATATTATTTCTTTTCTTCATTCGAGGCTTTCAAAAAATTTAACTTTCACATACGAATACCCTTGATTAATTAATCTACTCACAGGTTTAAAGTTCATGAATGATAGAACCATTGGTGCAATTCCTACGACTCGCCTGTCTACAGCGCCAACCATCCATGTTGTCCAACCACGCTGAAACAAATGATAGTGGACACGTGTGTATTGTTTTTTGGGCCCACCCTGTTGTATATACAGCTTTAGATAAAGGCGAGACTCTGATAAATCAGAATGGATTAAATACGATTTGCTTGTTCTTACCTTGGATTCACCAGCGGGAATGAACTTGTCAATGTTGAAGCGGTTGTCCTGCTGATTGGTAAATGAAGCAACTGTGTCAAAGGCACGTACGACAGCCTGATTAAAATAAATATTAAAGACACAACTGAATGTACAACTTACAATGTTTTATAACAAACGTAGGAATCAAAGATGCAAACTATGGACAAAGGATAAGAGAATGATATGAGTGATATGAGAATGACAGCGATGAAACGCATCGGAATAATTTTGAGGAGCAGGGAATAACAGTGATGACTTATATGGACATTTTTCAGCTGTAATGAAAGTTGTGTTATGAAAATCTTGCTAACCTTAATCATCGGCATTCTGAGAAGTATTTCTGGATCTGTACCATTTTCTTCCATGACAAATCTTCGCCAAGTCCAGCCAATTATTCTGTCTTCCCATCGTCTTGTTTGAGTCTCATCAGCCTTATGATTATAATGATATCATTAAGATTTAGCACTTTGGAATTAAAAAAGTCACATATATCACACTTTAATAACATTGGGTAAGACATATAAGACAAAGTGGTTTAAACTTTATATGGGGCTTAAACATTAAAGGTAGGAATCAGATCAGATCAGACACAATGGCTTACAGCTGTAGATCCTCCCAAATAATACAGATGGTAACCATGAATGATAATTATAGAAAAATAATTACATTTTTGTAAAAAATTAGTTTTCCTAAAGTAAAGTATTTACTTTTGGGATTTTGAGAAAAGAGGAGGGTAAAAACGATATGTGATGCAACGTACTGTAAAGACTATTGGTTGGTTGGGAATCTGTTTCAAGTATGCAGCCACTCCACGCATCTCTGATGCAAAAGCTGCAGAGGCGTTCACTCTCCAGTCAGTCTCTGGTGGAGGACTGCAAGGGAGAATGAATAACGGGTATATATTGGTACATGTTATTTTAGAAGGACTTGCTGTCTTTTACAATATAAAAAAGATATTATGTCGATTTTAGATTTTCAAAGGTCTAAAGTTTATGAATTGAAGGTGTAACAACCGGGGGTCACACTCGCCTAGCCTGACGTTACATAAAATAAGAGATGTTACAAATATACTTGAAATTTCTGTGGTAGCGTATATGTGGCCTTGACTAGGGAGTGTGTTGGTTGTTATGAATTTTAATCTGCTCTACTGACAACTAACTGTCACACTGATCTCAATAATAACATAAAATATGATTTGAATTAAAATATATATATTACGTAATCAACTATAAGTATGAAATATGTACAATGAGTTTTGACAATGAAACTAAGGTCTTTCAGATGGTATATCAAACAAGATACTGTAAATACCTAACAAAACAGTTTTCAATCTTATTACCAATCTGACCTTATATAATACACACAACTACTACATGTAGATGCTCCACAACACTAGTGCCACCTTTTGGCAAATGTTCAAACTGATAAAAGTACACACATGGCTATGAATATCTATCTTCAACTAAAACCTTGCAAAATTAGTATGCTACCCTAAGCTCGTAATATTCACAGAACAAAATGAGACATAATTCTGAATATATCTGATTGGAATAACGATAGCAACTAAAAGAAATGATGTAGAATCTCAAAGTTTGCGAAATTAGGTCACTTGACTTAGCCGTCTATCTCTGTTCAATACTAACTTCCTTACCCTATTTAACTTGATCTATCTTATCCTAGGCCATTTACTGTTAACATAATCATATCCTATCCTATCTTAGGACCTTAAGTCCTACATTTAAGACGATTTTAATCCACACGATATGAAAAAGACAATCTCCTAAATTCTCCACGTGCGCCTCCTAATGCTTTTATAAGACGTGCTCTGATTGGCTAATCTAAACTAGGCTTAAGTTTTTGGCACCAAATTCAAAAGTTATAAAAGTTTAAAAGTCCTTGCTAACCTTACAATAAATTGAAATACAAATATTTACATTAACAGATATATGAAATAATTAAACTGGGCATGAAATATAAAAAAGTAACAACCCAGGGTTGTTACACTGCCCCCTTATTTGAAAAATAAATCGTCCTCGATTTACGCTTGAACAAAAGTATAAAATGGCTACATAGAGGACTTAATACATATATCATGTGGCACAATACTTATATATGAGTCACAAGCTCAGTGAAAATTACATAAGACACAATGTCTCAAAACAAAGTAGTAGTATAAAATGCTTTACACAAATGCTGTGTGACATACCATTAATCAACATACCATCAGATTATATTAAAGTAGCAACTGTACATGTTAAACCTGTACTTTATGTTTATAGGGACAAAATATACATGTTAATACAATACAAAAATATATGCAAAATACTGGATCACTACATTGTCAAAGATTAACAGTCTCTGAGCTCAGTCTCTGGCTGAATTGTCACTGATGTAGATGTCCTCTTCATAATGTTAATATATGGTACAGCGACAGTTATTAAAGTAAGTTTCATCCCAATGATGGAAGGCGTGCACTCCTTCCAATATCAGACCAGCTGATAGATCATCGGTCAAAAATGCAATACTGTCTAAGTGTAGATGTCACATACAGGTACAGTATATACACTATGATGATTGATGACATGAGCTGAGAACGAAGATGATGCACAGATTGATGATCCATATTGTTGAAATTATTCAGCTACATATATTTATATGGGCAGTGTAATCAACATACACTTGCCTTCACATGTTATCACTAATGGTTACGCAATCCAATGGCGAGATACAGCACATTTTCGGGATTTTTCAGCATAATCCATGATGACTTCGATTTAGTAGTTATGTCAGGATGCTTTTAACGGACAGTTCCTATATATATGTGTAGCAGAAGCACAGTTGTAGCATAAGTGTTTCTTACGTTTATATGAATGGGACCTATCTTTACAGTTCACGTTATAGTCAGGTACATGTAATATACAGTTATCATCAATATTTGATTGTTCATTCTTAGCAGAAGGGGTCCTTTCAATGGCTTTGTTTAAAGCTGGCGGATTCCTCTTTGAATCAACTCTCCCTCTTGTAACATGCTGCATTTGGTCATTGTCATTTTTCATGTGTTTGTAGCTTACTGCAGCATTACATTGCGTAGAATGTTCAGTTTCGATCCCATTGTCAGATATAACAGGCAATTGTTCCATGGTTTCTTTAATTTTGAAGTGACTTTCATATTGTAGTCCAGTTGTTAGGGCTTCCTCAATATTCTCAGGGTTTTTAGAGCAGATACTCCAGCTTAAGTCAATATCATCAATTGCGTCAATAAATGTTTGCACAGCAATAATATCTCTGTATTGATTGTCCCCAAATGCTCCTCGGGATAAGCGTTTGATATCATGTGCCAGTTCAGTGAGCGTTTCACCTGGCAAACGTACCCGGTTTTGCAGCTTCTTAAGGTAGAATTCAAATGTACGCTGTAGAGAATTGTCACAATAGATGGAGATGTTGCGAACTATTTTAGAATAATCCTGTCTATCTGCAGAGTTCATAGCACAAAGTACCGAAAGTGCTCTGTCCCTTAAACATGATACGAGATATGCAACTTTTGTATCGTTGTCCCATTTGAGGAATGATGATATGATGTCAAACTGGGTAATATAGTCCTCAAACGAATCAGTGCCATCATATGTGTTTAGTTTAATTGCTGGTTGAATAAGTCCACTTTCACTATTAGAGGCATTTGGAGAAAGATTTATACCCATGATTGTGCTTTTGATTAAATCGTCTCAAATGTGTACAATAATTGCTAACTGACCTAACGGATTATGAAAATACCTGACTTGAAATGTAACTTACTACAAAATTGGAGAAAAATATGACCTTTGCTAAAAATACAAAAATGTGGGTTTTGAAAAATACAAAAATGTGGGTCTTGATAGGGCAGAACCTAACAAAATCCCGACGCTGCCAACCAGTGTAACAACCGGGGGTCACACTCGCCTAGCCTGACGTTACATAAAATAAGAGATGTTACAAATATACTTGAAATTTCTGTGGTAGCGTATATGTGGCCTTGACTAGGGAGTGTGTTGGTTGTTATGAATTTTAATCTGCTCTACTGACAACTAACTGTCACACTGATCTCAATAATAACATAAAATATGATTTGAATTAAAATATATATATTACGTAATCAACTATAAGTATGAAATATGTACAATGAGTTTTGACAATGAAACTAAGGTCTTTCAGATGGTATATCAAACAAGATACTGTAAATACCTAACAAAACAGTTTTCAATCTTATTACCAATCTGACCTTATATAATACACACAACTACTACATGTAGATGCTCCACAACACTAGTGCCACCTTTTGGCAAATGTTCAAACTGATAAAAGTACACACATGGCTATGAATATCTATCTTCAACTAAAACCTTGCAAAATTAGTATGCTACCCTAAGCTCGTAATATTCACAGAACAAAATGAGACATAATTCTGAATATATCTGATTGGAATAACGATAGCAACTAAAAGAAATGATGTAGAATCTCAAAGTTTGCGAAATTAGGTCACTTGACTTAGCCGTCTATCTCTGTTCAATACTAACTTCCTTACCCTATTTAACTTGATCTATCTTATCCTAGGCCATTTACTGTTAACATAATCATATCCTATCCTATCTTAGGACCTTAAGTCCTACATTTAAGACGATTTTAATCCACACGATATGAAAAAGACAATCTCCTAAATTCTCCACGTGCGCCTCCTAATGCTTTTATAAGACGTGCTCTGATTGGCTAATCTAAACTAGGCTTAAGTTTTTGGCACCAAATTCAAAAGTTATAAAAGTTTAAAAGTCCTTGCTAACCTTACAATAAATTGAAATACAAATATTTACATTAACAGATATATGAAATAATTAAACTGGGCATGAAATATAAAAAAGTAACAACCCAGGGTTGTTACAAAGGTGTACCCTTAACGGACCCTTATTTAACCATGGTTACACTCATATTGACACCAAATTTGATTTCATCGGTTTCAGATCAAACAAATAGACAGAATATTTCATCCCTGGCACGGCCTTACTCTGTATCAGTGTTACTGCCAGTGCTGATGTAGACGAGGGCAGAGTCAAAGTACTGAACGTTGTCGGGGATAGCAACAATCAATTGATGCCACCATAGAGGCTGCGAGTGTACACTAGCTGGAATATACACTCCACTACATAAGTTTGGATATCTAGTTGGATTACATGTTATTTAGGCTGTTTTAAACCTAGAATGATACAGTGTGACCCAAAATTGGACCCTTTAATTTGGAATTAATATTTTAAAGATGTAATTACAATCTTTCCACATTTGTGATGTCATGTTGATGCAGTACACTGTCGCCCTCTCTCGGCGGTATTCTGCTACCTGGTTCCAAGCATAGTTGGGATCAGTCCTGTTCACGTAGTCGTCAAGTGCTGTCCAGGATGACCACTAAAAGATAGGGAAACGAAGTAAATGCAAAGGATGGTATACGGCTGAGAGGCTTCTCCTCCGGGCGTCTCCTTTGGGAGACAATGGGATATAACCGATATGGCTGCTTAAAACCGTGATATCACAGTCATGGTCTCACCTAAACCAACCAACTAACATGTTAGAGTTACAGCACTAACTGGTAGAATATTAATTCGCAGTCATCCTGTCAAAGTAACTATCATCAAATATCTGAGATGTTTGTCTGAGCTCCGACCAATCCTCTTGGTAACGTAATTCATCTCAAAATAAAAGCCCATGGGTGTTATTTAAAAGATTCTTTCATATATATTGGCATTATAACCTATTATCCTACTATTATTTCACAAGATTGCCTGCTTGAAAGTATGTAGCAGTCATTTTATAAAAACAAATATAACTTTGCACTTACCGGATGATTGGCTTGAGCTACAACGAAATCCAAACATGGAAGTAAAAACAAACATACAATTGTATATTTAATACCCATTGCAACCGTCGTGTACACAACTACAACATTGGACAAATCATAACTCAAAAGAATGTCAATTTTTGTGGGAATATTTTTTTCATTTTACAGATGTTTGGTTTTGATTTAATGATATTGTAGTTATAGCACATGAATGTATATTTGCACCCTTTAAATTTCTTAGTAATTTTGATATCTTGCATATGAAATGGATCATGAGTTCTAAAAAGCTATCACGATATGTCACAATACTACAGTATAAGGGTTCTCGGACAAAATATGACAAATTATTCTTCTGAATTTGGATATTTCCACATCTAAATCTTCAATACTTCTATATTATATCAAATATCTCATTTCGTTTTTCAAAAATTAAATTTTGATTATAAGGGACACATGGGCATGTATCCCCTTTATTAATATAATGTAACAAGGCCTCATTATAGACCTACGCTGATGATTTGATAAACGCTGTGAAATTATTTGTACAATACACATGATTTTTTGTCATCTAAAATACTGGTTAATGTTTAAAAACGAATTCTCATTTATCTCAAGTTATTAACAATCTAAATCATACATTCAACAATGTTTCATGTGCTGGTATTGGGACTCTGCATCGTGGGGTGTACAGCAGTTGCAAATCACCCGGTGAGTAACGTTCTCTTGTTCTGCATATCGCGCAATCTTGAGAAAACCCTTCATCCATCCTTTGTCTTCACCCATTGAGTCAATGACATAACTAATCATCGTTCATGGGGGGCTGTGTCGACCTAGTGACGCTCACTTTAGTTTTAATATGCTTTCCTGCTTTTCCAACCTGTAGAGAAGTGTTTCTGTAATCCCTTTTTAAGTCACCACCAAAAAACTGGTAACATATTGTTGTGGCCTCCGTTTTTGTGACGTTTGTGGTTGGCGATCAGCGGTTGGCGTCTATAACAAATGGTGGTGACATTTTGCATGTAAATGCCTTTTATATGTTTTTGTAGTGGTCATCATGGACTCCGCTGGATGACTATGTTCACAGACCTGACTCCAGTTATTCTTGGAGAGAGGTGGCATCATACAGTAAACCAGGGGCACAAGTCTATGTTGTCAACATGACGTCTCAAATCTGGAAGGATGGTAACAAGCATATTCCTCGAACTGACTTTTAAATACTCTCGTAAAAAATGTCAGCGATCTGATCGAATTGTCCCGTTGAGTTCATCATTTAATACATCAAGGCTGATCTCTTGCTTGACTTCAAACGAGACGTGCCTTGGAACTTCAAAATTTAGAATAGCATTTTTGCATTCCTTTTCTGTATACGTACACCTGTTTCAGATTTATTTCTGAAATATCTCTTCTACAGCTACAGTTACAACACGATCTCTCTGGTGGCATTTTCTGGTGATTGCTCTCCCAACAAATGTAGAGCACTGGGATGCGTCGTTCGTCTACATCAGCAATGGAAATAACGAAGATATTAAGTAGGTCAAACCAAAACAACTCATTTATAGTAATAAAACAAAACCGGTTAAAACGAATTGGTCTGAATTTCCTACAACCAAACGCTAGTCGTTTTATATGTTTAAAAACAATATTTTATAGTGACAAAACCATTTCAAACAAATCCTGACTATCTTAGTTTGTATTCGCGAATGCAACTAACGCCTGTCGGCTACCGGATTAACTTAATATTTCATGACCTACTCATTTAAATATAAATGAAATAGTGGCAGGTACTATTCATATTTAAAAGAGTTGGCCATAAAATATCAAGTAAATCCGGTAGCCGACAGGCGTTAGTTGCATTTGCGAATACAAGCCTAGATCCTAACGTTGGTCCGTTCAAGCCTTCAATCAACCTATCCTAGCACGGGACTGATGCGCAAGTTTTTCACTAGATTATGAGTTAATCAACGAAATATTGCGATCACATGCAAAATTCCTTCCAATTCAATTTCCGTATCTTTCTTCTACTGTTGCACTTGTTACATTTATCCCATTGCCATAGCCCACCACATGAGAACCAATACAGGGTGAACGCGTCTTCCATGTATGCAGCTGCTATGGGGGCTCCTGTTGCATATCTCATGCATATTCCGAACCAACATATGTATTTTGTGGTACGTGATTCTTAATGCTATATATTAACTTAGAGTTCCACTATTCTTATATAACATTTGTAATATTCCTTACCGGCAGCTCCACCATTCACATATACTATTTGCATTATTCCAAACCGGCGGCTCCACCACTCGCAAATAATAATTGTAATATTCCTAACCGGCAGCTCTACCACTCGCATATAATGATTGTAATATTCGTAACCGGCAGCTCCACCATTCACATATAATGATTGTAATATTCCTAACCGGCAGCTCCACCATTCACATATAATATTTTTGGTATTATTTCAAACCGATGGTTCTACCACTCGCATATAACGATTGTAATATTCCTAAGCAGCAGCTCCGCCATTCACATATACTTTTTTTGGTATTATTTCAAACGGGCGGCTCCACCACTCGCATATAATGATTGTAATATTCCTAACCGGCAGCTCCACCACTTTCATATAATGATTGTAATATCCCTAACCGGCAGCGCCACCATTTACATAATATTTGAAATATTCATTACCAGGAGTTCCGCCGTTCACATATAACATTTGTAATGTTTCTAACCGGCAGCTCCACCTTTCACATAGTTTATTTTTAACATTTCTGCAGCTCCGCAGTTTGCATATTAGATTTGACAGAGTTTCAGAAATATACCTTTCCAAATTACAGCATCATTCTCATAAAATACGCAACCGTTTATTAAAGCGCTATTCCATCACCCACTCCTAAACATCTCATTTCTATTCTATTTTTATATCTATATTTTTATAACAATACAATATAGGATGACCCGGACCAGATACGTCGGCGTGAAGATGGTATCACTGCTTGGACGTGGATGCAATGGCTGACTGTAAATAATGCCACAGATCCAGATCTTCTCATTAGGCTACCTATGATAAAGGTAACCCTTAACATTAGCTATTAGTCATCAAACCCAGGATGTCTTTCAATACATTTCCAATCTTCTGTTAAGAATCAGCATCCTCCGAAAGCAGGCGTCCAGAGTCCAAAGCCTCTATCTTCCAAGGAGGAAAAGACGTAATGAATGATGTCTAGAGCCCTGCGTCTGGAGGATGAAAATCAGGAACCCTGCATAAACCTAAATGGACGGATAATTTCTAATAGTGTAATGCTAATTACTAATCCCGATATAATCATGCTTTACAAAAAGGTTACTTGAATTCATCATAAGATGATATGATTGTTTCGGTGACGTGTTACAGGCAACGGTTCGGGCTTTCGACACAGTTGCGGCGTTCGCCAAGGAGAAAGACAGTCGCTACAACATTGATAAGTTCATGCCAGCTGGAGAATCTAAGGTACCTTTGTTACAAATAACATTATCAGGTCTCCTAGACTTAACCGGGGACTTAACGCTAGGTGGAAGTCGAGGAGAACACGGCCGGATCATTCGAATTAAGAAACAAAAATCTAAACAACCCAGATTTCGCAATTTTGAGACAATGTAGAAAACACGAACAGCATGAACTTCATGCATGAACTTACTGTTAACTCCTCCAAAGAATCACGGATTCTAGTTGTTAGTCTACGTTGTAAGAAAGAAGATGCGATCATTTCGATGAGTATCAGAATGGATGCTATGATATATCTGGATATGATTTAAGCGTGGTTGGACGACGTGGATGGTAGGAGCGGTAGACAGGAGGGTGTTTGCCATGACGCCTATGGTGCTCTCTATTCTTAATTTCAAACAGGTATCCTACAATGTAATGTATTCGACATGTTTTGTATCTATAGAGGTCTTTTCCACTATCAATGGGCAAATCAAACTTCATTTTGAAAATATAGTCAATATAAAGGGTAACCAAAATGGACCTTAAATATACCTTGTAGATAACTAGAATATACCTTCTAAACTATAAAGATCATCAATTGAATTGGGTCCAAAGTTTTGGGGACTTTTTACAAAGGATCAGAATAAGAAGTTATCACTACACGTGTAACATTTTACCAAAATATTAAATGAGGGATCCCCCACACACACAAACCGATTTGTCCATTTAGGTCCTAATGAAACACTGGCAATCACTTGGGGGATGGACTTTTGCATTCGGAGATTTCTACACCGAAGGTGTAACTGCTCACTTCGATAACCCGAATCTTCAACTCATGGCAGATGTAGTGGACCCCTTCAGTAAGCGGACGCTCTCATGCTAATACAAATATTCCGTGGATGTCATAAGCTTTTGCATTTTGGGCATATTTTCATGTGGCTCATTTTGTTTATACACGTTACTCACAGGCCCAGCTCACAGTGTCCCGAAGGTATACTATACATGTATCACATTGATGTCAAAACCAACCAGAAGAATATCATTCTTCTGTAGCTTCTATTAAAATTATGCCAGAAGTGTGATATACCATTTTAAAGATAATCTCTCGATTAAAGGTTACAGGCACAGATTGGATATGCCAAAGATGTACATACAAGGTGCTAGTGATGAATTCTTCCAATGCGATGACTCCTCATACTTCTACCCTGAGATGAAACAACCATTCTTCCTTGTGTAAGGATTATCTATTACTTCATATGTTATCTGCTGCTAAAATTGAGCAACCGTTTTTGTGTTTTTGGGAGAACAAGCAGAACTGGTGTTCGGGATGAATTTTAATTTGTTTCATGAAGTGATGTAATATTATTTAGAGTCAATCAATACTGATTTTGACTATGTTCAATACACGTCGATTGTCGATACATCGTTTTATCACACGATCTGTAAAATGTAGCCTTTTGATTGGTCAGTTCTTGTGCTGTACCAATCTGTATTGCTACTGAGATTGTCCCCATTGATCATCTCCGTCGCAATACAGAAAATATTGGTACGGAGGGGGCATTCTCAGTAGCAATACAGCGGATTACACGATAAAAACGTTACAGAATGATTTGAAGTGCAATACAGGATATATTCTGCTCTCGATATTGTGTATTGGCGACTCGACTTCATCTCGTTCCAATACGGAATTTCTCGAGCAGAATATATCCTGTATTGCACTTCAAATCATTCAATAACTTATACATGTTATAACCGCGCTGATATAACGTTTAAATAAAGATGGCTATGAATTTATGCGTTAGGTACTTGAATCAAGGGCGTTACAATACCCGGGAATTTATCGGTTCGTCCAGTACTTGTTTGTGATAGCGCCCTCTGTAGGTCACTGTGCTTATAGCCTACAGTAATACGGGGTAGGATATCGGGAATTCGGTCAGTTTCTATCCGTCGATTTCGCTATGAATTGAAGCAAGTGTGACCACTTTATCCACTTAAACAATTTGATAATTCATTAAATCTTTAAACAAAATCGATAAACATGTTATACACTTCCTATCTCCTTAGAAATTAGCATGTATTTATGGATTGTGTTTTCGAACAAGGCTCGACCCACCCCAATAGGGAAATCCTTATGCTAATTAGTATGACGTCATATTTTCCTGGGGAATCCTAGATTTCAAAGCCTCAGTCTGTTATTGTGTCAAATGTAAACGCTCTTGGGACGCTCTTTTGCAGACAGAAAATTGACAGATTAGCTTTTAACTTTCAGCTTTGATGTTAAAATATTCTGTATTTCTACCGGACTTCTTGCTGAATATCATATAATGTTATAACTTGATTTGGACCATTGCTTGATTGATCATTCTGAAATTTTGATTGTGATTCATGATTGATTGGCAAGAAAAAAGAATTCCTATTGTTTTCCAGCGAAGTCAAAATGTTACAGCATGAGTTATAATGTCGAGTTTGCATCATGTTAAATTCTGCTAGTGATTAGAAGTCCATGCACAAGCATACACATAAGAGACAAACACACCCAGGCTCCAGGCCGTGGATGGAAATATAAAACTATTTAAGGCACAAACTGGTATTAATAGACCGATATGTAGTGTCTGCCATGTATTGAAGGTAAACCAATCTGTATTATTAATGTTTCTTCTATCAATACATGGATTGTGCAATAGAAAAGCAATGGCACAATCAAAAATGTGCATATCAATCGTGAATATCTCTCGGTTCAAAGCATAGGCTAAGGGTTAAGTAATAGTAAGCTGTATATAAAAGAGACAGGTAAACAATTAGGATTGAAATTTTTTTCAAAAACTTGCCGTCTTGGTACGAGTTCTCCTTACTGGTATCGAGTCGTACCACCAAATCTCCCAAGAATCCTCTCCAAAGTGTTTTCGAAACGTATATTGTTGAATATTTCAAATCTATATCCTAACTCTTCGATAAGACTGCATAAAAAACACCAACTGTACGAACCTGCAATTGCCCGGCAAGTTGAAACTTCCGGATACATTGAAAGATTGGATCTTGTAACGATTGATTTGATTGGTTGTAAGTTTACAATTCCAATAAAAATGTTAATTTCACCATTTAAATTGGGTTTAATAAGATATTATATGAAACAGATGTTTTGATAAATAATTATTAAGTACACCTTTTATAGTTTTGTACACTTTAATTGATTGTTATTTCTAGAATATGAATTACATTTTAGAGAACCAGATAGGTGTCACTGGCGGCGGTTAGCAGGAACCAATCAAATTCCTTGTTTCAAACTTCCATTTAACACGGAAATCCGGGTAACTTGCCAGGCAATTGTAGGTTTTCAGAATATCTCGCCTCAAGACAGCTTTATTCACTCTATATCACTTGAATGGGGTTGATTCATAGGTAAGAATTGCGAACTATCAATTTTGGATCAACTCTGCATTGTTTTTTGAAAATTATACACAAATAATGTTAAAATCGCCATGTTAACAAGTGGCCTAAATCCTAGTTGTTCACCTGTCTCTTCTATATACGGCTTACTATTACTTAACCCTTAGCCTATGGTTCAAAGCTTATTTCCAACAGAATCGTGTCAAAATATGTGTCTGAGTAACAGTTATACATTATAAGATCGCAAACTCTTACCAATTATCAGCCGAATGGCTCATTTTCAACGAAATGTCCTTAAGACAACAGCCCTGGGTCGCGCCTGAGACCAAAAACTACTTCAAATAGCCCTCCCCTAATTATATTCGATAATCACATTTATGCGTGCGCGCGCAGCTCATCCAATGAACGAAACGCCACTTCCCGCTGAAATCACCGGGTATTGATCTTTCCCTTGCTTGAATCGCCATTTCAGGGAAATGTTTTGCAAGGATATTTTAGAGAGAGCAATTCATGGGCGGAATAACAGTAATGTTATCCAAGATAATAGGATAAGTAAAAGGATCTATGTGTGTTCTGCCATCATTTAAATGAATAATGCATCTAAAACCTTTGGATTTGAAACGGTTGCTTTACAATAATTTTGCTTATTTATTGTTTTTTGTAGGAATTTGGAAAACACAGGACACAACTTAAGGGGTCACGATGCAAGGATCTTCTCCAACAATGTTGCCTTCTTCCACAATGCCCTTGCTGTATGTTAAAACACTATGGATGGGGGCATTAGTTTTGGGAACATTATATAGGCCTATAACCAACGAGCACCATCCTGGTTCATCAGACACTGAATGAATTGACCCTGTATTGTTTGGGGGTCTATCAAAATGCTTAAAATTTTTATTCAAATCGATAAACGCCAATGACTCAAAAATCTAGATATAGACATTTTGACCCTCGTTAATATTTTCTTTGATAACATACATGGTGCTATTATTTCTTCCAGGGGCGGCCCTGGCCGAGCATCGAATGGGAAATTCAAAATGTAAGACATATCCTTCTTTCGCATCACAAATCGCTGATAAATATAAATAAAAGCAAAATGGTAACTGTGTCTTCGCGAATCACATCACATCACATGGCGTATCTATTTCTGTGATTTTCAAAGATTAGATAAATTCGTAAATTTTGTTCAAGGATGATGAATTGAGGTTGGGTTCCATAACAGTTCGAACCTTGGAGGTTCCATCGAGTATTCGTGTCTGGTATTCTATAACAACACAACATGTTCAGTAAGAATTTTTTCAGTCACATTTTTATGTCTCGTTTATGTGTCACATATTTTTAATGTATATATTTTTATTATTCTATTATATTGGAATTTATGATGATGAGATAATAATAGTAATCTTTTGGAGGTCAGACTATTACTCGTTCACATACAAGAATTATAACCTTCTTAATAGGGAGGTTGTTACACGTTTTAAGAGAACCTGTGCGTGAGTGTGTAATATTTCGACCCCCGGGGATTACTGTCCCGCTTTCAATTCATTTTCTCAGGGATCTAATTACATATATTTTCCGTATACTTTTATACTTTAATGATTTTTCTTAGGGGTAGGCGGGACTTCAGACAGCGAATCCTATCATATGAAGGAGAGACACCTCAAGTGGTGAACAATGAAGGACAAATGTGGATTCAGGACATACCAGATGATATCGTAATACTAATTAAGATTTTAGAAATTTAAAGTGGAAATAGGACCATGTTTTTAAGGTCTGGATCAGTCTAGTTTACTTATTTCTTTCGGCCTAAAAGTTCGTCCAGTTTTACATTATCCATACACCATTTTATGTAGTTGTTTTTGTTTCAGGGTGGTGGTGAGTATAGGGCCAGATACAGCTATCCTGAAACGGGATTCCTTGCATTCTTCATCGAGGTAAAGATATTTCATCATGGGAACCTAAGGGTAGGGGACACGCGGCAAGACCGAGCCAGTGGATCCATTTTGTTTCACATGCACTCGTGTTATCTATTTTGTTCGCGCATACTCATACATCATATTGTCACCAAGTCAGAAAGTGCCATAACCCTTTACCAGTTTGACTTTCAATATGAAAACTTCATACACTCCCCTCCATAAGTTTGGCAACCTGAGCTCCCCCATTGAACTACGTGTTAAAGCCTCTTTACGTTTGAATTTTTATTTGCCCTGCGATCGAAATTACTTATAATATTGATGGAAACGTAAATTGATTTTAATTCCAATACCTCCAAATTTTCCCATTTTTTTCCCTCAATAGGTTGAAATTGATGATAACACGAGTGCGTGGGAAACAAAATGGATCCACTGGCTCCGTCTTTAACACGTAGTTCAATGTGGGAGCTAAGGTTGCCAAACTTATGGTGGGGAGTGTAACTTGGTAATTCAAGATGAGATAGTGCCGCGCATATAGGGATTTCCAATAATTTTAAGATCAGAGAAATTTTATACGATACCTAATGTATCAGACAGATATACAATTGTGATGATGGAAACATTTTTAAAATTCCCCATCCCAGGATCCTTGTGTTAACATTTTATTTTGTTCACAAGTATTTGTTTATTTTTCAAGTATGATTTTAGTCATAAAAAATAACGAAAGACTCACAGCCCCATGCACTAAGATTAATCCATTCACTTGTTTTTCTTTTTCAGGTAAATTTTCTCCTGCAAAATCTTGAGGAGATTCGATTTGATACCGAGGCTGATATTGTGCCACCTATCTTTCCCTTTGCGAAATGTTCTGGTAGTGGGTGTATTGGACTACCTTTATAAGATAGCCATATAAACAATGGACGCTTTTGCACTTGTATGAACGAAAACTAAATCAAAATCAATTGTTATCTATAAATGAATTAAATGTATTAATAAAATGGGTTCTGACGTTGGACGTGGACTAATACACATGATTCTTTGTACTAGTGAAATTAAATCATGTATGATGAAAAAAAGGAAACGTGGTCGCCTTTATTTCATCGTTATTTCATAGCTTTGTAACATGAACGTGATGATATATATGGAATAAAGGCAACCATTAACTCGAACAATCATATTAAAGAAATATAGACCGAAAAGCAGGGGTTATATCGTCGAATACACCCCGCAGGGCTAGGCACAAACGTTTTCTGTACCCCGAACGACCCCTGCTCTGAGGTCTATATTACGATTCGAACATGAAAACTCACCAAATTGTTTCGAATATTCATCATGGATCGCCATTACTACGACCCACCGTTATGACGTCACACATTACACGTATTAATTGGGTTATTGATCTCGAATATAACCCAGCTGAAGTATTGGCTTTGTTTACAGTTTATAGAAGGCGTGAATACAGTCATGTTCGAATGTGTAATATAAACTCAGGGGAGGATCTGGGAACAAACAGGGGGGACCCAAATTTCAGGTCAGAAAAAATTGGGCCCCTAAAACCGAAAAGTGGGCCCAAATTTTGAAACTTTGAAGCCCATTTTCTTCAAAATTTGGCCCAAAATTGAAATAATAAGGCCCAGTAATGACCCAAAAGGACCACTTTTTGGGGCCTTTATTTGCCCCAATATTTTTTGGGCCCACCCAAGGGGGGGAGGGCCCCCCCAAGTCCGCCAGTGAAACCAATACCATACTCAAATCGTGAAATAGATGAACTATAACAGCTAAATACAATTTTCTGTTTTCTTACTCAACTTTAGTCAGAAAACGGACGTTCATATGTATATAAGATCGCCTACAGTACATAACAGGTATATGACAGTTGTTCAAATTATCCTAAAAAATTCTAATACTAATCCAGAAAATGTATGCATGTATGTATAAGTTCCTGTTTTATTGCATATGCTGCATTCTAATGATTTCTTTACAATTCAAGAAATTCTTCACTGTATAAACAGACTCTTTAAAAGTTGAAAACTTTTAAAAGAACTCAAAGTTACCGCCAAAAAGTTGAAAGTCACGTGACGTTACCATAGTGGCTCCTTCAGTGGTCACATGATAAACAAAATTGGTAGTAGTAGTAAACGAAACGAGGTAAAGAAAACAATGAATTCCAATACATTTTAACGCAGATAGAGGACTCAAATACACCAGTAACCATGGACAATAGACACAGGAGACCGAACTCTACAGTTCGAGAGATGTTGAAGGAGTATTGGCCCGAAAATGATACAGAAAACCAAGAGTAAGTTTTAAAAAATTTTCAAGTTGTAGATTTCTATTTTTTGAAAATTCCTTCTTGTCTTGTATTCTTTTTGGCTGTTTACAAAAGCCTAACTCATGTTAGATATTTACTATTTTGAATTTGAAATCAACCACGATCATTGTCATTTCTCTCCTTACCCTCTTGTATTGTCGAATGCGATATGTCAAACTTGCCCGATTGCAAGGCGGGATTGCAATTTGTGTCTCAGGGGTTCATTTTTTGTATGATCGCAACATATGATTCAAAGAAGAACATCATTGTCCATTTTATGACGAATAATGACTTGCGACTAAATCGTAAATTACGACAGTTACAAAAACGGACCCCAGGTTCCTTATTTCATCTTTGGGTTGTGTCTCAGGGATTTGTCAAAGTCCCAGGGTCAAAGTCAAGCTAAATATAGATCCTGCTGCCAAGGCTGTGGTGAGATGAACTGTCAGAGTTTGACTGTTACAGTACTGTCAACCCCTAAAGATTTTCTCGCGGGACAGATTTTTTAGACCCAGTACCCAAAATTCGCGGGATTTTGCGGGACATCTACTAAATTCGCGGGATTTCGCGGGACATTTAAGGGATTTGCGTGATTGCGCTAATAGGCCAATTTTTTTTTATCAAATTCGCGGTATTTCGCGGGACCATTCGAGGGATAAACACCCTAATTGCGCTATAGTTAACAGGTTTACCACCAAAAACCTGATAGAGGGACAGATTTTTTAGACAAAGTGCCCTAAATTTGCGGGATTTCGCGGGACATTCACCTAAATTTGCAGGATGTCCCGGGACATTCAAGGATTTGCGTGATTGGGACTAATGTAAAAGCGTGTAAAAGTACTTAAATCAAACTTCCAGATACTGATTAATCAAATACAATGCACCGTTGCATTGTAACTTAAATAAACGTCAACACAATTTCACAAAATACGTATAGGAATATTATTAAACTTTATTGTAATTTTTCAAAAGCAAAAACCATGCTTCAGGTGTGAGTACCGTAATCTAACACGAAATTCAAAAATTCGGAACAATACTTTGCACTTCTGGATTCGTGAACAACTATGAAACGCTTACCCCCATAATGTTATATATTAAAATGTACCTATTCATGGCATTTTCATTCAATTGAAAGCCCATGATATAGGGGTTCGATTAATCTACATCAAATTATAGGGAATGGGGTTACTTTTCTAGATAGGGTTTGTAGAAAAAACGGGTACCGGGTAGTAAATCCTCCATGCTGGGTTCAAACTTGGTACCCGGTCGAAAAAACCGGGTACCCAAAAAACGAAATATACGAATATACATCATAATTAGATCATGAGAAAACGTGTAAGATTTGTTTTGAATTTACAAAAATGTATGTAACTTCCTTCAAAATTGAGCTAGAAGCTTCAAATAAAAAGCATTTTAAGGCTCTTTTCGTCCTCTATCATCATATTTCCATTGGTAATGAAAGGGGGAGGGGGGATGCGTTCGCACCCCCTCCTGGCTACGCCAATGACATTGTAAGACGATTTGAAAAACAAGACAAATCAATCTTACTCTATTTTCAATAGTTCGTTTGTTGGTACGTGAATTGTTTTGATTATGATTTAAATCTGTAAATAGCTATCGTTGCTTTAGCAGGGAGGTGACCTGTTAATTTACATGATTTTGATATTAATCATAATCTAAGTTATCCCAATTTTCGACAAAATGTCCACTGAATTGTAAATTGTTGTCTTACAATGTCATAGGCGTCACTGGCGGATCTGGGGGGGGGGCCAGGGGCCCGGCCCCCCCCCCCCCCTTGGGTGGGCCCAGAAAAAAAAATTGTGCCCAAAAAAGATTTTGAGCCAAAAAAGGCCTTAAGGCCCCAAAAAGTAGGCCTTTTTGGTCATAAATTGGCCTTCTAAGGCCTTGTTTTTTAATTTTAGGCTAAATTTTGAAGAAAATGGGCCTCAAAATTTCAAAATTTGGGCCCACTTTTGGGTTTTTGGGGCCCAAAATTTTTTTACGTGCAAGCGCGGAGTTTTTTCTCAGACCAGAAGTTTGGTCCCCCCTTGTTGGTTCCCAGATCCGCCCCTGGGCGTAGCCAGATGGTGCGATGGTGCACCCCCCCCATAACCGATGAAAATATGGCCATGACGATAGAGGAAGAAAAGAGCCTTAAATACACTTTTTATTTGAAGCTTCTAGCTCAATTTTGAAGGATGTTACATACATTTTTGTGAATTCAAAACAAATCTTACACGTTTTCTCATAATCTAATTATGTTATATATTCCTATTTTTCGTTTTTTTTGGGTACCCGTTTTTTGACCGGGTACCGGGTACCAAGTTTGAACCCAGCATGGAGGATTTACTACCCGGTACCCGGTTTTTCTACAATGCACCCTTTCTAGATATCAGCGTCCATTTATTGTAACTCACGTTTGCTAACATTTGCTCAGTTCTGAGATGAAGGCCACACGGATAGTAAAAAGCCCAACCTTAGAACTATTTTTGACCTACATCCCTATTTTCGTAATTAAAATGAAAGTTGAACCCTTCCTCTTTATTTTGATACCAAACAACAGCATGCTAGGTACTTAAAATTAGGTAAACTTTACTCCTCAAAAGTGCAAAAACTTAGCTTCTTTTATAAGATAAGATAATCAAAATATAGGGGATTGCAACAATTTCGGAAATTCGCGGAGGTCAAAAACCACATTTGCGGGACTTCGCGGGACATTGCGGGACACGCGAATTAGCCTAGTTTTGATCAAATTCGCGGGATAATCCCGCCATTCGCGGGACACTTGACAGCTCTGCTGTTAAGGCCCAAAAATCAGGCATGACTGTTTCACTGAGGGGACGCATAAACGGTAGTCAAGATGTCATACAATGTTTGATAACAGATGGTAGAACTGTACTGAAAAAAATCTAATCCCCCACACCATATTTTTTCCCTTGGTTCGCAAAGAGTGTTGGGATCTTCTTTTTGGTTAATTCTACCATCTGGTCCAGTTCCTGTGCAAATGAGTGTGATTACATCATCATCATCATCAGGTTATACGATACACTCATTTACTGATTCCTACATCACGAGATACCGACTTGATGTTTAACTAGAGGTCGCCACTAGAGGATGTTATGAAAGTTAGAACAAGTAAACGTCACATTGATACCTGTATAAAATAACATTAGTCAAGTTTATGGCCAGGGAATCTAGATTGTTTACAACACTATTTACAGAACTGACTGTGCTAAAACTGATATATACATCGATTACAAGTATTAATGTAATATTTTATTTTTATACACAGTATTAGGAGGTTCTTTAGAGAAAGTAAATATTGAACCGAATGAAAATGAGCATTTTTGGCAAATTTTGTAATTAACGAGAGTTAATTCGTAAACTTTCTCGTTAGCTCTAAAAAATTGCCTCTCGTACATATATGCCACTTGATCAGATGTAGAAACCTCATGATGTGAACACTCATCACTCTAGTTTATTTTTCTCATTGACTCCCATGTTAAATGAGTAACTTAAACAGTCCCAGAAATAGCTAGGCCATATTCAGGGGCTTTAACCTCCCTGGCCAAAAAGTCTTTGAAAAGCATGCAGTTTTCCACCATTCTTACTTAGCGCTTTTTAAGTAGTTTTGGATCAAAGTTGTTAAATAGGAACCCCCCTGGAAATTTTGGAAATGTGAACCCCCTTGGCATAAGCGGGCTATGGGTGATAGCCCTGCATTCACGCCTGATGTATGAAATCACAGGTCCGTATGAAAACTAATGACAGCTATTGGACCAAACTTGTTTTATATATGAGCTTCTGGACACAGGTGGACTTGTGGATTAACTACAT